GGCAACCTCCGTAGCAGAGCAAGTAAAAAATATTTGTACAAAAAAAAAACAAAAAGAAAAGAAAATCGGCCAAACCAAATCGGCTGTGCGACTTGACTTGGCTCTGGCCGCCAACCCCATAGGACGGGCTGATTGATGCGCCAATAAGGTGGGGGGAGTAGGCAGGGCAATTGGGCGGCAACCGTTAGTGACGTTGGAGACGACGGCTTTTGGTTTAGCAACGCTGCTTTGTTTTTGTTGTTGTAGTTCTTCGTACTTGGCGTCGACAAAACGCACAAAAACAACAACAAATTGCGCTGCCAGACAGTCAGACGAACGTTTCGCACACATTAATACACAGACACACACATGTATATGTTTATAGTCCGAATGTCTGCATGCACAGTGGGCCAAACGCAATATGCTTCAAGTGCAAAAAATAAGAGCAAAACCAAATTTATAATTTTTTCGTGCACAAATGCTTTTAATACGTTTTGTTGACACTCACACTCATAAAGAGAGACGTCTACCCATATATATACATATATACACATAATATATATATACACATATATATGTGTATAAGCAAAAAAAAATACTTTAATTGTTCTCACGAAAAAATGTATTTTGTATTTATTTATAAATATGTGAAATGTATATAGTACATATACAACAATAAGTTGAACAAAAGCATATGTGTGCTCGTGTATGTGTGTGTGTGTATATGTATGTGTATAATAAGTGCCTGTCTGCCGCTAAATAGGCGATGTGTGAACTTTTAGCTTTTGTCAGGTGCCTGCTAATGAAAAAGAGCTGCTTGCTGCGAAAGGTGGGGGGCGGGGAGAATGCACAGTGAAACTAGGGCCACAATAGATAACAGTGCACATACAACAACAAAAAAGTTCATTTCCCCAACAAACTCCTTGCAAAAAAAAAAAAGAAAACAATTCCATGCCGTGTTATAAATTAGCATGAAACGCAGCAGAGCCCCATGTAAAAGGTGCAATTCACTGATATGCCAAGTATATATACGCTATATATATGTTTATATTCACATATATATGGGTATGTGTGCTCTGTTTAAGCAGTCATTATCTGACACGACCGGAAACACAGAGGCAACCTCTCTAAATGGGTTGCCACCCATTGCAAGTCGAGAGTTGCAAGCAAGTGAAAACAATATGACCACGCCCTCTCCCACAGAAAGGGGCGTTTGGGTGACATTTCTTTCACAACGACGCTGCAACGACGACGTGGACGACGCCGACATTGAAAGGGAAATTACATTTCATGTTTATTGTCTTTATAAAAATAATAAATGTTTTCGCCGCACACTCACAGATTTTTCAAATATATATATATATATATATATATATATATATATATACGTATATACATATTTACTCTAGATCAATGGGATTGTTGTGTGTTGAATTAATGTCAGTCATCGTGCAAACAATAGGTTATTTCTTTGTGTTCATTGTGACAAAGTAAATTTAATTATACTTCTAGATATTATTTATCAACAAAGGCAATTGACGACGATGTTGTTATCGCAACATTTTTACTTAATTTTATATATATGTCATAACATGATTAATAAAATACATTTTAATATTAGCACACATTTTGCTCCACTGTGCTGAGATATTCTTTGCCTATCGACTAGTGGAATTTTGGGGGATTCGGCGGCCGAGTCGAAATTTAAATATTTGACATTTATTAATGTAATGAAAATGTCATTAAATAAACATGGCTAACATAACAGGTAAGTCGCCCCTTGGGTACACACACACACATGTGTAGAAAAATGTCCTTTGCTATTGTTGTTTTTTGTTGTTTATACAATTGTGTTGTGGAGAGTTCAAAAAACCTGCGCTGCACGCAAAAAAAAAGACCTCGTCAAATGAATGAAATGAAATGAAAGAAAAAGGAGAACAAAGAAACAGTAAAAAAAAAAAAAATACCTTTGCGAAAGCCAACATAAACACACCTGGACAACACGTGGTTTTCGCTTTTTTTTTCGTTTTTTTTCTTTGTTCGCGCAATTCACTTTGAAGTAACAGCGAGCAATGGCAGACAGAAGAAAAAGAACAAGAACAGAATTAAAACGAAAACAAACTAAAATTACAATACGAATGCAAACACAGTGGACACTCGTAAGGTGCCACATTCGGGCAGATGATTCCAATTAGAAATGGAAATTTGAATGCAGTTTGTATAGTTTTTTTGCTTCATTTTTTATTTCTTAAGAGTCAATTTTAGATGTACCATCCAATTTAACAAGAGTCCACAACCTGTTTAGTATAACCGATTCAAATGTGTTGTATTTTCAATTTAAGAATTGATAACTGTAGTCCTTCTGGATCACCTACTCAAAAAACTGTGCAAAATTTACCGTTTGTAAATATTAAAAGTTTGGCCTCAACGTTTTGTTCTATTATTTTACGTTCAATTTCGTATATTTACGTAAGCATTGAAAATATTGTACATAATGGCAGCAAAGAGGAAAACATAAAACATGTGCAACATAAAATTGATAATCACATAGATTAAATGTGAAACATGCACACACCTCTGGAAAATAATTTAATTCAAAAAATTTAAGATTTTGTGCCGAGTAAAATGTGAAAAAATTTCGACACTTTTTCTTAATCGAATGTACTGAAACATGTTTTAAAATAACCCGAAATAACCCATACATAAACAGAGATAGAAATAAGATAGATATATATAATTCCAGAGGAAAATGTTTATTCTGAAAATAATTTTTAATTGGCATTTATCGAATTTTGATGCGAATTTGTTATGAATTGGGGGAACTCATTCGACGCTGAGTATGAATTTTTGATCAGTCCACTAATTTATGGTCGATAGAAATGTTTCTTCTTTTTTTTATTGAGCAAAGTCAAATCAATTATGCAATAAACAATTAAGTTCCCCAGTCCTTAAATTACAAATTTCAGCTGATTGATCAATAAAAAGATATACAGATTAAATAGTTTGGCATTATAAACAGGTTTTAATTTCAAGCTAATTGAAATGAAAAAATATATTGTATAAAATCTTGAATAAAATACCTTGAATAGTGCAAGGGGGAGGAAAAGACGGGGAAATGATACTGATTGACACACAAACAAATCTAAATACCCACACACTAATGGATGGGGCGAATGGGGGTTCAAAATAGATAGATAGATGGTCTGGCTAAATGCTAAATGGGATCGTATGCTTAGAATAATAAATAGATGAGAAGGTGCAACGGGGAAAGGGGTGCAGGGGGAGGAAAGGGGGGTACATGTGGTATGTATGTAGATAAAAGCAAGCCAAGGCAAGACAAGGCAAGGCAAAGGCTATACAACTTTCGACGGCCAAACGATTTGCCAATTGTAAACAATATGCACAGCCGGTATCGAGTACCGAGTACCCGAATACTGAGTACCAAGTATCGACTGACTAACGAGTACCGAATCGATGAGTTAATATAAACAAGACAGACAGTCAGACACACGGAGGCGGACTCGGACTCGGACCCGGCAACTATATCTATATCTACTTCTATATATGTACCTGGTTAAACAAAAAGAAAAATTGAAGGAGAGCGAAAAGAAAATAGAAATGGGATAGCAAAAAAATCATAAGACTTAAACTGAAATACTAAAAATGAACTTAATTCTAGACATTGTTGTGTGTTGTGTGTCTTATGGGTAATTTCTGTTGCCATTTTGCAATTGTGTGGAAAATTGAAAATCAAATGAGTAGAAAAGACAAACAGTGGAATATCAAGAAGAAGAACAGAATAGAACTAAACACACAGAATGTCGACCAGTCCCGTTGCCCGTTCCCAATACTACCAACCCCCACCCCTCCCCCAATCCAACAATATAAACTATAAAAAGCAACACAAAAATATCGAAGCACAAGTACACTTAACTAAAGGCCAAGAAGATAGACACACAAGTGGAATATATAGAGATAGAAAGAGAGAGAGCGAGAGAGAGAGATATAGTTAGAGAATACCTGGCCTGGGTGGCGCGAGGGAGAGGGAGAGGTGCGCGCGCTTTACATTGTAAAAGAGAAAACAGAAAAAATAAAAAAAACAAAGACCAAAAAAAAAACCCAATCGAAAGGAAAGTGTTCGCTCAATATGTGTTTGTGTGTAAGTCTCTATATGTGTGTTTGTATTTGTGCTGAAACCCAGCAGAACTTTGGGTCAAGTATAAAAAAAAATTTGAATTGAAAAAATATCCTCCTGTGATTAATTTAACCGGAAAAGCCTACAAACCTGAAAGCTTATAAAACTCTAAAATCATGTTTTAAATGAGCGATAATCATTTTTTTAACGCTCGTAATGGTTAGTTTTAGATTATTTGGACAGCTTACACCGAATAAAAATTGACTGGGAACTGGAAGGTTTTCAAAACCAATGACAACAATATTGTTTGATAGTTTTTAAAAATTTAAATTTATATTTTACATATTCGAGAAAACACAAGTTCTTCCGCAAGAAATACGGGCAACAAATTCCCTTCGATATCAACTAACAATACTGCAAACTTTAATTCGCCAAGTGTCCTTTTGGAGACTCCCCCCAAAATATAGTGAAAAGGCATGTGTTTTGTGCACACCAAAAAAAAATTTCTGCTGGGCGCTAGAGAAGAGGAAGCAGAGTAGTGAAAATTGGCAAAGGCGAAAAAGAAAAGTGTTGGCTTTGCAACTGGGCAACAATTAGGGCGTATTGGTAGACGAGAAGGGGTGGGGGGTGGGGGGGGGCAGGGGCGGTGGTCTTGGGTCATTGTAAACCACAAACTATCAGTTTTGTTTTTATTTTCTTTTTTTTCTGTTTTTTTTTGTTATTGTTTGCAATTTGTGTTGCACACATCAATATTAAATACATACAGAGACATATATAAAGAGAGCTTAAATACATATGCATAATATACATAAGGGGTTTTTATTGTTTTTATTGTTATTTTTAATTAAGTTGTTGTATTTGTAGTTGTAGTGGTTGTTGTACTTACCAACTGATTGAGCATAAATCGCTAAAAATATCGAGAGGAATGAAAGAGCGCTAGCCAAGAATTTCGCCTCCATCTTTGGTATTGATCCGTGTTGTTGTTGTTGCTGTTGTTTTGTGGTTGTTGCTTGTGTTCAATTGTTGTTGTTGTAGTTGTGGTAATTAATATGTTGTTGTTGTTGTCGTTTCAAATTGCTTGCATGTACATATTAAATTTTCGTTAACTATTAGCTGATTGATTATTATAATATTTTTTATTTATTTTTTGTTGGTTGTTGATTTTTTTGTTGTTGTTGTTGGTGTTTTTTTTTTTATTTATTTATTTATTTTTGTACTTTATGATTAACTTACTAGATCATTATTAATATTTATTTATGTATACGATTTTCTTCCTTTTTTAATTAATTAAGCTTAACATTAAAATTTGATAATAGTTGTTGATGTTGTTGGTTGGTTGGTTGGTTTTTTTTTTGTGTTTTGTTATAACGATTCTTCTTCTCTTTCTTTTTTTGTTAACCAGCTCCAGCTATTGTTCTTATTTCTTGTCGCTAAATATTTAAATGTTTTTTTTTTTTTTATTTGTGATTTGCAATAAATGAAAAGTGGAGGAAAATGATTTTAACAAACAATTTCCTTTGTTTCTTTGTCATCATTTTGTCTTATACATTTTTTTTCGCCCGGAATTCTTTTCGCGATTCGAACGAGAACGCTTTGAATTTTATGCTTTTTGCACAAGATTTAAAAATACATAAATTCAAAATAAAACCAAAAGCACCAATGAAGAAGAAGATGAACGACTGCCCGCGGTGTCTTCAAGTGCGTAAGAGAGGGAGAGGGAGAGCAAGGTAGCTCAAGGATATAAAGAAGCAGCAGCAAAAGCAACAACAAACATTTATATATCTAATTTTTTTTTTAATTTTCAGTCTCTCTCTCTCACTCTCTCTCAGTTCGATCGCCTGCGTCAGCGTTGTATGCTGCACACGTGCGTCGCGCCGTTAACAGCACAACGGCTGTGAGCTGTTGCACCTTATGCTAATTTCTTATGTTTGTCGCGCTGAATAACTTTTGACGTTATTTTACATGCGTTTGACAAAAAGCTCTCTCACACGCACACACATGAGCTCACACACAGACACACACACGCACGCAGTACGCAGCGAGACTGGGAATTGAAGAATTTTTGGCTAGCAAACCCAAAGAAGAAAAATTATGCCACATTGACTACAAAATGTGAGTGAGTTAAAATATTCAGCTAATGTTGCGAAGTATTTATTTTTTTTACATTTATGTTACACAGGGCAATTAGAAAAACAACTAAACACTACTAACCGAAAAAATGGCAAACGGACACGGAACACAACAGAGAGAAAAACGGAAAGCAAACGTAAGCGGCGCGTAAACGTAACGCAACGAAATCAGCGAGCAGACTGAACCAGCCACTGTGCAGCACGCAAGCGAGTAGGCAGCAGCAGCGAAAGAGCAGAGCGGAAAAAATAACAGACTGACGTTGACTCGGCCAGCGGTCGGCTGCGGCAGCGGCAGCGGCAGCGACGTCGTCATGGCTGACTGATAAAAGTCGTACGAATTTGTTATTAGCTCATTGTTTTTTTGCTGTTGCGCTTTTTTCTCGTTTGTGCTGACAAGCAGCAGAGCAGCAGCAGTGTTATCAGCAGCAGCAACGGGAGTTTGTTTAACCCTCCGCGACGTGCCAACGGCGAACGTTTCCGTCACAAGTCGCAGTGTTGCCAATTGATAATTTTTTTTTAGTGCGTCAAACATAACTTTTTTGAATGTCTTAAGTTTGGCTTTTCTTTTTTTATGCTTATTGCTGGATATACATTATATGCGGCATTTAAGATAATGCCACAGTAAGATTTTGGTATCTAATCAAATCAAGCATCTCCTTTTTGTTTTTAATCCAGTTCCATCTAAAATTAGCTTCTTTTTTTTTTGCTTTTGGTTGGCAACAGTATACGCATATTCATATACTCCATATATAAACACATGCAATGCACACACGCACACATACCCATACGTAAATATGCAAGTATCTATGATGTGTGTACATGGCATTAAGATAAAGACCTCATTGCAGTATTTTATACAAACATAAGAAACACGGCGCGACAAACGAGAGAATGTGATTCGTTCACGAATCGACCAATGGGCAGCGGTAGAGTGGGAGAGGAGGGTATACGCTAACGGCACTGATGAGCTGCCTGAAAGCGGTTGGCAGCGGTTTCAAAAATGATTTTCAGCTGGGTTGTTGCTGCTGCTGCCTAGGCTAATTTCGTTGTGTTGAAACAAAAGGCGGACGCACACACACACACACGCACACAAACAATAAGCTGTCAGTCAATGCGTCATGTAATTTAATTTTTATTTATTTTCTAATTGCTGACAACAAATTAGCACCCACAAAATAAATATTAGCGCTAAACAGTGATGCTCGATAATTGTTATCGATTATCGTTTGCCGAACTCGATATTATCTGCCTTGCCACAGTACGTGCAATACAAAGCAAAATAAACCATTTTATTTTATTTTATCGTATTTTTTTTTATAAAGTTATGCGATTTTTTATTGGAAAAGTTTGGGGGCACTCTTTTGAGACAAATTGCCCTTTAGCGCAGCATAACGTCATCGGTTAGCCATGACTCAGTGTCCCGGTCATAGTTTATTTACCGTACTCACACACACATCTAATGAGTGTCATGCGAAAATGAGAAGAAAAACAGAATTGATGCGAGCGATGCTGAGCCGCATTTATTAATTAGTGGCAATCATAAATATCAATGCATATATATATTTATTATGATATCAACGCTAATTAAATTGATTAAGCTTTAAATGAAAAGAGCAGAAGAAAAACAAAAAAAAAGAAAAGAAATAAAGCCAGCAATAACAATAGAATTCACGCGCCGCCCACACACACAAAATTGACTCAAGCTCTAAAGTTAACAGTTAAAGTATGTGTGTGTGTGCGTGACAGGCTGGATGACGTGATTGTCTCTCTCTTACGGAGCCCGCATATGATTAAAACGGAAAACAAGATAAAACTCGTTGGGAGCAAAAGGAGCAGCTTGCTGCTGCTTCTTCTTCTGCTTCTTCTTATTGCTGTTGTTGTTGAGGCAAGCAGGGGGGAAGAGGCAAAATACGCATGACACTCCTTGCCGCTACACACACACACATACAGGCGTAAGCACGCGACACACAGACACGAGGTCACTCACACAAACACACACACACAGAGAGCAATGGCAATTGTTAGTTGATTTTCAACAAGCACAAAAAATATTAATTTGTGCGAACAGAAGTCAATATACTCAACAATTTCAAGTCACGAGATGGAAACATACACACACACACAAACAATGAGTATATTGGGTGGAAATATAGTAACGGGATTTTCTTCATTCTTTCTTTTTTTGCTAGCTGCTCCCTCTTTTCTCCTTTTTTTGCTTTGTGTTAGCCGCGATGACGACAGCGCGAGCAGCGACGTCGGCGCCTTCGCCTTGCGCTTTGCTTTTCAATAACATTTACATTTACACTTTGTACTATTTATGTAATAGTTTTTCAAAAAAACGCTGGCAAGTTTCATTCAGCTGGCGGCGGCCAATTGCATTTCTTTTTCATTTTTTTTTGCACCTGCACAAATTATGTATATTTTTCACATTTTCTTTCGTTCTTTTTGTTTTACTACCAAGAACTCTAGCAACACACACACACACACATGCAAAGCACGCACGCACAAAACATACTCGACACACACACACAAACACGCACACAGGCACGAAAATACGCGACACACTCAATGACGAAATTCCTCGGAGAGCGTTGACAACTCTATGTTCTAGCTCAAGCTCCTCCGCTTTCAAGTAGATATGTGTGTATGTGTGTGTGTGCGCCTGTGTGTGTTCGTGCGTGCGTTCGCTTGAGTGTTTGTGTGAGTGCTCTGCTGCTGCTGCTTTTTGTCATACATTTTTTTGCGTTGGCATAGATTTTCAACTTTTGCACGTGTTCACAGCGCTTGAGTGTGCACACATTGATAATTATTGTAATCGCACTTGATTCAGCTGCATTATTTTGCACTCTTTGACAATTTACCTAGCACACAAAACACAAAAATTCGATTTTTTCCTCGCTGATATTTTCACGCGAATGACCTTACATCACACGCATACAATACACACACACACACTCGCCTCAGTTCTTGGGCATTTATTGCCTCTCCGTATTTGGTCTCACACTTTGACCGCTAAAATACTAAAATCCCGGCCAGCGCCACACAACTATCGTTCACCAGCACTTAATGTTTGCTAGTCTCCGATTGGCAGTCACTAACTTATGACATCGCACTGTGGCCTGTTGCCAAATTCAAATGTGACAAATGGTTGGTATTATTTTGGTGATTACAGTTCGATTGTAAGCTGCTCCATTGTTAAAAGCTATGAAATTGTATTCTCCCGCCTGAAAATAGGTTGTCAATTGGAAACAGAATTCTAATTTGATGGTATCGATAATAGGCGTTAAATTTGTTCAAATACATGTATTGTAGTTTTAGTACTATTCTAAGATAAGTTAACATTATTTAATTGCATAATATTCGTTTAATTTATTTTTACAAATCAATATATCGAGTATATTGTCGCTGTAAATGCAAAGCGATACATTGAACAGGGGTGTGGTGCGATAACACTGCTCAGTGTCTGATTGCCCGTCACTAGCATAAGTCATCGCGTTGCGGGATCGTGTGTGCGTGTGAGAGTGTTGCTGAGAAGTTTTGTGTTTCATTCATTTAATTTATTTAAGTTACAAGTTTCGTTATTTCTGTGTTGATTTTTGCTTCTTACAAATAATGTGCACAACGTGAGCGCACACAGCAGCAGCATTTCGTTAAACAGGTGAGTGCCGACTTACTTTCAACACTTTTCGACCCGCCCAAAAAAATTTGTTTGCTCAAAATACCTGCGTTGTTTTTATGCGCGTTGTTGTTGCTGCCTCTTCTGCTGCTGCTGCTGCCTTCACATGGGCGTTGACCGAAAAACTAAAAAGGCATTTTGAGCGCAAATTATTACTAACAGTTATTCAGTTAATTTACTATTTGCATTTTGAAATTATATTCCTTGCTTATGTAAAATGGCTGCAAGGCTTCTTCCTGCGAGAGAGAAAAAAATTATGAATGCCTGCCGTCTGTCTGCCACCTGCTGCCCAATTGGAAATTTGTTGTGCGCTCAAATTTCACACTGGCCTTTTTTTTGCATATTGGTGTGTGCCCAGTTGTCCTGCAGGCATTTATCAATTGCACTTTTGCCCTCCCTTTTCGAAATGTTCTTACACTAATTAATGCCACTTTACATGCATGTGAGTGCGTATGTGTGTGAGACTATGTGTGCAACAGTGTTGGCAACTTTGGGTTAAAAAATGCTAGTTAATCGCAGAAATTGTACAGTTAGTTTTCAAGCAAAATTTAAAAGCTGTAAAATTGTTCAAGAGATTTCGTGGCATTAGCTATTTATTAATACTTAATAATAATATATTTATTAATAATAATATGGATCCTTTGTAAGTGTGTAGTCTCCGATAATTGTATCATTCAAATCGCTTTATTATTTATGTGTGCAATACTTATTTTTTTTTTATTGATATTTATTATTTTTAAAAACGGTAAAGCTTCTTTCAAATAAAGCCAAAATTAGTGGCTTATGCTATTTTCAAATTTCTTACACAAGCCCACTTTAAAAACTGGTTAAATTTTAGCTTGAAAAAGGCTTAATTCGCCAGAACTGTTGTGCAGCAGCAGCGGCAAAAGGGTGGATTACACTGTCCGTGTTACTCTTACCGACAAAGAAGCAGCAGCAGCGTTCAGCTGAATTATTATTACCGAGTTTAATTTTCGTCTTCTCTTCACGCTTAGTTTTGTATTTGTTTTTACTACGTCCAGTGACTTCTGCTGCTTCACTGCACAAACAACACACATGCACCCACACAAATATACATACACACATAAATGCATAGGTAACCGACACTATCTTCCGTGTGTGTTGCGTGTTTTGGTCTCTCTTTCGTGGTTTTGTACGTTACCGGCAACTGCCTTTCAAATGTTATTCTCTCTTCCCCTTCTTATTTTCGTTGAGCTGGCCACATTGGCCGAGGGTCAAGTGCGATTGTCTGCTGCTGCTGGGGTACCTAATTGTGTCCTTGTCCTGTCACCTCACCTTTCCTTCCTTCTTTATCTACACCACGTTTTTTTTTTGTATGGTTGCTTTTCTACCTGTCATTGTCCTTTTGTTCTGTTCGTTCTTTGTGATCATGATAAGCTGCTTGCATTTTCTTATTATTTTAGATGTAAATGCGTCAATGTGTCAAAAATTAAGTGTTGTGAAATTCGCAGCTTGCCTTCTTTTGCGCCGCTATTTGTCATAGTTGAAAGTTGAATAGAATTATCGCTTTAAGCGATAAAAAATGTCACTGGTCAGTTTTATGGTTACAATTTATTAAATGACAAATATGTTAATTCGATTTATACTCAAATTTTTGGCTATAAATTTGTAAAACATTTTAAATGAATGAGTTCGATGCTTTCTATGTTTCCCTTAACATTAAGAATGTTTGCTTGCAGGCAATAAATGTCTACTTAGTGGTCTGATGAAGAGAAGAACTTTAGAGAGAGAATTTCAACAGTGTGTTGCTGCAACAAGATGCATCAGCAAATGATTGTTGAAAAATACAGGCAAGGATTAATTTCGTATGTGTATTTAATAGTTTTCTTATTTATGTATTACAGTAAAACATTTTTCCATTGTCAAGTTGAAAATCAAATTTAATTAGTTTATTTAACATTAGATAGTTAAGTAGTATGTAAAGACAGAATAACAGTTTAAACTTAAAAAAAAAAGATGCGAAATTCAATTAATGGTCTTGGAACGACTTGTAAATGAATCTTAAATGTTTTTCTAAACGCTCAGATCTATTGTCTGATCGTGCATTTCCAAGCCGTTTGCTTAAATTGTGTGCTTTAAGAGAAATATTGTATCGTTCTTTAGTCGAAGACCCATTGTATATATATATTTATAATGGTTTTCCATTCATTGTCGGTTGCAGCCATAATTTGAATTTTATAATCCCCGGTCGGCAGCGGTAAATATTTGAAAAATGTCTCGTCAAATACCATATTATCCACAATTATGTCATGCTGAAATATATAATGCCATATAATATAATTATGCTAATCTTTACCTTTACTCACCTCATAAGGACACGTGTGATTTAAGTTCGAACAATTGGCTAAAGAATCACGGACGATCTTTGGGAACGATAATTGCTTACGCCGATCGGCCATCAACTTGCAATAGTCAACAGTTGTGTTGAACATAAAAGGGCGATATCCATTAAATTTGCGAAACAGACACACATTTACCTATAATTAAAAGTTAATTTGTTACAGAGAAATATATTTTACGAATCACTTTAAATACCTTAGCATTGTTGAAGGGTCCCTTTTGTAATACCGCATGCACATTTAAAGCAACAACGCCACGACCAAGTATTTTTAAATTGCATTTCTTATAAGTGGCGTAGGAGGGATCCAACATTTTGCACTCCACATTTACAAAGCGACTCTGCCTTGCTGATAGCACTCCATCGACCAGAAGAAAGAGCGTAAATTTAAACCACATTTTCTGTCAACAACCCAATCACATTACGTAGCAACCACTGAGACAATGTTAAATTTAAACATTGTGTTTTTGAAGATTTAATTGCCCGAGTTAATCGATCACTCAATGTTTCTACTCTCTGTTTAAAATAAAGCGTCCAATATTTACAGATTATTATAATGCATTTAGTGGCAACGGGTCATTTGCTCAACCAATTTTTTTTACAAATCACAGATTTTTGTGTGCCGTGACAATGATACGCTGTTTTAGTAGTTACAAAAATGGTCAACAGTTAATTCACCCCACCCATTAGAGCCTACTAGAAAAGTTACGGTAAATCGACCACCAGAGTGTTGCCACCTAATTTATAATTGCTATATAGTGCTGTAAATTAGGCTGTGAACTTGTAAATTCGGCAGTTTTATTTATCAATTTGCAATTAAAGAAATCATAAATTTCTTTGCTTCTGTTTTTATAATAATTCATTTCTAAGGCTTTGTGCCAAGAAGCAATGGGAGCTAAGTGGGTCCGTCCCTAGGAATGTGTCGTAAATTAGAGAGGCTTTTATAAAAGCCGCCTAACAACAACAACAACAAGAGAAGCAAAAACCTATGTTTGCCGTTGTCCAATTGCTTTGGCACATGTCCCATATCCCATATCCCATTTCAAAGACTAATTGCGCGCCCACTTTGAATGACATTTAACTTAAAATTTGACATCATTTAAATGCCGCAAAGTCGGCATGTTGTGTGGTGTATATGTGTGTGTGTGTGTGTTTGCTATGCTGTTGTCCAAATCCATACCATCTATAAATATTTTTTATATATATAAGGGGCACGTACATTGCTCCTGCCACTGCTTCTATTAATATCGTTGCAGCGCCCTCATTTTATGCTCTTCGGAGTGTTTAGAAAGCTGCCTCAAATGATTAGTGTATTGTTTTAAAAACGTGAAAAAGTTTATTTATGATAACAAATTCAATTTGCCACACCTGTTTGACATAACAACCAAATGTAGTTGCAACAGCGAGCCAGATGTTGTTGCATTATCATAATACTGTTAGTACTTCTTGCCCTAAGCCCTGTTTTCAGATCTAAAAACTCAAACTGGCTGCTGAAAGCCAACAAATTTTAAGTCATTTTCTCGCACTTTTTTCTTGACGAATGAAATAATTTTCTTCTATTTGCTCTCTCTTTTGCTCGATGCATTTCGATTTGGAAGACATAGGATAAGAGTTAGTTAAAATTGAGTTAACAGTGTGAAACAGTTGCTGCAACTCTATGTCATTCATATGTAGAGTATTTGCAAGCCGGTGTTGCTCATTTTGCCCCTTTGCTTTTTGATGTTTTCTCTGCTTGCTGCGCAGCACGCGGAAAGTATTCGAGCAGACAAAACAACAAAACAAAAACAGAAGCAGAACGAACAACAGAAAACAGCACAAGAAGCATTGAACTAGCTATATATAGTAATGGTCTATATAATCAGGATAGACACGCACACACACGCACACACACGCACACACACGCACACACACATGTACACCACATGTGCTAATTGATTGAATACACTTAACAAATCACTGATTGATTAACTTGATTTTTCCCCCACATTTTTTCCATTTGCAGCAAAACTTTGACTCTCGATGATGCAGCCCATGTGGCACTTGCTGCATGCACTGCTGCTGCTTAGCGCCTGCCAAGCTCAAAACGATGGCGGCTATTACAATGTGCAACAGCAGCAACAACAACAACAACAACTATCACAGCAGCAACAGCAGCAGCAGCAACAACAACAACAACAACAACAGACGCCGCTATCAACATCTGCATACGACAACGTCAACAACGACAATCAACAACAATATGGCACGAATCTCAATCCCAATCTAAATCCAAATAATCCAAATTATAACTATAATGGCCTGGGAGGCAATCAGGATGACTATAATAAGCGACTGGGTGGCGGAGGCGGCTTTGATGACGATGAGCCCAGCTTGCAACGTGGCAAGAGCGCTTACAATTCGAAGGCCTTCTTTCTGGAGACGTTGCACAATCGAGAGCCAACCTATTTTATAGTCGCGTCACGCATGGTGCGCCCGGGTCTGATTTATCAGGTCTCCGTCTCGATACTCCAGGCCAAATATCCCATCACAGTGCATGCCAGTATCTCGTGCGATGGCGTCCAGATCAGTGGCGATTCCAAGGATGTCAAGGAGGGCGTACCAGAAACTCTGCTCATGCGCATACCACCGACAAGCGTCACAGGAGATTACAAGTTGCGTGTGGAGGGTTTCTATGAGAATGTCCTTGGCGGTGTCGCTTTTCTCAATGAGACCCGTTTGGATTTCTCCCAACGTTCGATGACCATCTTTGTGCAGACCGATAAACCCCTCTATATGCAGGGTGAAACTGTGCGTTTCCGTACAATACCGATTACCACCGAACTGAAGGGTTTCGATAATGCCATCGATGTCTATATGCTAGATCCAAATCGGCATATACTCAAGCGTTGGCTTTCGAGGTAAGCGCAACAAGGGGAAATGGGTTGTAGTATATTTCTTGGCTGAACAGTTAAATATATATATATTAAAATAGTTACACCATAGTTTCATCCTTGTCGATTGGAAGATGAAATAGGAGAAGCCGCGATTCCAGATAGCTCATATTGTATTTTAGGTAATGTTTAGCACCAGCTAAAGCCCTGTTTACAATTCGAAAAACATATCGCTTACAAAATTGCAATATATTTCGTTTGAGGCAGCCAAAAGCAAAATGGTTTGTTGAAAGCTATACAAGTTAATGACTTAGTTTTCGCGGGTCGTCGGCTTTTATAAGTGCGCTTTTATCTTGACAATTAAAATAATTTTACCCAGTTTTTGGTAATTGCCCTTAATCACCGTCAGAATATATAATTTGCTGTTCAAAATATCCACACAGGTTAACAGTGACAGTTAATATTGAGTTAATGTACCTATCTCTGCATATTCCATTGGCCGATCTTTACTAACATCGCTCTTTCGCTTTGCTTTTTAGACAATCGAATCTGGGCTCTGTTTCGCTAGAATACAAGCTGTCGGATCAGCCGTCATTTGGTGAGTGGACGATCCGCGTGGTTGCCCAAGGCCAGCAGGAGGAGAGTCACTTCAGCGTTGAGGAATACTATCAGACACGTTTCGAGGTGAATGTCACAATGCCGGCGTATTTCTTCACCACCGATCCCTATATCTATGGCCGGGTAATGGCCAATTTCACCAGTGGTCTGCCCGTGCGTGGCAATTTAACGCTGAAGGCCACAATTCGACCCATTGGCTACTTTAGCAATCAGGTGCTGAATGAGAAGTTCCGTTTGGGTCGCTCGCCGCTGGAGCAATCGAATTTGTATAACGAACGCTGGCGCTACAACAATCCCAATCAGCACTGGGATCAACAGCAGCAGCAGCCGTACAATGTGCCGCCCCAGCTGCAACAGGATGGCAGTGATCTCTCCCAGGATCTGCTCTATCGCAATCAGTATGTCGTCGAGCGTAACTATCAATTCGAGGAGGAATGGCCGTTTTGGGTGCGCAAACCCGAATATGTGGATAGCTATGATTCGTGGACGAGTAGCTATCGCAATTCCCTGCCATATTTACGCTACTTTAATGGCACCTTTGATTTCAAATGGCCGTTGCGAGAGCTCGAGCTACTTGTGCCCAATATGGCCAACATGGAGGTGCTCATCACGGCGACGGTTGGCGAAAAATTCTATGATGAGATCATCAGTGGCTATGCCGTCGCTCGCATCTACAACTCCAGTTTGCGTGTCGCGTTCCTCGGTGAATCGCCGCAGGTCTTTAAGCCAGCCATGCCATTTACCACCTATTTGGTTGTCGAATATCACGATGGTTCACCCATCAATCCGCATCTGTTGCGCCAGGGCCTGATGGAGGTCAGCGGTTTTGTGGAGAGTCGAAATGGTGGTCGGCGCGACTGGCCCGCTCAACGTTTGCACATGTCCCAGCAGAGTGATGGCATCTGGGAGTTGAAAATCGATATACGCAACGATTTGAATCTGGATGAGCGTCCACAATCGAGGGATTTCCTCAATGGCATACAGAATATGCGGCTGCAGGCTAATTTTGTGGATCCACGCGGTGAACGCATCCAAACCGAACTGTTGCTCGTCTCGCATTACTCGCCACGGAACCAGCATATTAAGATCACGACGAGCACAGAGCAACCTGTGGTTGGTGAATACATCATCTTTCATATACGCACCAATTTCTATTTGGAGGAATTCAATTACCTGATCATGTCCAAGGGCGTCATCTTGGTCAATGACCGTGAGACCATTGTCGAGGGCATACGCACCATTGCCGTCGTTTTGAGCGCTGAAATGGCTCCGATGGCCACTTTGGTTGTCTGGAAGATCACGCAACAGGGTCAGGTTGTGGCCGATTCGCTCACGTTCCCAGTGAATGGCATTTCACGAAATAATTTTACGGTTTACATCAACAATCGCAAGGCGCGTACGGGTGAAAAAGTTGAAGTGGCCATCTTTGGGGAGCCCGGCTCGTATGTGGGTCTCTCCGGCATCGATAGCGCCTTCTACACCATGCAGGCGGGCAATGAGTTGACCTATGCCAAGATCATCACTAAAATGTCCAACTTCGATGAGCAAACCAATGGCACCTACAAGCACATTTGGTACTCGCACGAGGGTAATCCCGATGAGTTGGTCTATTTCCCAGCCTCTTCCTTTGGCATCGATGCGAATCGCACTTTCGAATACAGCGGATTGATTGTGTTTACGGATGGTTATGTGCCGCGGCGACAAGATGCCTGCAATCGCACCCTGGGCTATGGCGAGTGTTTGAGTGGACGCTGCTATCGGCTGGAGAAGCGTTGCGATGGTCTCTTTGACTGTGACGATGGCACCGATGAGATTGATTGCCAAGTGCGCAACGACACTGAATTGCTCAATTATCGCAAGTATCGCTTTAATCGCGTGCTGCGGCATTACGAGAACGTTTGGCTGTGGAAGGATGTGAATATTGGCCCGCATGGTCGTTATATATTCAATGTGGAGGTCCCCGATCGTCCCGCCTATTGGATGGTTAGCGCTTTTAGCGTCAGTCCCTCCAAAGGATTTGGCATGTTGAATCGTGCATTGGAATATGTTGGTGTGCAGCCGTTCTTCATCAATGTGGAAATGCCGTCGGTTTGTCGCCAGGGCGAACAGGTGGGCATCCGTGTCACCGTCTTCAATTATATGACAACTGCGATTGAGGCCACTGTTGTGTTGCACGGCAGTCCCAACTATAAGTTTGTCCACGTCGAGGAAGATGGCATTGTTCGCTCATATAATCCACGCACCAGCTTTGGTGAGCATCAGTTCTTCATCTATTTGGAGGCACAGGGCACCACTGTGGTTTATGTGCCGGTGGTGCCACAGCGGTTGGGCGACATTGAGGTCACCTTGCATGTGGCAACGTTGCTCGGCACGGACACCATAACCCGTACACTGCACGTCGAATCGGATGGTCTGCCCCAGTATCGTCATCAGTCCGTCCTCTTGGATCTCTCGAATCGTGCCTACGTCCTGGAGTATATGCATGTGAATGTCACCCAGACGCCAGAGATACCCTATCAGGTGGATCGTTATTTTGTCTACGGCTCGAATCGTGCCCGCATCTCTGTGGTGGGTGATGTGGTGGGACCGATCTTTCCAACGATGCCAGTGAATGCCACATCGCTGCTGTATCTGCCCATGGAGTCGGCCGAGCAGAATGCCTTCAGTTTTGCTGCCAATCTCTATACGATTATGTATATGCGTTTGATTAATCAACGAAATAAGACGCTGGAGAAGAATGCCTTCTATCATATGAACATTGGCTATCAACGTCAGTTGAGCTTTATGCGTTCCGATGGCAGCTTTTCACTTTTCCGCTCCGACTGGAACAACTCGGCATCATCCGTCTGGTTGACCAGCTACTGTTTGCGCGTCTTCCAGGAGGCCTCGTTCTACGAGTGGGAGAACTTTATTTGGATCGATGCAACGATCATTGAGAAGAATATGCGTTGGCTGTTGCAACATCAGACGCCGGAGGGTGCCTTCTATGAGGTCACCTGGCTGCCGGATCGTAAAATGAATCGAACCAATTCGGCCAGTTATACGAATCTCCGTAATCGTAATATTACGTTAACCTCGCATGTGCTGATCACACTGGCCACCGTTAAGGATTTGTCGGGTTCGTTGGGTGCACGGGTTGCGTTGGCGACGCAACGTGCCGTTGCCTGGATTGAGCGGAATATGCAGTTCCTTAAGGATACGCCAGAGCCGTATGATGTCGCCATTACGGCGTATGCTTTGCAACTCTGCAATTCCCCGATTGCCGAGCATGTTTTTAGCATACTACGTGAGCATGCGAGGACGATTGGTGATTTCATGTATTGGGGCAATCAGGAGTTGCCGCAACCGCCACGCAAACTGGAGAATCAGAAATGGTTCGCCTTGCCTCGTCTACCCTACGAATACGATTCGCTCAACATTGAGACGACAGCCTACGCCTTGTTGGTTTATGTGGCGCGGCGCGAGTTCTTTGTGGATCCCATTGTGCGCTGGTTGAACGCACAGCGTTTAAATGAAGGCGGCTGGGCATCCACACAGGATACGAGTGCCGCATTGCGTGCTCTAGTTGAATATACGGTGCGTTCGCGCATCCGTGAAGTGTCCTCGCTGAGCGTCGAGATCGAGGCATCCTCGCAGGGCGGCAAGACCCAAGCGCTCCACATCGATGACACCAATTTGGCGAGACTGCAAAGCATTGAGGTGAGAGAGAGTTGTTCAAAGTGTTGCTAGCTGTTTATTAATCGGAATTTGCCGCCTTTGCAGATACCCGATGCCTGGGGCACGATCAAGGTGCAGGCCAAAGGCGCCGGCTATGCCATACTCCAGATGCATGTCCAGTACAACGTGGACATTGAGAAGTTCCAAACGAAGCCGCCGGTGCCAGCCTTCGGACTGCACACCAAGGCCATCTTCCACGGCAGAAATCAGTCGCACATCTCCTATGTGGCATGCCAAAAGTAAGCAATGAAGTCCCGACTCCTTGAAGTGTTTAAACTACAATTGGTAAATCTTTATTATGCAGCTGGGTGAACACCCAAGAATCGGAACGTTCGGGCATGGCTGTGCTGGATGTGGCGATACCCACCGGCTACTGGATACAGCAGCAGAAACTGGATAGCTACGTGCTCAGCAATCGAGTGCGCAATCTGAAGCGTGCTCGCTATCTGGAACGCAAGATTGTCTTCTACTTTGATTTTGTAAGTGCAACGAGAGTTTACAAATATTATGTTATAGTCATCTTTTTATGCCAACTGGTCTTGAAGTTGATATCTGAATTGTCAGATAAGTTTAGCATTCAGGTGCTGTGCGAATAATCAGTCGAACTGAGTTCTTGCTTAAGAAATTTGGTTGCTTAACCATTTATCAAGGTTCATTTTGCTTCCATTTGTGGATATCTGAATTATCAGATCACTAAACCACTAAGCAGACAATACAATGTATTTATTTACTAACAATTTATACACTTTTTCTAATCTTTTCATCTCCCACACAGCTGGATCAGGAAGACATCTGCGTTAACTTTACCATAGAGCGCTGGTATCCAGTGGCGAATATGTCCCGCTATCTGCCCGTGCGCATCTACGACTACTATGCGCCTGGTAAGTGATTAATTGAATTTAACTTATATTTTTGATTTATTAATATTTTCTCTTTCCCCTGCCTCGCAGAGCGCTTCAACGAATCCATCTTTGATGCGCTGCCCACATATCTGCTGAATATCTGCGAGGTGTGCGGCAGTTCCCAGTGCCCGTATTGTTCCATCTATAATATGGGCTGGCGTGCTTCCATGTCGCTCTCGCTGCTCTTCTTCAGTGTGTTCATTTACCTGCTGCGGAGTCGTACGCATTTAGTGCTCAATACGCTACATCTGTTCACCTAGAAGGTGCCTCGTCGAGGATCAGGGGGAGGAGACCTTCACTAGCAGTCCAAAACAGTCCACAAAACATGTTTAGCTTATTACCATTTGAATTGGAATATGTGTTGAGTTTTATAGTTGGTTTTTATTTTTCTATCTCTATATCTATATCTGCCGATTTTTAGTTTCTTCTACGAAATTGCATTCCGTCCAATAATGCTACTGACGAGGTTTTATTTTATTGTTTTTTTTTATAATTTGTAATAACCGATTCGAATCGTATCTCGAAATGTACAAAACAGCATATTTATAATAATCAACCAATCGAATGGAAATATTAGTTTTTGCCACACACTATAAAGAATTAAAATTTGATGTACACAATTCATTTAACATATACATTTATAGCAATTTAGTGTTTAGCATTCAGTTATATTATAAGCTCTATATTTTATCACATTCAGAACTGGATCGAAATCTTTGCCTTAACTTTAGCTGGGCGCTTCAAGTGCTGCTTTAAATGAAAAGTGAAAACGAATCGAAATAATGTAACAAGAAAAGTGTCTTTTAAAATCACAAATTGCCTTTATTAATTTTAGAAATCAATATTGAATATATACAAAGCATGCATATCAATCGAACATTTTTCTACACATTTTATACAAACTGAATGTTTTTTTGTCAAAGATATTGAGTCATAATGAAAACGTTGAAAGCGACCGTCCATTACATATTTATGTTTAAATAATGCAACAAATGAATCTAATTAGTATTTAAGTATTTTGTATTTTCACAAAAACATTTTAGATATTGCTTTTGTATATTATACGAATCCATATAGCCATAATCAAACTGTAGCTAACGACTCTCAAGATCAAGTACTCCGTCCCTACTTTATGCTAAGAGTAATGAAAATATTAAATGAAATGAATCTGTCAAGTGAAATATTTTATTATACGTTTTTTTTTAAAAATGTAACGAACTAAACGAAAAATAAATTTTATTTCACAAATTAAAATGCAATTTTCGTCATTGACTAAAATGGGGCAACACTGTTTATTGTTTATATATAAAAAAACAATTTCAGAATCCATTCGGTTTATAAAAAAGCGAGTTTAAATGTGGGGTGACACTGTTCTTTGTGTATATAAAATGAAAACAAATTCAAAATCAATTTGTTTATTGGTTTTATAAAAAAGTGGTATAAATAGGTAAATATTATTGTTTCGCAGTGAAATTGTTCGATAAATGCTACACAAAGAATAATGCTATAGTACATAAAACTAATAAAGAGATAACATGCATGTGTATACATATATATATATATATATAATTCTATGTTTTGCGAAAGCTAAGCAATATGGGCGAAATGGCCTCTAAACAGTCCATGATGTCCTTGCGCGATTTGGCACCGGTAAACACAACTTTGCCATTCACAAAGATGAGCAGGACGAGACGCGGTTTCACCATTCGATAAATCAAACCGGGAAACATTTCCGGCTCATATGAGCTGAACTGGCCGTGCACCTGATTCAGGTTCTCCAGCCGAATTGGGAAACGCAGATCGACAGTGGCCACAATATTTTGTAGTTTGTAGTCGACGAACTTGACGGGAAAGCCCAGTTTCTGTAGGATGCGTGCAAACTTCCGAGAGCCCATGTTCGCCTCGATTTCGTTGCGGGCGCCGGTGCAGATCACTTTGCCGGTGCGAAAGATGAGCGCCGTGCAGCGTGGCGAATGCATTCGCATGATGACGCCCCGGAAACGCTTTGGCGTATATTCCGAATTGCGGGTGCGTGAATTGATCGTCTTCAGATCCAGTTCACAGTCCACCGAAAACGTGGCAACGATATTTCTACCATAAAAAACTCAATTTATCAAATTACACAGCGGATTTAAAGTTTCCTTACTGTAATTTGATTTCATGCTGTGCATCTTTGGGCTCGGTGAGGATTGCCGGTTGTTGCGGCTGTAGAGCGCTATGTGGATTATGGGTGGTTGTTAGTGCCGATGCATTCGGATCGGGTTCAGCAATTTTGAAATGAAATTGCATTTTTTTAATTCAATCTAACAAAATTAATTAAAAATCAGCTCTTAGTTGCAACCAGGAACTAAACAAAACACGCGATGCAAAAACAGTGTTGCTCTATTAATGAAATAATGGAAGGTGTCGGCACACAGCTGTGCTCAAATTTCCTCAAATAACAAAGTAAGCATAGCCTATTTATAATAATATATATTTTAACATTTATAATATTTTTTAAGGAATTGTGATTTCTTATCTTGCCAATATTTGTAATTAAATATGTGGAAATTGTACAAATAAATTAACCAACACTAACAGTTGTGCACGAATGGTACGTCACACAACACTAAATTATTAAGCGCTTTCCATTTTACGTGCACCATACGTAAACAGAGAAAACGCCACAACAAAAGTCACGCTAAATTACGCACCAAAGCAAGCGGACCGTTGACAGTCGAAAAGCAATCGAAGTTGAAGAAGCAGACAAGAAAAAGGGACGTCAGAGTTAAAAAAATGTCGGCGCACAGCGGAGGTACGGATTGGAACTCGGTTGTAAAACCACTTTTATCCAATCGTACAAGTGCTTTAAACAAAAATGAAATATCAAATTTACTAAAAGCGATTACCAGATGGTGAGTGCATAACATTTATATCCGCAATATTCACATTCTCTTGCCAAATGGCGCAGTTGAAAATTTTGCCTGCAAGGTGACTTGCAAAATTAAATATGGCGACCCCATGACGAAATCTAAAAATGATTAAAACTTTTCTACAAATATTACCAAAATGATTTTTTTTGCAGTGAACATGAATTTTTTGATGATGAAAGCAATTATACACAATTTTATACTGCATTTGCGGCTCTGGCTGCCGATAAGCTCATGCAAATCAAGTCAAGTAAGTGTAACCAACCCCACCCCTCCCCCGCCACATCCACTTCTTTGTGTCATAATGATTTTTTCAGAGTGAAACAAAAGCCACATAAATTTGCTAGCATAATGCATTTTTTTTTGGTTTCCTTTTGTGACTCATTGAGAGTGTTGCTTTTATTTTTAAACATTTTGCTTTGTCCCAATATTTTTTTTATCTTTTCGTATTTCTTTTAGTCTGTCAGACGCAAATTTCACAATTGCACGATGCGAGTGCGGTGCTCATACGGTTTATACTATTCCGTTTGCCGAAAGTCTCAGTGTATGACATCAAATGGCTGCTGGTCGCACTCAAAATGTTGTGCGAGGGTCGCGAGAGTGTCGCCAATGGTACGGGTTGCACCCAATTCGATTACAATACCGTTGCAGCGGTGCTGAAGAGCGCCAAGCATCCCGAATCGAGCAGTAAGAGCCTGAGTAGCAGCAGCAGCAGTGCCGGCAGCAGTGGCGTCGGCACCGACAAAGACTCGCCCAAATCGGAGATAAAACGTTCGCGTTCCGATCTATCAACGGTCATATTGCAACAGTTACTGGCTCCCCTAGAGCCAGGCAAAATGACATGGGTGCCATTGAGCGAGGAGATTAGTGATTGCACCGTAAGTGAAATCCATCGAAACCAATTTATATTGATTATTACATATTATAAATCTCTCGTCAACAGGAGCAACTGCTTGCGGCCAATGTGGAGTACTTTCAGGAGCAGAACGGCGTCGATACGCTGCTCGATGTGGGCGTTGGTTTGCCCATACTGAATCGTTATCGCTCCAAATATCTGGAGACAATTGTGGGTGGCAAGGCGTTGTATTTGCCACTCACTCAAGTAGAGGCTAGCACTGTTAAATCGGCAATGGCACACATGTTAACCGATTTGTCCATTTTGGGGCAGGCACATTCACTGATTGCCCTGCAACCCTTGACACCGAGTCGCATCGAGAAGCTATCGATGTGCGGCATTTCGGCACTATACAATGCGGTGCTGACTTCCATAGCGGCCAGTGTGCTGAGCATGTGCCAGGTCAGCAGTGGCTCGCAGAAGCAGCAACAACAGCAGCCGTCAGGTGTGGCATCAACTAGTCAGGGCACAGGCAGCATCACCGGCGGCAACAGTAATGTGCCAGCAAGCAGCAAAGATCATGATGATTTCGAGGAGCAAGCGTGCACTATTGTGAATAAGGCGTTGGAGATCTATACGAGCATTGGGGATATGTTTAAGGCCTCTGCACGTATGCATGTCTATCAGAATCATTTGTGCTACGGCTCTTGGCTGCTCATCAGTGGCATACAGGGTGCCATGGGTGCCTCTGGCAGCAGTGCAGCAACTGCTAAGCCAACGTCAACTGCAACAACAACATCGACGACGAATGCAAATGAGGCAACAGCCGCCCCCAGCACACCCATAGCGCGTGTTAATCTCTTCAAGGTACAACAGGGCTTCGGGGAGTTGAATGCAGCAATTGCTAATCACAGCATTAAGCTGCTGTCGGAGCTCATCGATGATCTAAAAATTGAAACAGCCTGCAACAACAGCTGCACAAGTGGCAATAATAATTGCCTGGACGTCGAACCGGCTCAATTTGATATACTGGAGAATTATAGTGCATTGCAGCGGATTGTTCGTGTCCTGAATACGGCGACACTGCATCAATTGTTCACGTTCCTGGCAACTGTGGCCTATCGCAAGGCGTGCACTCTGAAACGTGCCAATACCAAAGATCGCACCGAATGCGAACCGATTAGTTACTCGGATTCGACAACCTATTTCAATGATTCACTCTCCTGCTCCGACAATTCCGAGGAGGATGACAGTGAAAGCTATTTGGGTCACTGGTTCAAGGAGACCCTCTCCCCCGAAACGCACGATGATAATGCCAACACATGCACCCAGGAGCGCAATGGCGATCAGAAATCGGCACTTGTCCCGAAACTGGATGAACCGCATGAATATTTGGACTTGGCAGCGGATATATTTTGTTTCCTCGATCAATTCTTGGCCAATCGTCATGCGTATATGCAGCGCTATGTGAAAGCGGGTGTCAGTGATCAGCAGATGCTGCTCATGGCCAACATAATTAAGGATTTTGATCGTGACGTGATGCGCCAGGAAGGTGGCAACGCCGGCTCCGCCTCTAGTGGTGGCTCCGGTGATTGCAGCTGCTCCAATTGGCAATCGGCAATGATACGTTTCTCCGGTGCTGCTGGTCGTTATATACACAACTTGATCTCGACATCGTTGCTCTCGGAACAGCTACAATCGAATCTGTTGCAGCATTTGTCAATCTCCCCCTGGTCAACCGATACGAACAGTTGGCCGCTGCAGGTTTACCCGAGCACATTGTCGGTGCTCGTCCAAATACTGTTGCTGAAGCCCACCCAGGAAAAGGAGGCTGCCTGCCTGTCCGTTTGGCATCGTCTCATCAATACGCTCGTCGAGGGCGTCTGCTCATCATCGACTGCCAGCGACGCGGACTTTGAGGATCTAAACATTGAGCATGCCCAATTGCTGCTGTTCCTCTTCCACTCGTTGAATCTGATGCAAAAAAAATCGATACTGCTGTTGACGGCTGGCGGTGTCATTCGCTGTGCCGATGTCTGTCGCGGCATCAGTGCTGATCGCACTGTCCGCAACAGCCAAATGATGCTGCTATCGCGTCTCCTTCTCTTCCTGGAGTATCTAATGAAGCATTTGTATAATGCACCGCCCGAGCTGCTCGATCAGGTGCGCTGGAATCTGTTCAGTGTCAGCAGCATGCCCGATACGCAAAAGATCACAGATCTATTGAACAGTCGCACCAAACTCGGCTGCTTCTGTCGCCAGGACATTGAGCTTAAGTTTCGCAATTCCCCAGTCGGTGACTTGAACTCGAGTAAGTAATTATATCTGTATATTGTATAGATATATATTAATGATATTTTATGTTTTTGCAGGCATTCGACCCACTTTCTATTCGCTGGTCACTGCGGATCCGATGAAGCCGCAATGGGCTCAGGATTTCAAATTGGATGGTTTGGCATGGAATTTCATATTGTGCACGCCGGACAAGCTCAAGTATCCGTTGCTAGTGGATGCACTCATCGATATATTGGCCATTACGGATATGTCGGCTCTGTGCCGCGACAAGGACAATCTGCACAATTTATGCGCCATGCAATATTGTTTTAGCATTACGTGGAAGCTGTTGCTTGGGTTGCCGCCATCCACATCACATGTGGAGTCCTTGAAAGTGGATCGTGCACCCAATCTGCACTCTTTGCTGTGGAGCATTCGCTGTCCATTGGCCAGCTCGCATTACCTGGTTGTTAATAGTCTCATCAAGCAGGGCATGTACACCCAATACGCGGAGACGCTCTGGGCTCAGGTCGGCGATCGTACGGCCGATGTGCGCTACAGTCTCAAGCAGACAATGCTGGGCGTCGAGGCGTTCAACAAGCAACTGAACAAAGGTAGGCAAAGTCTAACAAATATATATTATATATGTATATTAATATTTCGTTTTTAGCTTCACCAAATCCACGTCTGTCCGATCTAATCCTATTCGATGCGCTGGTTGCTCACATGCAGGCCGTGGCCTGGGCCGATAAGGAGGGCTACAAGCTGCTGCGTAAGGAGAGCGACACAGACAGCATCACTTCCGAGAGTCGGGAGCGTGAGAACTCCAGTGCAGCCACAGATCCCGAGGTGTATTCCTCCAGCGAATCGATTGATGATCAGCAAACCAAACAATCGGAGGACAGCACATTGACGCCGGGGGAGTTGCTCGAGCGCACACAGCTTAGCAATGAGCTGCTGATCAAACTCATGGACTCATACAGCCTCATCTCGAATATTGTGCGCGCCCAGATGCTGAAGCAGTTGTCCAGTTCGACGCCGGAACAGGCGCTCAACCTGATTGTGCCTGTGGTGAGCGATAAGCCGGCAATTATGGTTGAGTTGCATGCAGCTTTCCTCAAACTGCTGCCCAACGAGGATAAGCAGCTGATTGCGAACGAGTGGCCCAAATGTCTGCTGGTCAACGATGATGCCTTCAACGGGAAACAACATCCCGTCGAGCCGTACACGCTGAGCGTCATCGATGCCCACATCACCGAATTGACCAAATCAACGACCTATTCAACGCTGCACACGCTGAAGCATTGCCTGAAATCCATATTAAATCTGCTGGAACTATTGCTGCCGTTCTGCACATCCATATCGGATGTGGAGTTACAGCTGAAGCCGCTGCTTATCGCCTCCATGATGGACATGCGCACCGATTATCTGCAGAGCCAGAGTGAGCAGTGCCTCCGTGAAATACTCCACGGCTTGACGAACGAGGCCCACAAGCAGCTGCTCTTTGAGCACATGATTGAGCATTGTTATCACATGCTGATTGATTTTGCCGGAGAGTTAAAACAAACCACAACAACAACAACATCAACTGGCATTGCTACTGTTGCTGTTGCACCCGATCAGGAGCAACGTGCTCTCTTCAATGAATCCATGCTGTTTGCTGTGCTCAAGACAATGATTAAAATGTTGGATGTGCCAACAGCTGTGCAGGCGATGCGACAATTCTTCAAGGAGCAACGTGCGGGCAGCTTAACAACGTTGTTGCTTTCGTTTACGGGGACAACGCTGCCGCTGAGCTATGCCCGCAAAATGTTGCAATTTGTGGAGCGTCTGTTCGAGCAATCTGCCCAGCCCGATGCACAGTTTCAGCATGAGGAGCTGGTCGATTGTTTTTCGGAGCTGGCCATCGTGGATGTGGCACGTTTAAAACTTTGGCTGGCGCACATTATCTACGGTCCGAATGTGGTTGCCACAAATAATAGTAGCTGTGAAGCTTCGTGCAAACTGCTCACCAGCATTATGCAGCCGTCGAGCAGCTCCAGCAGTAATGCACAGACACCAACGAACATGGCCACTGTCTCTGCTATGCCGAGTATATCGGATCAATTAGATGCCATGGATATTGATTATGATTGTGCGGGCGCTGGTGCTGGCAATGCCAATGCAACGAATGCAGCCGCCAAATGTTTGAGTCTGTGGCAGGGCAACAATCAGGCCAACAATCAATCGGAGGATTCTTCGCAGGCCTGCGATCAGCCCAGCGCCAGTTCGCATCCACGCAATGGCGCCTTGCTGCTCAGCTTTGTCAAGTCGCTGGTGCGTGAGCAGCCGGCAGCGGCACAGCTGGCACCGCCACTCTTCCAGGCCCTGTTGCAGCTGGGCCAGACGCTGATAACGCCGCCACAGGATGGCTGTGATTTTGCGGATGTGTTGCAGATAATGATAACGCTGGCGGATGCGGCCCCGGCACGTGGTCACGTGGCGTTGTTCAATACAACACTGCTGTGGCTGGAGTTGGCCAAGCTGCAGTTGCCGTACAAGCAGCTGCGACACGCCGAAAATGTGAGCGCCCTGCTCCGGTATCTCAGCGAGCTGCTGCAGGCCATCGGTTATCGGGGCAGTCGACAACATATGCCGCCCTGGGATGATGAGCTGCAGTCGGACATCGACGAGCTGTACGATGAGCTGCAGGATGAGCAGCAGCAGGAGCAGGACTCATTGCTCGATGACTCCGATGAGGATACGCTGAACAACAAGCTGTGCACCTTCTCGCAGACCCAAAAGGAGTTCATGAATCAGCATTGGTATCACTGTCACACCTGCAACATGATCAACACCGTCGGCGTTTGTTCCGTCTGCGCCCGCGTCTGTCACAAGGGACACGACGTCAGCTATGCCAAGTATGGCAATTTCTTTTGCGATTGCGGCGCCAAAGAGGATGGCTCCTGCCAAGCGCTGAGCCGCCGTCTGCCCACCAACGGTTGCGATTCACGGGACGGCTATGTCTCGGCTCATATGAGTCTGCTGGCCGCTGGCAGCAAGAAGCGTCAGTCGCCGCCAAACACACAGCTGCGCAAGGATTCGCTGAGCAATGAACGCATTGCGTTGCTCGGCAAACTGCTCGAGCCGCATCGTGAGGCACTGCAGCATGCAGACCAATGGCAGCTCGTCGTTCGCTGCATTCTCGAGTATTTCGATGTGTTGTTGCCGTCGATACGCGAAAACTGCACCCTCTACTCGATTGTGGGATGTCACAAGCGTGCCACCGTCGCGCTGGAGCGACTGCATCAACTGGATCAGAGCTTTGAGGTGCGTATTTTGGCATTACTTTTTATACTATGATACCGAAGGTACAAGCTTGTATTGCTGTTGTGCAAAGTGTCCACTAGGAAGCAACAAAATCGATAAAACCACAAATCTCCTACAATTGTAAAGATAGAGTCACCAAACTTGGAAGTTAGATTGCTGATAAGCTCATTTAAGGATCGGCTTATACATTATCCTACTACGTTCTCTCTTTGTCTAGTTGTCCCCCAATTTAAGAGCTAAGTTTACCAAACTTGAAAGTTAATTTACCATTACCACATTATTCCAAGATTGATAATCAAGAAAATCCTATTGTTTGCTACCTATTATTAGCTGGCATTACTTATTAGTATTTTGCTGTTGGTTACGTTCGATTCTCTACAAAAATTGTTTGTCTTTCAGGTGACGGATCAGCTGATGTTTGCCACGCTTGGCTCCCAGGAGGGCGCCTTTGAGAATGTGCGCATGAACTACTCGGGCGATCAAGGCCAGACAATCAAGCATCTAATCTCGTCGGGCGTGGTGCGTCGCGTCGCCTTCTGTTGCCTGTCATCGCCGCATGGCAGGCGCCAGCAGCTGGCCGTGTCCCATGAGAAGGGCAAGGTGACCATACTGCAGCTGTCGGCGCTGCTCAAACAGGCGGATGCCTCCAAGCGCAAACTGACGTTGACCCAGTTGAGTTCGGTGCCAATTGCATACACTGTACTCTCGCTGGCCGCGAATCCGTGCAATGAGGATTGCTTGGCCGTCTGTGGCTTGAAGGAGTGCCATGTGCTGACCTTCTCCAGCAGTGGCAGCACAAATGAACACATTGTCGTCACTCCCCAGCTGGACAATGGCAATTACATCAAGAAGGCTGTGTGGCTCCCAGGTTCGCAGACGTTGCTCGCCTTGGTCACCTCGGATTACGTGAAGATCTATGATCTCGCCGTGGACACGTATAGTCCAAAATATTATTATCTGGTGGCCGTGGGAAAGATACGTGATTGCACATTTATGTATCAGGAGGATGCATATTATATGCTCACCTTTGCCAGTAGTGGGTATATCTATTATCAGACGCTCGACGAACAAAGTCTGGCGATACACGGTGACTTTTATGTGACGAATACGCTCGAGCTGAGCCATCATCATATCAAGGATGTGAATGGTCAGGTGGGCGGCGGTGGTGTCTCCATTTACTACTCCCATGCACTGCAGCTGCTGTTCTACAGTTATGCATCGGGTCGCAGTTTCTTCTCGTCGCTGACCAACGTGAATCAGGGTGTGAAAGGCATTTATCATCTGGACACCAGTTCGGCGGTGAGCAAATCCAAGGAGGGACCTCTCCAGCCACTAGTACAATGGACCGAAGTCGCTGGCCATCCGGGTCTAATCTATGCCAATATGCAGACATCGAATAATCCCATAATATTGATGCTGACACCGGAATTGATTTTCATGCAGGAGATCAAGGCACAGTCGGCCAAGTCACGCATCATGGACGTGGTGGGCATACGGCATTCAGTTGCCGGCACCGAGAAGACAACGCTGCTGCTACTCTGCGAGGATGGCAGTTTGCGTATATTCTCCGCCCAGCCGGAACACACCAGTTTCTGGCTATCGCCACGCGTTCAACCGCTGGGCAATCAATTGTACTCGGCCACATTGCTGGCGAAGAGTGGCAGCAGTGCCTCCGTCAGTCCCAAGTCGTTGAGTAAGCCCAACAAGCTGCCACGCAAAGCGGCCGCACTGCAAAAACAACTGACATCCAATGGTCTGCCAGTGTTTCCCATCGATTTCTTCGAGCATTGCAATGTGCTGGCGGATGTAGAATTCGGTGGCAATGATCTGCTCCAGATCTATAATAAACAAAAGCTGAAGACACGTCTCTTTTCCACGGGCATGTTTGTGGCGAGCACACGCGCCAATGGCTTCACCCTGGAGGTGCTCAACAATGATCCGAATGTCGTCATGGTTGGCATACGCGTGCTGCTCGGCACACAGGATACGCAGCGTGCTCCCCAATCCGTTAGCATATTGGGACGCACAATTCCAACGCCAGTGCGACGTGCTCGCTGGTTCGATATACCCCTAACCCGTGACGAGATGCTCCAGTCGGATAAGTTGCTCAAGGTGTGCTTTGCCAAATCACAGGATCCGGAGAATGTAACGCTGCTCGACTGCATCGAAGTGTATGGCAAGTCGAAGGAGCTTGTCGGTTGGCCCGATGACAGCGAGGAGTTGCCCACGTCAGCAAACGTGGCCAATGCAGCCACAGCAACTGTTTCCCCGGCAAGTGCAGCGAATTTCGGTGAGGGTTTCAATAGCATTACCCAGCTGGATCGCATGTGCACCCATCTGCTCGAGGTGCTCGATTGTGCACTGAATTTACTTGGCAATGGTGGCGCTGTCGCCGCTGCCATGCGCCAGAAGGCAGTGAAGACGGCCAGCGCTCTGCTCCTGCTGCCCACACCCAATCCCGTGCAGACGCAGGCACGTTACGTGCTGGCCACAATGTATGGCAGTCGTGGCGCCTATCATAGCTACAAGGATAGCGTTCTGCTGCAATTTGTACATGGTGAATTGCAGGCGATGCAACCGAAACTCACCCAGCTGGACACACTGCAGGACATCGATCCGGAAGCGTTTTATCGTCTCATTTTACTTGTGCGTGGCATTGCCAATGCACGTCCACAATCGCTGGCCAAGATTTGTGCCGAATGCAATTATGATATTGTGCCGGCGCTCATGGCCATGGTGCTGGAGCTGCACAAGGTGACGCCCGCGTTGGATGAGCCCACAAACATTGTGCGTCGCGGCCTGTGCCAGACCGAAACGATTGTCCATTGTCTGGTGGAGATTATGTATGGCTTTGCCTTGGCCGATGCCAGCCAAGTGGGCCGCATGACCAAGTACTTTATTGAGCTGCTCAAGCATGACGCCAGCGTGATTAGTCATAGCGCCAAGGAGGCCCTCATCCTTCTGCTCAGTCCGCGCATCAAGCGGCACAAGGTGGCCATCGTGACCACACCGCCCGCATGCTCCACGCCCACCCCATCCACATCGGCCATCAACACGAGCAATTTGAGTGCACTCCAGGGTGCTGCTTCACAGGCCGCCAGCGATATTATTGAGGAGGCTGCTGCAGCAGCGGTTGATGCAGCCGCCGCTGGTGTTGGTGTTGGTGCCGGTGGCGCTGACGCACTGCTCGAAGCGGAGGCAGGCGTAAATCAGGCGCAGCAGCAACTGCTGAATCTGGAAGCGTTCATGGGTGGCGGCTTTCCACGGCTGCTCGGCCTGCCCGAGGATGCAGATGATGAGGCCATCATGGATATTGCCATTGCGCTCAGTCTGCAGCAGCATAGCGGAGATGCAAATGCACTGCAATCCCTGCAACAAGGATTGGCCAATTTACAGGGTATACGTATGGCTGCAGCTGCCACTGCTAATAATGCGGCTGTAAGTGGCGGCGATGCGACCGGCTCCGATGATGATGAGGGATCCAATGTGGCCACAGATGGCTCAACGCTGCGCACTTCACCCGCTGAACAGGCGGGCAGCGGTGGCTCCGAGAGCGGTGGCAGCGGTGTCGAGAGTATTGGTGGCACCTCCGCCCGCAGCAGCAATTTCGGTGATCATGCAAATGCCTCACCGCCCCGTCAGAGCAAGGATCAGGAACAGGAACAGGAGCAGCCGGGCACGAGCAGCAGCTGTGTCGCTGCGCTCAGCGCAATGAGCAGCACCGAGGACATTGAGATCAATGAGGATGAGAAGCTGAGCAAACTGCACGATCTGAGGTAAGAAATAGTACAAAGTCCCACAATATATCCAAACTAATCTGTCTGTGTCACCATTTGCAGAATTGCCGTGCTGGAGAGCATCATTGCGCATCTGGACACATTTGATCTGTGCAACGGCTTGCAAGCTATACCCCTGATTCAGGTCATACTAATGCTGACCACCGATCTAAATGGCAACAATGAACGGGATCAGGAAGTGCTCCAAGAACTGCTCGCCGCTCTAGTCGAATATGTGGAGATTGGTCAACGTGGCGCAGCTGCCAGGGTAAACAGCAATTCATCTTCTGATCACTTGCAATTTTTACATATTTCTAATCATATACATATTTTTCAGATGGAAAACAAGTGCCCCATCAATGAGGTGCGCCTGGCACTGCTCTCCCTGTTTGGCGTTATGATGGGCAAGACCAAGTCAAAGCAGACTGGCACCACATCGCCACCGCATCAGTTCAAGGACAACAGCTCGTTTGTGGCCAGCACCACGGCGAATGTGCTGAGCAAGTGTGGCGCCTTTGTCTATGCATTGGAGTCGCTCAACATGCTGCTCGTCCACTGGAAGCAAGTGCTTGGCGATCCCTACGCTGCTGGCGGCACTGGCGGCGTCCAGCCATCCAATGTGGCCGGCAACGGAACAGCAGATCAACTCCTAAAACCTATCAAGCATGGCCCTAAACCGGATATATCGATACTGATACCGCATAACTATTTGAAAAACTATCCGGATATTTTTGAATCGTATGACGGCCTGCTCACCGAGATCATTGTGCGTCTACCGTATCAGATTTTGCGGCTGAGCAGCGCTCACCCGGACAACTATGACAGTGGCTTCTGTGAGGCGATGACCTTCACCCTGTGCGAGTACATGATGCTCAATCTGAATGCGCTGCTGCGGCGCCAGGTGCGCAAGCTGCTCATGTACATCTGCGGCAGCAAGGAGAAGTTCCGCATGTATCGTGACGGGCATTCACTGGACGCACACTTCCGCGTCGTCAAGCGTGTCTGCAGCATTGTCAGCACCAAGGTAAGCAATGAGCAACCCAACTCTTCTTATTGATTATTAATTATTATAAATATGATTGTGATTACGTTTAGAGCGGCGCTCCTTACAATTCAAATCCGCCAATGCTGAGCTACGATGCGCTCGTAGAGCTCACTGAGCATCTGCGCACCTGCCAGGAGATCAGCCAGATGCGCACGGGCAATTGGCAAAAGTTCTGTGTGGTGCACGAGGATGCGTTGGCCATGCTAATGGAGATTGCCTGCTATCAGCTGGACGATGGTGTCTCACCCATCATTATACAGCTGCTGCAGGCGGCTGTTTGCAATTTGCCACAGCCCATTTCGGGGGGTCTCAAGCAGCAGCAGCAGCAACTGCCGCAAGCCTCGTCGAGCAGCAAAATGCGCAGCGAGCGCGAGAAGAGCGAGGATACGGATACCGCATACTACTCCAAATTTGATCCGGCACAGTGCAGCACATTTGTGCATCAGATCTTTCGGTATGCGAGCGATGCGCTCATCATACGCTTCGTGCGCATCTTTCTGCTGGAGAACAATGCCAGTCAGCTGCGCTGGCAGGCGCACTCATTCATGACCGGTCTCTTCGAGCACGCCAACGAACGGCAACGCGAGAAGCTGTTGAGCATCTTCTGGAATCTGTGGCCACTGGTGCCCAGCTATGGTCGTCGCACCGCCCAATTTGTTGATCTGCTCGGCTATCTAACGCTGAGCACGCGCAGCACCACCGATCGTCTGCCCGAGTTTGTCTCGCGGGCCGTTGAAGTGCTGCGCCAGCAAAACGAGCTACTCTGCAAGCATCCCAATGCACCCATCTATACCACACTGGAGTCCATACTGCAGGTAAGTGAATTGGGTTTACAATAATATGCAAATACCACATATATATATATATATATATATCTATCTGCAGGTTAATGGCTATTATCTGGAATCGGAACCGTGTCTGGTGTGCAACAATCCAGAGGTGCCGATGGCAAACATAAAGCTGCCCTCGGTCAAGTCCGACTCAAAGTATACGACAACCACAATGATCTACAAGCTGGTGCAGTGTCACACCATCTCCAAGCTAATCGTACGCATTGCGGATCTCAAGCGCTCCAAAATGGTGCGCACTATCAATGTTTACTACAACAATCGCAGCGTGCAAGCAGTTGTCGAACTGAAGAATCGTCCGGCACTGTGGCATAAGGCACGCACCGTCTCCCTGCAGTCGGGACAGACTGAGCTGAAGATTGACTTCCCGCTTCCGATTACTGCATGCAATCTGATGATTGAGTTCGCTGACTTCTACGAGACGGTCAGCGGCAGCAGTGAGAATTTGCAGTGTCCACGCTGCAGTGCAGCGGTGCCCGCATATCCGGGCGTTTGTGGCAATTGTGGCGAGAATGTGTTCCAATGCCACAAGTGCCGGGCCATCAACTACGACGAAAAGGATCCGTTCCTGTGCCACTCGTGCGGCTTCTGCAAATATGCCAAATTTGATTTTAGCATGTATGCACGAGTTTGTTGCGCCGTCGATCCCATTGAGTCTGCCGAGGATCGGGCCAAGACTGTCCAGCTGATACACAGCTCGCTGGAGCGTGCCGATCGCATCTACCGCCAGCTGTTGACTAATAAGCAAATGCTCGAGCTGCTCATCCAAAAGGTGGCCGAGCATCGCAGCAGCGATCGCCTCGTCGAGGATAATATGGGCAGTGTGCACAGCACCTCGCAGGTGAACAAGATCATCCAGCTGCTCGCCCAGAAGTACTGCGTCGAATCGCGCACCAGCTTCGAGGAACTCAGCAAGATTGTGCAAAAAGTCAAGGCATGCCGCAGGTGAGTTTCTTAAGTTTAATTAGTATATATCAAATATGTAACTATTCTCATTTGTATTTTCAGTGAACTGGTTGCCTACGATCGTCAGCAGCAGGATCAGCCGGCAGTTTCGAGCTCAGGTTCGGGCGCTGAGTCAAGTCTGACCACAAATCGTTGCTATGGCTGCGCCTTGGCCTCCACCGAACAGTGTCTGACGCTGTTGCGTGCCATGGCCTATAACTATGATTGTCGCGTTGGCCTCTACAGTCAGGGCCTGGTCAGCGAGCTGGCCGAGCACAATTTGCGACGTGGCACACCCCAAATCCAGGAGGAGGTGCGCAATCTTCTGGTGGTCCTGACCAAGGACAATGCCGAGGCCTGCATGCATCTGCTGCAACTGGTGACGACCCGTGTCAAGAATGCGCTTATGGGCGCCATACCCCTAATCAGTCTGGAGGCGGCTGTGCATCAGGAGATGATGCTGCTCGAAGTGTTGCTCGGTCAGGATGATGTCTGCTGGGAGTTCAAGCTGAAGGTCATCTTTGAACTGTTTATCAGCAATTGTCGGTAAGTGGTTCAACAAATTAGAACTATTACTAATCAGTTATAGACAAGTTTGCAACAGGTGCAGAAAAAAGAGATTAATAATACAAAAAGTAAATGTATTTTATGATTAAGGAAACAGAAGCAGTTCGGGCTCACTTAAGAAAATCTGAACCTTAAAATCTGTAGAAAGACCCAGCAAATATCCAAGAGAATTGCACAAATATTAGTATTTCAGTCTAAAGTAAAGAATAATAAGAATAAAAGCTAAAAGAATACATAGGCTTATAAGAAAGACTGCTGTCTTCTAATCCCCTTCTCAACTTCAATTTTCTTTACAGTTTGCCACGTGGTCCGGTTACATCGGTGCTGCATCCTTGTCTGCGCATCATGCAGAATCTCATGAGTCCTGCACTGCCAGCTAACAAAAATAACAATCTACAACAGCAGCAGCAGTCGCAATCGCAGCAGCAGCAGCAACAATCGCAACCACAATCAGCGCAGCAGCAGCAGCAGCAACAGCAGCAGCAGCAGCCATTGGGTCCGACGGAATTGTACAGCGTGAAGCTGGTCGAGGGGAATACCATCGACTATCGCGCCTGGCTCAACTCGGATCGTAATCACGAGTACAGCGCTTGGAGCAGTCGCATGCCCACCAATAAATATCAGCGTCAGGATGGCGGCAAACAACGCAACAGCAACAGCAGTGGCAAGCAACAGCAATCTGGCGATGTGCCCGCCAAGGGTGGACGGCGTGGAGATGTGCACTCCACATATTTGGCCGAGAAGTATGGTCTGCGCTGGCGTCATCTGGTGTTGGACAAGGAGAGGGTGATTAAGCCGCTGGTGTTCAATGCCAAATGGATACAGCCCTTGCTGTTCAATGCCAACTCGAGATTTGGACGCCAATTGGCGTGCTCGCTGCTCAGTGGCCTGTGCCGCACCAGCGAAAGGAAGCAGCAAGCGCTCAACATGCTCACCGACTTCCTGCGCCATGTGGGCGAGGCGGGTGAGGCGAGTGCCGAGTTCCTGACCCTCTACAGGAGTGTGGCCACAGAGACGCCTTGGCTGCAATATCTGGTGTTGCGTGGTGTGCTCGGCGAGATCTCGCAACTGTTGGCTGTGGAAATTGGTAAAATTCATCGCATGGAGGAGCATTCATTGTCCTCGGATCTATCGCTCGGCTATGCGTTGCGTCAATATGTGGAATTGCTGTGGCTATTCCTCGAGTGCCCCAACATACGACGCACGTACAAGACACGTCTCCTGGGACCCGTCCTGCAGAGCTATCTGGCGTTGCGTAGCCTGGTCGTGCAGCGCACCCGTCTCATCGATGATGCGCAGGAGAAGCTGCTCGAAATGCTCGAGGAGATGACCAGCGGCACCGAGGAGGAGACGCGTGCCTTTATGGAGATTCTCATCGATACCGTGGAGAAGACGCGCATGAATGACATTAAGACACCTGTCTTCATATTTGAGCGCCTGTACTCCATCATTCATCCGGAGGAGCATGATGAGAGCGAGTTCTATATGACGCTGGAGAAGGATCCGCAGCAGGAGGACTTCCTGCAGGGTCGCATGCTCGGCAATCCGTATCCCTCCAGCGAGGTGGGACTCGGTCCCCTAATGCGCGATGTGAAGAACAAAATCTGCACAGACTGTGAACTGATTGCACTGCTCGAGGATGACAATGGCATGGAACTGCTGGTGAACAATAAGATTATCAGTCTGGATCTGCCCGTCAAGGATGTGTACAAGAAGGTGTGGCTAGCCGAAGGTGGCGATCGAGATGCCATGCGCATTGTGTATCGCATGCGCGGTTTGCTGGGCGATGCCACCGAGGAGTTTGTGGAGACGCTGAACAACAAGAGCCAGGAGCAGGTCGATACGGAGCAACTGTATCGCATGGCCAATGTCCTGGCCGATTGCAATGGACTGCGTGTGATGCTCGAACGGATTGGCAGCCTGCAGCGCATCTCGCGACAGCGTGAACTCATCCAAGTGCTGCTCAAGCTGTTCCTCATCTGTGTGAAGGTGCGTCGCTGCCAAGAAGTGCTCTGCCGCCCCGAAATTGGCGCCATCAATACGCTGCTCAAGGTGCTGCAGATGTGCCTGCAATCCGAGAACGATTCCATACAATCGGCCGTCACCGAGCAGCTGCTCGAGATTATGGAGACCATACTCTCGAAGGCGGCCAGCGACACCCTCGACTCGTTCTTGCAGTTCTCGTTGACCTTCGGTGGTCCCGAATATGTCAGCGCTCTGATCTCGTGCACCGATTGCCCCAATGTGCGCAACAATCCATCTGTGCTGCGTCATCTCATTCGTGTCCTTGCCGCGCTCGTCTACGGCAACGAAGTCAAAATGGCGCTGCTCTGTGAACACTTTAAGGTGAGTCCACCCGCGCCAAAAATATCCTTTTGCTTCTGTTTACTAATTGTTTACTCTCTGCTTTACAGCACACCCTGGACTTTGATCGCTTTGACAATGAGCGCACCACCGAGGAGGAATTCAAGTTGGAACTGTTCTGTGTGCTAACCAATCAAATTGAGCACAATTGCATTGGTGGCACACTCAAGGATTACATTGTCAGCCTGGGCATTGTGGAGCGCGCACTTACCTATATAACGGAGCATGCGCCGTGCGTGAAACCGACACTCCTCCGCACCGACTCCGATGAACTGAAGGAGTTCATTTCGCGACCGAGCTTGAAGTACATTTTGCGCTTCCTCACCGGTTTGGCCAATTATCATGAGGCCACCCAGCTGGCCATTAGCAAGGATATAATACCGATTATACACAGGCTGGAGCAGGTATCCAGCGATGAGCATGTCGGCAGTCTGGCCGAGAATCTGCTCGAGGCACTCAGCACAGATGCGGCGACAGCATCTCGGGTCCAGCAGGTGCGCGACTTTACGCGCGCCGAAAAGAAACGCCTGGCGATGGCGACGCGTGAGAAGCAACTGGACGCACTGGGCATGCGCACCAACGAGAAGGGACAAGTGACAGCCAAGGGCTCCATACTGCAAAAGATCGAGAAACTGCGCGACGAGACGGGCCTCACCTGTTTCATTTGCCGCGAGGGCTACGCCTGCCAACCGGAGAAGGTGCTCGGCATCTATACGTTCACCAAGCGCTGCAATGTCGAGGAATTTGAGTTGAAGTCACGCAAAACGATTGGCTACACCACCGTCACCCACTTTAATGTGGTGCACGTCGAATGTCACACATCCGCCATACGCCTGACGCGTGGTCGCGACGAATGGGAACGCGCCAGCCTGCAGAACGCGAATACCCGTTGCAATGGTCTCTTACCCCTCTGGGGCCCCGCTGTTGGTGAGGCTGCCTTCTCCGGCTGCATGACCCGACACAGCAGCTACATGCAGGAGAGCACTCAGCGCTGCGACATCTCGTATACGAGCAGTGTGCACGATCTGAAACTGTTGCTGGTTCGTTTCGCCTGGGAGCGTAGCTTCCACGATGATGCCGGCGGCGGTGGTCCACAATCCAATATGCACTTTGTGCCCTACCTGCTCTTCTATGCGGTCTATTTGCTGCTCTCGTCACGCTCCGCCGCACGGGATAGCAAAACACTGCTCAACTATCTGACGGCAGCGCCGTCGGACAAATGGCTCGAATGTGGCTACGAGGTGGATGGACCACTGTACATGCTAACCATATCGCTGTCGCTGCACAGTCGCGAGCTGTGGAACAAGCATAAGTTGGCGCATTTGAAGCGTCTGCTGGCGGTGGCACAGGCGCGTCACGTCTCCCCCTCGGTGCTGTGCAAGGCGCTGCTGTCTCCGGCGGATCGTCAGACCAAGGAGTATGGCGTTTATAAGCCGTTCCTTATGATGTGGTCACTGGTCGATTTGATCTACAATTCGCTGTTCAAGACGGTCAGCACGCCCAAGGAGGAGGATTGGCCAGCTTCACTATTTGAATTTATACGCAAGAATGATGAGGTGATGCTCAAGTCGACGGATAACATCCTGCAAACGTTGACCGATGAGTTTTTGCCGTGCACCTCATTCGCCGAGTTCTGCGATGTGGCTGGTGAGTTTAGTCTTTCTTTTCGATCTATTTTCTGTGATTTTAATAATCTTTCCTTTCAACAGGCTTGCTAAATCAGATCGAGCAACCGGATAGCTTCATTGACGACGTACTCGCCGCGTTGCCCAGCACTACATCAAGCTCTAGTTAATTTCATGGCAGAAGATTTCATCATATTTAACAATGGAATACACAGACACACACGTAACTAAACATTAACCAGCGATCGCTGTAGTTCGCTTATAAGCGTATTAATATACTTATATACATATATATATATTTATCACCGTAACTGTTTAATCAATAAAATTATTCGTTTGCACAATGACGGCATTGTTTTATTATGATTCTGTTGAAATTCCAGCTGATCTACCAGGCGGACAGCATTTGCAGCTGCACTCAGCGTGCTAATCCAACGCACTCAAATTAACCAAACTTTGACTGGAATGTTTGAGCTCGATTTGACTGCAAGCTCAGCTCTTAACTCAACTTGAAGGTCGGCTCTCAAATGTGCTCAACTAGCAAATCACTCGGCTGCCGATTCTGTTCGCCTGGTATTTTATAAAATTAGCCGGCGGCATTTGTCGCTTCCAGGTCATGGCAAATATAATTTGCCTTCTCCGGAAGATCATGGAATTTTCAATGAGATTTCTAGAGATTTCTAAATTTCTACCAGGCGAACACAATCAACATCTGAATGATGCTGCATTTATTTTCGGTTGAGTAGCACTCGAACCAATAATCTTTGAGTGGAATGTTTGAGTTTGACTCAGCTGCGAGTTCAGCTTTGAGCTTATTTCGGAATTGATCTCAAATGTGACCTTCACTCAGCACCCTTGGGAGGAATAGAATGAGTAAAAATTGGAGAGTTACCATTTTTATTAACACCAGCTATTTTATTTATATGAGTTATCATTTATTGAAACACGAAATTCGAAAAATTATCAAATAAATACAAAATAATAAACATAATAATTGTACATATATATTGCAAATTTGGGGACGTACATAAGTTGAAAAAATATCATCAGTATATAATTACAAATTTCAGTTCTAGTATAAATTTTGCTAATTTTATTAATTCACAAAGAAGTATACCTAATAACATAATAAATACAGAGAATGTACAAAAAATTAAAGAAAGAAAAAAAACATTTATTACAACCTTTTATTTTTTATTTTTTGAGGGATTTTTGTGAGTATGTTTAGTGTAGTGTAGAACGTGAAATAAAAGAATCACTGAGATTTATGTTTTTGTTCAATAGTTGCTCATTGTTGTTGTTCTTGTTGTGTGTGTTATTGTGTAAGTGTAAACATAACAAGTGTTTAGATAGTGTATAGTAGAGAGCGTATATGGATAGTCAGTAAATACATAGTTTGCGATTTGTTCCGTTTTCATCTTAAATTAGTAGGTACATAGGTGCAGAGTGCGAGAGCTTTCATAGTATTAACTAAATTGAGCAAATGCTAACCATCAACCGATAGAGAGAGAGAGAGGGACGAATACATAAACAATTATCATCATAAAACTCTTTTATACAGAAAATCAGATTCGTTAATAATAAGACCTTAAACCATATACAAAAAAAAATGTATACATATAATAATATATATTGAGAGATTCGATTTCGATTTCGTATTCGCTATTTGTTTGTTTCACCAAAATGGAAAATGGGCGGGGCTCAATGACACATTTAGTAGTAGTAAATACATGCACATATAATACGTATTTGTTGCTGTTGCTTTTTCTATAAATGTAAATATATATTTATATTTATATTTATTTTTATATATATTGTAGTTAGCTTTGTTTGCTATGGCTTCTAAAAAGTTGATGTGCGCTCATCCCGAAATGCACCACAAAAGTTTTCCTGTAAAATTGACAATACACATAGTATTACTTATATCTTAAGCTTAACACATAGATCAAATTCCATTTAGTTGTTCATTTTGTTGTTTTTTTTTTGGTATACTCTATTACCAAAGGGTTAATAGAGTATATTTTGTTTTTGTTTTTATGTTCCTCTTTCGTTTCGAATAGTTATGCGAAAGTTAACTTTCAGTATTCTCTGCCTGCTGCACACAAAATATGTCTTTTTAGTTTTCAGATCTTCTCTTTATAGATAGCATTATAAAGTATTATGTTTCGTTAACTAAAAGTTATATACAAAAATTGCCTAAATTATGTATACCTGCCACGTGCGTACGTATATATGTATGTATATATAGAGTAGTCGCTGGAAAATTGGGTCTATCAGAAATAAGAAATGTTCATTAATTGGAATTTAATCTAAAATTGCTACACATTGAAAACAAAATGTATCTTATAAAATTATTCAGTTTTAAATACAATATATTACAATCATGAAAATTCTCTTTTTTTTTATATAAGGAAAAAAAGAATTTGAAGGAATCAAAATTATGTGAATACTATTAACTGGAATCGAATCGAAAAAGTCTTTAAAAGCAGAGTTATAAATCTGAGAAATGCATTCAAGCGAAAATTGTTATTGTTTCCTATTTTGAACATTTTTAAGACTTTCAACAAATCGGTCTTAAGAAGCACTAACTTTAAAATAAAGTGTATATATCTATTACAACCATATAATTTTTGTAACTAGAATCGATCACGATTCAATGGAATCAACTCATTTCAATTTAGCAAGCGACAACTTTACACAACCTGTCTATATACACAAATACATAGTACAACACTATATAAATCTATAATTTACTAGTTTGCTGCACATCATATTGCTAAGAGAGAGCGCGGGGAATGGGGTCGAGGGCGGGTTGAGGGGTTTAGAGGATTTAGTATATTATATAGTAAACACTGGCTAACACTTACAGCTTTTGCTTTTTGTTCTAGTTATTTGTTTGTTTTACGGCGCTGGCTGAATGGCCTGATTAGCCGGATTGGCCGGATTAGGATGATGATGGTTCCGCTGCTGACGCATATAGTGTCGCGAATTGATCGGATATTGACGCGGATACGATATCAATGTGGAGCCGAGCGCAATGCTTGTCGGCGCCTTCGAGCGCCCGGGCAGGCTGACAAATACGGTGGCCACAGCGGCCAGATTATCGCTAGTTGGCTCAATGGCCACAAGCATGATCTCCGTGGACTGGCCATGACGAGGCCGACTATGACTGTGGCTCCTGTGCCGTGTCCTTGTGTTGCCTTGTGTGGCATGCCCCGAACGAGTGTTGTTGCTACAGTTGTTGTTATTGTTGTTGCTGCTGCCGGCTGCGGCTGCGCCTGTTCCTGCACTGTTGCTGATGTGGCGAGCTGAGGTTTGTGTGTGTGTCGAGTTGTGCGTGGAGGTGTAGGTGGAGACATGTGTCACGGACGAGGATGGGGCAGAGGAGGCCGCCAACTGTATGGGTTGGCTGTGCACCTGCGTCTCAACCTGGATCTGATGATTGGATTGCTGCTGTTGCTGTTGCTGCTGCTGTTGGAGGAGCAGCGCTTGACGGGCACGATGACGCATTGCTCGGGCCGAGGAGGATGCCGAAGTTGCTGGCGGACTGTTGTCCGCATCGAGACTGTTCGAGGCGAGAAAGATTTGAGCAAATGGACGCTTGGCCAGATGCAACATTTCGACGACATGCTGGCGACGAGCACGTCGCAAGTCGGATGCCTGCTTCACCTTCCAAACGATGACGCACAGGGCGAGGAACAGGAAAAAGCACGAGAAGAACACCGAGAAGAAGACGAACAGATCGATGTGCAGCTGATCCTGACGAAACACAACCGAGCCATAGCTCGACTCCGGCCCAGAACTGGCGCGCAGTGCAATAAAGAAACGCGTGGCGCTCAAATTGTGGGCATGCTGCGGCAGCGTGAGTACCAAACGATTCTTCAGCCCAAAGAGACGGAGCAGCGTGTTGCACTGATTGAGCGTCACATGGGTGCTCAGATCCTTGGCATACTGATCCTGGACGACGAAACTATGCCCGCCATGACTCCGGCAATCGTGCAACTGTGGCACATAGAAACTGTTGCTACCCGCACCGCTGCCGTGCGGCAATGAGCCCGTGCGTCGATCCGGCTGAAAGAGCTTCTGCAGCGTCACATTGTCGTGGCGGGGCAGGGCAACATTTAGCGGATGCTCTCGCTTCATTTTGGGTCCCCAATTGTAGCGATTGTCGAGGAAGATCTCGTGGTAGCCCGTCGTCTGATTCGGTTCCACAATAAACGAGTCATCCTGCGGCGACATAAACACATCCAACTCCCCCTTTGTCACATCGATAATGATGCGGATGTCCACATTCATGAATCTCGGCTGGATGACAAAGAATACAGTCTGACCCGGCTTCAGCGCCGCCGGCTTCGATTTGCATTCCTCTGAAAGCGAAAGAAACAGAGACATCTATTAGAGATTGTGCCTCTGGAGAAGTAGGTGGATGCTGAACTCACCAATGGGTTTGGCATCGAAGCACATGCGCGACTCGACGGTGATTTGCTTGTAGCACTGATGTCCATCGGTGGGATTACCCGCATACGAGTCGCGACACTTGGAACACTGAACGCTCCAGCAGAGCTGTGCGGAATTCTTGCCACCGCCCGCTGTGCAGGTGGCATCGCTCTCCGTGTTATTGGCACAATTGCACTTCTCGCCGGTGACGGCATCGCAGATATTGCCATGGCCATGACACTGACACGGCCGGCACTGGCGCTGCAGATCCTCGCTGCCCCTAAAATAGCCCAGCAGGCAGCTATCGCAACGATCGCCAGCCGTGTGATTTGCACAGCGCAAACAGGTCGCATTATGCGACGGACCCTCGGGCAGAATGCGCTCCAAATCCGAACGGGTCATATTGAAGACAGCCGGATCTGCATCGTAGTCCACACAGGAATCCGAATGGCCATGACAATACTCGAGACACGGCTGGCAGGCATGTCCCTCACGGGGATTACCCACAAAGAGGGGTTGACACTTCTCGCACTGTTCGCCCATCGTATTGTTGTGGCACTCCAGACAGATGTCCAGGCGATGGCTCGACTCACAATTGGAGTGACCGTTGCAAAGGCACTGAATGCTACAGTTCTCGCCGACATAGCCAAAATCACATTTGCACTCATTGGGCCGGGTACAGCTGCCACGGACGCAGCCCTGCTGGCAGACGGGAACACAGCCATGGGCATCTCCACGATAGCCCAAAGCACAGACGCATTTGTAGCCGGGTGTGTTGGTGTCCAGATCGATGCACTGCTCGGAGATGGCATCACAATTGTGATGACCGTTCTCGCACTCATTCTCCGCCGGACACTGGACATAGTGCCAGCTGACAACGTCCGCATGGGTCAGCTGGGAATCGTTGCGCCAACTGCTGTAGATGAGATCACAGGTCGAGCCCGACGGATGCTCCTGTCGATGCTCCAGAGCGCCCTCCGTACAAATACCATCGCCATTGAAGCCCTCACGAGCACACCAACCACAATGGGCATGCTCCAAGCAGCTCGAACACTGTGTATACACATGACACGGTTCCGGGCAACGTTTCAGCTCACTGGAGATGAGCACCAGACCACAAACGCCGCCGGCACAAAGCAAGGGTTGGGCACTGGGCGACACGCATTCGTTCAACATGGTCGACCACTTGCAATCCGTTGAGATGTCATCCTGCCCGGACAGCAGACAACTGCTACAATTGGTGTGCGTGTGACACGCAGCCGGACATTGCTCGACCACACGATAGGCATTCTTCATCACAAGATCCCTCGCTATGCACTCCACATGCCCCAAATCGTTGTGTGCCCAATAGCATTCATCTTTACGCAGCATGCAAGCCTCGCAGCCCAAATGATGACAACGCGGCAGCGGGCAATTATTGAGCCCGCCAACGTTCAGCTCCCTGGGGCAGCTCCATGCAGTGCCGCGTATACAATCGACACCAGCTGGACCACATTTCTGAAGAATGCCGCACTCATCGCACCACTGGCAAACCGGTGTCGCCTCTGGGTGGATGGGCCATGAGGCCAGACATTCGCTGCAGGTCCAAAAATTGTTGCAATCGCGTTTCGCCAGCCACTGATCATTGCAGGCGGGTCCATTATTGATGATGAGCGTGCCATTCTGATTGAGACACGGCGTCCGACCCTGGGTGTAGCAAGTGGAGGTGTTCTTGTACGTCGATTGCACGGTGCAATAGCTGCAACCCATGTAATGCCGGCAAATGGACTTGCCACCACTCCACAGACGACAAATGTCATCGGGCAGATTAATGCGCGTCACATGCGATTGGGTTGCGCTGCCATCCCAGCCACCAATGACATAGATGGCACCCGTATCCGGATCGATGGTCATGTCCTCGGCATAACTGGCCACTGGCACTCGGCCAATCAGTGTCACATCGTCCGTTAGACGCACCCACTGATTGCAGGCATAGACATAGGCAATGAGCACATCGGTGGCATTAAACGGACTCGTCCGTCCACCGTAGACAACCATATAGGATTCCGTGGTGACTGCAGAGTGAAAGTAACGGGCACGTGGCAATTTTGATGACGGTGCATTGAGCTCGTTAAATGTGGGCAACTCGCTCCAGCTGAGCTTGTTCAGATCCAAGGCGTAGAGAATGTTTCGTGCCTTGCCCGCGTAGCCGCCAAAGACATAAACGCTATGCGTCTCCATATGATAGACGGCACTGTGACCGTACAGCATAGACGGTAGACGGGCGCCCATTGCGGCCAATTGTTGCCAACGGCCGGTGTCCACATTGAATTCCCACAGTTCCAGCGAACGAGACTTATTCAATGTCAAACCACCGATGAGGAGCAGCGAGTCACGTTCCTGATAGCGCACGTGCGTCAATGTGTGTCCGGCCAGTGCTGGTGGGGATTCCTGCACTCGCTGTTGCTCCCGCTCCTGCTCCGGCTGCTGCTGTTCCTGTTCCTGCTCCTGTTCCTCTTCCGGCTGCTCCTGCTGCTCTTGCTGCTCCTTCTGCTTGCCTTCGTCCACTTCGATCAGACTCCAGCGCTGGTTTTGTATGGAGAACTGCCAAAAGTCCTGGAGCAGACGTGAGCTGGCGCCAATGCCGCCATAGATATAAATAATCTGTCGCTTCACATGAATCTCGGCCGCATGAAAGTAGCGACCCAATGGCATGCGATCCTCCGGCGTGGACGATTCTACCGTCACCTGCAGCCAGGTGGCATTCTTCGTATCGAATTGCCGGAAATCGTTCAAGGCTCCATGACTCGGCGAATAGCCGCCAAACATCCACAACGAGCCGCGTCGATCCGCATTCACCGAGTGCCCAAAACGCGGTATAGTCTTCCGCAGATGCTCCATGGATTCGCTGAGCAATTGGGTGTTGAACAGCTCCGTCATGACCAAATGATGTGGTTCCACCAAGGTGCCACAATCGGCGCCGGCAAAGTTGGGACTACTGCAAATGCAACGACCGTATTCCGTATCGCAATATCCCTGGGCATTTTTGGCATTGCAATTACTGGGACAGATTTCCATCTCGCAGCGAGCACCCACATAGCCGGCGGGGCAGACGCAACGCTGCAGTGCATCACAGACGTGCGGATGCAGACAGCTGCCGGCCACACAATTCTTCACCGAGTACAGCGCATTGAAGCCAAAGTTGCGTCGCTCGCTGCCCTGTTTATAGTACACAGTCACGTGGCTGGAACGTGCCTCGATGATCCTCGCCGAGCTATACGGCTTACAGACGACGGCCAGTAACTGGTTCTGTTGTGCAGCGCCCGTCAGATCCGGCAGACTGTCATAGATATACACGGCGTTCTCATCACAATCCATGGTCAGGTTATTCCATTGGAATTCCAGCTGGAGCAGAGATTTATCCGCTTGCAACGTCTTCGGCTGCAGGATCCACAAGCATTCACGCACCTTGAGACTGGCGCCCCAAGGCGAACGATACGATTGATACGAGCCAATGGCACTGCGTCCAATGCTGGTGAGGATGCCACGAGACTCACACTGATAATAGCACTGACCTCCATCGCGGGGATCGCCATAGAAGCCCGGCTCACACAAATCGCACTTGGATCCCTCCGTATTGTCCTTGCAAAAGCATTCGCCGTGATGCACATTACAAATGCCCTGCGCGAGGAGTAGAAAGGAAAGCAGTGCATTAGTTAAACTAGTAAATTATTATTATTATTATTGGGATTGATGATTGATTGATGCGACCTACCAGATCTATTGTGCCCCCTTTCTATCTATATATCAATTGAAAATTGTCATTGCTTACCAGATCCTGATTGCCGTGGCCGTTGCACTCACAGGGATGACAGCCAATGGTGGCCGTCGCATTGCCATAGCTGCCCTGGCGACATTTCTCGCAACGTTCGCCCTCCGTCCACGATTGGCACTGGTCGCACTTGCCCAGCCGCTCGATGCAGGTGGAATGATTGTTGCATCCGCAGCTGATGCCACAATCGCTGCCCGTCCAACCCAGATCACATTTGCAGCTGTAGCTCGGAGCGCCAGAGCAATAGCCATGCTGACAGAACTCATAGCAGGTGCGGACGCAACTGAAGCGTCCATCGCCAACATAGCCACGACGACAATGACAATTGTAACTGCCCTGGGTATTTGTGCACTTGGCCTCCTTGTGGCAGTCATGCAGTCCCAGGCCGCACTCATCGACATCGGGACACTGGGCATAGGCCCATTCGGCATCGTGCTGCGAGCTGCTATTCAAGGCCAGCGAACAGTTGCCAGCACTGTAGCTGAAATCGCCCTGCATGCAAATGCCCTCGATGGGATTGTCGCGATCGAAGCACCAGCCACAGCTCAAGGTGCGCAGGCAGGCGGTGCAGTTACGCAGACGTTCACACGATTTGCACTGCTGCAGCGAACGCAGCGGCGCAGGATGCATCGTTAATGTGGTTGTGGACGGAGACGAGGATCCTGGCGTTGTTGTCGCTGTTGCAATCACTGGCGTTGCGACCTTGTCGATCCATTCGCGGCACATGCCAAACTGATACTCGCTGGTGTACACAGCGAAACTGAAGCATTGAGCACTCGCCTCGCACCACACACAGCGTCCCCGTTCGCCCAAGCACTGATCACAGCCACGCCGTTCGCGACATGGTCGCGGACACTGGGCAATTGCGCGTACACTGCTATTGGATTTGCCAATGCGACCGCAGCGTGCATCGTCCAGCCACCATTCGCAATCACCATCGCCAGGTGTAGAGACGCAGGCTCGACATGTCACATAGTTGGAACAGTTGGAGCACTGTGTGGGCTGATTGATCAGATATGCCCAATGGAAGCCATCCTCCGGATCGTTGGTCGAGCAGACTGCAGTCTCATTCACAGATCGTAAATGACATTTGTTGGTCAAGGGGCACCAGGAGCAGGAAGCATCAGTCAAGCAGTGCAAACAGTTGCTGTACTGGCTGCACATCCCCGAGTAATACGGCTCCAAATACTCAAAAGTCAGTGCATTCAACTGGCCATGATGCAAGTGCTGCAACTCCATTTTCGTCTTCTGATACGTGTTGTAAATGTTATTCTGGCCAAGGCGACGACGGGCCTGGAAGATTGTTAGAAGAAAACGGAATAATCAGTTGAGTAAGAGATGAATTCTAACAACCAGTCAATCAATGAGTCAGCTAGTCTATCAAGCAGTCAGTCACTCCATCACAAATTCAATCACTTGGTCAACACTAATTCAATCACTTGGTCAACACTAATTCATCCAATCAGTCAATCAAGGAATGACCAGTTAGTTAAGTAATCAACAATCTACGCATTCAATCAAATACTCTTGCATCACTCATTCAGTATTTTATTCAGCAATCAATCAGTTAATCACTCAATCACATATCAAGCTCACCTGAAAATCGATGAGGAACGGCATATCCGTGTTATTCAGTTGTACGGTGCTGCAGTAGGATTGATTTGAGCTTTGAGTGGTCACCTCCTCGAGCTTGTCGAGATCGAAGCCGGGTCCGGCACGCAGTACGGCCGAGGAATAGCTGCTACAGACCTGTATAGCGGAGTAATTGTCACTTTTCCATTGTTTCTCCGGCCGGACATAGCCGATGAGACGAGCCAGCATCTCGCCCTGCTGCTGCTGCTCAAAGAACGCAGCTGCTGGGGGTGAGGCAAAGTCCACCATGGTGGCATTCACAATGCCCACATAGTCGGGCATCGTAAAGTTGACCGGATAGTTGTATCTAATGTAGGTCAAGCCCGGCCGTCGATCCGTGCGGGTGCACATGATGGGCTCCCGGATCTCGGTGCCCTTCTTGCCCCACCAGCCGTTGCTGTCACCGCAATTGCTGTAGGTGTCATCGCGATGATGACAACGCGCATTCTGAACACACCACGTGCACTCGTTGAGTCCCAGCTTGCTGGCCACGGAGGAGGCACCAGTTCGTCCACGCCCCCATCTGGTGCCATGCACCAGACACGCATGACAATCGCCGAGGGATGGACAAATGCCCGGACACCGGGTTGTCTGCAAATTTGTGGTGCAATTGGCGCCAATGGTGCGACCATAACAGCTGCTATCCGCCGAACACCAGCCGCACTCCGGATTCGACAAGCAGGCCGTGTGCGAGGGATGCAAACGACACGACATTTCTGGATTGTGATTATGCTGGGTGTTCTCCTCACGGAGAACCTTTGGCAACTCATATGCAAAGAGATCTGCATTCACATTGCCATGATAGCCACCGACAATGAGCAGTGTATGATTGCGACGCAATGCAGCCGCATGGGCAAAAACACCCTGATGCTTTGGGTACAGCGAATCATCGGCGGAGACAACCTGATTGATCCAGATGTGACAGCTGAGATGATACCAATACATCTGATTATCGTAGCAGATCTCGTCCTTATTATGCCGATGCGTATATCCACCAAATACAATCATATAATTTCCCGATATTGTGGCCGAATGAAATGCACGTTCTCTCGGAATATTTGTATCCCGCAGCGCAGTGCGTGGATAGAGGATCTCCGTCCAAAATTGCTGATCCAGTTGAAAGGCAAAAATGCGATCCGATAGCTTGGAGAAACGTGCCAAACTGGTCATGATGCCGCCGAAAACAATCAGCGAATTCGTTGCCGCATAGTAGACGGTGGAATGTGCTGCAAGGCGTACATCCAAAGGTTTACCACCTCGGGGACGCACCAGCTGCCACTGAGATTCCTCGCTCAGGGGCAGACGTATGCGATAAACGCTGGAGGAGAATTCACCGGACTCCACACTGCCGCCAAACAAATACAGATAATCCGCAGCCGTTGTCAGCGTGTGGCGGGCCAGCGCCGGTGGTTGAAGTTTTGATTTGATGGCCATCTGTTTCCATTTGCCGCCACTTTCAGTGTTATTGTATTGCCAGAGATCGTTGTAGAAGCTACCATTGACATGCTTGCCGCCATACAGTACAAATCCACCCGGCACACGATCCGCTGCATGTCCGTAACGACCATGTGGCTTATGATCCGTTACCTCTTCAAGTATATCCTCCAGATATTCGGTTAGTTCCTCATCCGTCGAATTGGCATTGACAGTGGTCAGCGGGAGTGAGGAGCGTGTGCGTCGCTGATGCAAATTCGATTCGGCCAGCGTGTAGAGTATGTTGCGAAAGAAGCTCACATCGCTGGTCAGACCCCAGAGCTTGGCTTCATCCTCGTTCTTGTGCTGCAGCACTGCCTTTAGCAGCGTATGATCGATTTTTTGCGGATGATAAAAGTGACGACGACTCTGCAACGGAATGCCCCACTCATCCTCCCATTGACTGGTGCTAAAGCGATATATCTGCATAAAATAAATAAAATTCAGTTAATCAAAATTTCAAATAATAATCGAGCTATTACCTGCAATGTGCTGATGACATTGTTTAGATCATAGCCGCCGAATACGTAGAGCGCATCCTCATCCTCTATGTAGATGGCGGTGTGTGCAGCCCGAGGTGTCATACCCTCGGCATCTGTGGCCAGCCAACGCCAACTGCTGCCCGGTGGATTATCGCTCAGATCGCACAATCTGCCGCTATAGCCTTTGGAGCAATGACAAATGCTCTTCTGGCACTTGCCGCGACCCTGGTGTTCGCCACATTTCTGAGGGCAGGCCTCGTCCTCACAATCGGGCCCCACCCATTCGCCATGGCAGACGCACTGGTGGCCCACACACTTGCCATGATTGTGGCAATTGTTCAGGCAATTTGATATGTAGTACGAAGCACGAAAACCATCCAGCACATAGTTTGTATCGCTGTACATCAGTATGAGCATCTGTGTAAGAAGAGAAGTTTAATTAAAACAGTGTAGAAAAAAATAAATCATTTGAAGTATAGATTTGGCTGGCAGTTTGGAATCGTCTGTAACAATTTGAAGCATTAAAGTCAATATGCGAGCTCCTGCGACAATGGCTTAATCTCAATCGGCGTCAATCAGCACTCCATTGGAACATCAATTCCGCCAGCACCAATTTGAAGCCACAACTGTTTGGACGTAAACTTCCGCTTTGGTTTGAATAAGGCAACACCATGTCGGGCTGAAGCCAGCACGATACGTTTCCTAGTCGTCTCCTTATTGACAAATGTGAAACCCATTTTAAGCCTAGCTTTTGCTGCTCTGTGGAAATGTGCAGCATTTGTAATATAAGTGGAAATTAGGTATTACTTACAGTGCCGCTGCGTGCAACGAGTTTCTGGGGTTGAGTGCGTCCGCTAAAGCTGCCAAGCAGCGTTGAATTAAATGAGTCGCCATCGTATACATATATATAGTCATAGGAGCACTCGGTGCCCATGCTATGGAATGTTAGTGTTATGAATTGACTGTCATTTTTCGCTTTGATCAGCCATTCGCAGTGCGAGTCCTGCGTGTAATTATAGCCGGAGGGTCCGTCGCTAATTTCGCCGTAGGGCTCCGTGAATACTTTGCGACTGCGATCGCATGGTACCGTTATTTGAGCGGTGGGCACCGCCTGCTCGGATTGTGACGGCAATTGTATGATGATAAACCAAAATGTCAAGGTTGCCAACAGTGCGTACATTCTTTGCATTTTAATTCCAGTCTCGCTTTTGCAGTCCAATCTCATTTTTATGCTAATTATGCGATATCACACAACTGCGACGGTCAGTGCCGTTAGTATTTATAGGGTATTATCCGGTTATAATTCGGGTTGTGCATGTCTTCCAGCCTTCGTTCATTGCACATCAATCAGTGGCGCAAGGCCGTTGTACACCAGGATCCACGACTGCCACTGAAAATTCAGAATTTTTCAGCGTTTCTGACGTGCGTATCTCCTTTTTTTTGTTTAATTTTGCTAACTAGTGGTGGGAAACTTAAGCTGATTGGCAATACATCGCCCAGTGACTTGCAGATATCGATTACAAAATATGACAGCAAATGGCAGCACTGACATTCTGTCATTCACATCGATACGTTACAATTGCACATCGCTAATTCCGTCTTTTTGGGTCTTCTTTCCTATTCAAGATGGTAGGTGTTTTGTCGAGCGATAATGAAAATCATGAAACATCCGCGTCAAATACTTTTAAAATGTAAAACAAATTTTTAAATTTCGCATACTACAACGTTGTCTGTGATGCGATGGCAATATTGAGCAGATGTGCGTGGCTTAAATGCATTTTTTCGCATTGCAATTTTGCGAGTCTGCTAAGGCGGCAAATGGAAATTAATGTGATTTGTGCAATTTATTTTTACAGGTGAATGTACCAAAACAACGTCGCACTTTCTGCAAGAAGTGCAAGGTTCACAAGCTGCACAAGGTGACCCAGTACAAGAAGTCCAAGGAGCGCAAGGGTGCTCAGGGCCGTAGGCGTTACGACAGGAAACAGCAAGGTTTCGGTGGTCAAACCAAGCCCATCTTCAGGAAGAAGGTGAGTTCGCCAATCTCTTTTCAAGTGGTAGTTGGCACCCGAGTAGAACCGAACCCTGCTGATTCAAACAGCTTTATGTCGGTGGGATTGGCGTGCAAAAGAAATGATTATTTTGAAGCTGCTTTTGGTGCGGCCTCAAAGGCAGCGGTGCTGTCCCGATATCTGGGCCCACTCAGCCTCACCGGCCCTTCATACAAACTAATTTTAAGTGGAAAAAATATGTAATATTATTGCACTTCCAGTAGAACCGAATTGTTGAGCTTTCCAACTTTTTGATGGGATAAAAAGTGCAAAAGTAAATTTAATTGTTTCTGCTTTATGGTGGCAGCGATTTGAGACGCATTTTATTTAGCGCTTAAGTCCTCACCGAGCACCTCAAACAACTGCCCCGAGTAGGATAAATGAATGTTAAAACCTTATTCCAGCCATAACCTATATACTTTTTACTAATCATTTATTTTCCTCCCCATTTCCAGGCTAAGACCACCAAGAAAATTGTGCTGCGTATGGAGTGCACCGAATGCAAGTACCGCAAGCAGACGCCCCTCAAGCGTTGCAAGCACTTCGAGCTGGGTGGCGATAAGAAGCGCAAGGGACAAATGATTCAGTTCTAAGCCAACCGCCGCCTCCATTTTTATAACTGAAGAAGTGTTTTTAAGTTGTTTTCATCGACTGCTATTGTGTTTTACAACACCAGCCCAGCCAATAACGCATTGTAAGTGTTTATTAAGGCGGGTTGTGTGTCTGTGTGCAACAAGTGGAAAATAAAACAAATTGTAGACGTAAATCTAAGCAAAATGTTTTCATTTATACAAAATTAGAGTGTATATCACAATTATTGACTGTACAACACGAATCAGGCTACTCGAGCACGCCGTCCTCCAGTATCAAATCGGGTTGGCTGCAATGCAAAGTGGGCATTTAATATAGTTGTTATTTGGGTTGCAGTGATACCAATTTCCACATCGAATTTATTTTGTGAAAATTGACAACTCTACTTGGCAGGAAGTGTTCCTACTCACTCTAGCAGCTGCGGTTCCAGCCCCTCCGATCGCATTTTTATTTTAACAGCGGGCGCTGGCACGCCCACTTGAAGCATTTTGAAGAATTTCCTGTAGCGAATGTCCTGCGAAACTTGCACGCCTTTCACCACCTCTTCTATAATTTCTGGCGTGTCAGCAATTTCCTCAGCAGTGGTTGCAACAACAATTGTACTCGATTCGGCCGTGTCTGTTTCGTTATCTATTGGAATTGATGCGAGCTTCGCTTCCAGTATGATTAATGCGGCTTCTGTTCGCTGCAACTGGCGCTCCATTTGCATAAATTTCGTTTCGCAGTTAAGCGCGAATTCATTGAGAAAAGTGCAGGTGCTGATTAGAAAATGGTTGACAAAAGCCAGTATGCGCTTTTGATTCAGCGGCGGTATTTGCGTTTTATCCACATCTCCCGTAAACTTTGCGCTGGGCTCCATTCTTATTATTATTACTACACTTAATGCGATAACAAACCCATCGAAATTCGATAACACTACATAACATTATCGGAAAGTAACCGTTTTCAGTGTTGCAAAGAGCCCAGCGAAAGATGCCCTTGCCATTTAACGAACTTTTTGTTTTTAAATATTTTATTTATTCATTTTTAATTTTATATCTTAACATGAATTGTGTGGAGTTCTTTATGATTTTTTGTTTGTTAAAGTATTATGTACGTTTTTCGATTTATTTATAAAAGTATTTATATATTTGGTTTTCTTTCAGTTAATATGCATGAATTTTCTTTTTGTTTTTTCTTCTTTTTTAATTTCTATATGTATAAACTTATGTGCTGGAAATTGGGGGTCTTTTCTATATGCTCGAATCTACAATGAACGTTGTACGACTTAAATTTTAACTTGTTCGTTTTTATATCCTCAGCTTTGTCATTTACCGAATAACATTTGAATATTTTGCGCTTCTACTTCTATATATGAAACAAACAAAAACAAAACAGAAACACTGAAAAATAATTTCTTATGGAAACGCATGCGTGTTGTTGTTGTTGTTGGAAAAATATGGCAGTGGATTTTGTAAACGGTACAAAAATAAAAACCAATTTGTGCGCGTTATTTTTCATTATTTTGGTTCTTTCTTTTCATTAGACCCTTTATATTAAAATAAATGAAAGTGCTGCCAGCAGCAAAATTTCTTCAAATGAATAGGCAAAAAAAGAAAGTGTTCGATGTGAATTGGTTTTGCTTGTTTCCGATTCTATTCCGATGAACTGCATCGGTGCAAACCAGAACCCGCTGGTCTACAACGATTGTTTTTTTTTTAAATTAACTTTGGAGTCAGTTTTTTAATATTTCAAAATTCGCAAGGCTGTTATAATTTTTTAAAACTTTATTTAAAATAAAAATACAAGGTAATAAAAAATCAAAAATGTACAATTAAAATTAAAAATCAATAGATTTGTGTATTGTTTTTTAGTTTTTTTTTCTTGTGTATATGTATAATATGCGCAACACACTGCTATCAGAGTGTGTGTGTGTGTGTATGTATAATTGCCATCATATTAGTAGTACATATATCATAATCGCCATTGTCGTATAGATCTACATGTGTGTGTGTATGTGTATGTGTGTGTGTGGATGTATATTTATATATGATATCGCATTTTCATTTGTAACAACTAAAAGTACAAATTAAAATACACATAATTTATGTATATAGATAGTAGAGAATTTTTTCTTCTCATACGAATCGCTATCATTTTTTGTTTTCTTTTGTGGGTTTTTTATCCAATCAATTTTTGTTTTTGTTATCGAATATCAAGTTGGGTTCTCTTTTCTTCTCCCTTTTTAGCTGCGTTCGTTTCGTTTTTGATTTTTTTTTAAACGCGTTTTTTATAATTTGTAATACTAGAACTAATATTGAGTTGCTCGGCATTCACTTCCACTTATAACGTTTATTTGATTACAATTTACGAATCGTTAAGCGATCCTGACATATACATATATAAGAATATATGTATATATACACATACATATATATATATATCTATATTTTCAACTACAAGTGTACGAAATCCATTGGATCAGCGATTGGCGCTGCTGGTTTTTTTTTTGTTGTGTTTGTTGTTTAATGTTTAATACTAGGCATAAATTAAATAAATAGCTTAGCATACAGTTATCAGCTCAACGGCATTATTATTTATATCATCTGGATCTGTAGAATCGGCCCAAAGCATTGCGTACACATTTTGTATGAAAAATTATAGAAATAGAAGCATTTACGTTTGTTATTCTCATTTTCATTTTTTTTTTCACTTAGTGTTTAATAAAGTTATTTTTTTCTTGTGAATTTTGCTTTTATTTTGTGGGTTTTTTGTTATTTTTTTTTACTAATTATGTATGTATGTGTGTTATGTATGTATGTATGTATGTATGTTGCACACCTCTCACTTCCTACTACATTCAATAAATAAACATCATTATCAATATCGTCAATATTAATTTACAATTTGTTGCACGCTTTTCTATTTTTGTGGGATAGGTTGTTTTGGGGAGGCAGGCAAATGTGGATTTATGCATATATAATAATTATGCCACTTAAGACTACAAATTTGATCGTCTATATGTATTTAAATATATATATATATATATATTACGTAAACGTTTGCTAGATGAGTAAATCTTTTCGGATACAAAACGTTTTTCTTTCTATCTTTTTTTTCTTTTGGCAAATTGCACAGCGAGCGGCCAATAAAACAAAGGTACGCACATCCATCAGTATCAATCATCAATCAATCATCGTTACATCATTCAAGTGTATTATATAAAATGTACAGGAAAAATATCAGCCACTAATTGGCACAATCGCTGTACTGCTCTTTCTTTATCGGGCCAAAAATTTGTAAATCTAATGCTGGCTAAATGGTTTAAAAAGCGTTTCGAGCTTGTGGCCAAAAAGGTCACAGGATCAAGAGCTTTAACGCTATATGTGTGAGTGTGTGTGTGCGGTGTTTGTGTTGCACTTATGTATATGTGGTTAATAATGCGGCATGCTTTTTTTTTCTTTCACTTGTCGATTACAAATTTTGTCGAAAAAATGCCATAATTATTGCGAGCATTTTTATTATTTTATGATGAGGGGGAGGATGATTAGGGGGGCGACGGGGGAGGGGGGATTTTGTGTTATTCCACCCACTTATAGCAATTTTTTGTTGTTGTTCATCTCTTGTGTATAATGTATAATTAGATTTAAATGTATATAGTATATGTATTATGTATATATATATATATAAGTGTATTTTATATGTATAATTATTTAACTCGAACTCGGTAATCATCGCATTTGCTCTGAGAGACAGAGAGAAAGGGAGAGAGAGAGCCGCTGAGGCATCAGCAGCGGGTGAAGGTGACGAATCCTATTGAAAAAAAAACCAAACCAAAACACCTAGACAAAGACCTTGGCCAGTCCATCGGCACCGGCACTGGCTATGTAGGGCTTGGTGGCATGGAACGCCACATCGAATATGCTCTCATCGAATTTCTTGCGATGTGCGGTGATCTCCTGGACGCACGTCTTATTGTCCAAATTCCAGAGGCGGATAGAGCAATCATGCGAACCGGACAACAAATACAGACCATGTGCATCGACGGCCAACGATGTGACCGGCTCCAAATGGGCAACCATCGAATGGACCAATGTGCCCGATGTATTATCCCAGAAGCGTATGTGACGATCTTCGTGCGCGGTTATTGTTATGGGCAGTGTCGGATGTGAGACGACCTTATTGATGAACTTCCCCGTATTGCCGGACATCTCCTGTGAGGCTTCCAGCTTAATCACCTGCTTGCCCGTCTCCGTATCATAAATTATGCAATGGGCACTGTTGTAGGCGACAACAATATGATCGACTTCGTTACGCACGAAATCCACGGATGAGGGCCCGCCCTCGGCCTCCGCGGCCGTATAGGTGCGCAGCAGCGGCTCCTTGGTGTACGGTGACCACAATTTAACACTACCATCCGCCGAGCATGATACAATATTATTTTGCATTGTTGTCAAACCCCAAACGGCGTCCGTATGCCCCTCGAGGGTGCCCGAATGGACATTCGGATCATAGCAGTCGTATGGATCAATATTTGGGGATGGCAATTGCCAGCATTCGATATTGCCATCGAGTCCACCCGAATAGCATGTCTCGCCGCTGGACGACATACCCAGGCAGAGTACGGCGCCGGTATGGGCACGGAACGTGTACAGTGGCTCCACATCGAGACTAGCTGATTTTTTGGCTTGCACCGTCTTCTGTAGATTCCACAGCTTGAGCGTATTATCCTCGGAGGCAGTTATTAGCACCGGCTCCTCCGGATGGAAGATAAGCGAGCGTACACCATCAAAATGTGAGCGTAGCGTATACTTGGCATTCCATGTCTTGCGATAGCCAGCGCCACCAGCACTGCCACCGGTGCCATCCTTGGCATTTGCATCGTACGCTCCATCCGACTCATTGTTGACGGTCAGCTGCGCCAGCTCACCCAATCCCAGCGAACCGTCCACCTCTGCGAAGAGAGAAATTGGGGCAAAATACGTTAGTTCAACTGCTAGAAACAATGAGTGAAGAATCAATGGAAACAACGATTGTTTCGAATCATGCATATTACGCTAATTGTATAGTACATATATATATATATATATAATATTGAGTTTACATTAACTGATGCTTTCGAACTAGATGCTTTTGAAAATGTCTCATTCTTATGTTATCTATTGCACTCACAGCTATTACTATACATATATTCTATACTATACATTAATTTGTTTTAATATGATCGAAACAATCGATTTCCATCGATAAGTTGGCAGCGCTACAATTTGTTGTTTATCTTTGGTTATCTGTGGTTATAGTTATAGCACCTTCGGTCATAAGATTCATATCGTTCAAGAGCTGCTCTCCCACCTCGGCCTCAAGATCTACGACGCAAACATGGATCGCATCACAACAAGAAGAAGACGTAAGAAGACGAGAGAAAAGAGAGAAGCGAAAGGAAACAGAAAACAAAAAGCTTAAGACAACAAATACAGCGCTCTTGAATTCTTGTGGATTGTGGACTAAATGTTAATGGTGGATGCAAATCGGGCAAGATGGGAATGTTTTTGTTTTCTTTTTTTGTTTTGCAAATAAATATGTATAATAAAATATGCAAACTAGAGAAAAAGAGTAAAATGTGAGGCGTCGGGGCGGGAGGGCTAATAATCAAAGATGTTGTTGTTGTTGTACGGGTTATTGGATGAGCTCTACAAAAAGGGGAGTAGATCAAGTCAAGCAAGATCATTTTGACATACCTTCGGTAAGCATATCCTTGCCAGATTTGGGCCGTTTGGCCATTTTAACATCGGAGTCCTCATTGTCGGTTGCAACCATTTCCAGATCATCGGAAATCTCATCATCGTCGGACATCTCTGTCGTTCCAAGGAACTCAAAATTGGCCATGACCGCCGCCTCGGTGTCCGTAATGATGGCATCATTCGATTGTTGCACTTTTTTAGCGGGAGTATGACGGCCTAATGTGAGCAAATTATTCAAATCTTCAACAGGGGGGAAGGGGGTGAGGGTTCGAGGGGTTTACAATGACCTACCTTCCGATTCCGAGGCACGTTTATTACTCTCATTGCCATTAATATTGGGACTGAGATTCTCACCGCCGCCGCCGACGCCACCGCTGCCAATTCCACCTCCGCCGCCAATGCCACCGATGCCACTTCCGCCGCCACCATCGTGATCCGCATTGTTGTTAAGACCAAGTATGGACCGTACCCGATTCGAGCGCACATCGATAATGTTGTCTGTGTAACCAATTTCGGCAAGATATTGACGCAACATTTGCCTGCCCTGTCGCCACGTGGTATTCGATACCGAGCTGTAGGGCACCTCCGAATCGGTTGCCACATCGCTGCCGAGACCCCCGTCGTCATTTGACGACGGCTTCAGTTCGTTCAGTTGCGGCGGATCGGTGCCGTATTTTAATCGATAAAATTTCGCACGTTCCTGACGCAACGCATACTCCAGCATCTTGATGCGACGCGTCAGATCTGATTTGAGGCTCTCCAAGCATTTGCGCTCGCCCAGCAGCATTGCGATGCGCGCCTGCAAATATAAATGATGAAAATTAATCGACTGGATAAATAGGCTGAGCTAAAAATATCTATAATTATCGATAACATTTTCCATAGGGGGTTCTCTTGTATGTTTCTAGTCAAATTCATTATTTTGACACAGTCGAACAGCTATTAACAAAATCCACACAGCTTAGCAGTGAATTGCGAATTAACATTGTGGATTTAAATTTTCATATTGTTTTTAGTTATCGATTTAAAAAAAAATCAATCTTTAAAAAGTTATCGACTGACTAGATAGCTAGACTCGCAATGGACACTGCAATTTCTAATGCACATACCTCATACGCCCCTCTGTCAACAAATATAGCTACAGGGTATAGTTAATTTTCATTAATGCTACAATTAAAAGCTTTGCCAACAAATTTGTGCTGCGTATTTAGTATATATATATATATATATATATATATATATATATATGTTGTGTGTATGTGTGATGAATGTGTGCGTTTCTCGTTGCATTCCAATTGCTGCGTTTGGCGCGACGATGCCGCAGCGTGGCGAACTCATAATTGACGCTCCGTTGCGCCAGGCCAGCAGCGAATGAAAAACAATTAAATTCAATTAATAGTAATATAAAATTACAGGCTTGTTCAATTAGTTGATGAAAAGGAAAGGCGCCAACCAGGCAAGAGTCTGGCCACATTTACCGTTAGTGCAATCTGCGTAACACAAATAAATGCAACGCTGTCGACTTTCCATAAATTTCTAGTCGCATATTTAACTCTTCGCTCTCCCTCTCGCTACACTTGCTGCGTCAGCAACTGAAACAATATAAGCTTATCTAGCTTATTGACGCCCAATAAATGATAAAGGAGAAAAGGAACAGTAACAGAACAGAAAGGTGCATAACGATGGACGCATAAAAGTTTTGCTTGCATTCCGCTGTTCCGTTAGCTCACAGAACCCAGGCGGAAAACACACACTTACAATTGGTCTGCTGCTCTCTTAATGATTTCGCGCCTTGCAAATAACAATAACAATTCCAACATAAGCTAATAACATGGCAGACGTGTATGAGAAGAGAGCAATAGAACACGTCGCTGGAAGTAAACGTCAGAGGCGATGAGCATACAACAACAGTGCGTAAAGTCATTAGAGTTTATACACGCTGCTGCGGCTGTTGCTGGCTCTGTAATGGGAACATGTTCTGCATTTTAATTAACGTTCAATGGCATTTCATTTGGCGCAATTGCTAATTAAAGAGCACGCATTAACCTCTCTCAAATGTTAGATTGCTGTTAGCGTATGCTGTTACTGTTAAAGAGCTGTTGAAAAAAAAGGTATTCAGCGCAAAAAGGGCACACTTCAACGGCAACAATCGCAATGAGTTTGTGCTTGTGTTTGTGTCTGCATATGTGTGCGATTGTTTACGCCAAGCAAAAATTTCAAATTACTCAGAGACATGCAACAATAACGATGACGACGACGACTGGGGAGACAACAGCAGAATTGGAGGATGGAATGTGTAGGCGGCAGGTGCTGCCGCATTATATTTATTAATTTTTCTTCATTAAAATATGCAGTCATTTTGTTGGTACAAAATGTGAATAATGAATTTGTTTATAGCAATTTGTAATTAATGCGGAAGACGTGATAAAGAATGAAAAAAAATTAATGTAAATAAATTATATATAGGAAATGACAGATGCAATTTTTTTATTTCTTCTAATCGCTGTCATCATCATCAGCGCAAAATGAGCAATAAGTCGAATGCAAAACAAATTGACTAATTAACAACTGGCAGTCAGAGAAGAGTAGAAAAGGAACTAAAGAGTAGGAAGATAATGTACAATGAACCAGCAGTAGCGGCAGCAGTGCAGCAGTAGCACCGGCACAAACACACAAGGACGTTTCATGTGCAGCAGCGGCAGACAGCGGGCAGCACTGACACTGACACACAAACAGGTCGAAGGCCAGAAATAGACGCAAGCAGCAGCGCCCGGCACACGACATGTGTATATACACACACATACACACACAAACACATATGTGCATAGCTTTGTATGCAAAAGCGCTAAAATGGCTTCCAGCGGCACTGCTGACGTCGTCGTTGTCTAGTATCGCTGCTGCCCACTCTCAACTTCGATTTCATATTCTTTTTTTTTGGTAAAACAAACAAGGCGAACAGGTTCATATAATTTTGCGACAAATATACACACATAGATAGATAGGTGCATGTATACATGTGTATGTGCAGAATAAAAACAGCGGTAGCGTCAACGCCGCCAACTTGTTTCCAATTACAGGCTGAGTGACGTTTTGAATGTCACTTGATTTTCAGAGCGTAACGGTATGTTCACACTGATACACATACTGGCGAGTGCAGCGATGCGGCGTAGTATCGATAACGATAGCACGTTTTCAACACAGTGTGAACGGTGCGTAATTTTTGGTGAAAGCGCCGCCAAACTTGACCATTCCGATGTGCAACTAATGTGCAAAGATTTGAGTTGAGTTTATCAAAATATGAAAAACAACGTCTTAACACAGAGTTGCTAATTTAGTTTTTTTTTTAACTGTTTAAATTGTATTTAATATTAAAAAAAAAGCAAATATCGAAAATGTAAGTTTTTTTGGGCTTGCAAGCAAAAAGAACCAGGTTTATTTATAATATATATATATATATATATATATATATATTATATTAATATATAAATATTATATTATATTATAGCAACGGCAGAAACGGCAATTGTTGCATAATTGTTCGCACAAAAAAAAACTTGCTCAATACACAAAATGTTGCAATTTACGCTATTAATAAAACTAACGCAATTCCAGTAATGATAACATTTTCCAAGCCGTTGCAGCCGAATTAAGCAGACCATAAAACGACGTTGATATGATTACAAAACAAAGGGAAATATTGTTGAAATGCTGCTGGCTGGAAGCTAACGTAACGAATGTAGCGTAACGTAGTATAACGTAAGCGATCCATTGAAATGAAAAGGACACCCAGTAGGAACAATTTCATTACTCACCTGCAGCTCTGCCCTGTCCACATCCCATTGTGAACGTTCCAGTTCGAAGCGCGACCATTCGTGCTGTATGAAATGCAAGATGCCCGGAATTGTGTATTGGGGCGTGGTAGCCTGCTGATTATTGGGTCCACCGCCGCCGCCGCCACCACCAGGTCCGCCCATACCATCATCGCTGCCCATGTTGCCACCACCGCCGCCACCTGGTCCACCCATGCCGGCCATAATGCCACCTACATTGGCGTTTTGTCCACCGCCGCCACTCAGGCCGCTAATGCTGAGTCCGCCGCCACTGCCGCCACCAATTCCGCCGGAGACGCCCAGACTGTTGGAGAGCACACCACCGCCACCGCCGCCGACAGCTGAGTTGGCAACGCCGACGCCGAGGACGGCTGCACCACCGACCGGCTTATTATTGATGCCAGCGGTGGCTCCCGAATTAGTTCCCATTTGTTTTTGGTGTTGTTGTTGTTGCTGCTTGTCGCTGTTTGCTTTGCTATTGTTGTTCTTGTTGTTGTTCTTCCTCTTCTTTCTCTAGTTCCGTTTTGCGAGCCGTGACTGTGCTGTTTGTTTTATTTTTTTGCTGGTTCCTTGTTTTTTTTCCTTTTCTATTGCTTTTGGTTCGATAAATTTCACTCGATAATTGATCGTTTTCTTACAGCTCGCCGTCGAGTGATATTTTGTTGTTGCTGGCTGTTGTTGTTGCTGCTATTGGTCCTGTTTAGTTTTGGGAGAAAAAAGACAGAAATGGACAGAAATATTATGTCCATACGTGAGACAAATGAGGTCATTGAATTTTTCGAGCAGCAGCAAAAGGATACGGAGCACACAAAATAAATGCCTGCCTGCCTGCGTCTCCCAACTGCGCTCGCACTGTTACGCTGTCTCTCTCTCGCTCTCTCTGTTTTAGCAGCACTTCACCGGAACCGTTAACGCCCCCGCGCTCTGCACCGCGCGTGTTCTCTTTCTCTTTTTACGACGATACGTCACACACTAAACACACACAGACACATATGCATACGCACACGCATACAGTTAAACGCACTCACCCAATCACACTGATTTGAATGACAACGACAACGACGACGAAGTTTACAACTATTTAGGAACACATACTGGAGAGCATAGTTGTTGTTGTTGTTAAAGCATTTACGATTTGTCCGAATCTCTTTCCTTTCTTTTTTTTTGTTGTTGAAATTTACTCACATTTACTTGAAAATTTTGTTGTTTACTATTTACAAATTTGTTTTTTCCAAGGAAACGTTGTTGCTACCGTTTTTCCGACTATGATTTTGGTTAGAGACGTTTACGCAAAAAAAAAATACGAACACACGCACGAACACACACACACACGTATAATTTTTTTATGCGTCGCGAAGGGGGCAATCTGTAAATGCAGACGAATTGAGATTTTCGTTCGCAATAGAATTGCGCTTATTGGTGTTGTTATAAATTGCGCTATTTACGAATTGTAAGTAAATATAATTAATGTGCTAACGTTGTGCACATTGCACACACAAAAAAGTCGATTCAGCCGTTCGTCGCACAGAATGTTTGGCCTGGAACTCTGAAACAACAGAGTTGTGCTGCACAAGCTATATGGTTGGCTTGCTTCCACACGTTTTCTTAACAGCGTTGCGACTTTATACAGCTATCTCTGTCTACGAATCTATATACAAAGAAAAACATACACACGAACACACAAGCGCATGCATGCCAAAGCCGTACTATTTTCACTTTTTGTGTTTTTTTTTCACTTTTGTAATTGAAGTTATTATTATTATGTGGCCTATTGCGTTTTACCAATGTGGAGCAAAGCGCCAGTTACGCTTTTGCCTTGATTTGCACTTTATTGCACTGTTTGCTTATTTGTTAAGAAATGTTTGTTCAATTTTAACGCAGCTGCTTTCATTCCATTCACCTTTGTTTTTCAAAGTCCGGCAACCATCACAAACTTATCGCTGCACAACTACAGCCCGTTATCGATTACTAGATCTCTACACCAAACAAATATCTATCGAATAAATATTGCATATTTCTATGATGTATATTTGAAGCATATGTAGTTTTTAATGAAAAATGCTAAAATGTTGGCCTTATTAATAAACGTTTATTAAATTAGAGAAGACGCTATACATTTAATTGAGACTTAACGTTACTGTGGACAATCTATTTATGTATGCATCGAATATTATAGCGTGGAGAATGTGGTTTTTGTTTTTAATTGCATTGTCCAGAGATTTTTATGCAGAAGGCCGCAGAAGATCGATTACAAGAATTCCTCACACCAATCGTTGAGGCAATTATAGCAATCGGATGCCTGCTTTGAGCTCGCATTACAAACATCCTTCATCCAATCCTTGAAAAGCTCCTCGTCCTTTTTCAGCACCAAATACTGGCCGAGCACGGTGTAAGCCTAAATGATGTTATTTATGATTTTATTAACTCATCTCATCACCCAGCTCTTCTTTTTTACCTTATCAAAGCCTGCCTCGGATAAACGACCGCCAAGCGTTTCACCAATTCCGGCTAATTCTGTCACCGATTTCTGTCCCATAGGCTCCGCTATGAAATTTCTGTATTTCTGTGTAGTTCCCGACATATTCTTGTTTTGTTCGATTAGCTTTCCTTTTGCTTATATTGTTGGTGGGTTAGTTGCGATCGATATACGCTTATAAGAACGCGAAATAACAAAACTTCTCGGCGTTTCTCAAAAAAAGTGACGCATTTAAAGAATACGACAGTATACGGAAAGTACTAAAATATCAAAAAAAAGAATATATATAAATATCGATAGATGTGTTTATAAATATCGATGAGTGAACTCTTGCCTATCGCTATACTATTTTTAAATATTAATGAGCAACGTACAATTACATTAAAATATATAAATAATTAAATTAAATAATATATATGTATATCAGCAAATAAGTAAGTTCAACGTTTTTTTGATAATAAGCGTAGAAAAGATTTTGCTCTCGTGTTTAATTAAAAAATGTGGCATACATTTTTCGTTATTTTGTTTAACAATTTATTGCATAAGTTAAGGGGCATATAAATTGTTAGCCATTACCCTGTAGAAACAAAAACCAATTATTTTGATTTGGCCAAAAGACACCAGATCTTCCACATTTAGGAGAAAATTTAAAATGATTTTTTTAATTTAAAAAATTTAAAATGATATTTGTGTTGTTTCTCTTCCGTTTAACAAAAATAGTCTTACCAAAAATCTTATAAATATCTCTTTTTTTTGTAACTGAAATATAATTTTATATTTAACTACTTTATCAGGTAAATCTATGTTTTTTTGTTGCACCCCACTAAAATGCAGCAGTGAATTTAATTTAAATTTAACCCAATTATCACCCGTGGTGCCAGATAAGTTTGTTGACGAGTTACCTTCAATGTTTCGAGTTAGTTGCCAGAATTTTGGAAGCGACAGTCATGATTGACACCTGGCCCTATTCGCAATTAACTATAAAAATCACCGGAACATAGTGTGGCACTCTTAGTTAAACTTTAACGGGAAATTCAGAATAAAAATAAAAGTACGTAAAAAAAAATGTGGCTGCGTTTTCTCTGTTTGACAGTTGCCTGGCAAGGTGAGTGTATTCCAAGTCTGACCGACTTTTTTTTGTTTTTCATTAATTTTTAAGTGCTGGAGGCAGCGAATTAATTACTCATTGAACCGGTTTCTCAATAAACTGAACCCATTACAAAATGGTCATAAGAAAAGGGTATGATGAAGTATGAAAGAGTTGGTTAGGATATCCGGTATATAATAGGGGAACCTTTTGATACAGAGTATCTGCGAGTCGGGTACTCTCGACAAAGTCGATCTTGCTTGTTGTTTTTCAAGAACAAAAGGATTACAGAATGCGTCAGACTTGTCACACGGAGAGAGATGCTGAGATCTAACCAATAAGTTGCCAATTTGATGGCCCGCTCAGTTGAATTGTGGCCAGCAAGTGGTTAAGATGCCTTCGTCCAATGCTTTGGCCTGCATTTGCAATGTGATCAATCCTTGTCGCAACGAGGTCTCCAACACCTTTGTCATTGTCCAATGGCTATTCACAGGATTCGCTGCACTCGCCCAGGTCGTGCGACCCCTGCTCCTACTCTGTAAAATATACATATCTAATTAAGTGAGTTCTTTAATTGTTAATTGTTGCATTGCAGTTGGCATACGGGCCGAGGTGGCGCTGAACCAGGAGGATTACAACAAGACCTGGATCTACATGCCCAATGGCGATGGCAAGGCAGAGGTTGCCTATTTGGTCGAGCCACCACCGGAGAATCGCATCAATTTGCCACAGTTGATACAATTTGAGTTATACGCCAGGTAAGATTTGAGTACATTTCTGATTTCCTTGTTTGCGCTTTATTTTCAAATAATAACACCTAGTTATCGAACATTTAGTTTTCTAGAAACAATCGAAAATGAGTGCGTGACACGAATGAATGTTTGGCTGTAGCAGCCGGCAGATCAGCGAGAGAGAGAGAGAGAGAGAAAGAGAGCGCTGTTAACGCTGGCTGCTGCATGTTAAGTGCACTTAACAGAGCCTGCAAATGTAATTACATTTCAATCAACTAACATTACGCCATTTTGCGAATGTAATTACATTTCAATCGCGGAGCTGCGCGCCAAATTCAAACAAAACAAACAATTCGCTGCTGCAGTTAACATTCATCTATGGAAAATGATTGATAATTTAATAATTAATTCCATTGAAATTTGAATTATTTTAACCGTGCTAGTGATGCTGTGCATAGTTCGAGTTTCTGGATCGATGACAATGATTTTCAGCGTGTGCGTCACAAGCGCGACACTTGGCAGGAGCTGGCCGAGAAATTTGATGCCAAACTGGACACCAAGATACTTGTGCATGGCTGGAAATCGAGTACGATGAGCAATTCGATACAGTCGATAAGGGGTGCGTATATCGAGCGGGGTCAGGTGAATGTGTTCGCCATTAACTGGCAGGATCAGGCAGATAATATCTATTATCTGACGCCGGCACGTTATACGGTTCAAGTGGGTCGAGCAGTGGCTAAACTGATTGATCTGCTTGTCGAGGAGAAGGATGCGGATCCGCAGCGTATCCATCTAATTGGTCATAGTCTGGGCGCCCATATTATGGGTTACGCTGGCTCCTATACAAAATATCGTGTGGGTCGCATAACTGGCTTGGATCCGGCACGACCTGCATTCGAGAATTGCATTGGGCCTGAGAATCATTTGGATGAGACGGATGCCAATTTCGTGGATGTTATTCACAGCTGTGCCGGCTACTTGGGTTTCAAGAAGCCCATCGGCATGGTCGATTTCTATCCCAATGGCGGTGGTCCCCCACAGCCGGGCTGCAATGAACTCTCTCAGATTTTCAGTGAGTACAAAACTAATAAATAAATAAAATACAAATAATCCCTATATATATATATTATCTTCCAGCCGGTTGCAGTCATGGTCGCTCCTATGAGTACTATGCGGAGTCCATAAACAGCGCGAAGGGTTTCTATGGCATGCCGTGTGGCACATTGGAGGAGCTGCGTGGCAAGAACTGCACCGGTGGCAAGATTCTGATGGGCGATCCGGTGCCGCAAGAATCACGCGGCATTTATCTGGTGAAGACGGCCAAGAAGCCCAGTTTTGCACTCGGCATGGACGATATTCTGCCCAAGGATACGGATTATTAAACCAGCAACTGCACTCGGAAAAAATAAATATATCACCCTAAAAATTAGAGAGTCATTCTTGTTTTCAGCAATTATTTCTAAATATAAAAAAACATTTTTCTAAAAAATAAACATCAAAAATGTAGTATTTTTTATACTTATATTTTTTTAGAAATATTTTAGATTATCAATAAATGCAGTTCTATAAAGTAGAAATGAAAGCTCAAATTCTTTGAAAAGAATCCTTTCCAAGATTCAGAAAATATCCACTTTCGACTGCTATATTAGGAGAAGTCGCTCTACTTGAGATCGATGGATCTCGTATTTGAATCCCAATAAATTCGGAAGCATTTTCAGATTTTAAGTTAAATTGTGTTTGTGAATTCCTAAAATAATAATGAGTAACACAAAGCTAATATGAGTCTGAAAACTTGACATATTTTCCATAAATTTTAGAAAAAAACCACCCGGAAATTAAGAAATGCAAACCCTGGTTTTTAGAAAGCCACAAACAAATATTTTATACTTTCTGATTTTTTTTTGCTGATTGAGTTACTTCATTTCATCTTTTTATACTGTTTAGTACTTAAACTTAAACTCAAAACTTAAACTTAAAACAAAATGTACATAAAAAACAAATAGAAAATGGGAACAAGTTGGGGTTCAGGGAATGACATCGGTGCGTCGTCGTATGATATTGCTGCTGCTGTGACTTCCGTTCGGTTGGAGTATATCGGCGGGACGGGGCTCAATCTCGTAGTGCCGATAGCCATCCACATCGTCCAGCTCCTTGGCACTGAACTTGGCCAACATTGTGCCACGACCCGCATACGGTGGCACATACTTAAAGGTCGCCGCTGCCGTGCCGCCCACAGGAATTTCAAATATCTGCAAGGGATTAGGAGATTAGGGATTAGGTTTGATATACAGTTGCGAAAATAGTAATAGCACCTCTCATAAGAAATGTATATATTAATTAAATTATTACTTTTAGAAGACTCTTAAAAAAAAGTGCGAAAAAATACTAAACAATATATAAAAAAATTCTATTGAAAAACATGCAAAACTAAGTGTTTGTTTATGTATTCATAAAAAAAGTCATATATATACAATCCTCGAGCCATGCTCACCTTAAACTTGAGCGGCTGCTCAATGCCGGGGCCCTCGACGGTGAAGACGCCACGATGCAGTGGTATGGGCAGTGGATTGGCCAGTCGCAGGATCACATCGATCTCCTGCTGGGCGACAATCGGTGCATCGCCCAGCTGGAACTTGATGTCCGGTTTGCGAACACGGAAATCATCCTGAGCATAATAATCGTAGTCGGTATCCTTGACACGACACGCGGCCGAGATTTGGAATGCGCCCTGCGATGATAGCTTCTCAAAGTATTCGTTGAATGTGACCTCCATGCGTACATATTCGGTACTCTTGGGCTTCAGATCCAGCTCGAAGCCCATGATCTTCACCTCCTCCGCACCGACGCCCGTATAGAGGACGGCATCACAGTTGAGCTGTCCTGTGGCCTGATGGATGCGCTCGTCGCTCTTGTTGCTCACCTTAAGCACAACGGTAAAGTTCTCACCCACCTTGATGTCATCCTTTAGCTCCATGCTGAACTCGACCTCATTGAAATTGTCATTGAGGTAGTAGCGACTGAACGCATGACGGGATTGCTTCAATGCCTTCAGCATTGTGCTCCTTTCCTCCTCGGTGCGTTCCTCAAACTTGTAGCTAGCGGTAATATCCTCTCGCTCCCACTTCAGCACCGCCTTGGTGCTAATCAGATGACCAATTGCCAGCGTATCCTTGCGCAACAGCTTCAGCGGCTGTGCGGGACCATTGTAGCGCCAATATAACTTATCCGCATTCACCTCCGAGTAGACGAAGCCACAGTCGAAGGGACGCAGGATTTCGCCATGCTTAACGGCCAGCACGGATGCGGGACCCACTCGATACATATTATCGGACGATTCCTGCGGCGTCGCATCCACCACCTGCCATCCATCATAGGCACCGAATTGGCCCACACCCAAATCCGGTCGCTGCATCCATACCTCGTTCCACACATGATAATTCCAAATGGAATCGGTTGTCTCTGCCTCCAATTTCTTGTTGTTCGCATCGATGAACACATCCACCGTTAGGGATGCCTGTGTATCGTGGGCGGAGGAGTAGCAAGTGATGACACGTGACGGTATGCCCAGAGCACGGGCTATCGTTGCTAGCACTCCACTGAAATTCCAACACTGGGCAAATTTCACCGACTTTTGGGTCTTGTGGAACTGTTGCAAAATCTCCGCTGAGCCCGTCCATTTGGTCGGCGCTGTACCGCCCGAGAAATCCTCCGTCCAATTGCCCAACAGCACACCATCGTCGTCCACCGAATTGACCAGGGCGGACAGTGCCCGGGCCACCCGCACCGGATCACCTCGATAGGCAGGTGGTATGCGACCCACTGTGCCCAGCAGTTTGATGCTGCACTCGAGCACATGTCGCTCGAACTGGCCAATCTTCCAGACTGAGGGACGCAATCGATTGTAGGAGCCGCGCCATATCAAAGTCGTGTCGTGCATCACATACTCCTTGCGCTCCTCTCGACTCTCCATGTAGACCTGATCCTCGGGACACCAGGGATTAAAGAGCACGTAAATGGGCAGGGGCAGTTGATAGCTACGCGAACCATCACCCAACAGCTTCGTATCGATATCCAGCCGCCATTCGGTGACCGAGCATGTGGTTGGTGGCTTCACTAGCACTGTGAGAATCTGACCCTCATGGGCCTCAATGCCGGCACCCCATTCGAGGGCATCGCCCAAACAATCGATGCCATCGTGCGGCACGAGAGCCATCAGTGTGCCATGTCCCGGATTCGGTTTGGGATCATCTGTCACACTGAATATGAAACTAATCGCATCCTTGCTGGGACTATAGTCTCGGGTGAAATAGATGCGCAGCCGGAATGGTTCGCCACGTCGTACAATCAGCGCCTCCTTGGCTGCCGCAGCATAGAAATGACTTGTGTGGTGCTCCTCGTGATTGTCCTCCAGGCAAAGATCCACTCGCTGCACGCCCAGCACCGCCGAGCTGCCAGAATCTGTGTACGAGCATCAAAATCACTGTCAACAATTTGATTTAATATATAATTAAAGGTCAGCCAGTGGATTACAGATCTCGATGATGATCTCATTATGAAAAGCTGGGCGGGCAGCTCGATTGACTCTCAGAGTATCTCAGTCAAATTGTTGCATCCAAAACGGATTGGGTGAATAATCGCCTTTGGCCATAAACAAATACAGTTTGCGGCACACTGTCCAAAGAGTTCAATGCCAACACAATTAATTCTCTGAGTGGACAATCGGGCGTATGAGCGATTTTCTATAGACTAACATCGCCCACAATAACAGCTACAACAAGAGAACTGGTCGAAGATTAAATACCCTGGCAGACATATGATTATCTTTTAAATTTATAACAAAATCTTTGCCAGCACATTTTTTTATAAATTAATTTTTAATCTCCGTTTTTAGTTGACTTACTTCCTTTCAGGCGTTACAAGTTTCACGACCAAGCTATTATACCCCAAGCAAGCGGAACTTACTGCAATAACACTCAACACTTGTTGACGGACAGTTTTCTATTCACAAAAAAAATACGTATACTTAACATTTGATCAAGTTCTATAAAAAAAAAACGAACATATTAATCCATCAAATATATTTTTATGCTAGCTGAAAAAACATATATTCTCTATTGAGTTCAGCTGTTCGACGAACGACTATGCGATGAAATCTTCATGTCAAATTATTTTCCTACTATATTTTTAAATAGCTACTTAGTGGGTCCTAACAATAATGGCAAGAGATTTCATATGGCTGGCATGTTGATTTATTTACATGTGTTTTTTTCCGCAGCTTTAAAAATGAACTATTTTTTATTTTTATTTGCAAGAGCAAGAGAAAAATGCTCAGTAAATTGGATCAACTTTATAAATGAACTATTTGTATGCTTACTTGGCGTTCTTAAATGGTGAAGAGCACAAAATATATTTAGAAAATTTGATCATGAAATGGTTTTATTGTTAATATAGCCAGTATAGATAAAGCTTCTGTCTATGGTCTCTATAATAATTTGAAATGAATCTGAGATAGAATATTAGGAAGTACATCGATAAATATCCATTTAAAATAATGTATAATTTATGCTTTTAACTTTTCAATAGATCGCGATCCCAAACAGATGCCTTTGCTAATTCTATTTCCATTTCCACATGGCTGCACCCGGAGACCCCAATTTCAATTGATTTTTTTAATCAGAAGTGTTTTTTTTTTTTGGGATGCGAAATTTGACAGCGATAAGATGGCAGACTTGAGACCGCTTCATTTCTCAAAAAAGTGATTCATTGTAATAAATATTTGACACATGAGTTATGCTCTCGAGCAGGAAATAACTACGAGTATCAAACAAAAATAAAAGTATTCTAAAACGCATAAATAAAGTGCCGAAAATATGCAAAACACAAAACGTGTCAAACAACTAAAAAAACAAAACAGAAACAAATACAAAATAAAACAACAAAAAAAAAAAAAACAGCGAGTGAAGTCATAGGCGAAAAAATAAATAAGTGGACTTAACAATTATTAATTTGTTTGCTGCAGAGTGCCACAAATGCCATATATAGGGTCACAAATAAATAAATCAAATAATAAATGGCGTAGCTTGTTTAATAATTGTTCTAAAAAGTTATTTTTCACTTAAATCAAGAATTTATATTCTTGTTTCTTGCATTTTGTTTTCACACTTTAATTGTAATTAATTACTTTCAACATCGGGATCGGGGCGTATGCTGCGAAATGGATTTATGCGCCTGGTTGAAGATGGTGGAGGTATCCAGCGTTGTAGCCAACTTGGCGCATAGTTGCGATACCAATTACCCATTGTCTCCCTGTCTAAGACCACAATTCAAAACACGCACACACACCGAAAAGCGTAACGGATAAGTTTCTCTAGAAACTAGCGCTAGTTTTTAAAACCAGAATATTACCGAAACCGAAAACGAAATACAAACAGAAAAACCAAAACCAAAACCGATACTGAATCTGAACGCAGCGACGCCTTAACTCACACTGATCAGTTTTGGAATCGAAATTGAGATAGCTTCTGGCTGGCTGGCAAAAGCAAACTCTCTCTAATTTATACCCCTTACACAGCAGAAGTAGCCAAATAGGGTGTGATAAGGCTGCTAGATTATTTAATAAAATTTGCCTGCATTTTAGAAAATCGCTATTTTATTTTTTGAAAGTATATTTCTAAAAATCAAATCAAAATATGACTAACTTACAGGGTGTTGTCTACACTAATATTACCTTTTTTGGTGCTTATATTTTTAATAAGAATTAGTAGTTTAAGATTTCACATATATAAACATCATAGGTAAAAATAAAGTGTTTGCATTCCTAGTTTCTAGAAATACATTTCTATATGTATTTATTTAAAAAAGAAGAAAAAAGAACACCAAATTTTGGAGTTGTCGATTTATAGCCAGCCTCTCTAATTTTTATATATTTGTTGTCTACAATTGAGCTTGAACTTTTCCGAGTGTATTTATGATAGCTAAAAACTTGTCTACAGAGTATCTGCTAGTCTAGCGCTCCCGTCTAGAGCGCTCTTGTTGCAGCTGTCCGTTAGCTAGTCTCCCTCTCTCTCTCTCAACCTCTATCTTTCTCTGCCTCTCCGTTTGTCTGTCTCTCTGTTATTATTAATTATGAACGGGAAGCGATTTGTGTCCGTCCGTTGGCGTTGGCTCTTGGCTCTTGGTAGTAGAAGCGAAATGTTACCAACATCTGGGCGACTACGTCATCGCTTGATGGTTTCGTGCTCCAAGTCGAGTCTTGATTCACAGCCGCAACGAATGAGGCCAATTTAATTGATTTATCTTCGAGCAAATAGGCCTGGGGCGGCCTCAACTTGATCATTATCATCAGCATCATCATCATAAATATCATCACTGATTTTGCATGCACTGCAATTGTTTTAATTTGAATGTGCACAAATATAATACTATATAAATATGTATAAGTAGACTACATTACTCATTTGAATAATATGTACAAATGACAAATGGAACCAGTTAACATTCCTACGCCAATTTAAAATTGTCCAATAAAAGTGCTAAACAGATTTGGTGACTTTGCTTTTTAACCCAATTTTGGGTGCTCTTTAACAAATATTGGGGCTATAAACCAGTTATTATCTAAAACACCAAATTTATATATGATCTAACCAAAAGTTATATAGCAAAAACTAATACTCTGTTGCCATTTAAATAAAGTAACAAAGACTTTCCCGTCTTTGACATTTAATTGTAGGCCTTAGTAATCTTTTAATATAATAGAAAATAATAATTTTTTGACGCACGGATCTTAGTATTCATTCAAAAATATAATTATCAGCTACTTTACACACCTGAAAAAATATCTAAATAAAAATTAGCGACTTTTAAAGTTCGACAACCACCAAAAATTCCCCTGTTTTTTTACACACATACTTGAAATTATTAAAATCATTGGCACAGCAATGAAATGTTAAATTTCAAGCTATTTTCGCATGAAATAAATGTATCTGAACACTTGTTCGAATTTTGAGACTGCTGTTTAAGGTATTTGACAGCATTCCAGGTGTTTTCTTATTTATTCAACAACAATTCAAGTGTAAGCAATTTTAAGAATTATTGATGAATAAGTCTTTGCAGCAAAATGGAATTAAGTGTATTCAATAATTTATACATAATATATATATATATATATATATAAATGTAAATACTGTGAGTCTACCTATCTAAGATTGTGGGCAGGTTGATTTGAATTTTACACGTACGCCTTCTGTGATCATAAAATTGGCTAGCAAAAAAGGCAATTTCATTATTAGGTAATATTTGCATGCATTCGCATTGTCAAGAACACGTACAAAACAAACAAAATGTGTCAATTACAGTGAACGTTCGATTATTGAATTTTTTAGATATGTGAAATAATTTGAAATTAAAATTATTCTTTACTATTTTAACCATAGAAAACACCTTTCAAAATTGATTTACAAACTGATATTGCTACAAAAGAAATGCTTTACAATACAGAAACACAAAAATCAATTTTAAATTATAATCGAATTATACATTTTTCTACGACTTGAAAAAGTTTGCAAATATAGCTAAATGTGCTATGAATACATTTTTACCGCTTATGTTTAACAAATCATCTTCAACACCTAAGCGCTTTAAACAAGTTTGCACAAAGCCAAACAAAATATGTCAAATACAGTGAAAGCTCAAATATTGTAATTTTTACAAATAACCACTATATTATTTTGACAACGGAGAAAATGTAAAAAAAATTACCCATAAGCTGAGCAAAAATAAGATGTTTCTTTCTTAGAATTGTTATGTTTCTACAACAACAAATTTGGAATTATGACTTAAAAAGTCTGCAAAAATACCTCATTTTCTTATGAATATTATATGTGAATCAAACTACCTTCAAAAACTAAGCAGTTTAATTATTGAGAGACCACTGTATCTATATCAACTATGTGCACAAATACTCACCCGGAGTCGTCAATAGATTTGCATTGACATTACGCTTGCGCACCGTTGTCGCGTCTGTCTCACTTTTGGGTGATTCGTCGGAATTTGTACACACTTTCAGGCAAGAGAATTTCTGTCCCATTGTGGATTATATGTGTATAATATTGGTATGCTATCAGACGCGGGCGTGCCTAAAGCTCAAGGCGTTTCTAAACCGGTTAACACACAAATGATAAGCGAAGCGCGACCAAATTGTTTTGCAGTATTTAAAATTGTGTGTTTTTAACTTGACGAGACTCAATCATAAACTGACAACATATTTACAGTTAAGCAAATGCAAAGGGAATTGCCATTAAAGCTGTTCAAATTGTAACTGAATTGCGTTTAAATTACATCATCAGCAGCAACACCAAAATAAACGACTGTCGCAGTGCATAGACCAATTTCGACTAGAGCTTCTTAAAAATGATTTAATTTTCCATATGAAAATGTGCTTGACCCCAGCCAGCAGCAGGCAGCAAGGTGGCTGGCCTTGTCTATCCAAACGAGCCGGACAAGCATGCGTAAATTGATCGTCTTTAATAGAACAGAACAGAACAGATCTCATTTGACTCGTTTTTTGTTTTTACTATTTTTTTCGTTTGTTGATTGAATTGATTAGTGTCTGATATTTGTAATTAGTTAACTAGTTGCATTTGGCCGGCGTCATTGCTCAAGTGTTTAGCGGATGCAGCACAGGATTAGCGGCTGCTGCTGCCGCTGCAATTTCCATGGCGACTGCGGCGTCCTCTTTGCTGCCGGTCTGCGATAAATGCTTTACGATATCCACCCAATCGTGTCCACGTGCGCGTTCGCCTTTGTGATCAGTTCGCTCCCATTGTCGACGCTTCTGTGACTTGGTCAGCTGCTCCTTTTTTGGCTCCTTTTGCTTGGCATCCGCAGTGGCATCGGATATCTTGAGTGCACCAACACCATCGTCCACAACGGCCACAGTTGGTGCACATTCCGGCTGGCCGGCAGTCAATTGCTCAATGTTATCCTTGATGCACTCGAAGAGTGTATAAGTCATGCCGCAGCCCAGCCATTGGGAGGCCTCTGTGCTGAGCGCCGTTTGTATCTCCTCTTTGACGGCGGGCAGTCTTGAAATGGAAATTAATATTTGTATATTGCTAATATTGAGACTAATTTTAGCTCACAGATTGCGATTGTAGAAAGTGTTCATGTTAATCGTGGGCGCTTCATCTGGATAGTTATCGCCCCATTGCAGCTCCACCAGAAATGACTTATAATTATCCTCTTCGCCATACTAAAAACATTTCACACATTAATAACAATAATTTTAAGTTTTTGTTGCACATGTGGCTTTTTACTTTATATTGAAAAGTCGTCAAGTTGATTTCTTTGAAATTGTCATCGCCTTCGTAGATGGATTGCAGGGCTTCACGCTCATCTGTCTGCTGTTCGAGTGGTGTTGACATTCTGTATATCAGTATGCTTAAGCATACATTTCACGCAAAAGCAAAAACACAAAATATTGAAAATAAAATTAATTTGATGCTGCAACACAACAAAGCAACAGCTGAGTGCTGTTGCTGCCGGCAATGCAAGAAGAAGCAACGCATTGCCATTCTCACATCTCAAATCGATTACTATCGTAATTAAAGTATCGATACTTGTGAGAAGGAAAGCAGTATATTCTAGTTAGCACACAACGGTCACACTGCATAGCGTATATAAACAAATAGAAACATTGCGTAAAAAAAGATAGATATGCTTAAGCTGGTGAATCATCGTTACTACTAATTAAGCCACATGTCCCAATAACAATAGACAAGCCAGCTGATTGCAAAATATGTCGACCGATGCGGACGCCGCAACGAAATGTGCCCGCTTACTGAAATTCAAGGAATTTCTAGCCAGGAGCAACAGCAACAACAAAAGTGGTGAACAAAACGCGGCCAACGAATTGGCCCGCAACGGAAGTTGTGTAACGCGCAGCAGCAACGACACCTACAAAGTCACCGGCGACGAGCGACGTGCCGAAATTGTTGCCGCCATTTGGAAACAGCTCAACACACGCGGCTGTCCGCAGGGCTTTCAGTTGAAGCTGCTACATTCGGCGCGGGAGCAAGTGGAGCACGAGATACGCCATGCAAAGGAGTTTGAGACGAATTTGGACGTTGCGGAGCCACAATATGATCTGCTGAAATTGCAAAAGTATGTCGCAACACAGCTGGATAAGCTGCTACTCACGCTGACGGATAATGCTGCGCTGGAAAAGCTACAACTCTATGCAGATGATGGCATTCTCTGCACGGAGCCTGGCAGCTGTCAGTGCGGATCATTGGATTCCCAGCCGCCGACTTGTAGTGCAGCAGCGATTAAGAATAAGCCGCGTAAAATGGAGGATCGTCATGTGTGCCTGGAGCGCTTCGGTGCCATCTATCAGCTAAAAAATCACCCGGATTGTCGCTTCTTTGGCGTCTTCGATGGCCATTCGGGGGCCCTGTCCGCCAGTTATGTGACCAGTCAGTTGCCCCAGTTGCTGGCTGAGCAGCTGCGACGCGCACCGGAGTCCATGGAGAGCAATGCGGATTTCTATCGCACAGCTTTTGAGACGGCATTTCTGCAAGCAGACGAACGGTTTGCGAGAAAACGCATCACCAGCGGTACCACAGCAGTCTGTGGTCTGATCACTGACGATCGTCAGTTGTACATTGCCTGGGTGGGTGACTCGAAGGCGCTGCTGGTGGGTGAACGTACACAGTTGCAGCTGGTGAAGCCACACAAGCCGGAAGCTGTGGATGAGCGGCGACGCATTGAGTTGTGCGGCGGCAGCGTTATCCATGCCCAGGGTCAGTGGCGTGTCAATGGCATACTGAATGTGGGTCGTTCCATTGGCGACTATTGTCTTGAGGCAGTGATTGCTGAGCCGGATTTCGTTGATGTGCCACTGAGTGAGGCACATGATTTTTTGGTCCTTGGCTCGGATGGATTGTGGGATCATGTGCCCGAGGCTTTTATCGTGGATACGGTCTATGAGTGCCTTGCTGATCCGCAAACGAAGCTTGATGACATTCCCAAACTGCTGGTGGAGGCTGCCAAGGAGCGTGATTCCCAGGATAATATCACATGCATTCTGGTGCTGCTCAAGCCACGTCTGCAAATTGGCCCGCGTTTAGCCAACTGAGTTTTTTCTTTATATTTTTCTTGGGTTGAATTTGTTAACTGCATATTGTTGTCTGTTTTAATTTTTTTGTTTATATAAATGTAAATAGGTTTAAGTACGCATTTCTAGAATGATGCCACAAATCATCATCATTCTCATATGTGCCTGTGGCGCCACTTTGGTTGCCTCTCGAATAAGCTCAATCACAATCTATATATATTTTTTGCATGCCACCCTTGTCAGATACATATATAAATATAATATATATATATATATACACATCTATTTACACACAAAAATACACACACAAAATTATCAATTGTTTATTGGCAGCTTTTTAAATGACTCACAGTGCTTCCGCCAAAAAGTTTTAATTGCTGTATTATATACTAAAGCAAACATATATATATATAGTATATACACCTATATATTCTTATAATCTGCCCAGTTGACAAGCTAACGAAACTCCAAACAACGAGTGCTTTATTTTATGAGCAATTTTTGAGCAATAGTAATATATATATATAACAATATAACAACAATTAAAATTCAACTAAACCTCGAAAAGTTAAGTTAAGCTAAATAATTTCTATTAACCAATTTCATAAGCTTTTCTTAAGTGCAGTATTAGAAAACAGAATACTTAAGCAACAAGAAATTTAAGATGGTTTTCCCATACCATATCCAAAGTTTAGTGATGTATATATACATATATATATATAAATCAAAAATAAGTTTCGCTTTTTAAATGTAATACCTAAAACGATTCTAATTTTAGAAATACTTTAACTTGAAATACCTAAATATCCTAAAAATCTATCAAACCAATTCTAGTAATTTAACGTAACTTTAACAATACTATACAAGAACAAAATACTAGAATCCATTTTATAAGATCAAACAATTTTATCCTTGAACGGTTTGAGTTATTCTTTCTTTGCCTTAGAGTGTTTGTCAATTGGGTATTGCCCCTACATTTTTACCTAAACATATTTACAAGGCGCACACACAAATCACACCTGCAATCAGCGTTATTGTTGAGATCCCACACAGATTAAGTACCTTTTTATACAAAACAAAACAAAAATAAATATTTGAAGCATTTTAACAAGAACATTTTTAAAAACAACACAAAAGCAAATTGTTTACGAATTTTTTATTGGAATAAAGAAAATCGCATTAGAAAAATTAACTGAATGATTAGTTATTGATTAGTGTTGAACGAAGAACTTGTGGCACAAGGCAATAAAATTCAAGCAAATTATTTGCAATCAAATATTTAAAAAACGTTTTAAAATAATAAATGTGCCCATTTATAAGAATACTCTCTTGGAATACTCTCTATCCAAGGAACCAATATACTCCTTATATCAATTGCTAACAGGGCAATAAATAAAATGAGGTTTACATTTATTTGGAAACTTTAAAATTAAAGCAATATTTTAAAATTATAAATAAATGCTTTAAATATTCTGTTAGCGCCTTGATATATCTTATATCATGTGCCCATTTACGAGGAGTAAGTGGAGTATAGACGCATGCCAACAAACCAATATGCGCTTTATACGATTTGGTAACAATACATTGAAAATATGAAATATAAAAAATAACAAACATTTTCTTATTTTTTGTATAAGTTTTTAATTAATCATAAGTCATGTTCTATAGGTAGAAATTATAATCATGTCTGTTAAACGTATCTCTAGTCTTAATCTAATTGCCTGAATTGGGCGGCTGTTGGTGCTGGTTGTAGGATGGCTGCTGAGGCGGCGCATGTGGATGATACATATGGGGTGGTGGCATTGCCATGGCCATCGCATGCGGTGGCGGCATTCCATAGGGATGTGGCGGTGGCTGCATATAACCATAGCCATGTTGGGGCATGGGAAACGCCATGCCAGGCATCATATTAAAGTTGGCCGCCGGCGGATGATAATTGTGATAGTAGTTGGAGTGCCAGCTACCAGGATTATAGCTGGGATGATAGTTGTACTGTGTATCCCGAGCTGGACTCTGCTGCTGTTGCCGTTGCTGCTGCTGCTGTTGAGGCTGGTTGCCATTTTGGAAATTGCTCGAATGTCGACTGTCTCGTTGGCCGCGACGTCCACGTTGGCGGGGCGCCAACTCCGTTGACTCCGTGTTGGTAGTGGCCACCGTTTCCACAGAGTCTGTGGAATTGGTGCGCTCACGTTGACGCTTTTTGCGTTGCTCCCAGCGGGCTTCGCGTTCCTCCTCATCATCGGAGTAGTCAATGAAACGAGCCGGCGGCTCCACATCATGCTCCCACGATGCATCTGAGCCGCGCACCTGCATCAGCTTCGATAATATAACGAACTGGGTGTGCTCCGTTTGCGGGGCACAATAGACAATGTCGCCAATGTTAATGCCTCGATCCTTGATTTGTTGATTGGTGTTGAAGCGTACACAGTAGAGCGGATCGGCCACCTGGCCGAGCACATCGAACACCTGGCCAAGCACTTTGCGGCCTTTCTCCAGAAACAGAACAGTGTCCAGATCGAACAACATCGAATTTGGCAGCACGCTGACCAACACCAGTTGATCAACAATCGATTGCACCTTGCCCAGCTCAATGCACTCATCCTCTGGCACCGTAATCTCTAGTTGATCAATTGGTGGCAACTCATCCAACGTCATTTCACCACGCACCTTGGGCGGCTGACGGCGATGTGTGGGACGTGTGCCATCCTCATCCTCATCGTCATCTTCCTCGTCGATTTCCTCCGTATTGATGCGTTTATCGATCTTCTTGCGCAGCACAGTAAGATACTCACCCTCCGAATCCGAGTCGCTGCTGCTTTCAGAGCTACCAGAGCTCAACGCAACAACCTGTCGCAAACCGGTAGAAGTATTTGCTGGAACAGGCACTTCGACCACATCGTCCTCATTGTCGCTATCGTCTATTTGGTGTACAGTTTCCGTATCTGTATCCCCATCGGAGCTATACGTAGCCAACAAACTGAGTCCATTTGATGTGGACTCTTTTTCTGGCGTATTTGTCACACTTGCCACACTTGACTCTGTTATTTCGCATTCCATTTCTGTTTGAGCTTCGATTTGAGGCGTGGGATTAATTCCATGCACAGCAATTTGCTCATTTGGCACTGTTGTGGGCTCCTTGGCTAGTTCCGGTTCTTCTCTGGCAGCTTGGGCAAATACTTGCAGTTTCTGTTGCGAATAGCATAGAAGAACCAATAATTAACATTTGAATTTAAAGTTTAGGCGTTTCAGTTTGGCTTCAGTTCCATTCCAGGAAGCACAATACAAAGAGTTAGTTCATCCGTCAACTCCTATTTGTTTACCTGTTTGCGAAATTGTATTTGTCTCTACAATTAATGCCTCTTGTTCGCTGTTTACTTCTGCCATAATTTTATTGGTGTCATCAATTTCAGGCGTGGTCTTTGTCTCTGCTACTGGGTCAACCATTTTAGTTGAGCTAGTTTGCGGATCTGTTTCTGGTACAACTAATTCAGTTGTAGCTGCCTGTGTAAGAATTGCTTCTTTTTCCATGTCGGCTGGCACCGTCGTCTCTGGCGGCACAGCTGCCATTGGTTAACAGTGCGTTTAATATTGTTTTCTTTTTCTTGTTTCAAACAGCAGCACGTTGAATAGGCGCACGTGTTTTAATTGAAAGCAATAACTAATCGCTAGTGCTATCGATAGACAGTATCGGCAAATATCGATAACAACAAATCGCGTGCAGACAGCCCTGTTAGGTTAAAATCATAAGTATTTTAAATAAAATGTAAAAAATAATATTTTGAGCATTAAAAATGCATATATATAAATATTTATATTAAATTACTGCGTAAAATTTCGAAGAACTTTATTCATTCCTCTATTAAAATCAATTGCGGCTGTTGCGTATTTTACTACTAATTCACATTATACAAAAGCATTTTCAAGATAGTTATTTAGTGCTAAGCTAACGGACTTGCTAATCGCCAAATAATATATATATATACATATATATGTATATATATATATGTATGTATATATAATCCTAAAGCAATAAATTCAAAGCTTACAATAAACAAGTCTTTTAAAAAATTAAGCTTAAAAACTTTGTACAATTATTTGTGGAATGCATTTGAAGCTGCACGTTCGATGCGTAGTTTTCGGATTTTTGTTTTTTAAATGTTCTTTTTATGTTTTGATATTTTTCACTTTGGTAAAAAGTACCCTCTCGAAATATACAAGTGGTAAGTTATTACAAAATAGAGATATTATATGTCTGCTGAGTTTTTTATGATTTTTTTTTCAAGTTTCTAGTCCAAAATAAGCACATTTTATTCTTTAATTTAAAAATGTTTTAGACGGCTAAGCTATATACTTATATACTTGAGAAATGTTCAGACGGCCCTCTGAATATCTTATAAGAATATCGGGTTACTAACGTTACTTTGTGCTAAGGCAGAGTTACATAGTTGGAAGATGTTCACGTTATGTATATTCGAATTTCTGTTTGTTTTTTGTTTTCACAATATTTTTGAGATGAGATTCGTGAGACTAAATCTAAATGTGTGTGTAAATAAGTGTGTATTATCGCAATAGTTTCTTGATTTTTATCCTTTTGCTAGTATCAACGTTTTGCATTATGGTTTTAGGGTATGTGTATTACCATGTGAGATATGTGAGAAATGTGTTTTTTTAAAACAAAAAAAAAACTCCAAATAATATCGTTCAAAGCAAGCATCTCAGCGATGTATCTGAATGTTTGGTCCAGTTATTGAGCATTAGCTTAGACCCTAAGCCTTCCAATCCAAACGATACTCATCGACCAGCAACAAATGTTGATGGATTAACCAACCTATATGGTTAATATACAAATATTGTTTATAATTGTATTTATTTGTTAATTTCACTTTGACTTACCCTCCTTTTGCGCCAGATTGAGAAACTCCTGCCATTTGCCTTGAATGTCCCAATACTGTTCCTTGATTTGATTTCGATCCTGCAGATAGGAGACAGCAAAAAAGTATGCCTTCAACACATCCTGCGGACGGGTATCAAAGTGCAGATAGACACCCAAATGTTTCTTGCTTTCCGCAATGATGAAGCGCTCATGCGGATCAAATGAGGAAACAATGTTCTCAATGACACTGCTGCTCTTATACTCATCAATAAGATGCTTTACACTCAGGCCCAGACGTATATTGAGTGAAACGGATACCGTTTGGCCAACAGTCACTCGTTCCATTTTATTGACCTATCCAGATAGAAGAGATATGAGATAAAATGATTTAAGCAAACTTGACTATATATAATATAAATACGTGTCCATAATTAATATAATAAATAATGCATAATAATACTACTTATTGCTAACTTTCAAGAAGATGATAATACCTAATTAAAATATCTTAAAAAACAATAAAATTACGGTCTATAGAAATCATTAAAGCTAAAACTTGTAGTATATACTACTATTGTTAACCAATTTTCATATATTTTGCAAACTTTAAATACTATAATGTTTTATAATAAGTGTTAGCAACAGCAGCAAGGAAATTTTAATTGATAATGAATTCGTTAAATATTTGAATTTAGCGCCTTGCCAGGTATAATATAATATATACATATACTAAGATAAGGCTTCAACAAGCTGTTGATAGCTTATTAAACTATCTATAAATAACAAAAACAATCTAAAGAAATAGTTAAATCGTCAAGTTATAGTATATAGACAGTTATCAAGTTATCAGGTACATAAAGCAGTTATGAATATCAAATAACCAAGATTTGTATAGACTCTCACCTGTTGTGGTGTCAGCATGTGGGATGAACGAAAGAATTCCTCCAGAGCAATTAAGTAGCGGGACTCGTTGAAGGTGCGCAGGCAGATGGAACGCACAGCTTTAAGATTCGCGTACAGATGCAGCGTGACAACAATATAAAAAATGGTATATAACATGGCCTGGCTCTTGATCATCGTGAGCAGATAGAGCCCAACAAACGAGGCAACCAAATTGACGCATGTCTCCTGCGAACTATCCTTGGAGGCAACATCCGCCAAATTGCCACGGACCGCATGATGTTGCGTTAACGCCGAACGTGTTGCGCCACCGGCCACGCCTACAATCGCTTTCAGCATCGTGGAGCCACACAGGATTTGCGTACTAAAATGTGGATATTTGGGAAGCACATAGATTTCAATGCCCATGGCGAGATCGTTTAGAAAATCGGCACGCAAACGCCACTTTTTCGAATCGACATCCAGCTGACTACCCTGCCACCAGGCAAACAATATCCGTCCCACATGGCCACTGCCCTCCTTCAGTATCCAGGTGACCGTGGCGGAATATGCATTGATATTCTCACTCCCGACTCCGATGCCCTTCAGTATGGCATGGGTGCAGAGAGTGCCACAAATGGTGCTGCAGAAGGCCTGCAGTGTGTCCCAGATTTGATAGACGACATAATCATCGGACACCGAGTCTGGATAGCCCTTGGGCAGAAATATATTCTGCAGCACACGAAACAACAAGAATTTTTCCTGTATGACCAGCTTATCGCCACGTAAAGGCACGCGAACAATATTACTTTGATCTATTTAAATGGATGTTTGCATAATTAGAATTGTTAGCAAATTAGAACCGTAGTACACAATTTGGATCTCACCTGCCGGCGTCACATAGAGTATTTCCTCGCCTTTGGTGCCATATTGTTCCCGAAAATGTATTTTCATTATTGGACATTAAATCAAGACGATTGCTGAATTTCTAAACACAAATCCGCAAAGCGACAACCAATCCCCATGCACATTCCCTGCGCACCAGCCATATACTAAATCATAACAGACGCACAGCAGCACCCCAGACGCATATGCAAATTTAACATTTCATGTAATGTTAATTGGGCGGCTGTTCAAAATACCACTTTAAAAATTTTAAATCGCTTAAGAAACGGATGAAAATTAATAAATAAAAAATGGCAAAAGCACGTATTAATTCAAAGCGTTGAAGGCATTCCATTAAATTAATTTCTCACTCTAGTTTTAGATCTAATTTCAAAGCACCTACAGATTAATTATAGTTGTTCTTGAATTCATGCGCACTAGAGAACATTTATCGCCCGATTAACGCTGCTCCGATTATAAGTGTAAACCAATTAGCTAAAGCTTACAACACCGTTCGACTATATACAAGAGCATATTCAGAAATTTAAATGAATTAAATTCGAAGAATCAAAACCAGTTAATAATTTAACCAGACATTTATAACGACCCTATTAACGAATAGTTAAGCGAGTTGGCAGCACTCGACTCACTCTCGGCAGATAGTGTGGCAGCGCTCACGACTACGAAAAAGAGATAAAAGAGACGAACCAAAACAAATCAGCCATTCAACAACTTGAAGCACAACACAGAAGTTCGAAAGAAAGAAAAAAAACATTAAATCCCCAAAGGGGTAGTACAATTATTAATTAATAAAATACGATACAAGTTAATATACAGTTTGAATAATTTTCAAAAAGTGTCGAAAGTGATAATTTCGAAGTCTGAGCTAATAATCTAAAATTAAAGTGTGATTTTTTTGTGACAACAACAAAATAAAAAAATAACAAAGTAAACTTTTGGCAACTCTTTGACAAATTTTACCAGTGGGCTCTGCCAAGCTACACACAACAGAAATACAGCAGGCAATGTCATTAGAGGATATCAAAGCAAATTTACGGCGTTTTCCAAAGCTCATTGGTGGTCTTGGCATTCTGACCACGTAAGTACGAAAATAACATTAACAGCAGCAGCTGTAACAACAGAACCAATAGCAACAGATGTTACTGGTTACACCTAAAGACTGTAATTAAAATGGGGGCTCGTCATTACAAATTCAAGTGGCGCCACTTGGCCCTGAAACACTAAACTAAAAATATATCGAGTGCGAGTGAACCTACAGCAGCAACAAAAACAATAATAAACAATGATTCAAAAGCCTTCCGCATTCAAGTCAAACAACAGCCGATTGCATCTGTGACGTCATTTGTTTACAGCAACTATAAAAATTATTCATTCTGCGCTTTCTGACCAACTGCCAACTGTTGTTGCTGTTTCGGTTATTTGCTCATGTTAACACATCACGATCAAAACAAACGTACGATTTTGAGAAAATGAGATAGCACGATAGTTGTTGTTATTGTTGTGAATTTGTCGCCTTTCGCTTGCTTTAACAGCTGTTCAAGGCCCCCCTCTGGCTCACAAACTAACACGCACACACACACGCACACAAGCAAGCAAACCGGTAGCCAAAATAGTGCGCAGTAGTTTTCGCACATGTCCCCCGCGAATTTAGTTTTTCTTATCTTGGTTGTTGTTGTTATTCTTTGATTTGAAATTCGCGCGTGTGTGATGCCCTTGCCTCGGAATCAGTGTTGCCAAATTTTGAAAAACAAAAATAAAGCCATTTTAAGAAAGTAAGCAAAGGTATTGTTAATAAGTGAAATAAATAGTTAAGTTAATTAAATTTTATGTTTTAAGTATGATCACTAATTGCAAATTACATGAGGTATCTTTATTTGAAAGATAAGCATATTTCACTTTTATTTCGCTTGCCAAAATTCCCGCTACACTCAAGGAAGTGCCTTGTACAAAAAAGCCAATTTGGCAGTACTGCTTGAGACTGTTGACGCGCCCACTTTTTAAAAATAACAACAGTTGTTATTGTTATTGTTGTTTATCGCACACGTTTGGCACAAACAACAACAACAAAACAAATATTTGGCAGCATAACCGTTGATATTTAGGTCAACAAAAACAACAACAATCAATAATAGAATAGAATAACAACTATTAATTGCTGCACATTTTTAGCGCCGGCATCATTTTCTACGAGTCACCGCAAATCCGTAAATATTTCGCACAATATGTGGACAAGAAGCAACAGGAGCCGGACAAGCGCCGCACCGAATATATCTACATTAAATATCACATTTATCGCGAATCGATGCGGAAGCTGCAGCAGAAGCAGGAGGACGAAAAGAAATGGATCAGTGTCATCATCAATCCAATTGGTAAATGGTGGAAGGCTGCCAAACATTCAGTTGCCTGGCGCCTGCTAAATATCGCCCAAAATGGCAGTCAGGCGGAACGGTTGAAAGCAGTACAGCAACTGATCTGCATGGATCATCTCAAGGATTGGGATTTCCGTCATCTCGCCCAGATTTGTGATGCTCGGACTTCGGTTTCGCTGGCACGATGTGGCGCCGATATGCGCTGGTTTATGCCGGTGCCAAGGCGCGGCTGCATCAAAAATCCTAAAATGCTGCTCTCCGAACTCCATGATATGTTGGCCCATCTCCGTCCATCGCCCTGTGTCGATCACTTCTTCAGCAAATACTTTCCAGATCAAAATCATCTCGTAAGCATCGATTCTAATTTGAAATCTAGAACTAATCTCTAATCGAATCGAATCTATTCTCTGGCAGGACGATCCCATTGAGTTTTTCACACAGGAACAAAACATAACGCTATCCGTGCAGGACTCGGACTTGCTGAAAGAGATAATCTCGTTTCTGCATCACATAACCAAGGATCCGAAAATTGCGGCCAAGATCACACACGGTGGTGGACTGATGCATTTAATGGAGATGCGCAAAATATTCGCCGATGACAATGAGACACTATCGACCCTATGCAAAGTCCTGGCCAATCTATCCTTGGTGCCCGATGCCGTGGAGCATTTCTTTGCCTCCGGCTGGGTAGGAGCTCTGGCGGAATGGCAACAATGCCCGGACTTGCGACTGCAAGTAATCTCAGCCAAGGCAATGGCCAATCTCGATCACGATGACCCCAATCAGTTCACTTATCCGCCCAATGTATATCCATTGCATCCACGTGTCCGCACCCGACGCAAACCCAAAGCAGACATTGTCTTCATCCATGGTCTGCTCGGTGGCGTTTTCATTACGTGGCGCCAGCGGGATCGCAAACCCACCGAACTCGGACTCTATGGCAAAAATGCATTCTACACCAGCGAAACGGATGACGTCTTCCTCGTTGGCGAGCAGAAGCGGAATGGAAACAGACAACAATATAAGCAACAGCAATCCAAACAATTGATTCCCGCACAAACACAAGCAGCGGCGACAGAAGCAGGCAAAACAAATGCCACCAAACCAACGGAATCAAAAGGTATTCTAAAAACGAATCGGACTTAATTTAATTGTTAATAATTATTCCATATTCTAAGCAGAGTCTCTGTTGAAGACCAGCAAAAAGGTGGAGGAGAAACGTCTGAATATAAGCGATGCGGCAACCAAAGAGTTTGTCGAGACACTGTACAACGAGGCCGAGCTGGATTCGGATTGGGAGGTGGTGCATCCGGATGTACCGCTCGAGGCGAATGAGAATTGCTGTGGCAAGTTCAGTGTGTCTGGTAATGAGTGGAACAATCAGGATACTAGCGAGGAGTACACAAATTGCTGGCCCATGGAATGGCTGCCCGATGACTATCCGGACTCACGGTAAATCTTGAAGATTACTCACAGCCACACCAAAGAATATATCGATTATATATTTGCAGCATAATTGGAATTGATTACACGTCAGCGGTTACGGAATGGTCGGCCCACTTCACCAAGTACTGTCCCTGTGAGAAGGGTCAGGGACATATCGATGTGCGTGCAAGCACGTTGCTCGAACGGATTGCCACCTCGGATGTGGGCAATGGTCGTCCAATTGTATGGATTGGTCATTCCATGGGTGGTCTACTCACCAAGCTGATACTACTCAAATCGGTGGACTCCGTCGAGCCGCAAGTTCAGCAGCTGGCCAAGAATACAAAGGGTATTGTTTTTTTGGGTACCCCGCATCGGGGTTCATCGATTGCCAAATGGAAGCAGCATATGCAAATGATATTATCGCCATCGATTGAAGTGAAGGAAATGGAGGAGAATTCACCTAAACTGTTGGAGATGCATCGCCGTTTCATGGGCTGTCTGCACACATGCCTGCGGCACGTGAATGTTGTCAGCGTGGCTGAGGGTTCACCCACCATGCTGACCACATTCAAGTTTCCGTTGCGCATTGTGACCGCCGAATCGTCGCGCATCGATTTCGGCGATTTCTTTCTGCTCAAAGACGATCATCTCAGCCTCTCCAAGCCTATATATCGCCAGTCTTTCCTCTATCAGCGCCTCCTCCACGTCATTCGCGAAGCGGTCAAACAGGACGAAGATGGGCCCACCACTACCGATGGTTCGTTGTCAGCATCGAACGCGGAATTGTGTGCAATGAACATATTTGCTATGGTACTTAAGGGTGCCAAAGGCCTCGCTGAAATCCTGCCACGCGTTGCAATGCGCTTTACCACCTAAAAAAAATGAATTGATTATTGTTTAGATAAGCAGCACAACACGCCTGTACCATGAGATTATGCTTGATGCACTCAATCCAGCCAATCAAACCACTTGATATAATTTATGAAATTAACCCGAAAGTATTTATATTAAGCTCTCGATCGTGTTCATAAATGTTTATACATATATATCTATTATTTCTACGAATCTTAATTTATGACAACAATAAATTAGTATTAACTATGCAACTATTTAACTGGCAACGCCTCTATTTGCTTGGCCCGCAAACGTTCCTGGGCCAGTCGACGATTCTCCGCAATGCGCGCCATTTGCTCTGCTGATAATATTGGCGTCGCTGGCAATGGTTCACCATAATCGCTTATATTATCGTTGGGAGTCGGCTGACCGGGTGGAGCTGTAGAATATGGCGTGGACACAATGGCATTGCGTGAGAATGAGGGTGTCACCAGCGAGCTGCTCGTCGTGGATAGATTGTTGTGTCGATTAACTGCTGCCGGTGTTCGCGGTGCCAGTTTTGACATGGCAATCTGTTCGCCCAGCAGTGCATCGAACTCGTCGAAGGGCTCCGCGTCGATATTATTATCATTATCCTCATCATTGGCATTGTCGTGGAGCTCGCTTGCTTGCTGCTGCTGCTCGAGAAGATCGTCCAATTGGCCCATGCGATAGCGTGCCATATGCACTTGCAACGGTTTCTTTTTGCCCAGTCGCTCGATGTTGTTCAGCACATCGTCGAACGTATAATTGGGATACATGCGATGGCCCCAGTGCTGCAATCGCCTTAAAATCTCATCCAGATCGGCTTTTTCGTGTCCCTTGCCTTTGTATTTGATATCCTTGAAATAGTGTTCCATTGTGTGCAAGCCACGCGGACCGCGCAGTGTGTCAACGGTGAGACGGGGACGTGGATTGCGCACTGCTCGCTTCTTAGGCTCTACTTTGACAGCTTCAACGCCTTCTTCGACGGCGCCATCCGCATTAGGAGCATCTTCGTCATCGCCGAACAGATTTTCGCCGGCATTTGCTTCGCCATCGCTGGGTAGCTCATCTTCATTGTCGTTGGCAATGTTATCGTTGAACAAGTCGTCAACACCATCATCACCAAACATGGATGCCATTACGGATTATAAGATATTTAGCACACAAAATGACACTGTACTGTGGAATATCAAGCTGATTTGGCGCCATTTTTCTGCTTTTTGCCAGTGCCATTCACACGCTTACGTGCACACTTTTCGTAGAGCTGCCAACCTGTACCGTGCAAGCCGTCTCTTTGTTACATAATTTTTGTGCGTGATCGCTGTAAAATTACAATTAAATTACATTATACACACTAAATATGAATATTTAAAGTATATTTTGTTAAAAGATAAAATTTTCAAGGTGTTACATGTTGTGAAAACTAGCAGCGTTGGCAGCGTGGCATTATTTAGCAACCCTGCCTTTGTGTGGCCTGGCAACACCAGTCTAACGCCATACTTCTGAAATGCTTTTTTTCGGGCCAGTTTATTAAATCTGCATAATTCACAAAAACAGCGCTAACAAATGAAACAAGTATTTTAAAATCAATTTCATGGTAAACTGACCAACTATTGTTGCCACTTAACATAATGTCAATGCGGTAAACACGCTAAAACATTGCAAAAACGAAAATTCTGCGAAAAATTGATATCAGGAGAAAAAAAAAGAAAAAAATCGAGTGTGGTGAATTTGAGCGCATTTACGCATTTTTAGTGCCCATCAGCTGCGGCTGTCCAAAAAAAAGGTTGTTGTTGCCGTTCGTGTTTCGTGGTGAATACTGAGACTCAAAAACAAATCAACAACCCAAATAAAATTATGAGCAACGCTTTGTGAACAAAACAAACGAAATGGATCCGCGCTATAAATGGTCGACATACTATCAGCAGCAGAGAGGGGGAGGATGCGGTGGCGGCAACGATGGCTACATGGATGCCCCGCCATACGCTCAACACATGCCCCGCTCCAGCTACAAGCAGCCGTACAAAGCATACAATTACAGCAGCTACGGCAATCACAATAATAATGTTGGCATTGGTGGCGCCGCCAATTACTATAAGCACCCACAGCCACCGTGGCGTGCACACTGGCTGCATCGCGCAGCCGAACAACCCGCACCACCAGCACAAGCGCCAGAAAGGGCCAAGAGTAGCAATAATACAGATGTCGTCACTTTGATTGTGGACAATAACAATCTGAAGCGTATGATTGTGTTGCATGTGAATCTGTTGCAGGAGCAAGCGGACAAGCTGGAGAAGAAGAACCAGTTGCTGGACGAGAAGAATTTACGCATCGAAACGTTACTCGCCCAAAAACAGGAACTACTGCAACAGATTGCCATGCTGGGGCAGACAGTGGAGGAGCTGCGCAATCAGCGGCGTCGCAGCAGCAAACGTTCCGCAAATGAAGATGAGGCGCCCAAGGCGAAACTGCCCTGCTTTGTGGAGACGCAAACGCAGACGGAGGCGGAGCAGCAGCAGGTGTTGCTGGAGCAGCTACAGGTACAGCAGCAACAGGTGCAGGTACAGCAGGATGTGTTGGTCATGGAGCCAATGCATCATTGCCATACCCCACCACAGGCACATGTAGCAGCAGCAGCGGCGCAGCCTCCGCCGCTGCCACGAAAGCAGCCAAATGTGATTGTCACATCGGTCACAGAATTGCCACCGACGACGCCAGCATTAGGTCACATCAAAGCGCGTGGTTTCAATGGTGGCAAAAAGATTAGCACCATTATACTGCATCGCGTCCATCAAGAATCATCCAGTCTGCAGCTGCAAGAGGAGCAGGAGAAACAGGAACATGAAGAACAGGATGAGGAAACGGAAGAAACTGAGTTGCAAATTGATGAGGAACAGCAGGAGCACGAAGGTGTCTTCTTGGAAGAGGAGGAGCAATTGCATGATGAGCATATCTATCACGATGGAATGGTTGGCATGACTGAAACGATTATTGGCGCCGAGGAGGAACTGATCACCGAAGAGGCGGAGCAGCAGGTATTGGCCACTGATGATGGCATTAACAATGGTCACACATTGGTCGTTGGACATTATGTGGACATTGAGAAACTTGTGAGTGGCTGCTATATATATATTTCCATAAGCATCTGTTACTAACCTCTTTGGTTTTTATTTTTTAGCGCCGTTTGGGCATTAAACCGCAACAGCTGCGTCTCTTTGACAGCAATCAGTCTCCCAACCAGCCACAGCAACAACAACAACTCCAATCGAATGCCGCTGAGGATGAAGTTGTCAATGCACTGCTCCAGGCGCAATCGCAATCCGAAATTCTAATGCCAACTGTAGTGGACTCAACAATGGATGTATCACAGAAACTGAAACCCAGCAAAAAGGGGCCAAGAACCTTTGCCCGAACTCGAGTTAATCAACAGCAGGTCATACGAAAGTTGCCCACACTGGAGAATTCAACATTGGGCAACGAAATTGTAGCAAATTATAAAGGCATGTTGGCCAAGCCAGCGTTGCAGGAGCAGGAACAGGAACGGCTGCGGCATGAGGCAGAGCAGCTTGAAGTGCAACTGAAGCAGGAGGAGGAGGAGGAGAAGAGAGAACAACAACAGAAGCAGCGCGAAAAACAAAGGGAAGGAGACCAACTGGAGCAGGAGAAGATCAATCAGCACGAACTGGAGCTGCAAAAGCAAGAACAGGAGGCGAAGGTGGAGGAGGCGGCGCTAAGGCAACGTCAGGAGCTGGAACCTGAACGTCTGCGACATGCGGTTAAACCGTTTGAAATGGAAGTGAAACCGGAGGAGGAGGAGGAGAGAGAACAACAACAGAGACAGTTAGAGCAGAAAAAGTGGAAGCTGGAAAAGGAGCAGGAGCGAGAAAGGGAGCGTCAACAACAACAGCTGCTACAGGAGCAGGAGGAGCTCGAAAAACAAAGGGAGCAAGAGCAACTGGCGCAGGAGAAGGTGCAAAAGCTAGCGGTGGAGGCGGAGGCACTAAGGCAACGTCAGGCGTTGGAACGCCAAGAAGAACTGAATAAGAAAGAGCGAGCGCAGCGCAATTTGCAGGAGGTGGTGCGTGCTGAGCAGAAGAAGCGAATTCAGGAGAAGAAGCGGAAACAGCTGATCGAGCAAAAGAAACGGGAACGCGAACAGAAAAAGAAGATCGAACTGCAAAAGATCAGGGAACGGAATAGGGAACGACAAGAACTGCTCAACGAACAACACCAAAAAATGGACAGCACGTTGATCTCAGAGGTGCAGACAGATGTGAAGAAGCAGGCGGAACAGCAGTCAGATAAGAAGCAGGAGCAGAAAGCGGACAAGGAGGAAGAGGAGGAGGAGGAGCCCAATGTCGATGAGGAGACGATTGTGCGACGCCTGCACGAACATCTGCAGAAGCAGCACGAACGCTTGCAGACTCAATACAAAAGCATGATGGCCCAACACCCGCCACTGGAGCGCCTGAAGCGTTCACCCATGGACATCAATATGGGTAGCAATTACAGTCTCATCTATCCGCCACTTCCGCAGCCAACGACAACAATTGGTGGCTCCTCAACAGCCATGACGCCAGCGCCGACGCCACCGCCCACAAATGCTGCTACATCCACATCCACATCTCCCCGCCTGCGAGGACTCAAGAACCAAACCAGTACAACAACAACAATAGCAGCAACGCCAGCAGCAGCAACAACCATAATAGAGACGCCTACAACGCCTGAGTCTAGTGGCAAACGAAAGCGACCGCTGGCATCCAATAATAATAATAATAATAATAGTAACAATAATAATAATAATAAGACAATCAGCAATCGGAGCAGCACGTCCAGATTACGCAAATCTTTGCAGCCATATACGACACGGTCGTGGGAGGATCAAGAGTTCCACTGCGACAACGAATTCTTTTTGGAGGAAGCCGACGAACTGCTCGCCGATAATCCCAGTCTCGAGATACCCAAGTGGAAAATGATCAGTTTGCGTCGCAGTTCCGATGACAAAGAAATCGAACCGATGAGCAACGATGCCTTCGAGCATCGTCACGACAAATATGTGCGAGAGGAGATTGAGCGTAAAAAACGCGATGCACGCTACAATCAAGAACAGAATAAAATTGAAGCGTTGCGTCAGCGACACAATCAGGATGAGGTGCTGGTGCCGTTGCCACCATTGCCCACATCGACATTCTATCCACTGCCCGAGGACATTGAGATCATACAGTTTGTGAGCGAGGTGCCCGTTCAGGCATTTGGTGAGAATATGATGTATCCACGATTGCAACGCGAACATTTCATACTACCCTGGCTGTCGACGGCGGCGACGGCAACAACGGCGACGGTGGCCACATTGGCCAACAAACGGCTGCCCACCTCGAAAAAGGAGGCGAGACACCAAGAGCTCAATTCCTCCTATGTGTTCCTCAAGCGGCGCAAGCGGCAACAGCGTCGCTAATCAGACCCAGATCCCAGCAACAGCAGCCGAAGTAGTTATCAATTTTAGGCAACAAACACACTTTAAAATTGACGTTGCATATTGCATATTATATATATATATATATATACATATATAAAATCATTTATATTTTAAGCCCAATCTTTTTTTTTTAACTAAACAGTCGTTTGTAGAGACTTAAAAAGTGTAACTGGTTCTCAAGGCGAGAGAGAGAGCCACAAATTACTTTAAATATTTATATCTAATCCAACATCTCAGCTTTATCCACCTTTAAACAACCAACCCCTGAACTTTTTCTTTTTTAAATTGTATATCTTTTATGATTATATTTTTAATTTGCGCAATGTGTTTTTATAATTTTGTTCTTTCTATTTTTGCTTTTTTTTTTGATTGGTTAGTTTAGTTGCTCAGGTATATATAGTTTTGTTGTGTACTGATAAATTTCGTAGATATATATACATATGTGTATATATATAAAGTCTGAAGTTTTGCATAGTTTATATTGGTAGCGTATATCAGTTTCGAAGTTTAAAGAAGAATGCTCGGACTTATGCCAACTATCCATACATATTATATACTTTGATTAATTATAATTTTCAAAAAAAAAATTGTTTCATCTTTAATCTGAAAATTCAACAAACGAGAAAAATAAATAAACTTGATTTCCAAGCTGTAAAATAACACAAAAACATGTTTATTCACCTCAAGCTCATAAAAGTCGGTTGAATCGTCTAATTACCATGATAAGAACAGATATATATGCACATATATATTATAAATAAATAAATATATATATATATTATAAATAAATATATATATATATATATATATATATATATATATTTATAGCATTGTGCAACGTCAACAAGAAAGTTGCATTTGTGGATTTTTTCTGTTCTTTTTCGGTTGCAGGCGCTCTTTGCATGTAAATTATATTTCTATCATTTTAAGCACTTGAATTAACTAGCTTAAGTCGACTAGCAAATCCTTCCAAATAGTGGGATATATAAAGTGAACGTCAAGAAATAGTCGTAAGTTGTAAACAGGAAATATTGATTTCTAAAAAAAAAATATAATTAAAAATTTTGTTTGGAAAGGTGTTGTAATCCGTTTCTTATGCGTTCAACTAAATGTTAGCTAGAACAATTTGTCGCCGATTTAAAAACAATTTTACTACCCACATTATTTTCTCTAATTATAATTAGACCAATGTTGTAATTATAATTGCAAATTGCTCCGACTACATATTCAGTAAAGAGAATTGTTCATTCTGGTTAACATAATTATATAGAGCGACAACAAAAAAAAAAAAGAACTCGATTTAAAGCTGCATACAATGTAACAAGTTTTAATGTATAAAATATTTAGTAAATGTTTACATACAATAATTATAATAATAATAATAATAATTATATTCATAGCTATACATTAAAAGTAATACAATTAAAATGCAAATTCTCAAATACTTGATAATTGGACTCATTTTGCGTAAAATTTTTTTTATTTTTTTTGAAATACTACTAATTGACAAAAGAAAGTTCGTTGCATTTTGGACGGAATAAAAAGCTTTGCAATTACTTGGTGCTCTGGGTGAGATACTGATGTGCTGTCGTGTCCCACAGCTCATCAATGGTGTTCAGCTGGTCGCGCCAGAGCTGCTCAAGCATGGTCCAACCCTGCGCCTGGGTAACAAGCACATAATCATTGCCCGGATGCAGGGTGTGCGTATAGGCGCCCATTATCAGACTCTGAGCGAGACGAGCAGCCACACAATACTTGAGATAGCCACGCTCCACATCGTTAACACTCTGGACACTGGTATAGCCAGCAAGGAAGATGCCACCGCTAGCCAAATCCTTGGCCTGTAGCATCATATAGGTCATCGCAATGCCAAGTTCAAAGATTAGCGGCGAGCGACTGGTGTCACCAAAATCAATGACACCCGTAACGCGATAAGAATTGGGTCGATCGGGATTTGTTGCATTCACCAGAATATTCTGTTCATTGTAATCGCCATGGATGATCTGCAGCTCCAGCAAGTTAATCAACCTCAACACCTTCGACTCGAACGTATCGATGATCTCCTCGCATAGCGCTTTGCGCTGATGATCTTCGAGCACGTAGAGGAAATCGCGTAATTGTGGCACCGATTGCAGCATCCACAGTGTCTTGTGGGTTTCGTATGCCTTGTGCGTAAAGCTCTTCAGTGCCCGATCCAATTTGGCCAAGTATTCACCGCTCTGATAGAGTAGATTTTTGGTCACATCCACTTCGTGAAACATTTTGCCGGGTATATATTCCAGCAGGCGCACCACATGTCCATTGCCACTCAGCTGTTCCACGGAGTAATAGCTGCCACGTGCATTGGCAATGGGTCGTGGACATTGCACGTTTTGTTTGGCTAAGAAAAAATAAAATAAATATGATAAGCCATAAATACATTGGTTAATTATAGCAACAGTTGTGCAAATAAGCTGAGACAAAACATTTTTTTATCACACTTTATCAAAGAAAATATACGTAAAGTTTGTTTATTTATGTACTGACAGATAACTTTTATTAACTAAACGATAACAATTGGCGCAAAAACTATTTTATATATATACATTTTGTTGTTGTTTTTATAACTTAAAACATCGCTCCCATCAAAGATATTGTCTAATGAAAATAGCGAATCGAATTTAATGATCAATTTTGAGAGAAAATTGTGCTTCCAAGATATGGAATAATTTGTGTGGCGCGGATATTTTATTTTATTGTTTTGTATGGTTTTATTGTAGTTTTTCTCATTATATTAAATATTTACCTAAGTAGAGCAGCAGTTGATTTTGAGCATCCACAAAATCCTCCTTTTTCGAATCCAAGGCATTCAGAATTTTCAGCACATAGCCATGCGGGCAATGTGACACAATCAAAGGGTTCTTTACATTACTAAAAAAAAAAATTACGAATAAAAATGCAATTAAATCAAATAAATAAATTACAAATTGTCAAAAACGCAAGTAAAATATTTGAACCAAATTCAATGTACCCAACGTACGCAGTGTTGCAAAATTTGGCAATGAACCTAAAAACCCGCAAAGATCGTGGCGAATGGCAAATTATAGCAGCGAGCAAGAAGCAGCATCAATATTCAGCTGCTGTTTTTTTTTTGGCGGAAAGTGTTTTGGCGTTGATTCCGCCGCAGAGAGCCGACTGTTTTTGTTTGCTGTTAATTGTTGATTATTGTTTGTGATTTGTTGTCATGGGCATAACGGGCCTGATACCGTTCCTGGAGAAGGCATCGGCCAGGGTGCATCTGAAGGATATGCGCGGCAGCACCGTTGCCGTGGACACCTATTGCTGGCTGCACAAAGGCGTCTTCAGCTGTGCCGAGAAATTGGCCCGTGGCGAGGATACCGATCTCTATGTGCAATACTGCCTAAAGTATGTGCAATTGCTCGTCTCGTACAATATTAAACCCATACTGGTCTTTGATGGCCAACATTTGCCGGCCAAGGCGCTGACTGAGCAGCGACGACGCGAATCGCGTCAACAGAGCAAAAAACGGGCCGCGGAACTGTTGCGATTGGGTCGTGTGGAGGAGGCACGCTCCCAAATGCGTCGCTGTGTGGATGTCACCCACGAGATGGCTCTGCGCCTGATCCACGAGTGTCGCGAACTCAAAATCGATTGCATTGTGGCGCCGTACGAGGCAGATGCACAAATGGCCTGGCTAAATCGGGCGGGCATCGCCCAGTATATTGTGACGGAGGATTCGGATCTGACGCTATTCGGTGCCCAGCGAATCATATTCAAGTTGGACTTGAGTGGCGCTGGTCTGCTCGTAGATGCAGAGAAGCTTCATCTGGCCATGGGGTGTCGCGAGGAGCGCTTTCAATTCGACAAGTTTCGACGCATGTGCATCTTATCCGGTTGTGATTATCTGGACTCGCTGCCGGGCATTGGCCTGGCCAAGGCATGTAAATTTATGCTAAAAACCGAACAGGACGATATGCGTATTGCATTGAAGAAAATACCACAATATCTCAATATGCGCAATCTGGAGGTGAGTTACGGAATCAAAATTCAAATGAGCACTATACTATTTATTTATTATTATTCCGGTGTACTTTGTGTAACATCCTCGTCTGGTTGAGGGTTACTAATCTCTTCCCAGTTTAAAGCATGTTTCGCTAGGATACTGCATCTTTTCTAGTTAAAGCGACAATACCTTGTTTGATCAGCTGACTTCTTAGTCTACAATATCTTGTCAAGAGATCGGTGAGTGTTCCCAGTCCGTTTTTCACCTTATCGTTTTTGATTATAGCCGCTTGATACCCGTCGAGGTTGCCTGGTCTGATGCCTCCGCCCAGCTCAGTTGTCGCCTATGTCATTTTTCGATCCTCAGTTATGCAGTTGTTGCCAAATTGTGTGTCCTCCCATACCACAAAACGGTTCTGATTCTGCCGCATCATTCCCTGCTATATCCACTATGATCTTATGGGTGATTGTGTGCTCCGAGTTGGTCTAGCTTGGACCGTAACTCACCAACAACTTTTGACATCACTTTTGTCCTCCCACGTGCATTTAATGTTGCTTGATTAACGGATAGGATGCACACATAGGATGATATGTGGTTTCATAGGGAAGATCTTATCTAACGACAGCCATTCCCACTTACTACTCATGTGCGACACAATCCATATTCATTTTAATATTATTGTTCTGTTCGCAAATATTTAAACAAAAGTGTCTAAACTACTACATGAAGTAAGCTTAATTGTTATAACTACGCTCAAGATATTATTATTGATAAGTGTGAAAAAATGATGAATGCGCCATTTCGATGGGGGAAACTACGCAGCACATATAGCAACAATTAACTATTAACTAATTAACTTTGTTTGTTCAATTTGTGCAATTTGTTCAGGTGGATGATGCATATATCGAGAATTTCATGAAAGCGGAGGCCACCTTCAAGCACATGTACATCTACAATCCGCTGGAGCGGCGCATGGAGCGTCTGAGCGCTCTGGAAAACAATGAGACTGATGAAAGCTACTGCAGCAATGCTGGGTCATTGCTGGCAGATAACGAACAAGCCTTGCATTTAGCCCTGGGCAATCTGAATCCGTTTACGCTCAAGCGTCTAGATAATTGGCATCCAGATCGCGTGGATGCCACGAAGCCAGCAAAGCACATAAAACACAGCAAGCACAAAAGTATCTGGCAAAGCAATAGCCACCAAGAACTTGTCGAGCAGCCAAAGGAGACAAAGCAAACATCATGTGCATTGTTCTTCAAGAAAGTGGACTTTGTCGGCCAAACTATAGATGACGAGATCGAAGCCAATCAGCGCCAGGAACAAGCGAAACACACCGAAGCTGAACTCTTCAATATATACAGTTATACGGGCAAACGCAAGCGTAGTCCTGATGAGAATGCAACGCCTCCGGCATCGCCCGTGCACAGCAAGAGTCGCCACTCGAATCCGTTTGCCAAGGAGACACCACGTTCGCCGATCGTCTGTGAAAATGCATCATTGCTGCGACTGCTTAGTCCAAAGAAATCGAGCGAGGACCGTTCGACGCGAGTAAATGCGCTAAAGCGGAGCATATTCACCCAGGAGCAGCGAGTGGTGGAGGTGCGTAGTCGCTTCTTTGGAGCGCCACAAGTGGCGACTGAAGCAAAGACAGAGCCTAATACAACTGAGAGCGAGAGCAAGCAATTGCAGGTAACTGAAACTGCATCGGATATAAAGGGTAACAACGATGATGATGCTATCATTTTGCTCTCGCCATCCTGCTCGGAGGATGATACCAGTTCACAGAGTGCACCAGTGCCGAGTAGGCAGGAGACTGCTTTGCACGTTAAACCTGCCCTGGCGCCAACTGCCCGACGTGTTGGCCTGTCCAAGCCAAAGACGAACAAGCGAACCACCGCCACAAAGACTGCCAAATTGGCTGAGAATCAAACCAAGCTAAGCATGTTTGGGTTCCAGCAGAGACCTGTTCTAAAATAAATCTCAGTATTTTTAAGCTTATTCTTTGTTCGTTGAGTGTCAGCAATTTGTTTAAAAAAATTTATTAAGCGACAAAGAGTCTGTTTTTACTGCCCTATTTATAATAATTTAATCAAATAAAAAAGACTACTATTATTAAATGGAACACAAAAAAACACTGAGAAGAAAACATTCTTAAATTTAGTTAACTCAATAAAGAAAGTGTCAATTGATGTCGCTGTTATTATTTAATCACACAATTGAATTTTATCAAAATTAGAAACTACACTTGAAAAGGTAACAGTGTATTCTTGTATAGATGATACATATCTATGTGTATATATTAACTTTTAACTTTTGTTTACTTGGGTTTAAGCATTTTTTTTTGTGTAAAATGCAAATTAACATAAGTTTGTCAAAACTCAAACGATTTCTAAAATCAATAACGTTTTGATCGATTTCTCCTACGGAAAATTGATATATTTAAATTTGAAAACACGATTTTGTCGGTATTTATGTTAATATTAAAAAAAAAAATGGAATTTAGGTAAGTCTTAAATTTGTTGACAGCACCAACTTTCACAAAGTAAGTACCTTTTCAAATTATAATTTATTTTAGGTATTTACGATAATTTTTGCTTGAAACAATTTTCAAATGGAAATTCTAATCTACAATATTGGATATATTCAGTTGCGAATATTCCATATTCATTTGAAACTTATACTTAGATGGGTATTTAGACTTTGGCAACCCATAGATAGCTGTACTTTCTAGTTGTTATGTAAACATACTTTCTAGTTGTTATGCTTGGATGTGGTGCTGCAATTAGTTTTAGTTAGTTACTTAACTGCTATAATGATTTATGGCAAGCGCTGTCAAATAATGTAAAAAAAAAAAGTTATGTGCCAACCCAAAAGATAAGAAAGTAGGATGTTGACAAGATGACTGACAACAGCAACACCAAGAACAACAAGGGAAAATACGTCAAACTCAATTGCACCCCACAGCAACTTTAATTAATATCACTAAAATTAGACTCTGGGTGTGTCTCTGTGTCTGTTTGTGTGTGTGTGTTTTAATGTGCGAATCAACAACCAATGTAAACATTATTGTTTTGTGTTTTGCAGTCTTTGGGTGAGGTGTTTTATACACTCGGAAAAAAGTTACCCTGTTTATGTGAAATCTTAAAATACTCAAATTTAATAATATTATAAGTAACAAAATAGCTAATATAAGAATTCTTCTGCGTACACATAGAAAACAGAACCCTGGAAATTAGATATACATCATGTCTTTGTCCACAGCTTTCAATTTTCGAAATTTACTCTCTGAATCCTTGACGTATTTCTAAAATTTAACGTAATTGTTTTTCTGAGTGTACAAAGAGCTGCAGCAAATTGAAATTGCCGGAAAAGAAGTACTTTCAGTAATTGAAACTATGCCAAACGATAAGTTATAATTTTCGAGCCACTACATTTTTTTTATTAATAATTTAAAGCAATGACAATAATATTAATAGTATTTATTGCTACTCACCAATCGGCCTGTATCCAGTAGTTGCGATCATCGTAGGCATTTAGCTCCTTCAATTCGCTCACTGTAATCCCGTAGAGACGTCGCACCAGCGGCTCCACATTTTCCGGCTCAATTTTCGGTTTGATATCCGAGCCGGGCTGCAGCACCCCATCACCCTCAGCTGGCGCGCTCTCTTTGCCATTTGTGGCACTTGTTGTGGTTGTTGTTGTTGATGTTGTTGGAGTCGTTGTTGTCGTCTCGTTTGCCTTGCCACTGTTGAGCTTTTGGGCGCCATCGTATACGTGATTCAGTGTATATGATTTTTTGGTAATGCTCGTCAGCTCCACATTATTCCACTGTTCCATTTTGGTAAGGCTTTTTGTTGTTATCGGAATGCAGCAAACAAAAACAGAATAAATAAAGTAAACAATATATATATATATATATACTATGTAGTCTGAAAAGATCAGAATACACACGATCGAAATGTGCTTGGTTTTACGCTCGAAAGCGAAATGAATTCAATTTCAAGCGCTCCAATTGAAACGAGTTCGTCGTCGTCGTCGTTGTCCCATCTTCATCATATCTTTAGGCAGTTAGTATATATACATATGTAGATATTTATATGCATATATATATATATATATATATATATATATATATGTACGCCTTTTATCTGTGTGGGTGTGTGTATATCCATATGTGTTTGTGTTGCTTGTGTTGCGCCTGTTTTATTAACCCTGCTAATTGGCTTATTTATTTTATTTTTTATAACCTTTTCTGTTTACATTTTGATTGCGACGCTACTTTATTTATGTACATATCTAGGTACATAAATATGTTGTTTACTTTTGGTTTACTTTAAGGTGCATTGTTGCGGCACTTTTATTTACCCTGCACATGCTTAAAATCTATGGCAAAGAGTGTTATGAAGTTGTGATGGCGCAGTAATTATTTAAATTGAATAGTTTTATAATAAATATTTAAAAACAAAATAATTAAATACATATTTAAATAACTATTTAAAAATAAAAGTTCCCAATTTGTTGGGATATATACTAGTCGCGCAACATTTTCGAACGTAATTTTTGGATCATTTTTATTTTTGCATTGCCCAATGAGGCCGCAAAAGTAACAAACAAACTTCAAGTCGTGGTCGCACTATATTAAACTAACTTAACGTTAATCAATGTATACACTAAATATATATGTATATGTAGGTATATACACATACATACACAAATTTCATACACATATATACATACATTTATAAATCCAATAGATTTGATTGTAAAAAAAATTATAGCGTCTAAGCTGTCGTTCCAGAGATAGTATAAATTAACAACAATCAAGTGTCAAAAGAGAGTGACAAAGAGAGACAGAAAAAAAACTCAATTGAGCGGCACAGCTAGCAATATATAGCCTAGAATCGAACAACAAAATTGTGCAATAAATCTATTTAATTGTTGTTGTTTCTTTGCTAGTGTAGAGGTAGTGCTGAGGGAGTAATGCGCAATTAAAGCTCAGCTTGAAGGCCAATGAGAGAGAGAGAGAGGGAGAGCTAAAATTAGTTTGTTATATAATAGTTGTTAAGGTTTTTTATTGGCCCATATCCGTTGCCGTTACAATTTTTAATGAATGAAGCGAACGACGACCTTGACTCGAATGCAGTTTTATTCGTAAAGCTGCAGTGCAGCACTTAACACTGGTCACTCACACACACATCATGTAAATATGCACAGCTGATGATTGTTAATTATGCGAATTGGCATACCTAATTGAACTGCTCAAGTGTGTGTGTTTGCTTATTATTAAAATGCACGTTTTTCATTTGGCAAGCCAACAACACGCACCTGTTCTCCGTACAACTTGTAAATTTAAACTAACGTTTGCGATTTGTTTTCGAGTTGAGCTGACCAACAAGGGCTAACTTTGCATGTGGAGGAAGAAACGCGTCGCGCTTACAGCTCAATTCATATTATTTTTGTAATTAGCAGTGCAACAAAAAGAGTTGAAAAGTTCTCTATTATCAGCAGCGCCAAAAACAAAACAAAACAAAAAACGCGAGGAATTAGTCGAAATAGGAATTCAAATATATTCAAGGCGCGTCGACATGTGAATGGCAGCTTAGCTGCATCTTCCACTGCCCATGGCTGCCAGCTGATTTTATTTTGTATTTTTGTAGCACATAACCTCAAAATTGCTTGATTTCGATTTCTTTTGTGTTTTCACATTGATTTCGCTATATAATTTTCTTTTCGTTATTTTCTTCAATTCACATTAGTTAAATGATTAGTTAAATTAATTGAGACGATGGATCAACTGTATGTGGAGATTGAGATAAGCACACAAAATGCGGAAACAACAATATACACCAGCGTGCCTTCGTTCCTAGCGCTTTACACATATCGCTACCTCAAAGAGCCCTCAAATATTAAAGTTAATTTTGTTGCGAGTAAAATTGACTCGGGAAAGATAGCTTTACGCAGCTCCCAGCTGCGACGTGAACTAACCGAACAGCATATAACGTGTCGTGAGGCTGCAACGCTGCCCGCTCTGAGGGATCTTCGTCTGCCGATTTATCAGCGAAATGGAAACATTTTCATTGCTGGCACCTGTGCCGTCTGCCGGGAGCTCATTGCCCGCCAACCGAGTGCCCATTTGCGTCAACTATTGGGTTTCAAGGGCAGTTGCCTGCTAGCGCCCGCCGAAGCCTCCATTTGGACGCGTTTCTGTGAGGTGGATGTGGTTAATTTGGTCACCCAGCTGCAGAGCGGAGAGCTACAGTTGCGTGAAGTGCCCGCTGAGGTGGTGCGCTTTGAGCAGCACATGAATCAACCGGTGCGCATGCACAACATCTATAAACTGGCCCGAGAACAGGCGAATCAGTTGGGAGAAAATGGTGTACCAGTGAAGAGGAAAGATCGCATCCTCATCGAGTGCAGCATACCCAAGGAGCAACTGTTGATCGAGCATCGTTTTGCCGAGGGCATTAGCTTTACCATTGCCGATTTAATACTCTACCCACTGCTCCGACTAGTCTTCCAGCATTGCGCCCAAATGCTGCCACATTTTCCGCTCACCAGCACCTGGTTCAGTGAGGTCAGCTGCTCTAAATTCCCTAATCTGTACCCCTTATTAACTAATCTTTCAATTGCTTGCAGATTGATAGCTTTGATACGAACTGCGCCCGCATACTGCATGAGTTATATGTACCGCTGCTGGTGGCGCCGGCAGAGAATACACAATTATTGAGCATACCCGACTGCGAGGAGGCGAGCCTCTACAAAGCCGACCCCAAGCGATATCGTCCCCGGAATCGCATCTACACCAGCCAGTTGGAAGTCGATGCTGCTCTGGCCAAGCTCTCACAGCTACAGCTACATTTTAGCACCGATTCGGAGCAGACATATGGCGAACAATTGATCGATTGGCAGGATATTGAGCCGACGCATGCGAAGAGCTCAGCGTTGCCCGAGGAGCGGCTAGAGCGTAAGCGTCAACAACTAGAGAATATGGCCAATGCGGTTGTCTCTCTGGCACAGGCCAACGATCGCATTGTTGACTTCTGTAGCGGCACTGGGCATTTGGCTATACTCCTGGCTCTAAAGCTGCCCCAGTGTATTGTGATTGTGCTGGAGAATAAGGCATATTCACTGGCGCATGCCCACAAACGGGCCGCGGAGCTGAAGCTGACCAACTGCGTCTTCTATCAGTGCAATATTGATTATTTTATGGGACGCTTCGATATTGGCGCCTCGTTGCATGCCTGCGGCACAGCCACCGACATTGTGCTGCAACAATGTCAGCGTGTCCATGCGCGCTTCGTGTGCTGTCCCTGCTGCTATGGTTCGCTGCAGCCAATGCCACACATTGCCTACCCGCTGAGTGCTCGATTTCGCCAGGTGCTCGACACAAAGGATTATCTCTATATAGCACATACAGCGGATCAGGCACACGAATTAGGCACAGTCAATTGCAAGCCGGAAATCACGTTGCAGGGGCTGCATTGCATGTGCGTTGTGGACACTGATCGCAAACTGCAGGCGGAGGAGGCTGGCTACAAGGTGATCCTAACGCGCTTGAAGCCGGAGCAATGCACGCCAAAGAATCATTTGCTAGTCGGTCGCATTTAATATCAACTTTATATTCAACATTCACTGCCTAACCAAAAGAATAATCTTAAAATGTATGGAAAAAATATACTATGTATGTGGACATATGGAAAAGTCGCAGGTCTTCCATCTGAAGAAAAAAAAGAACAAATAAAAGTTTTGCATTTTTTTATAAGATTTTTTGACTTTTGCTTAAGAGTTCAAGTGTGACTATTTGTGGCACTTTTAATGAGTTGTAGAGAATCGGTTGCATGATGTTAATAAACAAATAGATACATATTATATATCTGATTAGCAAACTCATCATTCTCGCTGAGTTTAGCTCTCAAATCAATTCAATTACAAATATTTTAAAACATTTTCATAAATAACTAAAAATTATATGCTTTTCTTTGTAGTTCTTCGTAAATACCGTTGACGATTTTCTTTTATTTGAGAAACACGAATTTCTTGTAGAAAATGACTTAATGAGTTATCAATTTACTAAAGACGAGTGTTCAACGCCTGTCTAATCAATTAGTTTTGTTGCTGCCGCCGCGCAAGGCAAGAACCAAATGTAGCACGGAGCCGCCTTGCACTTTATAGTCTGCCGCCGTTTTGTCATCGTTCCTGCAAAAATTAACAACATTTTAATAATTTTACATATATACACTTTTTTATACCTGACGCACATTTGTTTGCCGGAGAATATGAGACGTTGTTGTTGTGGTGGTATGCCTTCCTTTTCCTCGACGCGTTCCTTTATGCGGTCAACCTTATCTGTGGGCTCAATATCGATCTCAATTTCCTTGCCAGTCAGTGTCTGTAAGTAGGAGTTTCACATTATTAATAAATATATTTTGCTGTATTTTTTTTGTTGTTGGTCGCCAAGCTGACGCATGGTGGACGCTGCATCATTCCGCAAATTGGGCATGTTGCTTGCTTCGCCGTATTGGCATTACCTTCACTTTGATCAACATTGTGCTTGTGTGTTATTTGGTTTTCCCAAATACCAAATATTAATTTAAAATTAATTTGCTAAATTTTATTGCAAGTTTGCTCGGGTCGCGGCGTTTTTGCGAATGTCATTCGAGCGGTGCTGCCAACTGTATGCAATTCACCTGTGCTCTGAATGTCGATAGCACGTTTTATCGATATATTTTCAAATTTCTTTAACAAAAAGGAAAATGAAATTTCTAAATTTTAATTGTGCTAAAATATTAGATTATAATAATCAGTTCTGTACTTTTTTGGCGCAGAAATCGTAGCTCGATATCGAACTCGATAAAGCGATCACAATTCATAAAGCAGATCTGCATTTTTTTTAGTTTTGCCTTTATTTACAATCTAAATACAATTATTTACATGGATTTCTAGATCAAGCGACTTATTTGTGATTATTAATGGCGTGGACGGCCTCGCTAATGTGCCGAATGTCCCGGGCATAGGTCCTGCAGCAGCCACCAATGATTTTCGCGCCCAGCTGCGCCCATTCCGGCACATATTTCTCGAGCGGCACACAATGTTCACGGCCCTGCCAACCTGTTGTCACATCGTAGACCTCGCCGCTGTTTGGATAGACCACTAGTGGGATTTGTTCCTCCACGCTACGCTCACCATTCAGGCTTTTGAAGAGCGGAGTCACAAACTTGGGATGCACACAATTCACGCCCACAGCGAGGCAATTGTCCAACGCCTTTCGCTCTCGCAATATGTCCCAAATTGCATTCGCAGCGTCAGCGAACTCTTCGCCATGCGCCAGCCTGCTCTCGTCCTTGCATTGAAATGCCACCCAGAATTTCACGTCGGGATAATCATCGCAGAGCATCTCAACCAATGCTTCTGCCTCCATTTGGCAGGGTATCGTTTCAATAGCCAACGCATCCACGCCCGCCTCTAGACAGGCCTCAATGCGGACGCGATGCCAGTCGGTTATGGTTTTTGGGGCCACATAATCCGCATACTCGCCCGTGTACTCGGATCCGTCGTGCAGATGAGCGCCAAATGGTCCAATCGAAGCAATAATCAGCGGGTAACCTGTTAAATAAAGGGCATCTTAGCAATTTGAGCATATTTCGTATTATCGGGATTTGACGATTGAACAACTTTGTGACCGCAAACCGCAAAATATATGATGCAAATCTAAAACATCGTATCATTGTGGGTATCAAGTGAGTTTTAAATTTATATGGTGCTTTACTGTCGTTCGAAAACAAGGATGAAATCTTTGTATAATAATATCAATGATAGCTTAACAAAGTAAATTTCTTCCAATGGGTCTAACTTTTAATCAGTTTTGTGACTATAGACTGTTTAACTTCTTAATAAACACCTATTTTAGGAATTTATGGCAAGGATTCTGCTGTCAAATTGGTTGTTCTGTTGTCGCAGAAAGCTTGACAGTTTTCCAGTAATCTTTAAAATTGTTTACTCACCTTCGTTCACTTCCAGCTGCGCCTCATAGCATTCGGTTAGATACTTTTCTTTGGCCACGTGCGCCAGTTGTACAGTGTTCTTGATTAGCTCAATGCTCTCCTGCTCATCCAGCTCCAGATATTCCATATAGCCCTCTACACTCGTCTGATATGTGTTTGTCAGTATCATATCAGCGCCATCTATTGCACAGATCGATAATGCAAGCCGTGGTTAACAGATGTATGTTAATATGTTTGTATGTTAATCACTTACTCTGCAGAAAATCGAGATGGGTATTGATGACGGCCGTTGGATTGGTGGCATTGAAGCGTGCACTCCACAACGGATCACCATCGACGGAGTTGCCCACATGCACGGTCATCTGGGTGCCAAACCCGCCATCCTTAACCAGCAATCGCGTCAGAACCATAATTAATAAATTGTATGCTAAATAGTAGAATGGGGAATTTGTTATTCAATTTGTATTAAAAGAAATTCTCGCTGATAACATATTTTTACATCGCTGTAATGGATTCTTATCAGCAAGTGGCAGAGCCATCTGTTGTTTGTCAACACAACAATCATCAATGTGAGCCTTGACACCTGACAATCCAATAAGTGCACTGAGAGAAATTCTAATATAATATTAAGACCAATACTGATCAACTAGATTCAAGACAAAAACGTACCGAAAGGAAACCAAAAATTATATTTAGATTGAGTGCTTTTGTGCTAGAATGAACAATCTTGAATATTTTTCTTACTCCTCATTTTTTAGCACAGTTTTTGATTTGATATTTTGTACTTTTCAAAAATTCTATCAAATTTAAATAAAACTTTTTTAAATTATATGATCGTCGTTTACTGATAGTCAATATCTAGAGCAATTTTTAACATATTAAGTCACTGTCACTGATTAAGTTGAAGCTTATCACTTTTTGAACTACAACCCTCTGTTCCAATAAGCAGCAGCTGCATCGAGAGTTTAATGATGATGAACTTGCTTCTTTCAACAAACAACAACGAAAACAACAACAAGTAATAGTAATAACACAGTTGTTTGTCAGCAATTAATGGAAGATTTTTGCTAAGCACAAAGCACTTACCTTGAAAATCGTATCAATGTGTGTATGTAATTGATTAAGTTGTTATTTTTCTGTAAGTTACTAAGCGGACGAATAACAAATGTATTTATATAACATATATATATTCCGTTCGGTCTGCAGCTCAAACTAAATATGGCAGATTACAATGTTGACCGCCTGTCTTTATAGGCTGCTCTTATCACACTGAGCCATATGCTCAACAGCAGCAGCAGCAGCAGCAATAAAGTAAAAATATGAACTTAAAGTCACAAGAAACAATAACAAGTGCCCCGGACAACGTCAATGATATTTTTATTGTATCTTATTCATCATTTTTTAATCGGATCTGATACAATATCAGTTTTTGCTTGTTTGAAACAAAATATAACTTCTCTTTGTTTAACAACTAAAGAAGGAAGTGAATAATAAACCTCGATACTGTTTAGGTATGTTCGTCAAAAAAAATATAGTTATATATATTAATCACTTACTCTTTAAATAAAACAAAGAGGAAAATTATAATTTTATTAATCACTTATTAGTTTTTAATTTTTGTTGATCTGATGCGATGTCAGTTTTTGCTCTTTTTGTATTCTTTTAAGAAAGAAGTAATAATATTGTTTTAAATTACTTATTAGTTACTAAATTAACTAATATCTTAAAAAAATGTTTTAAATTTAAAATATATACAAATGAAATAAGAAACTAAATCTCAAAAGTGATTCTGGCCTACCTCAATTTTTTGGCCTTTGGTCTTTCTGATAAGTAAAGAAATCTGATGTAATAATAATGGGTAAAGAATAATCCTTATAATGAGGATATTCAACGCTTTCTAAGTAAAAGTGGCTAGAGGAAAGTTTGTTGAAGGCCAATTCATTAATTGATTAGTAAATGTCTTATTAATATGGTATTAATCAGGCCTATTATGTTTAGTGCCGGCTCTGAGAGAGATTAGTCCGGCTCTGACAGAGATTAGTTCAGCTGATGTCTGGGATGGACAAACAGACAAACAGGCCGGCAGCGTCTGTTTTGATAACCTTTGCTGCCTTTGCCACCACACAGAATGTCGTGTGAACTCAATCGGTGAACATATGGCTGTTATATGTTTCACTCGCAGCTGTGCTCGAATCGAACAAAAAGCGGAAAATTTCTCTGGTTACAGTCTAATAGTAGTTGATAGTTGAAATTATAAATAATGTTGCTTTACTTTACTCTATTTTAAACTATTATAAAACTACTATAGACTCATATCATAGAAATTCGAGAAATTGGTTTATCTAACTAGCATAGGGAATATCAAAATATTAAGATCTCTTTTTTTTTTAATTTTTTGGCACGCTAGCAAAACTGACCTTGAAAATGATTAAACATCGAAAGAACAACAACAAATGCAATAAGAGTGTCTAACTTGAGTATGGACAATATAGAAATCTAGTTAAATTTACTAATTCAATAACTTCCTTAGACAAAAGAATGCTGCATTGAACCAATATACCCCATTTTTTGGCGGGCACAGCGTATACTTATTAAAAACACTATTAAAACCTTGCAGCATTGAACTGTTTAATCAGACGCAGCTTTCAATTTACCCTCTGAACAGCAAACAATTCCACAGATTATACATATATTTATATTAGCTTTAAAAATGGGTCTAGGCCAACTAAATGAGAAGTGAAAGAAACTCACAAAATATATACATTTTCGTTGGTAGCAACAGCATTTGAGAATTTTGAAATATTGATATATTTATATATATATATATATTTATATTATATATTTGTACAGATAGTAACACTTATATATTAGCATGATTTATACTGTGTGTGGGAAAGAAATTACGGAACTGAGGATGTTTGGATTTGCGCTTGAGGCTGCTGAGCGATGCTATCAATGTACTTGCGTATCTCGAGTATGTCATCAGGATAGACGCGACAACAGCCGCCGATGATGCGGGCGCCTAGTTGCAGCCACTGGGGCACAAAGGAAATCGCATTGAGACCGGTGCCCGTCCACTCGCCACGCTCGGCATCGTACACCTCACCGCGATTGCTGTAGATGACCAGCGGCGGCAGCTGCTCTTGCGCCATGGTTGCTCGCAGAGACTCAATCAGCGGCGTTACATAACTGGGATTCACACAATTAACGCCGATGGCCAGCAAACGGGATTGTGCCTCATGCTGCTGCACGAGACGCCAAACGGCCAAAGCAGCCCCGGCAAATGATTCACCATGTGCCAAATGCAGCTCATCCTATGGGTAAATAGATATAAGTTTACCACAAATGTATATTTAAGCTAAGAAAGCTTCACTACTATTCCACTACTCATTTGTGAGCAATTTAAAGACTTTAATTTTATGTTGTTAATAGTTTTATAGATATATATTTCAAAAGTCCAACACTCACCTTGCACTGAAAAGACACCCAAAACTTGGCCGTTGTCGATCTCTTCAGGATGAGCTCTGTAACCGCAAGAGCCTCCAACTGGCACGGCAATGTTTCCACAGCTAAACCATCCACGCCAGCCAGCAGACAGGTATCGATGCGTGTTGTGTGCCACTGCTGCAGCTGCTCGTAGTTGACACGATTCGCATAGCTGCCCTGATACTCGGAGCCGTCGTGCAAATGGGCGCCATACGGTCCAATCGAGGCCAATATCCAGGGCATATCGGCGTCAATGTTGCCATTATTTGCTGCAGCCAATTCAGCCAAATATTCCGATTTGGCATCGTGTGCCAGCTGAACACTTTTCGCAATGAGCGCAATGCTCTCCTCGCGTGTTTTGCCCAAATGTTTCATGAAACCCTCCACGCTGGACTGATACGTGTTGGTCAGTATTATATCAGCGCCGTTGCGCAAGAAATCCAAATGCGTTTTGACCACAGCAGTGGGTTGGGTGCAATCGAAACGGGAGCCCCACAAGGGATCACCATCAACTTTTTCGTTCACATTGCGCGCTAGTTGACTGGAAAAGCCGCCACATTTCACTAAAATGCGCTCTGCTTTTTCCACATTCCATTTTCCGATTGTAGCGGGCAACATGCTTCTTAAAATGCGATTGCAAATGATTTTCGTTTCACTTGAAGGGTAAAATATTTATATATGTTTATTCGACATTTACCTACGTGAGATTCTCAGTTTTTGCTTAGTACGTTTTGTTGTTTTGTTCTCGACGCTTGCCTTTTCTTTTGTTATTTGTCGGTGCTGGCAACATTTCTTTACAAAAGCACACACACAACACGCACACTATGCTTTTTTCCTTTGTGTATGTGTGGGCTATTCTTATTTGGCTGAACTACGCATTCTCATTCATACTCAACACACACATGCACTTCCACTTATTCGCCGCACAGCTGACTTCTGTTTACAAATGCGCTGGTGTTGCTCTGCGTGCAGAAATGACAACAGCGGCTGTCAAAATAAATGTACAGTTGACACTGTTGACAGCTGGCGTTGCAAATAAAAAGGTCGCTGAATTGTGCATAATTTATAGCTGTAATATGTGGAATGTTTTTAAAATGTAGCTGCACTTTTTTTTTATTTTGCAGGGTGGACTATTGACACAGTGCAACTCCAAATTTACTTGGGGCTATTAGCCCTATAAATTACAGCTGTCGAATTGCTAGAGATTCCCATAGGAGTCTTGACTTCTGTGCTACCCACAACATAGCTGATTCTCATGCATCGCAGCACATCCCAGCGGTTAGACAGGATCTGGGCTGATGAGCCTTGACACTTGATGGCAAATTGATGTTCTCTCTTAAGAACTTTGGCTGCAGAGTCGAGCGACGGCATCGAGTGCCATGAGTTCCTGGAAATGACATCTAGAATCCATATATCCCATGAATATATATGGTTTCTAGATTGTAGATTTCTATCACAGTGAGAAGGGATTTAATTTGTAGTAGGGAAATTCTTTTTAATAAGTGCATCTAGCATCGAATATCTAGGGTATATGTATTCTAGATGCATCCATTTAAAAGCTATTTACTTATTTCGCCTAATTTCCTCTCGTTCTGACAATGAATTTTTTAATTGTTTGGGTACTTCGAAGAAGCAGTTCTAAATTGCCATGTACTTTGAAGATCTGTAAGGATATTTTTGATATAATTTGTTGTCACCTATCTGCGCCTAAAAGTATGCCACATTTTTAATCAATGAATTTTAGCCAATGAATCAACCACATTTGTTCCAATGGTGCGTGTACATGCTAAATAACATTTTCCATAAAGCAAATCAAAATTAAAATAGTATTTTGTTTATTTCAAATGCAGTTGTTGTTTTTGTTGCTAAGTGTTTAAATAACAACACCTTCGTTCAGCTTTATTTATTACTGTGCTGTTGCACAAAATAAAACACCTAGTAAACTGCTTGATTTGTGGAGAAACAAGTTTATTCGCTGAGAATAATAAGTATATATTTATATATAAATACATATTGATAATTTATATAGTCGATAATAATACATATTCATAAACAAATTGAGTACGAATTTAATTTAAATATTTGTTGCCATTCTTTCAACGGCTGTTAGTAAATATATAATGTTATTGTTGTTTATAATTGATCTTTTTGGGGTGTTAGGGTATTATAATCACATTGATGTTTTGTATATAGATGTATATATATAGATAGGTATGTATATATAAATAAATAATAGTAAATTTGACAAAAGCAAATCAAATTGGAAAATGCCATATTAAACAATAAATGTAACTTTGGTAAACTTACGCATCGTATAAATTCTAAATCCATTGTGTTATTGTGTTCATCATTTGCAACATCAGCTCAAATGTGCCAATAAATATATATATTTAATACGTATATCTAATGTACAGTTTTCTTCATTTCGATTTTTTTTTTGCACTAAATAACAGTATTCGTATATAGATATCAATTGTCAATTAGTTGTTATTTATATGCATATTTTTACTCTTCCCAAGTTTAGGTCAGCTGCCCTTGTCATCATCTCCCTTAAGAGTTTTCGTGCTCTGATTAAACAATCAGAGAAATACTTTGCTCAAAAAATACATTATCTGCCGTTGTAACGGTATATTGGCTATATATATATATGTATGTATGTATAATGTATGTATGTATATGTATCGGGTTATGTGCATGGAAGTTCATTGTGTCTGTGTGTCGCGGCTCTGCTTATCGTAATGATTGCGAAAATGCAAATGATATAAAAAAAAGTACAAAACGGAATATCGAAAAATTAAATTAAGCAAAAAAGCTACGGGTTTTATCATCCAACCGGATGATAATCCGGCTAATGACAATTTTGTATCATTTTTTTTAAACATTGTCCCAGTCTCTACTCTGCTTTGTTTCATTTATATATATATATTTTTTTTTAGGAATTTTCCACACGCTGATAACGGATAACGGAACATTCCGTGTGGTCGCTCGATAATTGGATCGTTTTAAACAATATTTATATAAACTATTCTATATACTTTAAGTAATACGATATATTCAAGTGCTTAATAAGTTTTGGAATGATGATACACCTAAAAAAAAAGAAGGTGTTTTAAACATAATAGTTTTTAAAAGTACAGTTTAAAGTTTCAATATTTGATGATGATATTCTGATATTTGAAAGAATTTGAATTACTCGAATAATACAAAAATACATTGCTATATTAAACTCTTACGTTTTTACATTGTATTATAATTATTAAGATGAATATAAATATTGGAATTACTAGAAACAAATACTTATCAAAACAAACTATATTCCAATGTGTTGTAGGATAAAAAATGAAAATTTACAACGATTGCTATTTCTGAAAGATCTCAATGTTGGAGCGACCACTCTATCGATACCGATAAACGATAACAGTCCACTCTTTCTCTAAGAGAAGAGATTATTGCGCCGCTTGAGCGAACCAAATTTCTTTTCGGCCTCGAGCAGCATCTTCTCCTTGCGCACCACCTCGAAGGGTATTGTTTTGGACATGCGATCGATTTCCTGATCCGATGGAAAATCCTCAAAGCTCATATTGCTGAAGCCAGTCTTTGCCGAGTTCTGTATGGTATTCGATTGAAAATTGCGACTGCTACCGGCTCCTCCTACTCCTACTCCTCCTGCACCAGCCCCACTAACACGATTCTCATCCTGGGCGACAGCAAGATCATCATCATCATCATCGTCATGGGATTGATATTGAAGACGCTGATGTTTCTGCTTGCTGCCGGAGCTCAGAGATGAGGTGGAGCCCAGTGCACCGGCGCTGACCTTTTTATACGCATGCCCCTTGACCTTTTGGGTGAGCTTGGCGGGCAGCGCTCTCACAGCCAAATGGGACTTTTCCTTTTTGGGCTTAACAGTTGCCGTGGCCGGGATGTGGTTGGATCCATCCGCAACCAGGTCGGCGGAACAACGCAACACCACCGGCTCCTCCTCATCGTCCGGTGTAAAGTCCGAGCAGCGATCTTGAGAGATTTGCACAAAACCATTATCAGCAATTGCCAGCAACGGCTGCAAATGTGTAGGTTGTAATTGTAATTGTGGCTGAGGTGGTGCGGGCACAGCAATTGCGGGTACGGTTGGTGGTGCTGGTATTGCAATTGGAATTGGAACTGGAGCTGGAGCTGCTTGTGTGTTGGTTGAGGTGATGCTGGTGTTGTTGGTGCCACTGGAGGAGCTGGCGGAGCAACTGCTTGCGGCTGGCACATTCACATAGACGCTACTGATGCTGCTAATCTTGTGATTATTATTATTGTTAGCCAGCGGCGGAGGTGGTTCGGGCGTTTTATTTATTATAATCGAATGATTGATTGTCACCAGCTGTGAGCAGCTGGCGGGGATTACTTTAACATTATTATTATTATGCATATTGATATTGTTGTTGTTGTTGTTGGTTTTGGGATAGTGCTGGAGCTGGAGCTGGAGCGGGAGCGTTGGCTGTTCGACAACGATACATTTGCGTATTACCTGTGGAAATGGCTCAGAGCCAAAGAGATCCCGCTGCTCGCTGCCGTCGCCACCGCCTCCTCCTGCTGCTACCACCTCTGCCTCTGATGCAACAGATCCAATAAACGGATTAAAGATGGGCTCATTGAACTCATCTAGCTGGGGTGCAGCGGCATTCACTTCCGGCTCGGGAAAGTTGGCAAAATTGCAGTCAGCAGTCGGCGGGGGCTGACTTGATTTGACCGGCGTCGAGGTCCACATTTCCGGCTCGCTAGGTCTGGGTCGTCGCTTGGGCGGCTTACCCACAGGCAGCTTGAACGGCGCCATGGCAAACACATCGAGCTCGTCGCTGAGCTCTGCCTGGGTAGCAGCAGCAGCTGCGGTTGCAGTTGCCACAGCCTGCGCGGACGATGACTCATTGCTGCTGCTCTTGCTCTCCGCCGAACCATAGTCCAGCTCATCGTCCAGCAGCAGCGGACGATCCCCAAACTTGTGCAGCAGATCACTCGATGTGGGACTCAGTTCATCACTATTAATGTTGATGCCACCACTCGCCGCAGAGGCGGTTTTTGGATCTGCTGCTGCAGCAGCTGCCGCCGCACGATCCTTTTTACGTAGACGCACCTTGACCACAACACGACTGCGCACATCATCCTCGTGCGTGGTGACGCTCTCGCATTCGGCATGATAAGCGGAACTGGAGCAGGTCTTCACGCTCTCACTGATCCCGTCCATATCGAGGGGTGGCGGACGTCGCAGCTTTGCCAGCGAACCAGCACGCGGATTCTCATCGAACAGATCATCGTCCTCTGCGCGCAAATCACTCGCCGATCCAATGGAATCCGCATCGTCATCCGATTCCAGCTGTGCCGCTTGTGCCGCTGCAGCGGCTTGTGCCGCCTGAGCAGCCACTGCGGCTGCCATTAGGTTGAGCTGTTGCGCCGCCTGCTGCGCAGAGGATGAGGGTCGTTTTGTGGTCGCCGTTTGGCGCAACTTTTTTACGATGGGCAAATTTGTGGTTTTGTCCATGTTGTGGTAGGCGACCTGTTGGATTTTGTGTATGGTTTCGGGTATGTTGCTGGTCACAATCTGCTTGAAGATCGCCGCACCCTTCTTGTTGCCCTCATCGCTGTCCTGCTGAAAGAACTCCGAATCGGAATCATCCGATGTGGGCTGATCATTGCTGCGCAATTTCTCGTATTTGTTGCGATCCTCCAGCGGCAACTTGACAAAGCCACCACCACCCGCAACTGCCTCCGATTGTAGTCCTCCTCCTACTCCTCCGCCACCACCTCCTCCAATGTCATCCGAATCGGTTTTCAGTCTGCTGCCAATCAGCGAAGTCTTATCCTCCTCCAGTGTGGGCGATAGCAGCCACTTGGATGAGCTGGATGAGACCATTGGATTGCCGCCGCCAGCTGTGGCAATCGGCGTAACTCCGCCCGAGGAGCAGCTAACGATGAATTTCGCTGTGGATGAGATCAAGTACGTTTTATGCAGTAAGGTAATGAGTTTACGGACTAGTTACGAGAAGGGGATCTGTTGGTGTTCTTTTTGTTTTGCTTGTGACGATGCCTGAGTGCTTAAAGAGTTCATTAATGTGTGTAATATTTATTGTTTTTGAGTGTTATTTTTTGTTGTTAGTGGTTTGTCGTGTGTTTAACATTTAGGATTAGTTACAAATATGACGTGGAAAACGCGAATTTGATGGCTGTAGCTCGATGTCATCCTTGGGTGTGAGTTAAGCGATGATCTAAGGATATACATGAGGCTTAAGGGTCTATGCACAGGACACTACAATAAGTTTTCATTCATGATTAGCTGAAGAATATAGCTAGCTGATTTTGTAACTTTTCGATCGAATTTAAAATGACGAATGCAATTTATGTGGATAATATAAGTCTCTAAATACTTTAACTCATAGTTGAAACTCATGAATAGGGTTTTTAAGAAAGAAGTTTGAAGCCTAACAAACTGTTAATAAAATAATATTTTGCAGCGCTGTTACATTTACATAAATTTTGTTGCATTAGCATTAGCATAACAGATTAAGTGCGCTGTTATGATCATTTTACAGCGCTGTTATATTAATATTTACTAGAATTACGATGAATTTAGAATTATCAGAGAATGGAGTATAAAATAATCGCTTTTTGTTTAGAAAGACGTTAAATTAAATACATAGAAAACTGTCAAATACAGTTAATACAAGGAAGTTTTCATATTGGTACTAACTTGAAAAAAATCACAAATATTTACAATATTAAATGGTTTACTTTAAAAAAAAATTTAATTATGGAATATTTTAATTTTTGTTACAATTAAAATTAAGTAAGGTATAATTGTCCTGTGCATAGCCCTTGTGTTAGTAAATGGTTATTGAAATTCCCATATTAAATTTAAGTAGTTGCTTAAATTAGCTAATTCAATGTTGTTTGTTTTTTTGGTTTTTGTTTTGTTTATTGCATTTGAAATCAGTTTAGAACGCTGCTTAACTCTCATACAAATTCATTATTGTTGGGTATTTTTTTAACTTAAAAATAACGCTCCGCGTTGCTTTCGTTCGCGTCCAACTTGTTTATATCATAAATATATATATCTATATATTGTGTGTAATATGTATATATATATATATTTATAGAGTATATATAACTGCCATCTGAAGTTTGATTTGCTTTTGCTAATAGCGTGTTTACCTGACTTTTGTTGCTTTCATTGTTCTTCAAATTGTTTTTCAAATTTGTTCTCATATATATTTTTCAATTTATAGAAATTTGCTCTTTGGAATAATACTTTAAATTGTTGGAGTGGTTTTTTTTTAAATGTTTTTATAATAACATTTATGTACAAGTATTAACAGGTTTTCTTTTTTGGTTTTAATAGCTAAGTTGAACATTATTAAATAGTTTTTTGTTGTTGTTGTGGTCGCTTTTCAAGGAACGAAAAATCTCTTTTGCCTATGGACTGTTGTGCAAATATATATATATATTGTATGCATATATATATTGTCTAGCATTGATTGGACATTGATTTCGTTGATCAATAATAATAACAATATTGTTTATCATTTGTTTAATTGCTGCCACATCCACAGCGAACGCAGCTTGACGCGAACTTTGCAAAAAGTATGAAAAAAAAAAACGAAAAACGAAAAGAATTTTAAAATAAAATTGTAATATGTTCTAATTTTGTCATTTTGAGCAGTAGCAGAATAATCTCTAATCAATAATCTTTAGTTAATTAGCATAAATATTTAGAATTGCACGTTTTTAAAAATTAATTTTGATATGCAGCAAATTATTGCTTAAAAAACACATTTTCTTTTCATATGATATCAATTCACTTAGGCTTAATTTAGTTTACAAAACACACAGAAATATTTATATAGCAATAAGTATACCAAATGTTGAAAGTATATGTCGAAAGGCTGAATTTGAATCAATTTGAAATAACTTTAAAAAAATACAATTCAAAATAATTAAAAAGCTGTTATATTGACACAACATTTGCTGCATTAACATAAGCAGCTTTAATGCGCTGTTATTAATATTTTACTGCAATTAACAGCCATTAGACACATACACATCAAAGAGAATATTTTACAAAAATTACATTGCTTGAATTTATGTTCAAAATATATGTTTTCGATTAAATTAAAACCACAACCACTAATTACGTGTACTGTTTAGATTACGTGTTACTGTTTACTAAGTAATAATTGTTGTTTTCATCTAGCATAGAACCAGCACCAAATAATTTGTTTTGTTAGAAGCGCTTAGATTGGAGTTGGAAGTTTAGTAATAGATCAAGTAAAGTAAAGTAAAGTTCTTTGTCAATAGATACTATAAATATAGATTAGTATTTGAGTGCATTTTAATATGTACAAAAACAAATGTATATATAACACTCTCTCTTTTTTTTAAGTAATGACAGGAGGATCAATCATAAGGGTCGCTCCTATGGCACTCTAAAAGCTTATTTCACTGCACAACCCACCCAATGCCCGCACTCGATCTCTTTCTTATCTCTCACTTCTCTCTGCTCTCTCTCAAAAGCTGACTGACAGCTAAAGCATAATCTAAAAGCTCAGCGCAGCTTTCTCTCTGTTATTATTGGTTGTTGTTAATGATGTTGTCGCATTGCTGTTGTTGCTTGTTGTCGTTGTTGTTGCTGCTGGTTGTTGTCGATGTTGCTGTTGTTCTTGTTGTTGTTGCTGTAGTTCTGGTTGCTGTTGTTGTTGCTGTTGCTGTTACTCTAATGTGGGATGGGTATTTTAGACTACGTCTACGTTCAACTCATTTTCACTTTCTAGATCGAGAGATTGAGAGCAACAAACAAAAGCAACAATCGAGAAACTAAACGTATTTCTGGCTTTGCAACATTATTAAAATTCAAAATTTCATGCTTTACCTCCAGTTTTGCGCAGCGAGCTCGCCTTCTCGCGCAGACCCGGCGGCAAACTGAACGGTGCCGAGCCAAATGGATCCTCCACTGCTGGATTTGGATTGGGCGAGACAGCAGCAACGCTTGCCACAACAGGCACAGGAACAGGAACAGCTGCAGCAGCGGCAGCAGCTGCTGTTAATGCCACTGTTGCAACAGTCGCATTCTGCTCCGTCGGCGTCAGTGTAGATGTGGTCGATGCAGACTTGGCCGTGATGCCTGCAACAAAAGCAAATAATTAATATTGAATTATTTTTTTTAGTATACTCAGAAAAAATTGACCTGAACTTTCGAATATTCGATATACTTTTGGTGCCAAGGGTAAATTATTATGTAGAAAATATATTTTTAGGATTGACGATTGAGACAAGCATTTTCTTTCTAATTAATGAATTTCAAATTATTTCTAAGAACAATAAAATCTTTCTAGTTTTCAGGTCGATCTTTTTTCCGAGTGAATTGAATAGTATTTGACTTCTTCACTTACTGCCTTGACTGCCGCGCTGTCGTATCTTGTCGAATTCAGCCTCGAATATGTGATCTTCGGTCATTTGACTGAAGGGCTGCTCCTCCTCGAAGGGATTCCAGGCTTCGACACGCTTATCCATTGTCTGCTTGGCCAGCTCGTTGCTGGAGAGCGAGAAGGCGCCCGTTGTACTGCTGCTACCGGCATATATGCCTGGATTGGAGGCGGCACTGGCTAGTGTCGCCCCATTCTGCGGTCCATCGGCCATCGACATTGCCATGTTGTTGTTGTACGGCGCCAGAAACTGACTCGTCTCGTTGGCAAAGGTTCTAATAATACGCAACATGAGATTTTTTGCAAGTGAAATGTATGATGACAAAAAGGGTGTAAGGAAGATAGCAAGGCAAATAAAATCAAATCAATTAAATGGAATGCTTATAAACAGGCTTAAACAACAATTAGATATTTTGTTTATTGACTCTGCGATGCGGCGTCATCGTCATTTGTGGCACTTAAGTTTCGAATGACAGTAGACAGTGGAAGCACAACAAGAGTGAAAGCAAGAGAAAAGCAAGTCACAAACAGAAATACATCGACAAGTGGCAAAGCAAACAAACAAGTAAAAATGTTGCAGTCGAGTGAGCTCGACTACGCTAATACCCTGAACCCAGCTGTTAAATATCTTATAAGTTTTGCACACCCATATGTAAGTAGGTGTGCAAGTGTTCGCATTTCATATGAAAATGCTTGATCAATAATATGTTCATTTATAGTATATATCAATTAGAAGCCTCTGTTTTTAATATTGTGGCTTTCATTGCTATCGGAAAACGAGATGTATCGATATTTGCGAGACAAAGAAACAGTTATCGATAAAATGAACTAAACTTGAATTGCGAGTGGTATTCGAGAACTTATATTGCAAATGTAAAGTCTTTAGCTCTTATGGTGTGTGAGATTCGCGTGCTTGCACAGACGGACAGAGGGACAGGGCTATATCGACTCTACTGTTGATTCCACTTATGAATATGTATACTTCATTTATATATATACCTATACTTTATATATATTATCAACTTTGTATATATATATATATTCTGCCTGTTACATACATTTGCACAAAATCATTACACACTTTTTCGCCAGAGTTCAGGGTATTAAAGAACACACACATATTGAGTAGCTGCAATTGTGGCACTTACTTATTAAAGGCCGAAGTGTCGCTGACATTGCGCCGATGACCGCCGCCTCCACCTCCTCCCCTGGGCGGTGTTAGCATGTGTTTGGTGGGCGTGCCCGGCAGACCCAACTCATTGATGGCTGCTGCTGTTGCATCCACAGGCTGTAATTCGCTGCCTGCATCGCTTGCAACAGTTGCAGTAGCTGTAGCAACTGTTGCTGTTGTTGCTATGCCTGCTGCTGTTGTTGCAACACCAGCTGTAGTTGCTGCTGCTGCAGGTGCCTCATTAAATGGATCCGGATAGGCGCTGGATTCGAACAGACTGTTAACAGCTGTTGGCGCTGCAGCTGCTGTTGCCGGCACAGTTGCTGTTGCTCCTCCTGTTGCGGCTGCTGTTGCTCCTCCAGTTACTGTTACTGTTGCTGCTGCTCCTCCTGTTACTGCAGCTGCAGCGGGCATTGCTGGAAAATTGGCTTGAAATTGCTCAACAATCGGTTGCGGCTGTGGCGATGTGATGCCCTGTCGCGGCAATGGACTGGGTGGCAACCCCAATCCCAGAGCATTCTGCCCATGCACCGACGTCGAGCCCTTGGGACGCGAACGTGGCGCCACACTCGTGCCCGCCTCCACAAGGGAAACGTTCTGCTGTGGCTTAGCTGCTTTAGCGGCGGCATTAATCCGCTTCGCCTCCGACTCAAAGGGGGGTATCAACAACTGCTCAAAATTAGGCATTGCCGATTTCTGCAAGATAAAAAATTTATATATAAATATATATGTGTATATAATGTATACAATCTTGAAACCACTCTTACGCAACATCATTTTCTGTTTAGATCAGCAACTATACTTTAACAAAATAAACAGAAAATTAGCTTGGGAATTTATTCCAAAAAGGATATTTTTTTTAGATATTGTGAAATTTGTAGGAAAAGGTAGTTTTACACATTTAAAAGTAACCCAAAGAGAAAAATTTAAATGTTACATATTATTTTTCTTTTTTGTGTCCACTGACATAAGTTGACCTCAAATAAATAAATAAACTTAATTTAATAAATATAAAAAGCTGTTCTAAACAAGAGGCGTTATTAACAATTAATTAACTTACGTGCAGATTTTGGACAGGATTCTCTTTGCCCGCCAGTCGGAAGGCGACTTCGCACACCTGCCAAATATTTGGTCGCCTCTCCATGTCCGTGTCGAGCATGTATTTGATCAGTTGGTGAATGCCACGCGAATACTTGGAGCTATCGGGTATGGCAAACTGGCCATTCTGGATGGCTAGCGTGCTCTCACCAAAGGGCAAGGCAAAGAAGCAGAGCTTGTAGAGCATACAGCCGAGGGCCCAGATATCCGCCTTGGTCGTTATACTCTTGCCACTGTACAAATCGATCATTTCGGGTGCACGATACGAGAGCGTCGTATATTTTTGGATCTCCTCCTCGACAACGGTGACGCCGTGCTGCTGCGGATTTAGTGTTTTTGCTGTGGCGGAACCAAAGTCACAGAGCACAAAATTGCCGGCGTCCGTTTGCAGAATGTTCTCGACCTTCAGGTCCCGATGAATGATGGGTGTTTGGCAGTAATGCAAACGTGAGACAGCCTCGGCAATATCACAGAAGATGGTCAGCACTTCCGGCTCGGTGAAGCCAACGTGTAATCTGCAAGACAAATTAATTTGTTTAGTAATTTGTATGCAATAAGGTAACCAATTCTATGACTTTCCCATTAAGATATTATTAGGGTATAATTAAAGGTGTCGCCTGCGGGATAAGTTATTAATTTTTTGAACTAACGAGCAGCATAAGGATGGGCTTGTTAAATGCTACTAACCTCCCACCCAACTGACTGAGATTTAATAGAATTTGAGTTTTGGCCATAGCTCACCTAGCATTCATCATGGCCAGCATGTGATGCTTGCAATATGGCATCAGGAGCAGCACCTCGCACACTCCGTTCCCGGTGGCCGTAATGCTCGAGTCCACGTACCCAATGATATTCTTGTGTCCGCTCAAATTGCTCTACATACAGAGATAAAACAGTTTATTAAATGATAAATGTGTATATACATAGATTTAATCAATATTAAGCCACTTACGGCAATTTGTATTTCACGCTTGGCCACGTTCAGATCGTGCTCATTGTTGACGTACATACGTTTCAGTGCGTATTTTGTGGCCGATGCACTTCCTCCGCCATTTCCACGAGCCAGAAAAACCATGGCAAAACCGCCTGTAATACGACAAATGTATTTGTTAATTGTAAATTGATATCGTGGGTGTCTGTATGAGAGGGTCGTCTAAAGTCTAGACGGTTGACAGCTGGAATAACAACAAATTGGAGGCCAAGCAAGAAACTCGTATCTGAGATACAAAAAATAAATAAAAAAAAACACAAAGTCTAGAACCTAACTTGTAAAGTTTGCATTTTAAAGGAATTGATTGACTTAGTTCAACATTTAACAATTATGCTAATCACAGTCGACTTTATATAGCATGCAATTTTACTGTTTACCTCTGACAGCTTATCTGCTCAGACTAGTAAATTTAACATTTCACAACTATGGTAATAACAGTCTCTTTTACATAGGATGAAATATTATTGCTTATCTCTATCAAATTATGTATTATTAAGATTAATACACCCCTTACTTTAGAAAATATATATTATATATATATATTTAATCAAGCAAAGCTAATCAACAATTGGCTTAGCTATGCAATTTATGTAGATTATTAGGGTATTTCGTTATGCAGCGCATTAGAAGTTGTTTTTCAACACACACTACAAACGCAGTTACCTTCACCCCCTTTTCCCGTTACTCTTGAGCCACTCCAATGAACGATAAAAAGCGGCGTAATATATGTACATACAAATGAACATAATGGGTACATGTGTACATTTGTACAAAACTATTGAAGGTCACGTATAACAACAGCAACAACAACAACCATAACAACAACAATGACAAGAATAATAAAAATCATTTAGGGGGGCAGAAACCAGAGCAGCAATAACAACAACAAAAATATCAAGAAACAGTACACTTTGTATGTAGCAGTAACTGTGTATAGCTGTAGTCGATTTCCATTCGACTTTTTAGTTGGCGTTTGTGAAATTATAACGTCAAATGTTAATCAATGCTGAAGGTTGTGAGTGGCCAACAACAGCAATAACAATGCACAAATTGTAATTGCAATTGTAACGCAGCAGCATCAGCAGCAGCGAGAGAAAACGTTGAGAAGTCAATTTGAAACGCAAAAACAGATGAAAAAGATGGCGATAGCGACAGGTGCCACTCTTAACAGGCAGAAATGTGGACGAGGGGGGCGGCATGAGCGGTAAACTCCTTATGTTTTTGGAGCTTAGTCTGCTTCTTGCACTTAGTCATTCAAATGTGTGTTTTTGTTGTTTTTGCGTGCAAAACAAACGTAATTGAGCTGGCAACGCTGGCATTTAATTGTCGAATGAAACAACGGCAAACAACAACAGCTGACAGCAACAACAACATTTTTGGCTGCCAAGTTGCCAAAAAAAAAGAAAAGTAAAATATCAATAACTGTAGCCAAGCGTAAAAGGTGAAAAGGAGACTCCAAGCACATACATACATCAACACACACACACTCACTCACACACACATGCAAATGAAATGTCTGACAGCTGTTAAAAATAGTGGCAATCTATTTGCAAAGCACTCAGCAATTGAGGGGCGTCATTTGCAGTAGTGCAGAATATTATTCACTTCAATTCAAGGACAAACGGCAAATATATCCACGTAGAATGTCTGTGTTGCCAATTTAGCCTTTTTTTTAAATTATATCTTGCTTTTTTCATTTAAGCTTTTAGTTTTTCCTATTAGAGTATAGCTTTAACTTTTTCTAATCTATTTTAATAAAAAAAGCTAAACTATTTGAAAATTGGCAACACTGACACCGCTGCCTTGCGTTGACTGAACTCTGCCATTTGCAAATGGCACCGTTGTTTGCGGCTGCTGCAAGAAAGAATAGTAGTTTTTACTTTATTGGCTTAATTAATTCGCATAATTGAATGAATTTCTATCGATTTGTGTAGCAGAAAACGAACCATTTCCTTTTCTATCCCTCTCTCGGTCGAAGCACGCGACAAGTGGTGCCGACAGCTTAACAGGGGGCAGTGCAGCTGTTTACGCCCCACATTGAAAATGTAAATATATATACTGTTTTTTTAATCTTATCTGACGCACTGGAAACTCTACACTTTAAATCAAGTGAAAACAATCAGTTGTGCTTAACGCAACACACATACTCAGTCAGATTTTGATAAGCGCTCTCTCACTCCCACACACAAACTCCCACTCCAGACACACACATATAGACAGACTCACCTTCGGCCAAGACATCCTCGACGGTGACAGTGACTCGTCCGACTGTGAAAACCTTGCCAACGAAACTGTTTGTCTCCTTGGATGAGGAGCTGTTGTGCGAGTTTTCCAATTTCTCATTTCTGTCGAATTTCGACAGGATTTTCTTCATTTTTCAGTTTTTGCTGTTGTTTTTGTTTGTTTACTACTCGTAGCAGCAGCAGCAGCAGCGACAACTGCAGCTGTCTGTGTGTGTGTGTATTTTGCGTAGGCGTTTCGCAGCACTGGGCGTGTCAAGGCAGCCGCTAGCCTAATAATTGTTGTGAATTTTTTAACTTAGTTGTTGCGCACTTTTTATAAATTGTTTTTTACGCTGCGCTTTTTTGCATACGATACACACACACACATGCATACACACATTCACGCACACCAACACTCAACACACACACACACACGCACACTACGGAAAAAGAAAGTTGTTCGATTTTCCTGCTTCGTACACGTACAGATTTGACGGCAAGAAATTTATTGCTCATGAAATACACGATTTTTGGTATTATTGCTATTTATTGATGCTGCACATTATCTTTTGTCTATATATACAAGAACGCGAAATAACTATTTACAATATTTAGCAGCAATAAAAGAACGAATGAATTTTAGCTGCAATTAAATTGGATTTCACTAACTCGCTGTGCAAGGTTGCCACCCGTTGCAAACTAGAGCTGTGCAACGATTTTGCAATCGAGCACGGCATTTACGAAACTCCAAACATGTTTGCATTTAGAAAGTTGCACGAGTAAACATTAACTTACTAATTAAATTCTGCAAATATGTATTTAAATAAGAGCAAAATTAGGTTTGGATCATTATAAATAATAGGTGCCGAAATCGTATTTTTGCAAAAAACTTGCATTTTCGATGAGATAGACAAGAATAGGTGTCATTCCAGCATTACACCTGCAGCTGCAGGCGTTGCCACATAGTTTTTGCAACAGCAGACAGCTGATGACAATGCTAAGAACGCAATGATTAATGCAACAAAATATTAGGATATTATTAAATTGAACTCCTATAAATGGATTATGGTGCCACTGTGCCTATATATGATTTTTGTAAAAATATTAATATTTGTACGTTATTAAATTTAAGTTTTACAAATGCATTATGGTGCCACTGTGCCGAATTATATGTGATGTTCTTGGCGTTGCCACTTAATTCGGACAACAGCTGATGTAAATGCGAAAATTAGTGCAAAAATCATTTGGCGCGCAATGGTTAATGTTGCGAAATATATCGTTTTGCTCGAGAATTTATCATTTGCAAATGCATTGCGTGAGTCGTAGCTATTTATCAATATATTATCAGTTATTGTCAAGTTGTATACGTTGCAGCAAGCAAGCAACAAACGACGGCAACAGAATTGCCAGCAAGTCTTGTGGCCAATTTGAGGATCTTGGAGAAATATGTGCCACAGGATGTGGAACAACAGTTACAGCAATTGTGGGAAGGACTGCAACTTACAGCTGACAATGCGCCACAGATAAATACGAATAAGACCATTAATTGTTATATAGTGCGACTGATGCACGTGCTACAATCGTTGATGAACAACATTAATTTCAACAGTGATGCCAAGGAGGACCTAATATCTGTGGCACATCTCAAGCTGTGCATTCAGGTGACACAGGAGCTAGCCTACTATGCACTGCGCATTCAACTGCACGAGGACTTCTATAAATCACCAGTGTTCCAGCAGGCACAAGCAGAGAATCTTCTGCGTTGTGATTCATCGCTGCTTTTGTTAAGTGTTCAGTTTTTTGTGCACCCGCTGTGCATACGTCAACTGCATATTGCCAATGCCATGGAACTGGTGCAACGTGATCTGCTAGCAGCTATTATGAGTCTGCGCACGGATGAGCAACTAAGCACCGAGCAGGAAGTCCAACTGAATGGAGTACTCGCCTATCTTTGGGAGAACGAATCCAAGGCGGATTACTTTCGGCATGTGCTGCTGCTGAAGGCGACGCCGCAACTGGGCACTCCACTGTCCAAGCAGCTGCACCAGCAACTGCTAGGCAAACTAAGTTTGCCCCATGGCTTTGCCAGCCTGTTGGCGGCGCTGACGTCTTCTTCCTCAAACTTGGACGCCACGCGCAGTGCCGATATCATGGCCAATATTGTGGCACAACGTGGCTATTCTGCCGGACTGCAGCTGCGTTTAGTTCACCAGATCTTCGACTTTTGTCAACTGGCTCCATTGCATAGTCTGCCTGCTGGTGTGCTCAGCTTGCGACGTCTCTGCGAGCTGCGTGTGGAGAATCGTGCAAGGATTGAGCAGCTGCTAATGTCACATTGGCAACCGTTGACATCGCCGCTAGATCTGCTCAATGGTCTAATTGTGTGGGAGCAGGCGGAGCTGTGCGAGCGCCTGCATCTCTTTCAGCAGCTCTTCTGCAGCTCGACCGTTGCCTGTTTGCCCAGCGAGCTGCTTGTACCTTTTATGCCGCTCCTGTTGCAGCTGCATCAGCAGCTGCCAGCGCAGCAGCTGCAGCAGCAGCGCCAGCAACTGGCATCTCTCATCGCACGTTGTTTGGATAACAGGGAGCCCGTACAGGAGCTGCCGGCACTGCTGCTTCGTCTTTACAAATGGGATTTGCCAGCATTTCAGGCGCTGCATCCACGTCTCAAAATTGTGCAGACAGATCAAGTTAAGGTGCAAGTGGCTGCGGAGCAGCAGCAGCAGTTGGATGAGAAGCAACCTGCATGCAGCATGTTGCCCACTTTACTCATGGCTGGCAGCGATCAAGCGCTCACCTGCAAAGTATTTCTTTCGCTGCTTAGCCTCATGCTCCAACAGCTGGCTGCAGCAAAAGAAACATCCCAAATTAGGACAGATCTGCTTGCCAGCGAAACGGAACTCGCTGAGTTTTTGCAACGCAATTATCAGTTGAAGTTGCAGTTGCTTCTGGGACTCCAGCAGCTGATTGGACATGAGCCGCTCAAAGCACAGCTGGCGACGACGCATAGCAAACAATTTATGCAATTGCTCGCTGAATTCCTGGCACAGTTGGATGAGGAGCCGGATCAGATGCTGTTGCTTATGTTGCTGCTTCTGCTGCAGGAGTTGCTCGAGCACAATGAGCAGCTACAGCTGGCAGAAAGCACGCAACGCTTGAGGCAACCACTGCAACAGTTGCTGACCAAACAAACCGATAATCTTCTGCTGAGAAATGCACTGCTGCCGTTGCTGGAACTGCTCAGAGGTCAGCTGTGCTCCGCTCCAGCGGCACTTGCCAGTTTTCAGCAGGCGCGTGAGCTCATCGAGAATCGGGATCAGCCCCATCTACAGGTTTATGGCATACAACTGATGCTGGATGCGTTGCACAAAAAGGATCCCTCATTTGTTTCCCAAGCACCACGTATTATGGCCTTGGCCTTGAGCACGCTGAGGAACAAGGAATCCTACACGTTCCTCAATTGTGTGCGTTTGTTTGCCGCCCTGGTGCACATCCGTGAATCGGAGGTGCTGGACACGCTCAGCGATGAATATCTGGCGGAGACGGCCGATCTTGACTATCGTCTGGTTGTTGGTGAGGCCATCATGAAAGCAGCCCACGAAATTGGTGAGTCCTTCTTAAGTTACATTCTTAATAGCAGAAATAGCATAAGCACAACTCATTATTATTGGAGCATATGAACTGAAATGGCTTATGGATAGCAGAGTGCGAACTACAAGTTTAAAGAGAAGGCAGCAAGAAAATTCCTCCAATATCAAAAGAAGCAATCACCAATACTATTCTCTGCCTACTTTTTTCAGGTCCACTTTGCTATCGCTATAAGGCTGTGCTCTTCAATTGTTTCCTGCACGGCGCACGGTCGCCGCTGAATGAGTTTAGGAGTTCGGCGTATGCGAATCTGGCGCAGCTGTGCCGCCTGCTCACCTACCAGGTGCATGGTTTCTTCCAGGAGCTGCTGCAGCTCATCGACACGGAACTTAGCACCGGGAGCTATGTGCCTGCCAAGCGTGGCGCTCTCTTGGTGCTCGCCGAGTTGCTGGCAGGCATGGAGAGTCTACTTGACTACCAGGACATGCTGTTGCCCATTTATAGGCTGCTGCGTGTTATCGAAGCAGCCGAAGCGTGTGATCCTCAAATGCGTCAGCATGCCGCCAATGGATTGAAGATCATCAATGAGAAGTGTCGTCAAATGTTGAGCAATGTAGCTGCTGATCAGCTGCCCAGGAAGATTCAAGTGCTGGGCATTAAGGATAAGCGGAAAAAGGGCAAGCGGCACATTTTGGAACTCAACTGAGTTTTACTGATTCGACTGATTGATGTACACATAATTTAATAATCAATACAAATCTATTTATGTATTGTTATCTTTGTTCTAATTGTCGCTCGTAAATTAGAACTTAGGCGTGCTCCAATTTGTAAAAGCGGAAAACTTTTACATTTTTAAAATGTAAATAGCAAAAGTAAATATCAAATTTCATATATAAAAGCAAAAGTTATGCACTTGAAATTATTTTAAGTCGGTTCTCTATGAATGCAAAGTAGCTCTTAAATATATTTTAAATAAATATTTTGTAAGCACATCTCAAATTGAAATTTAAGGTACAATTTGACAGCAAAACAATTATGTTTGTTTATGTTCGTTTAGTCAAAAATGAAAACGGAATAGTTTTGCGCAAATTGGAGTACTCCATAATGTTTTCAAAAGCGAAATCTAAGATTCATAGATGTTCTGTGCTTAAGCCAAATCAGATTGTATAATTATAAATTACAATTAAAATTTTTTATTTTCTTTAGTCTCTTTTGTGAATGAAAGTGGTATTAAAATTATAATTATTCTTTTTGTTATTTGTAAGCAATTTTCTTAGTCTTTTTTGGTGAACAACTTTGGTGTGAGAAATTTTGTTATAATATCCGAATTGATTTTAAATGATTTAATATTGAAAGGGCAGTTTATAAAAAGATAATAACTAAAAATCGTGGAATATGAGTGACAAATGCTTAGCAATATGTATAAGGAAAACAAGGATAACAAAAGGGATAACAATTACAAATGTAAAAAACACTGATACAACAATAAAAGCAAATTAACTTTCTAAAAAGCATAAAATATTTACTATAACTATTTTCGATTCGGTTTTTTTTGTACAGCGAGCGGAACTTTATGCTTGATAGAGATAAAACGAGAGTGATGGACAAAAATGCACAGCAAAGGAGCGGATCAGAAGTGGATGGTGGTCGTATTGAGCTAATCTTACTTGGCCTTGCCAATGGAGAACTCCGTCTCGATCTTGTCCGCAATCATCTTGGCAATGGCCAAGCTGCTGGTGGCGCCTGGCGACGGAGCATTGCGACAGTGGAGCACCTGTTTGGCCAGCGCTCCGCTGCCCTCGCCTCGATCAAAGACGAAATCATCGACAAGATTACCGCTTAGATCCAGAGCCTGGGCACGCACACCCGCCGGTCCACGTTGGATATCGTACTCATTGATATCGGGTATATATTTCTGCAGTGCCTTCACCTGCAGATTGATAAACGCCGACTTGGCCATCTCACTGAAACCGAAGCCAATATACTTGCTGGCCATCTTCAGGAAGCCCGGATACCGGAGTGCATCGAACAGCTCGAACAGATTAATGTCGCCCCAGCTGGAAATTATAAAATTATGCAATAAATACAAATTTTGATGTTTGTAAATCACCTTGAATTTTAGAAAATTGACAAAGGTAATTCACCTTATTATTCAGAAAGTATAAATCTAAAAAACAGGCGTTTTATTTGCTTAAATTCAGGGTATATTTTTCTAAAATTTAGAAAAATTTGTCTAATTTTCAACTCGTGTTTTCATTTGTTTGCTACGAGCAAATCTAACATTAGTTTTTTTTTTTGGTTATATAAGCAATAAAGATTAGTATTTTTAGATTTCACATATACAAACATTTTAGATATTTTATAAATTGGAATGATTGAATTTGGAAAAACTAAATCCTAATATTAAAGTCGATCCAGTAAATTTTATTACTTGATTCTGAATTTAAAATGATTTTTTTTTAAATAATTAAGGGTTTGGGGCAAACCTTATGAATTTTCAGAAAATTGAGATAACCGAGGAAAGCTTTCTAGTTTTTAGGTTGATTTTTTAGAATTCAGAGCAATTTTTTTTTTGATTGTTGATTCTGAATTTTAGAAAGGATTTCTTCTACTTTTTGGAAATACATTTCTGAATAACATAAAATATTTATAATAACAAATTCAAAGAACAAGAAAAACTTGCTTGTTTTTCGAGCGATTTTCTAAAATTCAGTTCGATATTTTTCGCTGAGTGTAGAATTGGAATTTACTCACGTGTAACCCTCACGCTTGAGGGCCAGCACCGCATTGGGTCCCAGCCAGATGGAGCCGTCCATGCGTGGCGTGAAATGGACACCGAGGAAGGGGAAACGAGGATCGGGCACCGGATAAATGTTGCCCTTGACCATGTGTTGTTTCTCCTTGGACAGCAGCAGGTACTCACCGCGGAACGGAACAATGCGCGGATCACGCGGACAACCGGTCAGTTCGGCCAACGTATCCGATTGCAGACCACCGCATGTGAGCACATTGCGGGTGCGCACCTTCTGACCGGACTTGCCGCCATGAATGGTCACCGGATAATCGGCGCTGCCATCGCTTGCGGATTCCGTGAATTTTTTGACTTGGAAATCAAGATAAATATCGCCGCCGGCACGCTTGAAATCCTCACCATAATGCTGGGTGACCAGACCCCAATCGACGATGCCCGTATGCGGACTATGCAGGGCCTTGACACCCCGACAAAACGGCTCAACCTCCTTGATTTGATCACCCTCAATCAGGCGCAAATCGGGCACATTATTCTTCATTCCTCGCTCATGGAGATCGCCCAGCAATTTGACCTCCTTCTCATCGGTGGCGACAATCAATTTGCCCACCTTTTTATAGGGTATCTGATGCTCATCCAGATATTTGTACGCCAGATGGAGTCCCTCGACACAAAGGCGGGCCTTCAGCGTGCCCGGTTTGTAGTAGATGCCCGCATGGATGACGCCCGAATTGTGGCCACTTTGGTGCATCGCCAGTTTGGGTTCCTTTTCCAGGACGGCAATCTTCAGCGTCGGATGACGCAGCAGGATTTCACGTGCTGAGGCAGCGCCAACAATGCCGCCACCTACAACAACCAGATCGTAATCACTGCAAAAATTCCTTAATTAATTACATGTGTTTTTTTCCATTATTTTTATTATTGACACGCGTTGAAAAACTTATCGCACTTTTTGTTGTTGTTGTTGGTCTGCCAGCGACGCTGCCCGGCAACGGGACTTAAGCGCGCTGCTGCCAGTGAAGCGCCTTTTCTCATCATCAGCTGTGCCATTTTTTTTTCTTTATTTGGTTTGTTTTCACTTTCGTCGTTTGTTTGGTTTGCTTTGACTGAATGCAAAAAGACCTTGCTTGACCTTGTCCAATGGCGCACGTTGCTCCAGCTACAAAACTATAACAGCGCCTGCCCCAATGCCACCAACACAACTGCAGATTAACTAACGAATTCCACTCATTCAGATCGTCAACTGCTGCTGCTGCTGCCGTTGCTGCTGTCCCTGGGGGTGGATGGGTGGGGTGATTCGTCTACGATCAGCTGTTACTGATAAGCAGCGAACCAGTTCGCTTTGCAGCGTGAGCTGAACTACATTAACAGCAGCTGGTAGCTCATTTTGGGATGTTAAAGCGAGTGAAAGTGTTTTTATTTCTAGTCTAGTCTAGTCTCGTCTTGTCTAATCTTTTCTTTCCAGATGAACTGCATTAACAACGGCTGTTAGCTTACTTTTGCGTTGCTGTGACTACGGATCCTCATTATTTCAAGTCAAGTAAAATCTAGTCTTTTCTTTTCACTTCCAATTGAACTGCATTAACAACATAATTAGCTTATTTTCGCGTTGGGCTGTTAACATTCAAGATTTACAGCGAGTTCATAAAGTATTGAAAGAAAAATTGATTAAATCATTTTATTCGCCAAGAGAAAAGTGGACTTATAAAAGACGAGAGCATTAATGAATTATTTTTTTGGCTCTCAGCAGACCTTTATATTTGTAGATTTGACAATCTAAATATATTGCAATTTGTGAGCGACATTTCTTTCGTTCTAAAAATAGCGCTTTAACGGCTATTTTGCCAGACATTCATAAAAGCTAGATGTTAATAACAGATCAATTGGTAATGTTATTTACATTTCCAAATAGCAGCTGTTTTTGTCAGCTGTTTGTGCTAACATTATTGATGCTGTTAAGACGCAAAACCCAACAAAACAAGAAAATTCCATTTTAAGCACGTATTTTTAATAGGTTTAAACATTTTTGAGAGACTGAGAGCTTGTAAAGACAATGCCAAATGCCCGCCCACTGTGCGGTGGTCAATTGCAGCGATAAATATGTACATTCCGGCAGCATATCCTTTCACAGGTAAATCGCCACAAAAAATTCTAATTCAACAGCTAAAAATAAATTTGGATCTTTTGCAGATTTCCATTTAAGCGCAAGGATTTGCTGCAGAAATGGAAGGATTTCACTCAACGCAGTGGCCAATGGATGCCCTCGAAGTGGAGTGCGGTGTGCAGTCGCCATTTCAGCGATTCCGACTTCAATTGCAGCAACAATCGCAAAACGTTGAAAAAGAATGCGGTGCCCACGTTGCGACTGCTGCCCGAGGATGCTGAATCCCGGCAAGTGGAGCAACAGCGACAGCAGCAGTCGGCGCCAGCAGCAGCGACTGAAACCCCAACGAGCAACTGCACCAAGAGCACGTGTCGCTTTTGTGGCAACACGGCGCCAAATTGTGTGTCCTTCGACAAGAGTTTCGAGCTCTTTGGCATGATCCAGAAATGTTTTCCCACACTCCAAATCCTGCAGGATGATACACTGCCGCTGCCGAAAGATATTTGTGGCGATTGCTGCAGGCAGCTGCAGCGCTTCTCGCAGTTCTGCGATGTCGTGATGCTGGCACAAAGTGAACTCCAGCGTAAATATCGGCGACAGCTGAAGATCAAACAGGAGCCGGTGGTGCGTGTGAAGCAGGAGGCATGCGAGAGTCTCGACAATCTCTTTCCCGACGAGCTGGACATGGGCCTGGACGAGGCGTGCTGCGATCACGAGCCGGAGCCACACGATGAGACCGAACAGAAGTTTCAATTCTGTGATTTCAATCCGCAGGACATCATCAACAATTGTGATATTATGGAGATTATCAACCTGGATGATCCATTTATCAATATAACCGATGATGCAGATGTGCCGCAGCCCGTGCCCGTATTGCCCACAGCGCAGGAGTTGCTGCAATCGGAGCTGCTCACCGAGGAGCACAACTATGCCAAGGAGGATTGGCCGTTGCAGCAATATAAAACGGAGAAAGTGGAGGGCATTGAATTGAATGAAGCAGTTGCTCCTCCTCCAGCTGCTCCAGCTCCAAGTGAGACGCGCAGCTGCAAGCCAATTGTCACCAATGTCAGCCAGATACCGAATCCGATGATCTGTGAACTGTTGCCACCGCCAGCGACGAGCAACAAGCCCAACATTGTCGTCCTCAACGATAGTGTGGTGCAATCCTCGGCATTCCGTCTCCACGATTGCAGCCTGTGTAGCACTAAATTCTTTACGGCGGAGAGTCTGCAGCAGCATTATGCACAGGCACATGGCACGCCCACAGAGACGCCGCCATCTGCTCCCCCTCCTCCTCCTTCAGCACCTGTTGCTGCTCCTCCTCCAGCACCTACTCCTGCCGCTGTTCCTCCTCCTCTGCCGGCTCCAACTGCTGTTCCTCCTCAAGCACCTGCTCCTCCTGCTCATCCTCCTCCCGCTCCCATGGTTAGCGTTCCTCCTCTAAACATCAGTCTCTCCAGTGCAGGCAGCTCCCTTAAGCTGGAGGCCAGCAGCTCCTTGTCGCTACCAGCTGCCGCTGTGGACTACTGGCAAGCGGATTGGTGGCCGGCTGCTCAGTTACCGGCCAAGACAAAGATCGATATACTGGATATGCAGCGCAGTTTTCTGCATTGCAACGATCTCATTGCCATGCCACCAGCAGTGAGTCATCAGCAATCAGTCGATGTGCAGCCACTGGCCTATGCCAAGTTGGCGGCACGTTTCCGCCGGCTGCAACACAAGTGCCGTCAGCTGCGGCAGCAACAACAACAGCGTCAACATCATCCACATCCCGCTAATCATCGGCTGCATTGCGGACGCTGCAAACGTGGCTTTGGCAGTGTGCAACTACTGTTGCAACATCGTCGCAGGAGGCGACATTTTGTGGTGCCACCGCAACGTACATTTGCCGTGCGCTGCTTTGGCTGCCTGCGACTGTTTCGCACGCGTCTTGGCCTGCGTCAGCATATGCGTTACATCTGCCAATCGCTGCCTTTGCGCAATGCTCGGCTGCAGAGCTACAAGTGCCGGCACTGCCAGAGCATCAGTTTCACCCACTGGCGCGTCTATCGGCGGCACGAACTCAAGTGCAAGCAGCGGCAGGCGAACAGCAGCAGCAGAAATCGCCATTCTGGCAAACGACGCAGATCGCATCCGGTTCAAAGAACCCACCACAGTTGCGGCATTTGCCAGAAGATCTTCGGTTCGTTGACGGGTTTGAAGCAGCATCGGATTACGCACAGCTCGGAGCGACGCTACAAGTGCAGCATCTGTGAGCGTGTGTTCAAGCGCCGCAATGGTCTATCCCAGCACATCAGAGGCTATCATATGCAGTTCAAGCCGCACGAGTGTCCTGTGTGCCAGCATCGCTATGCCCTCAAGGGCGACATGCTGCGCTGCCGGCACTCGCAGCGACGGGGCGCCAGTGCCAACGAAACTGAGCAGGCGAAGACTGTTCAGCATTAGTTCTATTCCTTTTTGTATAAGCAATCTATTAAGTATATAAATATAAAACAATTCAAAATACTTTACATTTGAAAATTATAACTTTAACTGCCACCCAGGGATTTAGTATAGGGTCACTCTATTATGCCGTGGGTCTCTTATGGAGTAAACTGTGAAACTCTCCAAATACGCGACTCGCTTAAGCAAATTTAAACATATTTTGTAATGCCTTAAATGTGTTTTGTGTAAATTGGAAGAAAATTAATATAGAGTCGATAGAAATGAGATGAAAAGAAATCAAATTAAATGCCTTTATTGGCAATAATAATGCCTACTAAGTGTCGCTTTTGTGCAATTTTTTGTGTGGTGAAATTTTGTAGAGTAAAAGAAATTAATTAAAGAAGAAGCAGTGGAGAAAACGAAAAGAGAGGCTTATTTTGAGTGCGTTATTTGGAATTTTCTCTTGAATTAATTTTACATTTACACAGAAAACAGAAAAACAACTTTAATATATTATATATAAAAAATATATAATATTATATATTAGCTATAAAAGCTAGACCATATAAAGCTCCCGTTTATTTTGTTGTATCGACAATCAATTTCGTCAACATTAAAAAATCATTTGATCGTTTTTTCCACATATATTTTTTTTATTTGCACTATATACAGTAGTAATTCATATGTAAGTATAGTAATTGCCGTTTCATTTAATTGATAATCATATTAATAATATTGCTTGCACGGCGTTTTATTTATTTATGTATGCTGAAGGAAAATACTGCAATTTTCAACTTAAATTATATATATTTATTTTTTTCATACATCGTACAAATTTCAAGTCAAATTTCAACATAAATATGTACAAAATGTTGTTATAAAAAATAGTACTTCTTTTGTGTGTTTGAAATTTAAACATATGTGTGTGTGTTGAATATTTATTAACAAAATGCAAACTCGAAACGAAATAAAAAAAAATACAAAAAAATGGCACTAACAATAACAAAAATTAAAAGCAAAGAAAATTTAACAATTGAAAAACGCAATACCAAAAAAGAAGACACTAAAACTAAACACAAAATATATAATTCTGATTCCTTTGTACTTAAATAATGTATATGTGTAACTAAAAGTTATGCTTTTGGTATGCTCATTATAGATTGAGAGGATATATGTGTATATAGTAATTATGGATGTGATTAGTTCGGTATTCAAGTGATGGGATATATATATATATTTATGTAATGCATGTGTATCAAAGTCCTGCTCCTATATGTGTGCTAATTAGCATTTCGTTTAACCTACAAATTATATGTATTTATAGATATAGATGAATATATCTCTCGCTTTCTATTGAAAGATGGCTGCACGCTGCTGAAACTGCTGGCGTCTCTGGACGCGTTCCTCATCCTCGCGACGCCGCTCCTCCTGCTCCTGCCTGATCTCATCGTGGAATTTATTCGATTGCAGCTGCTGCTCAATTTTCGCCTCAAAGAAACTCTTTGCCCCATTGACGCCCACCTGTTCCACATCGATTTCGGTGAGCCGGGCCAATTGATTCAGCCCAGAATCATTATCCAATTCACCGGCCTGCGCCTTACGATAGATCAATAGGAATTCACGGAATGAGATTTTGCCATCGTGATCCTCATCGACCTCGGCAATCATTCGCTTCAGGCCCAAGTGCGTTTGTGGTGCACCCAGCTTTTCCATCATATACTTCAGTTCGTTCAAATCCAAGAAACCATCTCTTGCCGTATCATAGCTGCAAGAAAATCAAATAAAATTAAATTAAATAATGATAATTAACAATAGCAAATCAATTGTCATTTTGTTCGAGGACGCATTTTTTGTTGTGGTCATTGCCCCGTTTGGCTAATCGATAAAATCGCGCAATGGCAAAAAGGCAAAGCAGCTAACCCAATTTGATGCCACAATTTGTGGCCCACTCTGCATGACTTGGCAATAAAAAAAAAAAATAATCGCCAGTGAAAACTGAAGATGTGCGCAAGAGCGAGAAAGTGAGGTGAGAGCGGAATGACAATATAAAAGGAACGTATAATTTACTTATTTATTTATGTACGTAAACACATCAGTTAATTAATAATTAAATTCCTTATAAATTTGAAATTTGTTTGCACAAATGCGAGCAATTACTGACAGTTTAATATTAATGTTTTCATTATATCTATATAATCTATATAATATAGTCACTCGATCTGGTATCCGATGGGTTCCGAGATGCTTTTCCTAACTATTGTATAATTCTCAACAATTTCATTATACAATTTTTATAATTATAATTTTTTGCAGAATCACTTAATAAATTAGAATTAATAACAGTTTAATTTAATAAATTACAGCTTATCTTCACCTATTAATCGGTTTTATTAATTTATTGACTAGAGCTGTGCTTAAGCAAGCAATCTTCCAAATTAAAAATAAAATGTAGCTAAATCTGTCAACATGAATTTCTTTTTCATCTGTTTTTTCATTATATTTATGCCACATGATGCAAGCGACAACTTTTCAGCCAGTGTCATTTGTTAATCAATTTTCGGCTAGAGTCAAGAGTTCAACTACAACTTCCTGGAATAAGTGTATGTCTGTGGCCAGGAAATATGGCGATAAAAATGTAAATAGAAATATATTTTAGCTAGTTAATCACGTAATGCAAACAACGAAAATAGAGAAAACGCAAGTGGTTTCTTGTTGCTGTTGTTGTTGTTATTGTTTAAGTCGCGTGTTGCGCATCTGCCGCAAAAGATGCCACAAATGTTGCGGAAAAGTTCGACCTTGCCACGCTAAAGGATGCGACTTGAAACAAGTTAAACGAGTTGGTCTAAAAATAAGACAAGCTTGGCCATTAAAGTAACAGCCAGTTAGCTGAGGCAATGCAAGGTAGACAAGTAAAAACAGTCAACAAAAACTGGCGACAAGGCGACAAAGTTGACTTGTTGTCGACAAATTTGTAAATAAATATTAGTAATAATAATAAATAATAACGCAATCGATTACGCTGTAAAGATTACGTTACGCTAAAAAGCATTGCTTTCAATTTCAATTGCATTTTCACATTAGAAGAAGCTGAGACGAAGTAAAGAAAATAGTTTCTTGTTGTTCGTTGTTGTTGTTTTCTCGCTTTCGTTGTTAATTGTATCGACGACAAATTACGGTAGAGTGAAAGTAATTAAAAGTGACAGACCGCAAGAAGAAGCAGAAATAGTAATCAGGCACGAAGGTGTCACCACGCATTTAACAGTGTTGGATAATTATTGCTGCTGCTGGTTGCGCATGCTCGCATTTAATTAACTTCAATTGACTATGTTGCGTCAATGTTGACAATTGTCGTCGAGACTTTTGCTTTTTTTACTATTGTTGATGTTACTTTGTGGTTTTCTTTTCAATTAATTGGCTCGCTTAACACACAGATCCTCATTAAGAGTGAAGTTACATTGTTTGTCTTTCTTTTTTTCCACCCAGCTGTTTTAATTGATGAACTGATATAATTTGCAATTTAGCAGCTTGTTACGCGTGCCTGCAGGTAATCTGGCAACGTCCCCCATGCAGCGCTCTTTAATAGGAATTGATCTAATTTCTGTTATCGCTTTCAAAATGATTTCATTTATCAGCCTGTTACGCATGCTCTGTCTCACCTGCTGTACCCCACGCCCTCCCATGCAGCGCTTTTTAACAGGGAGTTCATCTAATTTCTGTTATTGATTCTAAAATGTTTTCATTTAGCTACCCATGCTCTATCTCGCTCTGATTAACATGTATATGTGGTGCTTCTTAACAGGAGCTGATCTAATTTCTGTTATTGATTTCTAAACATTTTCGTTTCGTTGATTTCATAATAAGAAGCTGAATTTACATAGATATATGCTTCATTGCATGCGATTTTGCTTGGCTTTATTTAGACACACACATACATACACACGTACAGCGTACAGTGTACAGTTCAACAAATAACGGGGTCAGCTGGCTATTGTTGTTGTTGCCTGCATAAAATGCATGTTTTTTTCAAGAGCTATATTTGTGCCTTTTTGAGTACCTTAACACACAAAGCAGTTTGCAATTATCGAACGTGTGTATGTATGCATGTGTGTGTGTAGTAGTACTAGTAGCAAGCAATTGTGAATTCATGTTAGCTTGGCTGTTATTTTTTTTTCGTTTCTCTATGCTCGATGTCCCAAGCGTGTTAATGCCAAACAACACCTTTTTGCCAGTCACAACGCGTCATGTTCTTGAACTTTTTTGTTTGTTTTTTGTCCACTGTACCTTTTGTAACGGTTTATTGTGCATAACGTTTTTAAAATGCGCATTGCAGCGCTGAATTTGATGGATTTCCAAGTCGCTTTATCTATTGTATCAAGTCAACTCAACTCAACTCTTACAGCAATAGCAAAGAAAAAATAATAATAATGTACACAACTTGACGTCGTCTTGCATACACAATTTTTTTGTTGTTTTCATTTCGAAACCGAGCATGCACCTGTGTGTATTTAAAAATACACCTACCTCCCCCAAAACCTCTTTTGTATTTAAGGCTCTTGTGTGAAGTGCGGTGTGCATAAAGAATCAATAAAAATCAACAGCTATTTAAATGCATCGTTGAGTTTGATATGATAATAAGACTTTAAAGTACTCATTAAAAATCGAAAAAAATATGGCAACTTTGTTTATAAGTTTTACTCATTCTGCTTGAAGCAAAAATCTTAAAATACAAAACATTCACACAAAATGTGCCGTTATATTTTGACATTACGAAATTGGAGCAAAAGCAAAATAAAATAAAAACCGTTGCGTGGGTCGCGTTGTGCGTATTTATAGTTGCAGCAGGAAGCAACAACAACAAAAAGAAAAGGGGAAGAACAAGCACTAGCGCGCTATGAGTCAGTGCTGACAACTAACAACAAATTATGCAGTTTGATTGAATGCGCTTTTGATAAGCAAATTATAGAAGTGAATGACTAATTGCTGCCAGCACAAAGGACCATGATAATTCTATGTATATTTTTTTTTGCCGTATTTAATTTGATATTTCCTCAATTGACATGGCATGACATTGCCACTAGTCACATAGCAAAGCATAATAATACTGATTTAACAACAGCATATTACATTTATTTACTTATTTCATTGCCAATCAACATATGAGCACACACAATGACGCTTGCGTGCGTGCGCGCGCCCTCTCTTAATGGCTGCACGTTGTTTTTGTTGCTGCTGTAGTTGCCAGACAGCTGGTCGCCAGTTGCAAAATTTCCAACTGCATTCATTATTAGTACATTTTGGCAAAGTTTAGCCAAAGTCTATTCACAAAAGAGTGCTATCGATTGACGCTTACAGCATCTACATACTACATACAGACTGCATTGCAGATGTGGGAAAGAGAAAGAGAGAGGACAAACAGCAATCATTGTCTTTGTATGTTTGTAAATGCAATGTAAACACATCAAACGAATGACAAATTCAAATGTAAAATGTCGATGAACCTGTTACACATACACACACATATGCATATATGTAGCTATGATCATTTTCGCATATGCATGCGTGTGTATATGTTTCACTTTTTGTTCCCCCCTAGGCAGGAAGTGCATTAAAGAGCCAAAATGTGCAACAACCCTTTTGCTAAATAGGGGGAGGGTTATGCTTCAGTAATAATGGGTGGTGGTTGTAATTGTGGTTTAATTAAAAGCTCTCGCCGCCAGTTGCCATGATATATGCCTGTGTATTTGTGTGAAGCCCACACACGAACAAAACTAAAAGCAACCCCCTCCAGCCCTCATCCACAACACCTCTTTCAATTGTAAAGTGCGTGTGCGTGTAACTGATTTAGATGTCTGCATAAATTTGCATGTGTTGTGTGTGTCTGTCTTTGCTTGGCTGTGTGTGTGTGTTCTTTTCTGCTGTACTTTTGCCATGAACCCAATTTGTAAGCTTGCTGTGACATGGCAATGACATCGCAGCTAGTGATGAGCGTGTTTAAAACGATAGTTTGTGTAACGAATGAAACAATTTGCTTAATATGTTTATATATGAATTTACAATTTAGATATTTAAAATTGACAACTTTTTAGAGTTTTAAATTTGTGTTTAGTTTTAGACACTTACAATGCATGCCACGCACTCATTTCTAATCAAAGCAGTTGTGTTGTGTGCGGACTGAATCAAGTTGAAAACGCAATAAGCGAAACCCATACAGAATGCAAAATGTGCTGGAGTGAACAGTAAAGAGAGAGAGAGAGAGGCGAGTAAATAGTGAGAGGCGACTGCATTGATGGTGGTTAGTTCTTTGGGTGACTTAAGGATTTGGCAAGCTTATCACAAGCAGACAGACGTTGCCAGGCATAATTTATATGTGGCTGTATGAGAATTATTTATGTTCGCAAGGCGTTGCCATTAAATGCATAGATTAAGTGTGTATATAAAAATGAAAATCAATATGATTAAGTGGCGAGCGCGTCTGGTTTTTATCGCCTACCCGGAAAAGCGTGCGGAAAATGGCGCATCCAAAATACAAAAAATAAAAATGAAAGAAATATAAAGCCGGAAACTAAAATCCGCAGCAATATCAACAAACTATTACGACGTTACAATAAAACACATTACATTAGTATTGCGTGTCCGATTAGCGATTGCTAGAGCGTGGGCTCAACAAATTCACTTTTCCCTCGGCCCTCTCCCTCCCCTCCTCCATCATCCCTTCTTCTTCTCCTCTCTGTTCGCTTAACTTTCATCTTTGCCTCATCTGCTTTCCCACTTATAAACAATTGCAAGTGTATGTTTATATGTTGAGTATGTGTGTATTTATTTACGTATGTATGTATGTATGTGCAATTGGGTCGTGAACAATATCAGCACGTCTCTGAACTTATCGGCCCTAGGAAACGAAAATCTCCAAGCGGATTTTACCAATACTAATATACATATGAATATTTAAAGTATGATTGGACATATTTGTGATTTTTCTCATAAATAATTTTTTAAATTAATTCTGTTTTTCATGATGCCCTGAACTAAATGAAAATGGGAATAATGGTTTTGTTCAAAAGTATGTAGCAGGCAGAAAGAATCATCTCATACAGTATATATTCTTGATCAGGATCAACAGCCAGATCCCAGAGAATATACGAGGTGAAGACTTGAAATTTGAAATATAGGCAGATCTAGTTTATTTCATTTTATCGATAACAGTTTCTCCGTTTCGCAAGTATCGATACATATCGTTTTTCGATAGCAATAAAAATCATAATCTTAGATAACTGAAGACTTAAAGAATTTATCAATAATAAAAAACGGCGTCAAAAGAATAAATTTCATATATATGGACGACGGTTATCGGCAATCCTCCTCTTCCAAATCAAGTTATCGTCAAAAATAACCATTTTCTTATGAAATGATATCACTAACTCACCTGCTTACATTTGGATATGCAATACTTTTTAAAGGGAAATGAAAAACTAATTGCAAATATTTAACAGCTGGTTGCTGGGTATATTGAAGTCTATCTAAGTTTTCTTAACAACCGCATTCCTAATTGTTTTTATATAATTCTGTGGTTGCAGTTTATTCTTTCCCTGTTTGGATATTGCTGAATGTTGTTCATGAATATGTATTTCTAATGTGTTGTTTTGCAATTGTTTAGTTTCACACAAATCGTGCGCTGATTCAGTGGCGATTTCCTTAAAACCAAAAACAACATCTCGTGACTCAGAATATTTTACTATTATTATTCTTTTTTCTTATGCTTTACAATATTTGTTCAAGTTTGTGCGCTAAATTTACAAACAAAAAAAAAGAAGCGGTGAATTTAATGCGAAATCCAAATGCCAAAAAAGCTGCATAGCCGGTTTTTATTTTTGTATTTATTGTGGCTGATAAACACAATAATAACAACAACAACTTTAAAAGAGCAAGTGAAGATGTCGAAAGGTATTTTTATACCTCATCCCCCCCTCCTAGATAGATAAGGCCAGTTCAAATGGGAACCTGTTAAAATGTTTATTGGAAGCCAATCAGAAGTTAAATTCTTGTGTTATGTAAACCAAACCAAAGTAAGTTATTTATAAAATCTACTCATTCGACTTTATATCCCATATAATATACTACTTTTTCTCATTTTTGAACGTAGCAAAGCAAGAATTTCTTGCTTTGTCCTCATGCATTCCCACAGACATTGTGGAGCTGAAATTTGCGCTTACAATTTCAGAGCACGTTCGTCTGCTTTTCCATGTCGTTTTTGATAAAGTGCCAAACAGGGATTTGTTTGTGGATTGGGCAACTTGGTATTGACCAAGGAATGCTTCAAATTTACTTTAAATGTGTTAATGAAAAAAATACACAAAAAACAATGCCTGCTAATTGCCAAAGCAACCTGTACAACCTGCACAGCGTAACACTTGCAGGTGTTCCAGTAAAAATAAATAATTATATATATATATATATATAGAGCATTGAATCAGTAGCCGGTTCTGAGAAAGAGATAGTTGAACAATGCGAGAGAGTGAGAGAAAGAGAGAGAGAGAGAGAGAGAGAGAGAGAGAGAGAGAGAGAGAGAGAGAGAGAGAGAGAGAGAGAAAACGAAGCTGTTAATCATTTTCCATGCGTAATCAGCAATCCAAATTTGGATGAGCTCGGAGATAAGTGCTATCAAGGGGACGTGCATAAGATATACTATATATATATATATACTATATAAACACTTAAGATATCAAAAAATACCTTAGCATATATTAGTCAACTGCTTTAAGAATTAGCTACTTGAGGCACAAATTGCGCAACAATTTCTGTTTATGCTTCATTGGACGATGAAATGCGATCGTTCAGCGGATGCAACAAGCGTGTGTGGTAAGCTGAGATGAACAAGTGGGCATGCCTGACTAAGAGATATCCTGTAAGTAGTTGAGAGCTGCTACGATCTGTAGATCATTAGCCATATCCTGTCTAATAAGAAATACCACACCGACAGTTATAGCTATAGGTAAGATCTATGCAGTATTTAAAACAAACAAAAAACAAGTTAGAGTACTCGATTGAGAGATATGCTGCAGAACAAAAATTCGTACTTATATATACAAAAATATATCTTTACGCAAGAAAAGAACATGAAAAACCAGCGGAAATAAGATAAAGAGTGTAAAAAACCCAAGGCTAAGAAATAGTAATAATATAATTCTTCGTTTCATATAGCAATGATAAACAATTAAAATTTTTCACTTAAATAATTTCTCTTTTCTGCACTCATACCAAAAAATAGTTGATTTATTTTGTTAACCATTTGTTTAACTTTCACATCACCTTTTAATAAATACAGGGTATATGTGGGTAATTCTAGCTAGGTAGTTGACGAGGTGTCGGGTCAGAGCCCGTTACTGATTGACAGACGTCTGTCTGGCAATCGAAAACCGCAACGCATGATATGATCAATATTATGAATATCAATATGAATATATATTCATTTTACACTCGTTTAAGTAGCGCGTTCGCTTTTGACTCATGGCAAATCGGTCGTGAGTTGAAATTGAAAACTTAAACGACCTCTCTGTGTGTGTGTGGAACAGTAAGTGAGTGTGACAAAGTCAGTTGGTGTGACTCATGCTCCATTGCATCTCAGATGGGGAGCGGGGAGAGTGAGGGAAGAAGGGGGATACATGCAATTTAGTTGCCAATTAAGCGCAAAAGCCTTTTGGCTTGGCCTTTTTGGGCCCGGGAGTTGTCAAGCCGAAAGATGTGTGAGGCTGGGAACTGGGTAAAGCATAAAAGTAAACTGACTAGTAGTCTAGGGGTAAACAAGTAGAGAAGTGATCGACTAGAGCATACTCTGTAGCAATTGATTGTAGTTTATCAGCAGCAAATATTTAATGAGTTATAAAACTTGGTTTTATTGGTTTAATATTTCATTTAAGTGATGTGAGCTCAACTACAATCTGCAGAAAAAATTAATGAGTTATCAAAATTTGTTTGATTGGATAAATCCTTTTCTTCTGAGCTTTATTTACAATCTGGCAACAAGCACAAACAAATATAAGAAAACAATATTTTATTTTTTCTTACGTTTGAAAACGAAAAGAAAATAGATAACTCAATAAAAAACGAATATAGCTAAATGTCTACTGTTTTCACTTGCATTATTAATTGTACTATTATTTTTCAAATGCATTTGCATATAGTATTATATTAAAATCGAAATATATAGATATAAGCATCGTCACTTACGTATTGAATGTCTTCTGATAGTCCTTGATTTGCTTGCGCGAAAATTCATGGAATTCGGTGTAGACATTGACCACCTTGAAGCTGCGCGGCACCTCAATGCCCGCCTCTAGCGAATCCATAATCTCCTGGCGTCGATTCAAGATGTGCGTCAGTTCGGAGCCCTCCGTGTTTGTTGTCGTTGTTGTTGTGCTATCATCAACACTCCCGTTGCGGGATGCGGACGAGGCATTCGAGGAGACAGACATGTTTTTTTTTAAATTTTTTTTACGCTTGTGCTGGAATTTTTCTCAAACAAAACACACACCACACCCTGTGTGCAGTTTGTTGTGCGGGGGCAGCAGCGAGGATTTAAGGATACACACACAAACACACACACGCACTAACACAATACTTGAGTTATTTGCTGGCCTTTTTATTTTTCGCTTGATTTTAAAATAGTCTTATTTACGCGCGCGTAAAGAGACCGGTGTTGGTTGTTGTGTAGTTTGTTTTATAATTGGAGAATATTTTACGGGTTTTTGATAGAGCGCGCAAAACCTCCAAAGCATTCGAAGTCACAGAAACGAATGAACAGCGTATAAGCAAGCGAAACAAGTGACGATTGTGAATGGGCAAGTGTTTCATATCTGTTTGCGATCTGGCAACGCCAGGCAATTAATGTGAACAGCTGTTTGTCTGACGTGTGACTGGCAAGTGACGATTGTGAATGATATGAGATCTGGCAACGCCATGGAAATGTGAACAGCTGGTCGCCGGCAGACGTTGACGCGTGACTGGCAAATTTACATCTCCAACACACTTGAACTAATTTATTTTTCGCTGCAATTTGCAAACAATATATAAGTTTTTTTTTTGTCGTGTTTGTTTAGTGACTTAGAATGGGCAGCAAATTATTTAACAAACTACTACTGGTGGCTGGCTTTGCGAGTTTGGCGCATGCCGCTTTTTCTGCCGCACATCGTAAGTGGAGATTCTTTTTATCAACCTTTGCACGCTGAAAAGTGAAAATGAAATTTGAATTGTAAATTGTAATTCTATTTAAAATAGATCGCACCTATTTGCGTCTCACGGAGCAGGAGTGGACCAGTCTGCCACTGGATGTGAGTATTTAACGAGCAAAACCTTAGCTACAACTAATGTTTCAAATTATTTACAGATTATTCTGCAAACTGTGATCAGCTTGGTGCTAGTCGTCTATAATATTATACAGATTGTGGGCAACTTCAAGGAAATACGTGCCACAGTTGATATGCAACAGCGCACCTGGGATACACTGGGCAATTTCCCATCTTTCTACACATTCAATCATCGCGGACGCGCCTTGAGTCCAAGCTACAAGCCGCCCCGGGCAAATGAGCTCGATGCCCAGCAGCAGTAGACAGCAATATTTAGCAATATTTAAATATACATAGTGTGTGTGGCATTCATATTTAGTCAAAAATAAATAGAATATTGTGTGCATTACATGTTTATTAACGATTTGAGGAGCAGCGCTGAGAGTAGATTGCCTCGTTGGTTGCAGTTTCGTTTCTGAGGCAAAGCTCACTTGAGTTTTGTGAAAAATGCGGAAAAAGAGTTGTATTCGCTGAAACTTATCACTTTTTCGAATTCAAATCCAATTTTTTTAATTGCTGAATTCCCATATTCTTAAGCTATTCTGCAATAAATGTATATTCCTTATATATTTAAATCAATCAACATTTTAATTACAATTACAATGTATAGTAATACAATATTTGAAGTAGGAAGAGAGAGTTAAAAAAAACTAAAATGCGCTGCATTCTAGAATTTAGTGAACTAAAGAGAATTTTGTGGGAGAATATTTGAATTTTGTCAATAGAAATTATTAAGCTTGGCAGCAGAGTTTTTCAATATTCTCTAAAATTAATCAGTGTTTCAAATATTATTGTGATTAAATGACAAATCAAGATGCTTCCTAGAGTTCTCCACGCTGCTGCTCCTCCGCCAGCAGCATGCTGCGCAAATGTGCCCCAGGCGTGGCATTGCAACCATGTTTGCCACACAGGCGACAGCCGGCTTTCTTGGGACTGCGCAGCAGGCACTCGTAGTAGAGTTGCCCATTGGAACGACAGCCGCGCACCACCTGCCCGCTGGTCTCATCGTAGAACTCCAGACAGGCGGCCAATTCATCCGTCGGCTCATTGGCCGCCACACTGCAGGGAAACGCATTCTGGCCACGACTCTCGACATGATCGCAATTCTGGCACTGATGACACCACAATCTGTGCTCGGGAAACGCGCCCTTGTTGCAGAAACTGCCCTCGCAGCTGCGACAATTGGCCACCGTTGAGAGATTGCAATTGAAGTCGGGTCGCTGGCAGCCACGCTGCGTGGTGCCATTGACATGGCTAAGTACCAGGCACGGCGCAGCTGGTTGCGCACACTCCTCAATAGAAATCCCACCGGGTTTTTCCCAGTTGGCACAGCCGGGTGAATTGGAGCTGCTGCAGTGATAGCAACGCGTTAAATCGAGCACATTGCAGGCGATCTTATCGCTGCCGGCGCACTCGTAACAGTTGAGCAACGGAAGCGGTTGACCACAGCCACGTTGGACAGTCCAATCATCTGGCTGCTCGCAGGCATAGCAGGAGGATGCCTCCGCTGAGCCACAAATGCTGCTGCTCAACGCGCTGGCATTTTTACGGCAATTCTCCGTCTCTGCAGAATTGCAAATGAGGCAAGTTTGTTGCGGCAAACAGACCGCATTGCAATTATCCGCCGACGAGCACTTGACCACAGTTCCAGACAGCTCCTCCTCCACCTGCGGCTCCAACTCTGCGGAGCAGCCACGCACTACACGATTTAGCTGGCTGTAGATGTAGCAATATTGCTCTTGCTCCTGGCCAAGCAGCATCTGCTGTTGGCACTGCTCGTATTGGCTAATCCTGCATTCGTTGCTGCCCAGCTGGAAGAGATCTCGCTTGCAGCCACGTCCACGCTGAGAATCACAGCGCACACAGCTCAAAGTCCATGCCCCTTGTGCCCCATTACAGCCATTAATCTCGCAGAGTTGCGCTGTGGCGGCTGCCGTATGGTTGCTATCGGAGCTGCAGCCACGATATGCCCAAGTTGCATTGCTCACCTCCGTGTAGCAGTGATCCTCCTCCTGGTGCTGGCGACATGGCAACGGTCTGCCAGCCGGCGCAGCCACACAATCCTCGCCGGCACAATGATGACACTTGAGTCGACCGGGCGGATAAACGCCCGAATTGCACAGATTGGTGGAGCAGCGCTTGGAGTAGGTCGCCCCGATGGTTGGCGTTTCGACGCCACAACCACGATATGTTATCGAGTCCACTGCAAAAAGGGGGACATATTTTTGGGGATTAACATATTTGAATTATTAATATTTGCTAACATTTTTTAAATCCAACTTTCAAAGAGATTTTACCATTTTTTTTTTTTATTTTCTAGGTATTTTTCTTATTCAATTCTAATAAGTTTTATGCATATATTCTTAAATAGATTTAAATCACTCTTGATTTGAAGTTTAATCTATTTACAACTCCAAGTCAAAGTGTTATTAAAAATGATAAAATGTGAAGTAAACAGAGCTGAAATCTTCTTCATTCTCGAATAATATATACTTGCTTTCATATATAATAATAATACATAATATTTACTTAATTTTATTTTGTTATTTTTTTTACAAATTGGTCCCCTTTGAGCAAGTGCTGGTAATTATATTTAATCTCGTAGCGATGTTGAATGATATTTTATCTGCCAAGCAATTTATTTAGTATCACATTTAGTATGGGAGTAATCATTATTTATCGATCTTTAAAATAAGTTTGTGGTAAAGTACCTTCAAAACTGTTTGTCAATAGCTAAAAAACTTTGGAAGATATAGCCTGAATTCTGATCGATTTAATCGATTTTTATCGATTTTCTCGCCACACAGACGACTATATACTTTTAGTTTCAAGTCTCTAGTCATCATAGCATAAGAAAAGTTCACCAAATCATTTCTAAATCGCACATACCGATAAACATTAATGTATATATATGTACATATATGTTTAGTGTATTCGCCAGAGTATTTGAAAGCATTGAAAACAGTTTAATCCCTGATTGATTATGAGTACGTACCAATTGACATGGTGCACGTCAGTTCGGTGGGGCACTCTTTGAAGGGCAGTTGGCCCACTTCACCGAGGGTTTGGGCGCATTCGGGCAGCGCGATGGAGTCGCAATGATAGCAGACAATGGCCCATGTTAACTGAATGGTGAGGCCTATAATTATATATGTTTGTAATCGACAAATATTGGAAAGGCATTAGACCCAAACAATCGGATATAAGCTCACATGACAGAAACAACAGCAGTAGTCGAAGTATCGAGAATTGGCTCATTTTGCACAGCTGCTGCAAGCTTTCTGCATTAAATTGATTTGGGTCTTTTGTGCATTAGCAAAATAGAATCGAATTTGTCCGTTTTATGGCTTATCTAAAGTCTGCACAGAGTGAAACAATGGCCACTATCAGTGAGTGCGATAAGGATAAGGATTAAAATCAAATTGATATGCTTGCCATAAATGTAAAGTGCATTTCTAATTATTGAATGCTTTGTCTAAACGTTGCTAAGTGATTTCCCAATTAATGTAGAATAGAAGTTTTTTTTATAATATAGTCATTGACTATATGGTTATAGATATAAATGTTTTTGATATCACACATCGTCGCATGACTTTAAAGAGCTCATTTGCTAGTTCATTAAGTGAAAACACTTTTAAGTAATTAATTTCTGAAACAGTGGATTTTGTTGTTAGTCGTTGGTCGATGAGGTTGGTTTAGAGAGTATACAATTATTTAAATTACTCAGCTATACTATAATTGAAACAAGTTGGAATGCTCTGGTGGGGAGAGTTCGACTAGAACATACTCTGAGCCTATCTGTTGATTAGAAAGTAGGTTGCTGATTATATTTTGTTTATCATGAAAATGCATTTTGGAAAATAAATGAATTTTTTAAATATTAATTGAGAGACTTTATCTTTACAAATGTGTCATTTATTGCTATCAGAAATTGACCTATATCAATATTTAAGAAACGAATAAAATTGAACTTTCTATGGTAATACTTGTTTGAATACTTATTTGATATCTGAGCTCGGCTTATATATACTTGGCAGATGATTCCTTCGGCCTTTCGCAAAATTTGCACAATTTTATGATACCCTTTTCACATTTTACCCTGCATCCAGGATATAAAAAAGAGCGCGATATTCGGCACTCTTAAATATCACATAAATGACACTCCCAATGCCGCATATATATATAACTGAATATTCAAGAACTAGCTAATATGTTGCAAGCTATTATTATCTCAAAAATAATTAATAAAGGAGAAGCTCGCTTTCGTTGTGTGACTTGCCAATTTAATTTACAAGCCGTCTGTTGTATACTGAGCAAAAAAGTGCATTCTAAAGACAAAATTGTGTGAATTGCAACTCAGGAATTTCTCATTTTACGTTTAGATTTTAGCCCTATATTATGAACTATAAGTTCAGATAAGGAATGTGACTTTAGAATGATTTATTAGAAGCGGAATGTCTAAATCGGAACTGGAACCGCATTTTTACATATTGTAATTCAGAATTGAAATTGGGAATCAGAACATAAATTCAAATATTTTGAAAACTGTAACCGATATTATCGGTTGTTGAACCGTAAAAAAGATTGGAAAAAGATCGCAATCCTTACCTGAATTTGTATACTTTACTTACCTAAATCGGAATCAAAACTCTGATTAGAAGACAATCAACTTGATTCTCGTTTCCTTATTAAACGAAAATGATGTATAGAATTTGTAATTGAGTCAAGAAAATGTATATTTGTAATTTCTAGTTGGTGTTTTTTCTCCAAGTGTATGTTGAATGCAAAAGAGGCACATCAGTCAATTGGACATATAGCAATCATATTATTGTGCTGCTTATTTGTATATATTGGCAGGCTTGCAATGCCAAAAGTTCACATGATTAATAATTCAGGAAACGGTGTCATGGCCAGGATGACCGGGAGTTTATAATGAGTACATATGATAGAGTCAGCCAAATGGGTCGACTGTGTGGTATGTATATTAATACATATATATATATATACACATATATCGATTAAATTTAGAGTGGGATAATTGCGTGACAATCAGCGACATATGGTCAGCAATTTGATGGCCTTGCTTCAGTTGGCCACGAGTCGGCAGCGGAACAGGAGCACAAACAAATAATTACAATAAACCAGTCACAGTTTTAGGTATTTTCCTGTTTGCAGAGCTTTTGTGAAATTCACCATCGAAATCATTGTTGCTAATAATACTGAATACCATTTAGCAATTTATCGAGTGACAAAACACACAGAAATCAATGATGATCGTTAAGCATCTGAGTTGGTTAGTGACAATCGCTGTGCTGCTGTTGCTGCAAGGAGCGGCACAGGAACTAGAGCAGGAGCAGGAACCGGATGTGGATGTGGAGATGATCACGGTTAGTAAAGAAAGGGAACTGGTACCAACTTTGGAACAGTCGATTGAGCAGCATGAACCGGAAATTGAAGCCGCAAAGGAAACAGCAAGCGAACCAGAAAGCGAGCCAGGAAATGATCCAGAAAATAAACCAGCAAATGAACCAGCAAATGAATCAGAAAATGAACCAGCAAATGAACCAGAAAGCGAACCAGCAAACGAGCCAGCAAAAGATCCAGCAAGCGAACCAGAAAGCGAACCAGCAAATGAACCAGAAAGCGAACCAGCAAATGAACCAGCAAGCGAGCCAGCAAATGAATCAGAAAGCGAGCCAGCAAATGAACCAGCAAGCGAACCAGCAAATGAATCAGAAAGCGAACCAGTAAATGAACCAGGAAATGAGCCAGTGGACGAACCAGTAAACGAACCAACAGATGAACCGGCTAGCGAACCAGCAGCCGAGGACGAATCGAAGGCAGATCAGCCAATGACTACGCCATCGGACTATCAGGACGATGCAGTGCCGCAAGAACCAGACGTACCTCAAGTTGCAGCAACAGCAGCAGCAGCTGTGCCCACTGCAGCCGCTGGAATCGAGGCGAAGCAAGTGAATATAACGGTGCAACACAGTTGCTTCAGCTGCTCCAGCGATTGGAGGGGTCATTGCCACCAAAATTTCACCGAGCGGCAACAGTGCCCCATGAGTAGCAAACGCAGCGGTTGCTACACGATGCTCAAGCGTAAGTTGCGAATTGTGAATTGGATGAACAAGGAATTATTCTGATATTTAAAAAGTCACCAAGTTGAACTTTCCTTATCATTCAGAAAGTATGTTTCTAAATTTTGGGTCTAATTTTAAGGATGGTTTTTCAACTCTTTTTGGCTTGTGTCGATTCGAACCAGTGGCCTTTAAATCTGACAACAGCCAAACTCGAATTCTTATCAGATTTTGATGAATGTTCATCAGCTGTTGATCATTATAAATAAATCTCTAAGTTTAACTTACTCCAAAGATTCTGAGACCTGACTCTCTTTTCTTCATTTTCGATCTCATTCTTTCTCAGTGCGTTCTTAACTTTGTTAGTTTATTATAATTAATTTATATCATTTAATTTGCAATCGGTTTTTTAAATGTCTATTTGAATCATTTTTTTTCTGTTTTCTTTTAAATTTGTGAGCTGTTTTTAGTAATAATAACATTCAACTGCAAGGTTGGATGTAGCTTTACGTTGTAGGTTGGCTATCTGAAATCGATTTATATTGAAATTCACGAAACGGTTTCAGTTATCGATAAATGAAATAAACTCAATATGCGTTTGGTATACCGATAAGTTAGATTCCAAATGAAAAGCCTGATTGTGGTCGTATCCCAGATTGATTTCTTCATATAGCTCGCAGATAGGTTGATCCTTATCGAGAATATTCGTATATAACTTATGGGATCGGAGATGTTTCCTTCTGGCTGTTGCACACTCACAACTTTATTATTGCCCTTTCAATTCTATTGCAAATTATATATACATTTCCAGGGGATACGAAGCTAATAATGCGAGGCTGTGCATCGGATTTAACGGAGGAGGGTGACAAATATTGTCACAAGGAAAAGGAACTGTGTCTGATCTGCTCGGGAGTGCTTTGCAACAAGGATGAGATACATGACGCTGGCGCTCAGCTTCTGGGCAGCCTAACAGTCTGGAGTCTATGTCTAATTGTTTCTTTGGGCTACGTTTAGAAATTCACTTAAATTCGATTTTAATATGTATTCTGCTAATTATTATAAAATATCTTAATTACTTTTATTAATTCAACTAAATTTGTGTCACATCTGCAAATAACTTTCTTTTTGTTGTATTTTATTTCTATTCATTCATTATATATTTACCCATAACGAACTATTTTTAATACCTTTTAAGAATGCTAATTCGATAATTTCAATATAAACTTTCTGGATATAAAATCACTATAAGCAATATATTTCTTTGTTCACTTTTGCTACGTTCTTTAAATCAATAGTAGCTTTATCTGAATAGTCTATTATTTGATATTATTATCAATAATATTGGAAATTGATTAATGAAGCAATTAGTATTATCGATTTGCCTTATCATTAATGATGAGTCATGCATATACATTTTTTAATATTAAAAAACAAAATCTTTAAATCATATATATTGACATTTATTGATTCAATTTTATAGAGCTGGTCCAATTGTAAAATTAAATTAATATGATTTTAAAGTCGACGTATAAAAGCAATTCATTTTTGGTTTGCTACTAAACTCAACTATTTGGCTTATTTAGTTCGAACTTTGGCTATTATGACTCATGGAACCCATTGTTAAGTGATTGTTTATTGAAGTATTTTTGTTATTGATAGATTATGTATGTACATTTTATTACGGTTACAGACAGAGTTTACAAGTACTGTTTGATAATGAAGATCAGTCCGAACATCATGCCGACGCCCATGTGCGACAATGTGGAGGCACCGCTAAAGGGGGTTTTGTTGCAACCGGATGTATTGCAAGTAGTGCAGCGATTATCATCTTTATTTGTACATTGATAAGTCATCAGCGGACCTGCATTGGCGAGGCAGCCACGCAGCACAACGCCATCTGTGAAAAGGGCAATCAAAAAAAAAAAATAATAATAATTAAAACTAATTATTGGAATCAGTGTATAAATGGATCAGTTTTGTGGCCAATATATGGATACAAATAAATTGAATTATGCCTAATTTAATTAAAATGAAATGTTTAAGATACCAATTTAAAGTGCATTAATAACAAACAAAATATTAATTATAAATCATTAAATATAATATTTAATAAAAAAAACTGCGTTTGGATATATTACGTTGAAAATTAACTCCAATTTGTCATTTATCTTGAATAAACTTCAATTGTTTATCAAAAGAGGTCAAAAATGTCAAGTTTCTTTTTAATACGATATTTCATTTTCAACATTTTTGTTTTAATAAATTATTTTTACGGCACTGATAAACCAAAATGCATTTAATATAATTTTGCATTTAATATAATATTTAATTTTCAAAAATAATTAATTTAACTTGGATGAAATTAAATTTATTTATTTCATGTCGACACAAAAAAAGAAAAGAAAGAAATGGAATGGAATGGAATAAAATGAAAGAGAATATTGAATGTTTGTGCTTTTTCGTATGACTCACCCCACTCTCCCTCGAAACATATATTTGCATTATCGCCGGTATTTGGAACACACGGTTGCACCGCATCGTCACCTGCACGACATTCGGCATAATTATCACTGCGACAGATGAGGCAACCAAAGACATTCTGATTGCTGTTGCAAGTATCGCCATCGCACTGGGTGCAACCATTTGCTGCAGTGCAGCCGCTAGTCAGTTCATTGGTGCAGCCACGTTGCACAGTTCCATTGGCATACTGTTGGGTGTAACAGCTATTGACCGTCTGTGTGTACGGTGCGGGGGGGCAGGCTGGCGCCGTGCCAGTCTGACCGCCGACACAACCTGCCGCATCATTGCAGCTGTAACAATTGCCCAGTACTTGCTCATATGGACGATTATTGCAACCGCTTGTACCGCACAAAGCACAAGCGGCATCGGGCGTGGTACCGGCACATTTATTGCCCGCATCCGTGTTGCAGCCACGTTGCATCGCTGCATCATTTGCACCGATCGTATAACACTTTTGATCCGCCTGATAAGTTGGACAGGCCGCCAGCGACGATGCAGCGACTGTGTTGCAGTTGGCACTATTGCACTGATAGCATTGGAGTCGATTCGCCGGATAGAAGCCCACATTGCAGTTGTCCGTTGTACAGCCCGTGCAGGTGCCGGCTGCAGTTGTCGCACACGGTTCATTACAACCCCGGGTCACAGTTCCGTCCGCGTTCAATTCAGTGCGACACTGCTGTGTTGCTGCGGTGCACATCTGGCTGCCAACCGACTTGCCATCTGTCGTCGAACATGTCACATCGGTGGCAGCGCATGTCTTGCACAACAGATTCGCATTACAGTTATCTGTGTTGCATTGCAGACAGTTGGGTGCGGTGCACGTCGTACCGGCGGCGAGGCATCCACGCGTTACAGTCCCAGCGGCATCTACAATTCAAAATGGATTTTGAGTTTATAGCCACATAAAATATAACCTTAAATAGTCCCAAGCTCCCTTAAATATTCATAATATTTTATCTAATGTACTTTTTTCTACTTCTTTATCTATATTTTCTAAACCCCAGCGTTGCAAGTATCTTATTAATTTTGTAATTTTATCGAATAATTTAATATTTAATTTGTGATTCATCAAAATGAACTGAAAAAAACTTATTTAATTTATCTTGAAATAATTTCAATTGTGCACTAACAACAATAAAAATTAAATGAATCACACCTGTACGGCACCGATGATCCAAACTGAACGCAATCCTAATCCTTCAAAACAATGCTTTGCATTTCCAATCAACCAATTAAATAGTAGAAATAATTATATATTACGATATGTATTACGTGTTTATAAAATATATAAGCAAAATTACTCAAATATTTCGTTTAAATTCTTATCTTATAAATAATATGAAATAACAAATAATATGAAGCTATTTAATTTAATTATTATGAATATTAATATTAATAAGATAGAACGCTCTCGTCCAAGAGGAAACACTAAACTAACAGTTAAATAAATAAATCCTCTTAGGCACAGACTCTAATCTTATCTCGCCTTAAACGAATGCGCAAACTGAATTGCTATCAGGTTATTGGTATCAATTCTCTATTGCTTGCCCAGATACGGGAGAGTCACCAAACAAAACATGAAAATAGGAGCTCATTTCTCAGATAGCCTCTTTGATTCGATATTCGCAAACAGATGCAAATATCGATCAAATATAATAATCTTGATCTGCGTGTGGTAAAAAACGAGCAACTTGTGTTTCAAATTTGATGTTTATAGTTCTTTTAGTCTCTGAGATCCGCTTCTTTATACAGACTAAATCTGGTTAAATCGACTCAAAATATTTTGTAATAACTTTAATCCGTTATATTTGCTATCAAACTTTAAGCAATATGAGATATTTCAGTATTGGTTTATAATCATTACCAGTTAATGTCCAACAAAGAAATTTGCGCAGCAGAAGCTTTACTTAGCTGTATACATTTGTTGTTATCGTCACTTGAGCACACACACACACAGATACAGACACACCCATGCACACACCGATAAGTACTAAAATGAACTTGTCCTACTTATCTATTGGCATATATACTTGTGAGTCACCTAACCTAAACCAAAATCGGAGGCGACTTACCTGTTTGAATAAAACACTGGGTAACATCAGCCGGACATGCGGTGGGATTGGTTCCCGCTAGTGCGGTGGCGCAATCTGTGTTTAGTAAAAATTTCAATTTTAATAATGTTCGTTTTGTTAAATTTGTCTTCTTTTTCACAATTATTGTAACTTACTCAGCGCCTGACAGCTGTTGAAACTGATTGTGATAAGCGTCGCTATCAGAGCAATGCACAATTTATGGCTCAGCATTGTGTAAGTTTTGGATAGATGGATCAGTTGTGCTTGGGTGGGTTTAGCTCGCTTCTTTTACTGTTCTGTTGCCTTCGGCTGCCGTTGTTTAACTGTCTCTTTCTTTGCCGGTTGGCCGTTCAGTTGCAACACACGTTGAAATAAAAAGCTGTCCCACCATTTAATGTTATCTATTTGTAACATTTACTGATAACAATGGTAAATTGGCTACGATAATACATATCTGATATATGATTGCGAAATGAGTTTTTTGTTTTGTTAAATGCAATAGCTTTTGGTCGAGCTTTGCTCAAGCTTTGAAAGCTATTTGCAAGTTTTGGTGCGGTTTGAGCACACGCTAATTATACCCTATACCAAATGCAAATGGGTATACCACAGGGAAGGATAACGTTTTTCAGGTTGACTTGGTTTCTAGATGCGCCATTAAATTGGCAAAACAAATATAATGAAGTTGGAGGAAGCATATCTGAATCCATCATCTTTATAAACTGTTGATCAGCATCAACAGCAGAGTCGATTTAGCCATATCCCTTTGTCTTTTTGAGAAAGCCGATCGCAGTGAGTATAATAGTTATAGATTTTAAATTTTGGATATATGTGCCCGATTTGTAAGTGTCTAAATCGATTTTCGATTACAATAAAAAACTCAATTGAACAGAAATAGCATTTCATTTGATATATTATATGACCAGGCATATTTTTGATCAACTGTATAAAATTTACTTGAGGTCAGATAAGAAGCACAGATTTTGTTAGCCCACATATATCATTCATTTTTTGCAAGCTAAAGCCAGATAACAGAGTCTACTAAATATTTAACAGCTATCTTCAGGGAATCACCCTGCCGAACCCTCGAGACTATAGCATTTTCAATTGTTTGTAGAATGCGTGGCTTTCGAGTAGGAAGTAAGCCATTAGAAATGCAGTAAAACTAAATGCATTATAGCACCGAACTATTAGATGCAATATATGTTGCATATAAAACCGAATTATTAGATGCAATTTGGATTGAATATATATAGATTTATAGTAGATAAACAATCCACTATCACGAGCTGTGATTAGATACGACTTTGTGGAAACGCACCTTCTCCTAGTGATCTCATGACAATTGGTCATATATCTGAGCAATTATTTATTTATGAAGAGCTGTGATTGCTTTGCACTTAAGATAAGATTATATAAGAATAATATATAAAACAGCAACATTTTGCAAATGTTGCGATTTTAAGTCACTAAATGGTTTTCTTAACATTGATGATTTCGTTTATAGCTAAGATAATCAACTATATATATGATATATATATGGTCCTCAGGCATATCGTGTAATAGCTTTTCTGGCCGATCAACTATTGATGACTTTATTATTGAATTTTATTTGTTTTTGCTATCGACACTTACTACAATAGCTTCGGTGTAGCTTTGATTCTTAAACACAAGACTAATAAAACATCAATAAAAAGCAATCTTATTTTTTATGTATTTTTATTAGTAATGTCCAGAAATTTGATATCTGCTCAGAATATTTTCTTGAAGAGCAATAGTAAAATGTAGAATATTTTTTTTTGATTTCGTTTTACTAATCGATATGATTTCTTCGTTTTTATTTTGTTAGATTACAAATACGAAATATAATACAAAATTAAAATAAAACACAGCAATGCGAATGCATCACTTAGAAGAGGCTCCTTAGACCCACGCCAAGCAGCAGCAGCAGTGATCCCAGGGAGATGTGCAGAGTGGCGCTGCCATTGCAGCGATCCGTCTGGCAAACATCGCAGAGATCACCAACTGAATCCTCGGGTAGTCCGACCAATTCACGCACCGCCTGGCAACCGTCTTGGTCATACGGTATTCTCACACAACCGCGCTGAATCGCTGTTCACATGAGAAATAATTTGTAATTAGGATTGATTGTGAATTCTGCGAGCATATTGTGACTGAATTTTGTACTTACTGCCATCCTTTTCGATGCTGAAGCAGGCCGATGTTCGATAATTAGTGACATTTTTCGTTGCCTCCAAGGACCGATAATTGCGGATTAGATGATCGGCTGCCTGGGCAGCCAGAGAGCGACGTGCTCGAACCGATCGCAAGCCAGCGGCTCGTGCTAAATTTTGAATATCATTGAGCAGATTCATCGGTTCGCCAGCATTCAAATGTTCGGCCATATTTCTTACAGCATCCGTTGTTGATTCTGTTGTTGTAGTAACTGATTCCGGATCTGTTTCGCCACTTACTGGAGTGGTTGGTTCTGATGAGACGTCTGTTGTAGTCTCTGCTGTTGATAATTCCGAAGATCCCTCACTAATGGATGAGCTAACTGTGGGTGTGGTTGAATCTGGCGTGGTTTCTGCTGGTGAAGCTGTGGTGTCAACTGTGATTGACGATGATGAGCTCTCTTCGGTTCCGGATGTTGTAGTGGTTGTGGAATCTGATCCAATTACATCAGTTGTCGAATCTGTTGGAGATTCTGTTGTAGAATCTGTACTCGCTGGACCCGTAGACTCGTCAGTAGTCGCAATGGGCTCTGTTGTCTCTGGTGTGGTTTCTGATGGTGAAGTTGCGGTGTCAGTTGTGCCTTCTTCTGTAGTCGATATTGAGCTCTCTGCGGTTTCTGATCCAGTTTCACCAGTTATATTAGTTGTCGAATCTGTTGGGGATTCTGTTGTAGAATCTGTACCAGCAGGTACAGGTGTGGTTTCTGTCGGTGCTGTGGCAGTTGTACCCTCACTGCCTTCATCAGGTGTGGTTTCTGTCGGTGCTGTGGTAGTTGTACCATCAGTGCCTTCATCAGGTGTGGTTTCTGTCGGTGCTGTGGTAGTTGTACCCTCAGTGCCTTCACCAGGTGTGGTTTGTGTCGTTATTGTGATGCTTGGCGAGGTGGTTGACGTTGCATCAGTAGTGCTCTCCGTGTCATCATCGGGTGTTGTCAATTCCGGGCTCTCATCCAAATTGCAGCTAACAACGGGCACATTATCCAGATCATCGCAATCGGAGCCGATGCATTCATAACAATTTAGTGCATTTGCTATAAATGATAACAAAAAACATATTCAATTAAACTTTTTGACTTTTTTTTCTTCTGATTTTTGCAGCAAGTCTAGCGATAACATTGGAATGATTCACCGGACTTTGTTTTCAATTTAGCTCGAAAGTCGCTGACTTTTGTGGGCTTAAGAATGCTGCGCAATATGGTTTAAGTTCGAAAAAGCTGCAATACTCTTAAATCAAGTAGAAAAACCAAAAAAAAAAAAATGCTAAAATATCATATTGTGTATCTTGATCGTTGGAATTCCATGAAAATTGAACAAGAAAAAGAATGTATATATATTAAACATAAATTTATTGTTATCTGTTAAGCAATTCCAATATTATGTAATCGTTGATAAATATAATATGTATATAATATTTATACATAATAAAATTCACTGATAAATTCTGCTGTTTGTTAAAAGCGATAATAATTGAGGTGCATATTGGAATTAATTAATTTCTGTTTTTTTTCCGCATTTTTCGTTTGTTAGTTTAATTCCCCATTTGGGGCCTCGCATTTTTGCGGCATACGTAATTTTAACTCCAATGTGAACTAATTACAATAATGGGCATGGCCGTGATTCTTTGGTTCGCTGAAACGAGTACAACATGCTGATAAGACATGTGCTCTTTCTCATACTGGAGGAACAACTATTGTAGTTTGTTCATAAAAACATTGCTGATGAAACATTAGACAATAAAGAAATTAAATCGATCGATGTCACATTTTTTTTGCTTGTATTTTTTTGTTACTTATGTGATTGATTGTATTAGGTGTATCGCACTTTAAGGATATTTGTCGACAAAACATCAATTCTACAAGTGACACAACTTTTTTTTTTTGGTAATTTCACAATTTTTAATAATATTGATTGAATATTGAATATATTGATTAATGTTCCTCAGATTTTATATATTTATATATATTTATATAAATTTTTTTTATACTGCTGTATGTTTTATATAAATTTGAATCAAGTTTCCTGATGTTTGAAATGCACTTTACAACGTCGAGGATTCATTTTGAATGCGTATTAAGGCAAGTGCGCCTTGTGAAACGCCCGAAAATCGCGTACTGCTCACCTGGCCAAAAGGCGGCGAAAACACACAGCGACAGGACCAATAGACTAAAACGCATCTTGTTTGAGAACTTAGGGATATGTATTAGGATATCTATTTTTTTTTAATTATTTTTTTTTAGCGTCAGCAACTTAAAATTGCAGGCAACAGCACGGTTTGAGACTTGAAAGCAAACTACCATTTAAATATATTGTTAACATTGTTTCTTTTTTTATCACTTGGCCCACACAGAGCCAGAGCGATATGATAGGTGTGTGTAGGTAGGTGGTACTCATGGGTTGGTCGAATAGGTCGGGCCAATGTTACTGATAACAGAGCGCCCCGTTGGCTGAAAACAGTATTGCCTTGTTGTGTGGATATTTAGGACCCCTTTCTCGACTCGACCGATAACATCGCCTATAAACTTAATGATACGATCACTCTTCTGCTGCTGATAAGCAATTGTGTGTGTGTGTGTGTGTGTGCATGCAGTAAATGCCAGAGTCTTTGAGTGGAACCGTACTTCCGCAGGATGTTTAATTAACGACAACGATTATTACGCTCAGAAAAAAATCACACTAAATTTGGAAAATTTACAATACCAGACAGTATTTCTAAAGACCAGGGGTTTATTTTTAATTTCAGGGTATATTTTAAAAAATAAAAAATAAATATGTCTAATTTTCATATGGGTGCATTACTTGTTTCTGAATTTTAGAATCGATTTTAATTTTAACACATTTTTTTTGCTGAGTGAATGCTCGGACGTAGGTATATTGTTATTGGCAACAATAAATAACTAATAAAATAAGTGAATGGAGCTTTTGTGGTATTGCACTACAAAAATTATGATTTCTTATCACAAGGCAATAGAACTCAATTGATGAGAAACAATAATGTGTACTGAGCTCGACACTGGAAAGCCTTAAATCAATTCATTGTTCACTTCCACTTGTAAAAGATTGAAGTTTTTGGTCTTCATTTGATAGTATCGCAAAGTCTTTTTAACTTAAGATCCAGCAGGACAAACTGGTAAAATGAATCTAATCAGTTTGATCGGTTTCTAAGCCCAATGTTATGTACCCAATTAAAATGCTTCCAAAATAGCTTAAACTTGTGAAAATATTTTAGTTACCAACTTTGTCACAAATAATTGATAAGCAAATGATTCAATTATATGATAGTAATTTATATATATATATATATAGCAATTTATATATATATATATACGGATGCACGTAGAGTAGCCATGGGGAATTGTACTTTCCCGATTATTTTTATTAGCTTTATTATGATTCACGATATTTGAACAGCTGAATTACAAAGAAGCTTTGTCTTCTCAAAGTATACAATTTAGAAAGTAAATATTTTATTGTTTGTTTTTTACAATTCTTTGTTTTTATAATTGTCACGTAGTTCGGTTGGTTTGTTTTTCGCTTTATTCTCGGGTTATCAAACCGAAACGTATTTTGGTTCCCTTAAAAAACTGATAAGGTGCAGTGTATTGCCAAATTGTCTTATTATTTTATTGCCATTCAGAAATATTCTAGCCCGAAATGGGACTCAGAAGTTTCATTCAAGTTATTAAAAACTCAAAGTCAATCAATCTGTAATCAAGTCGTTATCTATGATGATAAAGTTCCATAATTAATTGACACTTGCACTTTTTATAAGCTGCACTTATCGTATTCCCCTACTTTGAATGACAATCCACTTAAAGGTAGACTCAATGCCAATTCGCAGGCATTCAACAAAACTAAAAAAATAACAACAGAGAACGTTGCAGTCGAGTGTAGCCGACTGTGAAATATTCTAATACCAATAAGTAATACAACCTAATAACAAGTGCCACAGAACAGAAAGGGTGTAGCCAAGAAATAGCGATCTTTGATCAAACTTTCTAGAAATCGATCCTCCAAGCTTGGGTTTAAAACTAAGCAAAAAAAAAAAATGATTAGAGGAGGTTCTTAGTAATCTTCCTTCCACTCACTGGGTACGTCACTATAGCTCTTAAACTGCGGAAGATATGGGCCTTTCTAGTTTTAGGGGGCGTGAGTAGCATCAGTTACCAGATGGTATTATTTATTGGTATCAGTGTATTTCGCAGTCGTTTTTATATAGATTTTGACACACATTGCAAATTTTTTCAAGTCAGTAGCTTATCTCTCTGCTCAGATAACGTCTATAATTGTCATGGGCCATAATTTGAGTAGCTGTTGAACGAAACTCTATTTCTAGATACATGTGAAAATCAAAATTCCATGAAAATAATCAACTTTACAAATTGATATCTCCGCTAATTTATTATACTCCCATTTGGTAGCATTATTTATGCCTGTGCACACACTTTTCGTACGCACGGTTCATATAAATATATATATAATGAGTACACATAGAGAAGCGCCAGGTTTAGTTATTTATTTATTCCTTTTTTTTATTATTGAGATCTTATCTTATCGTTTTGTTGGGGGAACCTCTCGGCTCGCTCTCATTGCTTTTGGTTTTGTTTGTGCTAGGCAAATTTACTTAGCAATTGTCATGATGGCCTAAAAGTATGCCTTCCTTTGTTTGCATAATGCGGCGTATGCGCAATCTGAATACTCCACAGAACATAAGCGTGACATTGACCCAGACCCATATTCTACTTACACGTGATTCGACCACAAAAACAATCATCGCTTTGCTTTACATTGTATGCTTTTTGTTGTTGTTGTTTTTTTCATGTATTTTATCTGAAGTTTTATACTTTTTGATATGTTTGTTTAGTCATAAAGTGGAGAATGACAGTTGTTTATTATACTTATCATCAGAATTAAACTCTTTCTAATAAAGAATACGTTTAAAGCTATAATTAAAATATTAATATATATATAAAAGTTGATTTATTAAAGAGAAATATTTCAAAATAAACTTCGAGTAAATATGTTTTTAGTTAAGAGTTTTTTGAGTGAGTGCTTGGAAGATTTGATGTTCACTTTTGTCTGCAAACGAGTCAAATATTCATATTCATAAATTTGATTATGAAATTCATATAAAATTCATCATGATTAACAGCGTAATTTAATTTTTTTTTAATTTTTCTCCCATGTTTCTCCCATGCGCCCAATAAAATATATTGAAAACATATTTAATGTACAAATAGTTTATTACATATCAATTAAATTGTCTTATGCTTCACATTTGGTTAGCTTTAGATCATATATATATATATATATATATATATATATATATATATATATATATATAGTATAGGTTATAGTATATTTATATTTCGATATTCGTGTGTGTGTCGCTTACAAAATACATAAAATGTTGTCGGACTTAACAAATGAGAGCAGATTGCAGATTGTGATGACTCTGTGTGTATATATATGTGTGTGTGTGTGTGTGTGCCTTATAAAAATGAGCAATATGTACTAAATAACACCGGGATTTGGAGTGATCGGTGAAACGGTTTAGGATTCTTCTTTTACTCCTTCTTTTTGTCATTCTCCTTTTACTCCTTCTCCATGTACTTAGTTACGTTGCACAGCGGCGGCAACAACAGCAAGTAGAATCGTCACCAGCAGCGATGATTGCAACACAGATGTGGCACCATTGCACGCATTCATGCTGCAAGGCACACATGTGCTGCCCTTCGGCACAAATCCATCCTTCTCCACTTCCGTGCAAACCGCCTGCTGTGAATCAACACGTGAGCAGCCGCGTTTGCTGACATTCTCTGCGAATTTGAGAAATTGGATTTAGTTCAGTTTGATTTTCCATCAAATTGCAATCGCTAAATACACTCAGGAAAATAAAAATCGATTTCACAGCGATTTTCTAGAATTCAGGACAATTTATTTTTCTGAATGTATGCATTCGCTAAGTTGCTTTACCGATTTTGTGTTTGATTACTTACCAGCTGTCTCAACTGTGTAGCAGTGATAGGTGTAGCCTGTTTCGGTCAGTGCACGACGCCGGCGTGCATTCAGAACGGAACCCTGATCTGCTGGAGTGGGATGCGACGTGGTTGTCTCTACGGGAGCGATTGTCTGAGCCGATGGCGGTGGTGGCACAGTGGTTTCAGCGATTTCGGTAGTGATCTCATTTGTGGTTAACTCTTCTGTGGTGGTTTCCTCTGTGACTACTGTGGTTGTGGTTGGGTCCGTGGTGCTGGTGCTCGATGGTGTTGTCACAGTGGACATGGTGATTGCAGTTGTGGTGGCTGCTGGAGTTGTAGTTTCGGATGTTGAGGCTTCAGTGCTGCCAGCATTATTGAAAAAGTCAGCGTTACACAACATCATCGGTGTATCTTTGGTCACCTCATTGCAATTATCGCAAACGTAGCACTTCAGATCCGCCAGACAAGCTGTTCAAATATGTTAAGCCAGAATAAGTGTTTTTGTTGAAATTGCATTCGAATAATTAATTAATTCGCAGAATTAATTAAAGAAAGTGTAGTTGTCTATACTTTTTATATACATAATATTCCATTCGATTTATGTTTTATTACGCCCAAGATGAGCAGAATTTCAATATTTCTTTGGCTTGCTTCAGCTCTGACATTTTTTCAATTTATTAAAAATTAAAGAAACAAAAATAAATTTTTGTTGTTTATTTATAATTTGATCAATCTAGCTTAAGGGGGCGATTTCAGATAAATATACATATTTATTATTTTTCCCGATAGTTATTAGTGGTGTTTATTTAACTTATAATTAATTTTGATTTATGGAACATGTATGATCTTCGAAAATAAAACAAAAAGAAAAACCCAACCTGATCACCTGGAAATTGTATGCATATGTCATATTACAGTCAAATTGAACCATTTACAGCTTTGGGGTAACCAAACAACGATTAACGATGATAAATCGAACGAAGCCAAAGTCTAAGTCGATAACCATCAGTTTGTAATGAATCAAAGGAATCAAATACTTTGTTGGCGTATTATAAGCACATTCTTTATTGCAAAGTCCCCTTCAAAAGAAGGGTTGTTATCTGTCATGCAAATTAAACAGCCACCGTTTGTATGTTGCGCTAATAACAACAACAAAACAACTGCAAATATTTTCCCAACGTAATTGCGTCAGTTGTGTTATCAGTTATCAGTTATCAGTGCCAGTAATAGTGCCCCAGTTGAAAAGTTAAGTGCCTGACTGAATGAATCATCCGAATCGAGGCAAAATCAAGGCTTTACCTCAGCTCATCCAAATACGATTGCAATTATCTATTTTCCGCTAATAGAAAAGAAAAAAAAACCATAAATATCAAGTAAGAATGACCTAGTCGGGAGACCTAGACTAGAAAATACCCTGATACCCAATCATTGTCCACGTTTGTCAACCGCTCTTAATGAAATATTTCCGGCTTTTCATTCTTGATTCAATTTTGATTGCCATCGATAATCGATTCTTATCGATATTGGTGAAACGACAGAAGTCATCAATGAAATACACACCATATATGTTTGGTCTGCCAGACCTCTTATCGGGACTGAGATCGCTCAGATCTTTCTCTTCTTTTTCTTTTTTTTTTCTTTCCTTTTTTCCAGCAAATTTCTCATTAATTAACGAGAATATTTGTTGTACAAATATTTATGTATATTTGAATTGTTCAAATAAGCAATATACTATTGTAATCGATCGCAATCAGAGTATAAATAAATTGCTCATACGCTATGTAGTCCATTCAATGTTTTACACAAAGCAAAAGTTCAGCACGATATGCAAAAATGTTTATCAATTGTTGACTTAAAAACTAATTAATAAATAACATTGATTGATGGACGCACGACGGACCCGGAGTCGGAGCCGGAGCCGGAGCCGAAGCCGAATCGGGAGCGGGACAGTGGCATAAATGGCACGTGATAAGCAAAGTGTATGGAAATTTGTAAGTTTACTTACACTTGAACTTTTCGCTCTTGCAATACATAATAATAATTTGATCATTTGTGTGCGACAGACAATGAAATAAACAATTCATTTGCATTATACGTGCGGCTGGCTCGCTCGAAACCAGTTACGTTAAGAATTACTGCGGATTTTGTACAGTTACTTATATATATATATATATATATATATATATATATTTGTGTGCAATAAGTTAATGAGTTGAGTTCCAAGTGCGCAAAATATAAGTATCAATAATTCATAATAATAGTTTGGCTCGTAATCTGACAGATCTTTAAATATTGTTGCCATTTCGTAATTGGCCGCGTTGTAAAATAAACTAATTAACAAAAAACATCTGCAAAATGTTTTGCACGAGTTAAGTGTGTGTGTGTAAGTAAAATTTACATTTTTCAACGAATACCAATTAAGCTGAGAGTTTCAGGTTTTTTCCATTTTTCTTCTCTGATTTGGTGCTAATCAATTGAACAGGTTGTTTTCGCTTGTGCAGTTGTTGCTATTGCTGCAAAATGTGCTAAGCGACAGCCGTCATGCGTCTCCATATATATATACATATATACATATGTACTTACATTCTTACTAGCCAAAGTATAACTGGAAATCGCTGCTTTTCAATTAGCAATTGACGCAGTTTCAATGTCAAAAACTAGACTTAAAAAAAAACAACTTGAATAATACCAGATTTGAAAGATGCCAAAATTACGCCTGCCTGCAATACGAGCGAGTTGAGTTAAGCGAGCGAGCAAGTAATTAAATAAATACTTGAGAAAATCAGAAAAATCGAATTAAAATGGCAAATAACTAGAAATTAAATAAATTTCGCTAATAGTTATAATAATAGACATTCAGTAAATTCGATGCAGAAAGTCTGCAAGCCGAAAGTCAATCGAATAAGAAATTAGACAGAGCTAAAAATATAACAACTTTTATCTATTTAATTAAAACTTGGATGGATTTAAAAAAAAAAAGTTTTTTTCTGTTTAAGCACTCGCTTTTTATAAGCAGTCACATCGAGCAGGCATATCTAAGTATCATTATCATTATCATAGACTTATATATATAAATATATGAATATTTTATTTCCGCCTCTTACAAAAAAAGTGAACGTTAAATGGCCAGCAATTTTCGCATTATTTATGACATTTTATAAAAAAATAACTGCAATTGCAGTTTCGTATTGTTTGTTTTTTATTTATTGTTTTGTGTGATTTTTGTTTTATGAATATATTTCGCTGTTGTTTAACATGCCATAAACGTTGGGAATTCAACAAATTTTGATGATCAGCTAAATTAAAAATTTGCATTTGTATTGTATTTTCTTTTGTTGTTATTTTTATTTATTATTTTGTTTTTTATTTTTTTTTTGACAATCACACAAATAGTTTGTAAATACCAACATATCATATCAGAATCAATGGTATATTTATTTATTTTTGGACTGGCACATTAATCGGGGCGCTTTATTTTTTATCACACTACACTTGGGAGTCCTGCCGTTTGTGGGACGGACGGACGGACGGACAGACACTTGAACTCTTTCTTACCTGGCAAGACGAGCAGCAAAATAAAAGCATTGGCCAACTTCATACTATTTGCACCGGTGCTACGCATCTTGTATATTTGTGTATATGAATTATTTAGATTTTTATAATCCGGAAAATTATATTTGTTATATATTGGATATAAATCTTTACGAAAGATTTATGCCAAATGAATTAAATCACTTGCACTTTTTGTTGGCGGTTGGTTTTGTTAATGTTTTTCTGTGTTTTTCAGTTTTTTGCGACCGCTTTTTGCGAATTCTGGAATTTAACTGAAAATCTTCTGATTTGTTTGAGACATTTTATAGAGTTTTATAAGCGAGTTTCGCAGCGACTGCGACACAAATGCCGACAGCTTCGACGCTCGAGAAAGAGACGGCCAGCTCAGTAAGCCAGCGGGCAAGAGAGCGAGCGCGAAAGAGGGAGATAGAGAGTGAGAGTGAGTGAGAGTGAGAGTGAGAGAGAGAGAGAGAGAGAGAGAGAGAGGGGAAAGAAGCCGTGTCGTATGGTTGGTATGTGTACGTATGAATTTATTTTGTTGATAACAAATTAATTTATAATGCAATAAACGAAATTTTACTAAAAAGTAAAAGTCCAACGAGCTCAAAAGAACTCACTCCCTCTCTCTCTCTCTCTCACTCTGTCTATCCCTCTCTCTTTCTCTCTGTCTTGCTGTCTCTATCGCTCCCTACCGCACACTATTTCTTTGTCTTGTGCTCTTTTTCATTATTAACTTTTGCTTTCAATGTTTCCATGCCGCGAAGAGAAGTCGATAAAAGATTTTCCGCAATTTAAGATGATTCAAGTACTGGGTTTTTTTTTTAAATAATTCCCCATTGAATTACTTGCCCAACAACTTGTATATATAAATAAATGTGTGTATATCCTATATATTTTATAGCGATATGCTAATTTACAGCTTACTTAGTTTGGAATTATTATTACCTGTTCTTCTCAACAATAATATATCCACACCTGCGGAACTGGGACGTTCCCCTTTTTGGAGGTAAATAATTATTCTGATCCCTCTGCTTAGACTGCAATTTACATAATAATGTTCATGTTGTGCGCGTGTCTCATGATTAATGTTACTCAATATGAAGAGCACACACAAATTAAACTAAAAACACGATTTCAAATCAAAAAAAAAAAAAAAAACATAAATAAACAATTAACAGCTATATTTTTATTCTTTTTTTTGGTATTTACGCAACTTATTTACACCTATTGTGCGACTCTCCAGCTGCCCGAGTTTTCGGCCTGGAGAGAAAAAAAATCGAGTTTACGTATCTCAGCTCAAGAATTGAATATCAAATTAAGATCAACAATCTCAAAATACGATAATGCACATGTTTGTCTGTTGCTTTGATGCTGGGCTTAGGTCACATGTAAAATTTGACCCTGATACCATTTTATTTTTTGTGCTGCGAGTCTTTAGATCGTGCGTACTCCATGTATTGTTGTGCATTGGTCGTCAGTGTATCATTTATTTGAGCGGTTCGTGCCAAATGACTGAAAATGGTGTTTAGTGTCTCGACTGTTAAACTGACGCATCAATATTTCAGAAGCAAGACGCTGTCTGCCAGATAACTGACTGAAAAGCCAAAACCAAAATCAACATCAAAATAAAATTCGAAATTTGTAGTCTCCAATTGCTGAGGAAATCACGTAAATCGCAGGAAAAAAATATCTCACACAGCTCTCTCAGAGCGTTATACAGATACAAAAAAAAAAACAATCAGTTTCGAATCAAGTGCCAAAACGTATAAAATGTGAATAAATTCTGAGATTAAGAACGCTTAAATCGAACTTGTATTCTTCTTGCCTCTCTCTAAGAATTAAAACTGAAAAACTCTTAAGCCAAGATTTACAACTGAATTTTACGTAGAGAATGCAATTGTTTTTGTGCTCTACACCCATCAACAACAGCCATACGCAGATCAAATTAATTTTAATTTATCGATAACTCCCCTCAATATTGATAAAAATCGATTTTACAACTTTAAAGTTGAAGCCTTCTAATTAATACATAATATATATTGATATATTATTGATCAACTCCTAGTATTTCATCAAGATCAGATAAGGAGACAGCATGATAATCGCAGTGAGTGAAAATTTGAATTGGGTCCAGGGTATTTTGTAGTCCAGCTCTCTGGATCATCCCTACCATACGTACTTGTTTTTTGTTTATTCTCGGTTTACTCTCATCAGATGCTTTTAGTATTTGATAACCTTTTGTAATCCAAAAAAAAAAACTTCCCGGAAGATATTACAAAAATAAAACAGGGAAGCAAAGTCGATACCAGATGTCTATACTAAATATACGAGTTTTGCACAGCATCACAAATTTGGCAATTGCTAAATATTGGCAGCTGCTCTGCTGCTGTGTGGGAACAAGTTTCCTTTCTCGGTGATGTTGTTGTTTGATAACGGGTAGATTCGTTCATCACCCAAATGAGTAACTCGATCGCAATCTGCTGTTTCATTCTGTCGCCAGTTGTAAATCGCTCAACTCGCAGGGGCAGTGATTGCCCACTTGAGGCCTTATGGTATCAGTTGATCATCATCGCCAGTTATTACCTATCTGTTATCAGCAATAGAAATGAAGTCACGATTTTTTGGACACGAGGAGCACTTCTACTTGAACTCATACCACTATTCGCATTCTACTGGTCATGCTCGTCGTCATCGCCATTAGGCTTATCAGTGGCTATAATTTATCATACTCAATACCCTTGCACTTAAACTCAATAGGGTATATATGTCCTAGATATATATATATCATAATTTTAAGAAATACACTCATCGTTTTACTTGCAATCAGTGAAACTTCAATAAAGTATCCATCATAACATGAGTGCACCAGAGGCATTGAAGCAGATTTTCCTGAAATTTGTAGAGCAAAAACATACAAATTATTTATACTCAATGTGTCCAAAGTATATAAATAAATTAAAAATTATAGTACAATATTCAATTCTCCTGAGTATTGTGACAAGCGCCAATCAATAATTTTTTATGCTCGATATTTTCAGAAAAAAAGCAAACTTACATACAGATTCATATTCAATGGTTGCAAATTTGATTTTATTTTAAGCTGCTCAGTCTTCCCAGGGTATCATAACAGTCAGCCAGTCCCGACTAGAGCAATATTAGGTGTGTCAGTTGTTCCCAAGGATGGGTCACTTTCACCCACCAACCTAAAACGGACCCGGACTCATATCGCCAATTGAACAATTAGGCAAAAATAGATCGCCTACGCACCAACTAAAAATACTGATCAAACTTGATTTTGTAATGGCTTATAAATCGAGCAAGATTACGATGACAATATATATATACATATAAATATATATATATTTATTATTATAGATTATACACATATATGTTATCAGGTGCAGATTTAGACTCAGATTCAACACCCTCTTGCAAGCAGTATCATTAGGGATGGCAGCGTCGTTCCAAGTATTGTTTTCCACCCTGACATCCAACAGCTGCTGGCCGTGTTCCATGGAGACGAAATTGTCTCACGGATGGGTGCATTGCAGCCATTCGACTCGCACAGCTGACAGCCGACCACTTCCCAGCCATTGAACAGGTTTTTACAGGCGGCTGTCGAATTGTCCTCCACGACAAGTGTACAGCCGCGATTCGTTATTTCCGTGCCGTTGACTGAAAGACAAAGTAGATTCAATGATTCGATGTCTAAATAAGATATGAGAAAGATGAGAAGATATCTTAACTAAACTCCAATATATCATAGCTAAACTCCCTTATTAAGAATCGTTGCGATCAGAAAAAAATCGGACTAAAATGTTGTAAAAAATATTTTCTTGTTATTAGAAATAATTTTTAAACATACGAAAAAAACTTTTTAAAAGTTAGAAATTAGCCACAAATCAATAATCCCAACAAAATGTAGAAAGCAAAACACACACTAAATTAGACTTTTTTTTCTAAATTTCAGAAAAATCCACAACACTAAATATTGAAAGTTTGACCTTAAGGTGAGTTACCCTTGGCGAATATATGGAGAATATCTAAAATCCAGTGCAATTTTTTCTCTGAGTGTATGCTATCTTCGGTGTACCCCACATGAGCTGTTAATTTCATTCTGGTTTTACTTACGTCTTAGACTGGCTCGATAGCAAACGGCTATTTGATTGTTGCCCATTGACTGGCGACTGGCGCTGCGTCTGCGTCTTCGCTCATCATAATCATCATCCTCATCTTCGTCCTCGCTATCAGAGGCTGCTGCAGGAGCTGCAGCTGCTGGTGCTGCTGGAGCAGCTGGTTTAGTGCCCAGCGTGGATTGTGGTGCAGATTCATCTTCGTCACTTTCATAGTCGTCATCGTCGCCATCAGATTCGGCAGCTGGAGCAGGCGCAGCAGCAGGCTTAGTAGGCGTAGCTGCAGGCTTGGCAGGTGTAGCTGCAGGCTTAGCAGGCGCAGCTGCAGCCGGAGCAGGTGCAGCTGCAGCCGGAGCAGGAGCTGAAGCTGAAGCGGGCGCTGGACTGGACGCTGGTGCCGGACTCGGTGCAGCACTGGGACTATCGCTCGGTACAACAGCTGGTGATCCCACGGCACCCGGCGGTTGCTGCTGCTGCACGAATGAAGGCATAATGCATTCTGTCAACTCCGTTAAGTGGGACTCCTCATCGCAATCCTCACATGTGTAACACCGCAGCGCTGGAATCAAGGTCGTAATGCATATGTCAATATTGAATTATCTACCGATCTACCGATCGGTCCCGAATGGGAAGCTGTGACCACAATATACATTTTTGACAGTTCCAATTTTTAAGTTAACTTGATTAACTCTCTTTAAGAGCTTTATAATCTCGCATTGCATTTCTTACTTGAAACTCAATTCAGGAATGTGTAATTAATGAGACAACATGTTTGATTCAGTCTTCGTCGTTTGAGAATAAATCGGCCAAGTCAAATATTAAGACATTCTTGTTAACGTTTCATAAGTTTTGCAATTGAATGAAGCATATATTCAAGTTTCTAGGAATTTGTTTATTGCTCTCTCTCTCTCTCTCTCTCTCTGTCTCTTTAAGGATTCGTTGAAATATTAAGAGAAATAGTCTATGCAATTACAAATACAAATGCTTTTTTTTAAGACATAATTTAAAAATACTTTTGACAACGTCATCAAAACTGTTGAAGTATTCATTTTGGATCATATGATTTTCTTTCTTGCACTTTCCCCAAAGTAACATTGGAAACAATAACGAAATACAGCGCATGGGAACTGTTTTGATATAAATATATAAAAAATATCCAAAAAAAAACCCTCTTCTTTAAAAAATGTATTCTATTTTTTAATGATGAAAAATTATTTTCATTAATGTTTAACTAAAATAAGCACCGATTTTTCACAATCCAGTTAATGAACTAATCAGTCGGTTGTCTTTTTCTTCGATTTAATAACAAAATATTAAATGAAATGAAATTAATTGGAAACGAAAATGCAATAGATGGCTCCACCTGCCGGCCGGTGGCAGCAAACATAGCTACCTACCTGAACTGGAGCCACAAGCCACAGCCACCAGTAACCAGAACAGCAGCAATAATGTTGACCGCATTTTGCAAATTTTATGTAAAAATGTTGGAGGAAATCGGAAGTGGATCGAGAAACTTCGGGCTGCTGCTACCGAAAATGTAAATTGAACTGAACCAGCCGTAATGATATTGACACGTCGTTTGGAGCTGCTGCTTTCGGCTGGCTGCCGTTTTCCGTTTGAGAATATTTGGCTGTGCGGCAAATATCATTTGCACAGAAAAAACCGCAAGAAAAAAAACATGTCGCCCTGAGGTATGATGACAAGCCGACGGCGACGATAGCATCGCCCAAAAGAGTTGCAAATTAAATGTGCGCCTGATTGTGGAGAAGAGGAGTAGGAGGGGATTGGTTGCCTACACCTCAAACATGAGTAATGGGAATATTATCACTGATTGCTACTGACTGTGTACATAAGGAAGAATACGAGAACACAAACTGTCATATTCTGTAAAACCATCAAATCTCAAATTGGGCTGCGAACATTTATTATCAAGACAAAACTGTGCTACACTCTTAAAGAGAGAGACTGTTCGTATAACACTAGCCAAAATACGGTTCTGCTCGATGCGCTGTTTACTTACCAACATTTTTAATTGTCACTGATTGGCCAGAGTAGTAACTGTCATACTGCTATCAGTATACGAACTGTGCTACACACTGTTATATTTTCAAACGACTTTGCTTAACGCATTTTTTGCTATTTGCCATTTTTTCATTACTAAATTCGAACTAAAACTCGAGTTTAACGACGATATCAAGTTGGACTTCTTTTTATTGCTTTATTTCTGTGGGACGTAAACACTTATTAGTTTATTTCTTATTAGTTTCAGTATTGCTTTGTTCAACTTTCCTAATTGCACATTTAATTAACATTTGTTGCACTTTTAGTTTTCTTTGCTTTTGTTTTCGTTTTTCTTCACACATTTTGCTGATTGTTTTTGCGTGTTTTTTTGAAAATCATATAAATACATTTTTATTCTAATGTGTATATTTTAAGGTTATTGCTTTGGTTGTTTTGCTTAACTTTGCTGAAACATTTAAATAAAAATGTTGCAAGCATTTTTCATAAGATTCATTTACTCTTTCCGTACAAATGAAAATGGCTTCTAAAATTATGAAATAAATGTTATTCATTATTTTGATTTAAGCTCGGAAAGAGTCTAGAAAGGTCTGAGTTTTCTTTTCTTTTTCATTTGCAATAATTTGTTCAACATTTTTGATTAGTTTGCTTATAATTTCTCTTTTCAAGCATATCTATTTTATGATCTCTCTACTTAAAAATACACATAGTACATACAATAAATTACAATAAAAAAAATAAAACAAATTTTAACATTAAATAAAATTTATGTTTTTTTATTTAACAGTTTTGAACCGATTTGAAGCTAGCCCAACTCAAAATCAGGCATTTGTATTTGGTTACTTCATGTTACCATTAGATGTTTATATTAAATACGATTATATATATGTATATATATATGTATATTCAACACTTGCTTACAATGTGAACAATAGAAAATTAAAGGCCTTTGGTGAATTCATTTCGCATCCCACAATTAAACAGCTCATTAACAATTGCAAATTACAACTCAATAAAGTCATATTCATTGTTTTGGGGATCCATTTTTTACTAACTTCCTGGCAAAGTTTTGTTATTGAAAATGTAATAAATTTTCCATCAATTTGATCGGCAACAAAAGCCAAGTCGATAAAGCCAAAAATCATTTATCCAAGTAACTCAGTCGGTTGTTAAGCTCTCTGGGTAAATCGCTGCCCGGATCGGATTATAAAGCTATCTGCGTAATTATCTGTCAAAAGATGATGAGCAATTTTGATTTTCCAAGTTTTTAAATATTTTTCAGTTTTTCAAATATCCCTTTACATTTTGGCAGACAATTATGCACATCGGATTACTTTCTTCTAATGGCTTATTTGTTATTGCCCAAGCTGACTGTTAATTGAAATTGGCATATTTGCTTGGACACAAAGCGATTGCCACTGCGGGGAGCAGGCGGAGCAGCATGGGAGTAGTATATATCTGTATCTGTATCTGTATCTGTATCTCTTTAGCTGTGTATCTGCATCCGTATCTGTGGGTATTTATGTGTCTGTGTGTTGTGTATCTGTGTGTTTGCTGTCACTTACATTTCTAGGGCCGTGCTGGCTTTAACGGCCAGCTTGGTGGTCTTTCGAGGAGGAGGAGGAGGGGCTGCCCCCTGGTGGGTGGTGTGTGTATTTTTCTTCTTCTTTTTTTGTTTTTACTTCTTTTTCAATGATGTCTGTCGCTCAATGGGCGCTCGAATATTTACAAAGTAAATGGTAAACGGTAACTCAACCTAAATGCAACCAGCCCCGTCCATGCCTCAATTTCGACCCCACCGCTTCAGCAGTAAAATGGGCGTGGCAGTAACAACAGCAGCACGCCTATTACGCCCATCCATGACGTCAGCGTTACGGCGGCAGCGCCGTTGCAGCGATCCATTTTGCAGATGTCACAAAAGAACTGCTCCTCGGGCGACTCCTCCTCAGCATCCTGGCCATATCCTTTGCGTCGCTGCTGCTGCTGCTGATCCCGTTCACGGCGTCGCTGCTGACCGCGCTGACTGCCACTATCGCTGGTGATCTTCAGCTTAGAGCGCAGAATTTCGCAGGCATTCGAGTCGCCAGTGTCCAGCTGACAGAAGCGTGCGGTGACCAACTTTCTCGTATCAGCTGTGAAGCACAACAAAGCATAGAAATTTAATAAAAATAAACACAATTCAATACATATTATCTATCTTACATATAAACTCTAGATTAAGAAATGCTTTAATCGTAAGCTGACCGTGTTAGAAACTTTAGTTCAGTCGAGATTGGCACGTGCAACGAAGCACATAGAATAAATTTCTATATTCAATTGTTCAACGACGAGTTTTATTTGCCAATAACCTGTTGCAACGTAAGATTGCAATAACAACCTATATATTACTATATAGAGAGTGAAAATCAAGTGAGAATTATTACAGTCGAAGATTCTCAGTCTAGATACTCTGACAGCTGTAAAAGATACTCTGCGTCTTTGGGCGAATGAACCCTTCAAAACTGCTATCCTCTGAATCAAAGTATAAAAACACTAATAATATATATTGTATATAATAATATATTTTTAATATATTAGAGCAAAATTGTTTCTTTCAAAAATTCCGTTTCACAGAACTCTTACATTTGTTTTTTTTACTAAATATTATTTAAAGATTTCGTAATATGCAAATAGCGTCGATGGTTTACAAATTCATATATAATTTAATTTGATAAACTTACAATTTTAATCTCTAAGTTAAGTTTAAAAAAAAAAACAGAAAGTTTTTCTAGTTTTCAGGGTTATTTTGTAGACTTCAAGGTGATTTTTTATTCTGAGTGCACTTGTCAAGAATATTTTATATTTGTATTGCTTACTCCCTATTTCTGCCCCCTTCATTATGGAAATACTAAATATCACAATACTGTTTATCATAAAACTAAGTTGCAAACATATTAAATTGATCGACTTGTGTACTTACGATCTTTGGCCACAACCTTTTGGCAGTTCATCAGCGGATTTTTGTTGCCCCCGTTATCGAAGTAGGAGAACTTGTTCAAATCGAATAGCCAGGTGTCCAGAGATTTCATTTTGTCCAATGTGCATTCCTAGAATGAAACAAATTCAGGTAGCATTATTAATCGTAAAGACATCGATCAATATTTGTTTAGCGAGAAACACGACGAACAATGGCTAATGATTGATCAGTCAGTCGATTGTATTCGATTGCTATCTGATTGTGTATCTTCTGACCCTCTCCACATCTACATCCTCTATCTAACCTCGCCTTGATTTATTGGTCTGTGTAATTCCCCACTTAATTGCAAGTGCTGCAGTAAAAATATCGTTTATCTTATCACTATGTCGAGCATCGTTATCGTTATTGTAATTGTTATCAAGAGTGCAACTTGCAACTTGCAGGCGCTGGCCCAGAAATGAAGTTGATCAAAAGTCAACAAAAGGTATTGTTCATTATTTTATGATCTCCTGTTATTTACACTTAAATAAAGAATTGCCGCAAAAAACAAAGGTTCTAATCTAATTATGATTCCGTTGAAAGCATTAATAAAGCTTGTTTTCTACGAATTATTTGTGTTTGTTTTTTGCAATTATCTATAAGATTCGTAAGTTGACATGGTTCTAAATAAAAATATCTTAAAATGCGCTTGGTTTTCAAAAATGGTTCTTGTTCGAAGGTTTATGTTTTGCAGATATTAAAATAAGTGTAATATAAAATAAATTTCTTTAAAGTACACAACAAATATTATACTAATTCTGAAGCATCCTCAGTTTATAAAATAAATATTAATGTAAATATTTTAATAATTCATTATGCATTTCTGTACGTTTTATTATTGAGCTGCAATTTCTTTTCTTTAGATTTGCTACACGATTTTTACTTTTCATACGATTTGATTATGAATAATTTTCTTATTTTAGATTCTCCTAACCAGTTTCTGAAAACTTTCAGCTTGTATGCCTATTTAATTAACATGAGATCAAATGGCTAATACTTGCTTAACGTATTTTCTTAAAGAAAAAAATGTTTTTCAAGTCAAATGTGAATTGTTAGTTAGTAAAGTGATATACATCAAACGGCAAACAGTATGTCAAAATGCCAAGTTGTTGAAATATACGCTCGTAGAGTTGGCCAAATGCAATTTTCAATGGGTCAGATTGAAAAAATATAATAGAAAAAAATGGCAATCTATTCACTTTGCGGTCTCAACGACAACGACCATGTCGACGACGACGTTGCACGTTTCCATTTCTGTTTCCGCTTTCCGTTTTTCACAATTTATGTGCTATGTGCTCTTAATTTACTGTGTGTCTCCCCCAGCTGGGCAGCCACTTTGATTGAGGTCATCGTGGGCCGATTGGCTGAATGGGTTACTTGGGGCAAAGGTTAAGCGTTTTGCCAGATATCTCAAGAACACACTCTTCACATTCTCCTACACAAAGATCTGTGGCACGTAACGGTAAACTTACCTCGGGAACAATGCTCGAGTTGGTGCCGAGATCCGCACAGCTAGGATTATCGCTGGAGTCGCAAACAAAACATTTTATGGCTGCGCCTGTGGATTGTATGCAACTTCAATTAAGTATCTATTCTCATTCTTATCTATTCTTGTTCTATCATATACTAATTCTAATTAAGACATAAAGCATAACATTTATTCATGATCAGCCTCGATATAGTAAAGTGTCCATTAATTAAAGAGGAAAAACAACGAATTTTGGATCTAAGCAAATGAATTCCGATCTGCAAGGACTTAAAAAATTTAGCGTGCCTAACATATATGTTCTTTATTTTTTTTTTAATTATTTTTATTAAGCTATAGCAGCCGACATAAATATATTTAATGATTTTGGCGGCACCATTTGAATTTACAACATTTTTATCATAGTTTTAAATTGTTATTTTCCAGTTTCTTAAAATGTTGTAAGTTATTCCAAATGTTAATCTAATATACAAATATTTGTATTTATATTACAATACTCTACAACGATTTCCAGACTCATTTATTATTTTAAAATAGTTTTTCACTTGTGTGAGCCATTTTTTAAAAAAATTGTTAAGCCATTTTTTAATAACACATTTTTCATTTGATTTATTTTATTAGTTTAATTGGCTTTTATTGTGAAATTTATTTGTAAAATTGTTGTTTAAGTGATAAACTTGAGAAGTCTTTAAACACAATCAGGCAGAGCACTCAACAGACACACACACACACACACACACACGCACACACCTTTTGTTAGACAGCAGAGGAAGTGCAAAAGCAACAAAATAGCTGACGACCTCCTTAGGCGATTTTCGCACATTTTTGCACTTTTTGTTTTTAATTTGTATAACTTTTAATGGGATTTTTGCACTTTCTGCAACAATTTTCAATTGGCGATTTTCTTATTGCCGTGTATTAATATTTTGTATCATATTCGGCTTAGCGTTTTAAATATTTTTTTTTGCGCTATGCTCGACGCGTGCTGAGAGCTAAAAAGATGGTTCTGGCGCCAACGGTGGCCAATTGCAAACTGTTTTAAGGAATTGGGAATTGTGTGCTCTGTTGCTGGCGCCAGAACCATATTTTTGGCTCTCAGCTACGTCATCGGCAAACAGCGCACTCACGAAGGCGACACGAACACGAGAACCTTGTGGCATGTGGGCGTGGCGCTGGTCTGCCTCACAGTGTACCATGGCCAAAGAAAGGCACGTTTTGTGGCATAAATGAATAGAAAAACTCTTTATATCATTTTCGTGAATAGAAAAATGGTTAAACTTGTTAAAATATCCTTTTGTTGTGGAATTTGAATTTTCAATGAAGCTATGCAATACACTCAATTCATAAAGCGGAACTAGATTTAAGTTGGTTCAGTCGAGAATAAACTTTAATTGTTTTAAAGTTAAAGTTAAAAAATCCTAATTTTAGTTCCTATATAGCTGTTATCTTAGCAGACGCAGATTTAAACATGTTCGGCAAATAATAATGCAGTAACAAAAGATGTTGTGATTTTCTTCCACACAAATTATTAGTTCATCCCATGGTGCATCGTAACCTTTGCACCCCTCCTCCGCTATCCTTTCCCCCCTCTTTGTGCTGTGTGTGCCGCACTCGAGTGGCTATGACAGTAATAACCTCTTGGCTCCCACATGGCTCCAAGCCAAAAAAAAAAAAATGAATAAAGAAATGAAAAAAATAATGGTATTCAAATTGCGAAATTGCAGCCATATGCATCCTCTAAGGCCAATAGCTGGGTCCCAGCAGACGTCTTTTTCAAAAAACTTATCTAAAAGTTATCAATCCAGCTGCTGCTGCAATGCAATTATGTATTCACAAGGCAAACCACAGCAACAGATACACATACAAAGCTGACACTGTGCAACAAGAACAAACCATCGCAATTAGTGGCCTCCCAGAGCGTAAACTTATCCTACCCATCTCCGACCCCGACCCCGACAGATCCCTTCCCGTTCTCGTCCTCGCTTGTCGCCTTCATTGTGGGCGTTTGTTTATCGCATTCAAAATCCTCTTGGCAGAGTAGACATTGCAACTGGCAAGTATTTCTAATTTATCATAAACAATGCGGCCCCTGATTGGTATAGGTCACGGCCCTGGCCCTAACAACAGCCAAAGAAAGAGAAAATAAATCCAAACAGCTATATTTGGTAAGCCGATTATTAAATATCCTTGCCGAACGGAATCAAATTATAATTTTGTGTTAATTTAAGGCCTTATGTATATAAAATACTTGACTTACAGACAGGCAAAATACATATTTAAATTTGAAATATGTTCATAATATAATAATTAGTGAGTTAAAATCACGAATATCTTTTTATCAACGCGCGAACACAGATTATTTTTAAACAAACGTGATTCGTCTGCTATATTCCCACAGCTCTATAAATATACATGTTTTGGTTACGATTATATATAGTAGTAGTATATATTGCTTTTTGCTATTTAGAATAAATGAATAGTCAATTTTCCCGATTAACTTCCCGATTAAAACTTGCATACTTTCGGGCATGTCAAGCTTTAAGCGCTTTCTGTAGTTGGATAAAAGCAATATATATTTGTAGCTGTGCATCAGGCCAAAATGTATCCAAATCCATTGCATAATTTTGAGCGACACTAAAAATTAATATGCTTTGCTGTGCAATTATATGCATAATATATAACATATCAGAAAATACGCTCTATCTCGGCTATATTCTAAAAGAATTTCCTACAAATTTGGTACGTTAGTATCACAAGGACCAACTCTATCGACCAACTGCATTCAAGGATTGTGGGATTGTCTAACAGCTCAAACATGGTTCATGGTTCATAGTTCATGGTTCAGGGGAAATAGGAAACTATCATTTAATGGGGCATCTGTGATCCATATATCCCATGAGTAAAACGCATCGTTAAATGCTCTCATTTAAATTTATTATAGTAGTAGCTTAGCCAAACATTTGCATGCTGCTTGCCCCAGAACATCAGGGACCCCAGGCACGTGGTCAGGGCGGGATGTCCCTTGGCGCTGCAGCCAAATTTCCAAGATAAAAAAAATGACAAAATGACATACATTTTCTCAATACCCGAGTCGCCCTGGCTGTCTCTGACCTGTGCGCTGCCTCTATGCGATAGCTTCTGATGGGGTCAAAGTGTCCGCCGCATGGTTGGCATAGTTCATCTGAAAGGCACCGTTCAACTAATGATGATGCTTGATGAATTGCAAGATGGCGATAGTCTGACCTGCATAATAAGAAGTGAAATACAAATAAATATAAATTAAGTTGTTAAGTTCAGATAGTTGTCAAAGAGATCATGAAGTGCTGAAGCTATAGCCAATGATTACCTAACTGATTTAATAATGATTATCTTCATTTCAATCAAAAAATCTAAAATCATTTAATATACATCCAAAACTTAGCTGCAATCATACTTTTAAAGTATGATTTTTTGAAAATAAAGCAACATAAAAATATGCTAAATTTATATGCTAATTTATTATCTATATTGTTTCGTAAATTCAATTTAAAATAAAATGAATATTAGTTGTTTATCTACAGAAAAAAGGCGCATTAGATTCCACCTTTATAATAAATGGATAAAGTTAAAAATGACCGGCTCATAGAAATAAAGAACATTATAGCAGTTGGCTCTTAACTGGCAAACTGTTTAATCGACGATTAGGAATACGAAGATGTGTAATCGTCAATTTAGCAAGGTCAATTTTTATTTACATTTTTATGGATTTATGTTGAGTGGACATTGGCGAAATGAGCTTAGACTGCGACTGAGAGTCGGGCCTAATTCTGGTGGAGGGGTGCTGTGAACAAATCACATGTAAATGAAGGCCAACATTAAATCAAAGTTGCCCAATTTCTAAGCGACTGTTGCGTGCCGAGGTCACATTAGAGTCTCTCCCTCCATATTGTTGTCCACTTGTCGATGACGTCGTCGACCCTGGTGTTGATGTCATAATCCGTGGGGGTGACGTGTGGTGCGTCGTGTGAGGCACTGATGAGATTCTTTCATTGCATGCCACAACGCGACGGTGACGGGACATAATTAAAAATGTTTACGCACGTTTCCGTTTCCGGTTGTTGGTCAAAGGTCAGCCCATAAATTATGCTTTAGCAATTTCTACAACTTGACACTTTTACACGCAACTCCTCGATACCATCGTGCAACGCATGCATTTTATTGACATCACTCCACTTACTCTCTGCGTGCTATTGATATATTTACAAAGTACCCAATAAAAAGTTTGCAATTTACCCAAAGAGCCAACAGTAAGCAATATAAACTTTTATTGCGTATACGCAATGCTATTGCAGCAATATTGAGAATTGTAGTAAATTAACTGGCAAAAAGTTGCCTTTTTTCTTGGCTTCTTTATTTGCAATTGCTAGTAAAACACATTGGCCAACTTGGTATAATGATATATATAAATACATTGAAGTTGGAGCGCTCATAGAAAGCTGCATAAGGACACAACTTCATATTTATCCTGCCAACAGCTTAAACGGCTTATAACTAAAATTGAATATAGATGAACAAGACTTAGTTCGGCAAGTATAATTTTAAATATCCTTATAATGATCAATGCTATTATATATTATATTTTGATAAGCGTAAATTCGTCCATTTAATGGCAAACTGGGCATAAAAACTGTTGCATGCCACGTATTTTTAAAGTCTCTTATCCGATCGTCATTAAGTTTATTGCTAGGTGCAATTTGCCAGCTCACTGACCTGTAAACTGGAAATATAATATCTTTTAGCCTCGGACAATCAATTGGCCCATCTGACTTAGTCTCTATTTCTGTTGCAGTTGCAGGTGCAGTTGCAGTCAAGTGCAAAAGATGGCTGAAAGAGATAACAAGGAAAAAATGGCAGTTGATGTGCTGGAAATAGTTTTTACGTGTTTTGCACTCGTCGAGTATATTTTAGGAAGTAAAAGAAAAGTTTGCTGGCATTCTCAGCTCGACAAGTTTTATTATACATATTTATAAAATTCCAAGTAAGTAATATAACTTTCTAGTTGAAAGTGCTGATACGATTAGAGCTCTAAGCACGAAAGTGCAAACATCTTTGACAGGTCGAATAAAACATGCCCTGGCATATAGGTGGAGTTGACAGCTCAAATGAAAATTGCACTATTCATTTACAGAAGAAGAATATTTAAATACGCAACCATTATTTTTATTTGGGATACCTTGGTAAGCAACATGCTAAGCAGATGCTCTCTTAAACTCTATTAATCTCAGGACGACTATCAAATCGAAATCAGTGCCATTGAAATCAAGCAGCTTTTCAATTATTCATTGCATATTGTCAGGCTTTCCAGAATCAATACTTTTAAAAGAGTACTCGATTCGCAGAAGCGGAGATAATAAAAAATCATAATGCAATTTAAAATAAACCAAATGGCATCGAGGCAAGGAGGAAAAGCTCAATGTCCTTCAGTGTCCAGTGTCCAGAGAGCCACATCGAATTACGCACGCCGAGCAAAAACAAGTGGCAAAAAGAAAATTATTGGATTGAAAATCAATTTTTTTATGTTGGCGCCAAGGAGTCCGCGAAAATAAAATAAAACTGACTGGCTGGCCAAGGAGGAGGCAATGTGGGAGGGAGTTGAGCGGCTGTGGAAGTCAGTGGTTCTCGAACGGAAGCTGTGGATACTGTTGCTCTTGGACGATGGCGCCAGGCTGGCGACAAAACGCACACGCAGCCACTCATCCACAAACACACTCACAATCGCAATCACCATTCACATTCACATTCGCATCGAAGCACTCATAGACAAAGACTGTGAATAAAATAAAAGCGATTTGAGCTGGCGACGAAAGCAGTTCCAGAAAATATAACATGATGTAGCTCCCTCTCTCTCTCTCTCTCTCTCTCTCTCTCTCTGTTCTGAAGCTGTTTGTGTGTACGCGTGTGTGTGTGTGCGTGTGTGTATTTGTATCTGAATCTGGGCAAAAGCCAAACAACAACACATGTAACGAGCCAAATATTAAAATGGCTAGCTGTAGCTATACACAGAGAAAAAAAGCAGTCTACAAATAAAATTGCAAATCTTAGCTAAAGAATTTTATTGTATGGAAAATATGAAATACAAAATAAATAATCTAAAATAACGACTTATAAATTTAATTTGTAAATAGTAGAAAATTACACAATGATGAGGGCAATTCAAGCACATTTCTCTGCTTATGTTTTTTTTTTTTTTGTTGTATTTTTCGAGTATAGCCAACAGTGAGGCAACATGTCGTCCGTCCTTGTCGCCATTCATCCTTGCCCCCTCGGCTCTTGGCTCCAGCCATAAAACTAACAAAGTTATGTTCGTAGTTTTTGCTGCGTAACTGCGTCTACGACTGAGCCACAAAACAATTGTGCAGACATTTTGGCATCAACTGGCCAAGCACTGGTGTTTGGCCCAATTCGTGAGGGCGGGAAGTCCTTGGTCAAATTGTACATAAGTGATATATATATATATATATATATATAACTAGTAACTGTAACAAAAATAAAAGAATATGATTGTTTTCTATACGCATTGCCAGACACTTATAACAGCTGGCCATGGAATGCATTTGAGTTGAGCCTTGAGTTTGGGCCAAATGATTCGAAAGTGCTGGTCATAAATAACTTGTGATTGGTGCACATTTTCAATGTTCATTACATCTGCTTTCAAGCTAAATTTAATCAAATTATTTATGCCATAAAAATGCTAAATAAGAACACATCAAATTTGTTTATATCTATGAATTTATTCTTGGCTTAAGACTTTTGCCGCTGTGTTCACTTTTGATTCGTTTTATATCTGAATCATAAATATGTACTTTACTCATTTTTTTCCTTTGCGTATAATTTTCTTAAGAGAATTAAAGTTACACCAAAAATATAAAATATCAAATCATATGCTTGAATACTTGTTACTATCAAAGTTGTTTCTTGTACAATTATCAAATACAAATGCGAAATTTCGCAATTGCGCGAAAACAATTAATTAAATGCTAATATTGTACGGCTTTTATTAAATTTCTAGTTTTGTGTCTACTAACTCAAACAAAATATGATATAGAATTTTAAAAATATTGTATAAGTATGTTTTTTTTTAACTGTATCTAGTTCAATTGGAGCAAGCAAAGAACTTATTTAAATTATAGAAAGATGTCAAAAGAACAAATTTAAATATTGTATTTTGTTTAACAAAGTATCTTTAAAAAAAAGTGCTTAAAAAAACTAATAATTTTCAGGTTTTGGAAATAAGTTTCTTAAGAAAATTTAAAGTTTTCTTGGATCAAAGCAAAGTGTTTCTACTTTAAAGAAATTGTTTTCATAATAATGACTTTCTATCGAGATTAGATATGCAGGTTAGTGTAGATGAGATGGAAGGGAATCAGCGTCGCAGCAGCACAGCACAGCCCAAGGAGACGGAGAGAGCTGCGAGGAGTGTGACCAAACCAGGGCTAGAGAAGCCGGCAGCATTACAGCCCTCGTCACTGCATGTGCAAATCGTTTCCTTGTAGCCCTCGTTGTCGGCAGTGAAACAGGTATTGTGCATCTTCTCCTGAACCCAGCCACAGCTGCGCACAATCCGTTGCTCCGGCGGCACCTCCAGCCGAATGATCGTCTTCCGGCAGAACGGCGGCTGTCCATCCTTCGGCGCACAATCCTTCAGATATTGATCGTCGAGCTGGGCACGTGGCGTATTCACCCTCAGACTTTCGCAATCATCGTTGTCGTGGGTGTTGCACTGATGACACCGCAGTCCCCAAGCTGCAGAAATAAATCGAAATGGAAAATGGTAAAGGGAAAAGTGAAACGGAAAACGGAAAAACAATTTGTCAAGAACAACAACGAGAGGAGCACACACACACACACACACACACACACAGATATATTCAACGGACATTCAAAAATGTAAAAGTGCCCTTTTCACAATATGCTTAGACATTTTGACGGCAAAATTATTTTATTAGCCCGCCACGCAACAAACTCAACTAACTGACTGATGGACTGACTGACAGACCGTTGGCAGTTGGGCTGAATAATTGCATGTCAACTGGCGAGCATTTCTTGTTTCTTATTTTGCTACTGGTTTCTTTTTTGCTTTGTAACTGACACGCAGGCAGCAAACAAATTTAAATGCAAGTTACTCGAGATACCCTAAATAAGATTATATGCAAAATAGCATAAGGCATCCACAGCTCAAAGAAATAACTTTAAGCTTAAGTCGAGTCGAAATGTAGTTACAGAAGTGATCCAAGCTAAATTGACTAACTCTTCCACTTCACCTTATTTGTAAAGATCGGCATTCATCTTCCTCAAACTGGTGATCGATTCATCAATGTCGATCAATATCGATATCGATATATTGCATAGAGTGTTGCATGTCATGTTGCAGATATAATGCTAATTCATCTAAATCTCAAATATCGATCGCTAATTGTCTTTTTAAGGGTCAACCGGCCTTAACTGCGACACCAGCAGAATGGATTTTTCCTCAGCACTTAACAGAGTATTAAGCAGTCGGCTACGACTGATTACAACCTTCTCACTTGTCGTTTACTGTGTCTGCTGTATATTGGTGTAAGAAGGGACTAAATAACATTCAATTGGCATACGCTTGTAACATTTGCATAGAGTTCACTAGGTGATACATGTATGTCTCTATATATATATATATATATGTATATAAATATATGTTTATATGTATGTATGCACTAACTTAATAACACTCAATTGAAGTTACATTTTGCATCATGAGAACTTAAGTGCAACTTCTCCCACACATTGTGCTTAGCTCGGAAATGCTCCGCGATGAGAGGCAGAGGCGTTAATTTATTGCTGCTATTTGGCGCTAATCAGATAAGCAACTGCACAATCAAGTTTTGTATCATAAAATGCATATATGCATATATATATATATATATATATATATATATATATATATATATATATATATATATATATATGTATATCGCATATTGCATTGCAATTTTTGTTATACGAGACATTTGCGTTTTGATTAGCGCACATTTGCCAAGCACGAACACTGCGCTACAAGTTCAAGTTTATTTTGACCGCAAATGTTAAATGCAAATGTCAGATCCCATATCTCATATCTCAAATCTCAAATGCCAAATTGCGGTAACAGTTGCAATTTTCCTTTGATTTCAGTTTTGCTTTATTACCGCTGTTGTTCTTCTCCCCTTGGCTGTGGGTATTTTAAAGTTTGTAGACGTCTCCAACCCTCTTCCTCAATTTGGGTAATGGCTCAACTTCCACATCGAAAATTGACTCACTTGATAAATATATATATATAAATATATATATTTATTTTTATTGCATGATTATGAATAAATAGAGACTGAGTATTTGGCCGTCGTGTGTGTTTTCATCTGCTGTATTTCAACTCATATTCAATCTCATTACAACAACATTGTATTATAGCACCTGGCACCTTTCTATTCTTCTATCACTCGTTTTGCATTGAGAATATATATATATATATATATATGTGAAACCGGATCAATTTACGATTTTATCGTATTTTTTTGGCTTTTTAATTTAATTAAAGTGCAAAGCTCAACAATCAATTGATTTGTTCACTTGACTGATTAAAAAAACCCCCTCAATTTGCCTGCCCAATTTGGCATTGTGTTCCACAACAGCGCGTCCACATAAAGAAATCTAAATTGTTAAGTCTAAAAGCAGATGTAAACAATTGTCTTGTTTATGACTAAATCAATTGGCTAATTCTGCATGCACTTTAACTGAGTTAACAAGAGAAGTCTGTCGCCGCCCAATTAACCTAGTCCAAAATACGTCATACACCTGACACCTGACCTGGCTATACACAGAGATAAAAATTACTATGATAAACTAGGCTAGTTAATTGTAATATAAAAATTTTATACTTCATTTAAAAATGGGAATTGCGAGGATTACAAAATTAAATCGAGGTTCTTCATTCTAGAATAAATAATACAATAATAGACATTCTTATCTTAAAATGTATCTTAAAGTGCCTCTTTCTTCATGCTATACACAGAGAAAAAATCATTATAAAAACTTAACATTCTTGACTGTCTAATCGTTAAATACTAAATTAAACTTTATAAATATTATTACCATACGATTTAGTATTACATTGAAGAAGAATCTCGATTTAAATGCATTTTGTAATTGAATTAATATTTCTTAATTTTTAAATTGTTTCTTGTTGTTCTCTGTGCATGTTTATTATATAATTTCATCATTTACCTGATAAGATGTTCGCAATTAAAGCGATTAACACAATGTAGGCGAATCTCGTTGTCATTTTCGTCGTTTTATATTTGGCGTGTGTATCTTTGTGTGTGTTGATGGGGTGTGTGTGTTGTGCGTGTGCAGCTCTTCTTCAGCTGATTTAATCTCAGACTCTTTTTATATTCGGTATATTCTTTTGGCAGACGTCTCTAGTTGTGTCTGGACTCGGTAAAGTCAATTAGTTGATGGTTTAAATATCTTATGTAACAAAACAAACGAGAACTATAGGTGAAAAATAATGCATTACTTTTAAATACTAAAAAAACAAGTGGTAAAAAAATTAACAAGATTTCAATTTGCGTTTGCTATGTGAGAATTTTGTCTGCCACGATTTTAACCGAGATTTGTTAATGTATTAATTTTTGCGGGGAACGGAAAACTGGCCAATAAATAGGAGATCCAATTTAAAAATTCAAAGTCTGTTACACCCAATCAACACGTTTTCGAGGGTATAGTTAGATAAGTAAATACGAACAGATATTGCTATCAAGCTTTTAGTACTGATTAGCACAAATTGTTTGACATGTGAATTAGCATTAATGCATTTACTTAAGAGCTCTTCGCCAGATTACTTTACAACATTTTCTTCGTTTCTTGAGTTGATCTCTTTGATACAATTTTGTAAGAGTTGCGATGCTCAATGTTTGTGGCACTTATTTAAAACCACTTGTTTTTTTGTCCTATATAAATATTGTTTTCCATTGGCCTTTATCACAAGCTCGTCAATTAAATAATTAATAATGAAAAAGAAATGCAATTTATTGTTGATTTTAATCACTCATATGTAAAATACATAAGTATATATATATATATGTATAATAGCGCACAGTGTGTGACTCACAAATGATGTTGGAATGTTATTAAATTAAGACGAGATCTCGAGAACACAACTTGACGCGCGCACCGTCGAAATCAATCTGAAAACTTGCGTCGAGTTTTTCAAAACAGATTCGATTTGGAAAACTGCAGCTGAGCGCTGAGATTAGCCGAGAGTGTGTCTGAGTGTGTGTGTGTTTGTGTGTGTGTGTGTGTGTGCGTAAGAGAGCGAAGATCAGCAGCAGCATCACCCTATCAGAGGTGTTCGCTGATATTTGAAGAAGAGACAATTTTCGCAAGAAGGGCGTGAAAAACTTCCCCTACTTTATCGCATCTGTGTGTGTGTGTGTGTGTGTGCGGGCGTACACTTCACATAAAACACACTAACAACAACAACAAATAATTGCAATAAAGTTTATTGCCTTCTTTTACTGCTCATTTTAAATAATTAAATTTAAAACAGGTTTTTGAATTGATTTTTGTTATTAAAGTTCTTCAAATTAAACGTAGTTATTTTATTATTTTCATTTTCTGTCAGTGTAGCTGAAAATGTTATTTTTATTTCAGCATGCAGAAGTTGATAAGAAATTTGGGTCAATTTACACGTGCAAAATGCCATTTTTCTTTCATTTTTGTTTGATTCTGATGATGTTATTGATTGAATTTTGAATGAGTATTTGATTTAAGTGACTTAAGTGCCAGCCTCCTTATCAGTGGGACAGTTAGTTGAAACTGGTATTGGGCTATAAAAACTCAACCAATTCGGTTTCAACCAGCTAAGCAGCAGAGTTGACTTTGAGAAACCTTTTTTGTTTTTGCTTATTAAGAGAAATCCAAAATTTATATCATATTCATTTATTTTCTATTTGGTTATTTTTAATACCAAATGTTGTTTTGTTTAAACAACTGTGTATAAGCAAAATGATTGTTTGTTGAAACCGGTTTATTTCGATTTAATATAGTTGTTGTAAGTCCCCGGCTCCCCTTAGACTACCCTCTCCCCACCCACCCCTGCCCTGATCATGACGCAACGCTTTCAAGATTAATAGCAAAAAATATTGTGGCGACGCTTTGCATTAATAGGCAAGAACAACAACAACAACAACCACATTTAATGGACCCTCGAAAAATAGCGGCGCTTTCAACATTTGTGTATAGATTAGTTCTTTGAGCTTTCCACCCACAAAAAACAATGGGAATTTGTATTGTTTTTCCAAAAGTACCAGTATTTTGGTGTCTTTGATAAGCTTTGAGCCGTTGCAGCTTTCTAGAAAGCTTTAACCAACGAACGCGTCAAATTGAAGCAATTAGTGTTTTTGTGCGTACTTTAACCCGAGAGTTGCCAGATCTATTTATAGACAAGCGTCGCTCAATCAAAGTGGTAATGACATCAATTGAAAACACAGCGGAATAGACGGATGAGTGTGCGAGTGAGCGAGACAGCTGCCCGCCCAAAAGGGCAAGACACTTTGTTTGAGATTGAGCTTTCAGATTGAGAGACTGCCACTAAAAAAAATTGGTGAAGCTCGGCGATTTTTGCGCCGATTGAGACACAAAAGCGACAAACAATTGCAAAAAACAAATATATATATATATATAGAAATAAAGAAGACTCAATTGGACAGCGACTTGACGACTTGGTGACTTGATGGCAAAAAAAAAGGAAACTTACGATTAAGCTTAATTAATATGTTGGACAGATTTGTGAGCCAGCAGTGAACTGGAACACGACTTAAATATATATAAAACAAAAACTGAACGCATTTAACGTGTGGCTTTTTCTTATTATTGTCGGTCATCATTTTATTAAGTGGCGCTCAGGGTTGAGAATAGTTTGCTGTAAGTAGAAATAATCGAGAACCATGCTTAATTGCCATTTGCATAACAAAATTGAGCCAGGCAAAATAATGTTAACTTTGCTGGTGGTTTCTCAATTGGTAAACTCCGGTTTCGGTTCAAGCTCCGGAAATTATCCTAATGAGGTATAATTAATTGTTATCACCAACAATAATTGTGATAGTGTTTGTTAGTCTTCAATTGAGAAAGAAAATAGTTAATCACCCTTGCGGAACTCAGTGACAACCCTCTCTGGTAGGTCCTGGCGAGAGCGGAAGGATTTGTAGCCTTGTCACGCATTATTCGCTCTCACAAAAGCTCAGCTGAAAGCTTCTCAGTGGGCAATTTACCGCTGAATTGCGCTGACTGCGAGTGCGAATGAATTTGTGAATATTTTTGACCGAGTGAGTGAGTGAGTGTGAGTGGCTCATCTGCTCATTCAGCCATTCATTCGTGTCACATTTATCGCGCAAGCTGCGTCTTCGAACTCAGTTTCAGTTCCAGTTGTCGCTTGTTGTCGCTGTGACGTTCGCCGTTCTTCTCCGTGTTCTATCGCCGTACGCCGTTTTCACTTGCAAAAAAATAACAAAAAAAAAAAAAAAAACAGTAAAAAATACACACACACAATTGAAGATAAGACCAAAAATCTCATTAAAATAAAACAAAATATTAGAATAAAACTTGAAGTCAAGCAAACATTTGCTGAATTGTATTAAATAAGAAAAAAGGCGTAGAGTAAATTCATATTTTGCAATTTAACTAAAATGCAGTACATCTATGTGATTAGCGCGCTAATTTTGGCAATTGCCGTGCAGCAAGGTAAATCAAAGCAAAGAGCAAAAAATTATAAATAAATAATATAAGACACACACACACACAGTAGTCCCCCCTTTGCTACACTCACAATTCCAATTGTTCAAAAAAAAAGAAACGGAAATCTAGCAAAGCGATTTCGATTACATAATGCGTACGATAGAACGCCGAGGAGCAAGTGCAGAGTGGAAGTTACAGCTGGACTGTGGGGGGACTGAGGGGCCTGCACTCAAGCAGATACCGAGAGCGAGAGAGAGGGAGAGAGTGATTGAGAGGGAGAGGAAGAGAGAGACAGACTCGACTTGACGCCGTTTTTCAGAGCCGGTGGCAATGGCGCCTTTTTGACCAGCGGAAATATCTTTGGGAGTCTACCCAGCTGGCAGACTGCCTGACACAAATTGCAGTTCCACAAGGCGTTTTCCTACACTTGAAAACAACACACGTAAAATTCAGAAAGTCTCTTTGACAAAATTGAGAGTTTTCATCTCTAAATTAGAAATTCGATTTGAAAGAAAGAAGTAATAATCTAAGTTGCAGGCTTAATTTGTTAACAAAAATATATAAAATTGTTGCTCGCCCTTTATCCTTAAATTATGTAGGTATTTTATGAAGAAATTCAATGTATATTTTATAGTTATATGCATTTGAAGAACACTAATAACCAATAACAAATCTAGCGCTCTGCATTTCTACACGAAGAAAATATATTTCTTAGAAATATTGAGTATTTTTGGTCGATTATCGATTTAAGTTATTAATATTTGGTTATTTAAGTAACCACGAATTTCTAAATTATAAATATTTAATTTCAATAGTTATTTTCTCTAAGTGTACTTGACCTCTATTATTACCCTCCAAGTTATTCACTTTAAGAATAACCCAAAATCGATGTTTTAACTACTAAAAGTTTATATCTTAATTATACTAAGCTCGTTATCGCATTTTACGATTAGCATATACTATAACACAAGTCTGTTAGTGAGTGTGTGAGTATGTGTGTGTGGGTGTGTGCGTGTGTGAGTGTGTGTGTGTGAGGGCTGTGAGGGTGTGCGTTTGTGTATGGGAATGTAGGACATGCGCACTCCTGCGTTATTTATATATTTGTCCTGCCTTTCATTCGGTTAGCAGGCATGAATCCAAATGCAACAAAACACCACTCCTCAGGGAGCAAAACTTATACTCATATATATGTATGTACACATATGTACATATATACACACATCAATACAACTAAAAACGATTATCATTTTTTCCAAGTGTAACTGGAAAAAAAAACAGAACAGAACATTCAGAATTGTATATTATTTGTCTATCAATTTGCACAGTGAGCAATTGATGCAATTTACAACTTCAATTAACCATAATCAACTTTTATATAGCGTAACAGTGAAAAACTTATATTGCAAGACAGTCTTGTGAAGTGGAAAAACTTTACGATTTTTATTGTTGTTAAATCTATTGCATTCCATTTGCTCCTAATTCCATATTTATTTTAATTGGCTAACATTTAAGGTTATTAACTTTTGTTAAATGACAATTAGTTATCTAAATTTTATAATTGTTAATTACTCTTCAGCACTCTGAGTTTTTTATGAAAATATAATATTGATTTAATATAGGAAAGGCAACGAAGGAGAAGAGAATATCTTTTATCATATTTTCTACTGCTTTAAAATACTAATCCCTCCAAATTTGAGTATACATATAGTATTCAAATTCTAATACAAAAAGCTAGTTTTCCAGATTTAATGAAAAAAGTAAGCACCAAAGTCATTGCTCTGCTTCTTGCTCTCTGGTTGGGGTAGTTTTCAGTACGATGTCTTACTTATTTGGTTCCATTGTTCGCTGGGGGCACTCCAAAAAACAATGCTGCTAGCACTTTTGCCTGACTTATGTAACCCACTTTTTTTTAGGAGAGTATTTCTCAGTTTTGAGGGGGTGAGCAAATGCGACTAGCGACGAGTTATTGAAGTCCATTAGCACAAACTAAAGCTGTTGATGAAGCTGCAGCTGCAGCTGACGGAGGAGATTGGTTCTAATTAGCGGCTGGCACTCAAGAGGCTTAACAGCCAGACACTAATGGAGGCGTCGCAACTCAACTACTATCTTCGGCATTGGAAACACGATCTGCCTGACTGCCTGACGACAATGTGCCATTTTTGGCACAACGTGATACAAAAGCGCATTTCAATTGCATAATAAAAGTGCTCAAAAAAAATCATTTCCAGAAATCACACTGACAACAAAAGCCAAGCAGGAAGGCACTAGTCGAGTGAGCTTGACTAGGAGATACCTTGAACCTAAGTCTTTAGTGTTTGTACTTATTCAATTTTATATCAAGATATATAAATTCTAATGTATCTTTGGAATTAAATTAAAATTTAATCGATTCTTATCGATATTGTGGAAGCAGATAAGTTATCGAACTTATTTAAATACCAAATTTGGAGCCTCTCTCTATAGTTCCTGAGATCGTGACTAAATTGTCCTTGCCATTGATCATGATCAAGCAAAATGCATTTTTCGAAAGCCCTTTAAAAGAAGAACCATTCAATTCAATTAATATATATCCTTTGAATTCAGAGCAACCAGTGAATATGTATATGAATATACGTACGAATAAATATGTGCACACACATATTGAATGAAATGGAATAATGCGAATCTCTTATCGCGCACGACCTTAAATTCAATTTAGCTAAGTCAACGTCTCAGTCTAAATTTTCATCTTAATGCAGTGTCTAATATTTGTTTACACTTGCTTTTTTCTTTGTTGCTTCTTGTTGTTCTTGTTGTTAAACAATTAAGGTTAAGCGTATGCGAGTGGCCCCAGCTCGATCATACATATATATAAATAATATTTATATATAATGGAAACTTTTTCCTAATTGACTGCAGCTTATTAGACTTGGACGGGAAACAGAAACAGTTGCTAATGCAATTTTCTAATTTTGCTTTCCTTTGTGTTTTATCTCGCTCTAACTGATTGCAGGCGTTGCCATCAAGTGTTTTGTGTGCAACAGTCATAAAGACGCCAACTGTGCGCTGGATATTCCGCCCGACAATTTGCTCAAGGACTGCCAGGAGGAGTATTCGACACGTGGCAAGGGATTGCCCACCTACTGCCGCAAGATCACACAGATCATTGAGTTCTCTGTAAATAGCCGTGAGTACAAATCCAGTTGCTTCTACACTCAGAAAAAAATTGCCACGAGTGTTAGGCTGCAGACAATTGACCTTATAATAATGTTGTTAATCACGTTTGTAAATGTTTGCAGTGCCGCCAGATAGCCGTGTGATACGCACCTGCGGCTTCCAGAATCAAACATCGACTAATTATTGTTATCAGCGTGCCGGCTTTGGAGGCCGACAGGTTGTCTGCTCCTGTGATACGGACAATTGCAATGGTGCCGCTTCCCTGAGCGGCATCTCGACCTTGGGCCTGCTGGCCACAGTTGGCCTCCTCCTGGGCGCCTTCAAGTGGTTGCAGCGCTAAACAAGCAACAACAACAGGCACAGATATTTTTTTCTTTTCTTTTTATTTTCCATTTTGATTATTGTTTTTCAATGCAAGCCACACAAATTTGTTTTTCTGTTATGCTGTCGCTGAATTATTCCCAAAAGCAAAAACTCTCTCATTACTCCTCAGCTGCTACAGTCTCTGGTAAGTATAAATTTAATCAAGGTTCAATTTGAAAACCCTCATTGAAATTCTTTTTTTGCAGTTGTGTTTTTTCTACGCAAAAAAAAAACGTCAAAAGCTTTATAAAAAACAAAAACCAAAACCAAAAAACCTAATATTTAAAAACTCTTTGATTGTAAATAAAAAAAGGAAACAAATTAAACAATTGGCCAATAAAAGTATATTTCAAATAACATGAAAGTATTATAAAAAAAAATTAAAGACCTACCGCAGTTAGTAACAGTATTTAAAGCCCCACAATAAAAACTGATTAATTAAATAAATTAAAAAAATGTTATAACTAAGGCTAATAAAAATAATACAAAACAAAACACGACAAATATAAATAAACTTAGTGGTACATACATATAAAATAAATGTTAACACTTGTTGTCTGAGTTTATCTTTTCTTAATTTCATAAAAAACCAACTTAAAAAAAAAAAAGTAAAAACAGCTTAACAAAAATTATTTAAAAATCAGCAGACGTGCTTAACAATTGCATAAATAAATAAATAGTGAAACAATTTCTTAGTCTAATTAATAATGATATAAAAAAGAACATAAATGTCATCGAGTCAAATTTCGTAACACTCCCCCCAAAAAAAGGAAAAAAAAAAACTTCTAGGTTAAGTTGAACACGCTTGAGGAACATCATCCGAGGGCAAGCGACAAACACGCCCCAAAACACAGAAAAATACTGAAAAAAAAAAAATAAAACTCACTCGTTGTAACCAACTGCCAAAAAACAAAATATGAAATCGTTTTGAATATGAAACAAACCATAATCTAACGCACAGAAGAACAGCTCGGCAACTGGAGCAGTGTGAAAGAGATAGCCATATGGAAACACTGTGAAAAAAAACGTAGTAGAAACCAAAAAGCCACAAAAAACCCTTTGAGTTCAAATTGTAACTCACAAAACGCAGGACAACACATTTTCTAGAGACAAATTTTAAGTTACGAATCCTTCTCTCTCTTTAATGCAATACAATTTTAAAATGTTTGACCGAAAAAACAAAAACAATAAATATTATTAAAAAAAATATAATACAAATTTTTGACTTGTTGTGTATAAGCTAGCATTGGAATTGTACTTATATTAAATACAGTGAGCACCCGAAACAAATAGAATAGTCTGAGATATGTAACTATCGTTCTACATTGGGAGTGATCACTGTACTCGATTACTTTTCACTTAGCATGAACAACTACAATTATACAATAAAAGCGATTTGACATTTGTCTTTTTTGTTCGTCCAAGACCAAGTTTCCAAATTTAGGTATCCGTGTGCACCACGCGCTTGAGGGCGAGATAACAACGCTTGGATGCCAACTCGTGGTAGCCAACTGGACCACGTTCGCAGTCGGCGCAGACGAGAAACTTGCGTCCGTCGACGGTGTGCGAGAAACCAATGTTCTCGAACGTCATCATATCGGTGACCAGCCAAAAATGAGCCAGTTTCTCTGTGTTGAGCGCATCGGGTTTACTGTCCTTCTTCTGCACCATCAGCGGCACATCAATCTGGTTGAATTTGTCGGGTGTGTTAGCAAATGGATTTAGTCATTTACTGTTTGTATTTCTACTCACTTCCTGCTCACAGTAGGTGCCCTCTGTTGCTTTCAGCATTAGACTATTGCAATATTGACAGCGCACATTTGTTTTATTGTGATTGTTTACGATTTGTTCGGCAAAATTTGATTCTTCTGTCATTTTTATTGCTTTTACTCGGATTTCTTTTGTTGTTGTTCGGCAAATATCAAAGTGTCTTCTTCTTCAGCCGGTGGTCAGAAAGCATCGATAACATTTTACTTGCTTGCACTGTTATTAACAGCGATGACTGCTGCTTTTGCAATCGAATGCAATTTATAACTAAAAATGTAAACGAAAGGTATTATTTCAAATTACCGAACAGTAGTCCATGGCAATAGTTATCGAAATTATTGATTAAACGAATATACGAAATTTTTGAATATATGTTAGCCGTTAAGGCACGAGAAGCCGATAGTTTTTGATCTGTCATACACTGTGACATTAAAACAAATCGTATTCTATTTCCCAATCTAAAAACTAATTATTTTTATAACAGCTCATTGATCGACTCGATAGGCAGATGTTAAATTGCACTTAGCCCGATAATTTTCACACATCTCCACAACTTATTTTTTTTTTGGAATATGTGCTTTGCGCCGTCGCCATCGGCTCGTTACAGTTGCTGTCGGTGTCCGTTGTAAGAAATCCTTTCGGTGAGCATTTTCATAATTTTGTATTCCTTCGAATTGTGTGTGTGTGTGTTGCTGTTTTGTGGCTTTTCATGTACACGCCAGACCAATTCAAATCGTAGTCGAATTGTCAATTGAAAGTAGTTCAAAAAAAAAAATCACCGAAAACAGCTGACAAAAAGCTAACCTATAAAAAATTCTACTAATTTACTTTTTTCGCAGTGTCGTTTTTTTTTTTGGTTTTTTTTTGTTGCTGGTTTTTTAGTTGTCTGGCAATATGAATTTCAACTTTAATGCACCCATTTACCGTATGCCAATGCTGGCAATTGAGTCCCAGCAGCAATCGATGTACCAGCAGAGCACCTACTTGGATCAGTCCCAAACGGCCGTCGTTGTGCAGCAGTCGCATATGTCCCAAAGCTCCTGGTCGATGTCTATGCCTTCGTCACTCCAGGTGCATCACCCACAGATGGTGCCAAACAGTCTGTATTTCAGTGCCCAATGGCAACCAACACGTCCGCAACGCGCACCGATGCACGGTCGCTTCACCTATATGCCGAACCGGGCAAGTAACCAAAATTATGCAGCTGGTTCGGGTAAGTTTTCCTCTTCAGTTGCCTGTTTTTTTTATTTTTGCTTACTATATATGCTTTGTATGTGCGTGAAAGAATTCTACTCAAACGGTAAATGACGGCCATTTTTTAAGTGTTGTGAAACGCAAAATGATCATCTTTTTTTCTAACGATAAATAGATACATATGTTATATATTTATATTTGCAAAACAAAAGGAAAATATTTTGGGTATAGATTATCTAGCAAACACTCTCGGCTCCCCCTTAATTACTTCCCACTTCATTTTTTTTCTATCGATAAATATATATATTATATTTTTTAATTTGGATACAAAATAAATGTCAATTGTAGTTTTTCATAGCTTAAAAAGAAAGTTAAGTATAGGATATCTCTCTTAGTCGAGCAATGACTCTCTCTGGATCACTCTCAATGATAAATATATATATTAAATATTTAAATTTGGAAAACAAAAAAATATTTATATGGTTTATGATTACCAAGCTAAAAATGAATGTTAGTGTAAGTGTACAGGGTATCGCTCTTAGTCTAGCAATCGCTACCTATCTCTCTCGAGCACTCTCTTGTATACTTTTTTTTTTTTTTGTTCACAGCCGATGGACAAACATCATATATGCAACAATCGCGTGGCGGCTTCTATATGCCACGGCAGCAACAACAACGAGCCCATGGTGGTGGCGGTGGATCACAGCGTCCAGCGAAGCAGCTAACCCGGAATACGACAACCCAAACGTATTCGATTGTCAAACGTTGTCGCGATGCAGCCATCCAAACCGATGTCATCGAGGAGGCGACGCCTTTAGGCAAATACAAGCATCAGGCAACGAATACGGATGAAGTGTAAGTTATAAAAACAAATTAAATATAATATTTAAATAAAAATAAATCAAATAAAAAATACCACTTGCCAGGAAAAGATTTTACACCCTGTTCAGCTTCTTTCCAACTGATCTATCGCACTTAGCGAAAATTGCGAAATTCATAAGCTCGTCTTTGTATTTGTATTTGAGATCTATATGAAATTTTGAAGAATTAAAACTATGTATATATACTGTATTTGATTTTTTTTTTAGCAAACGAGAATCGAGCAACTTTTCGAATACGTTTGAGAGCACTAGTTTGCCGGCCGTACAGCAGAGCGGTCGTCGCAATTCGGAGATAGTATTGCCGCAGCAGCGATTGAAGGATCTAACACACATCTCGCTGATGGGCAGCGATATTGCCGAACGACTGTCGATGACGCATTGCCAGCGTCCTTGCTTCAAGAAGATCGACACACTGTGCGCCCGCCTCAAACAGGATCTGTTGCGTCCGGATGGTGTACTGCCCAATATTAATTCACAGGGCATCGCTTGGGCCGTTAAGGATTTCATTTTCGTTTTCACACGCATCGTTAACTGTTGGATTATACTCAAGGGTTATATTTATAATACTCCACCGGGTCTGGATAAAATCAAGGATGAACTACCGATCGGTTTTATGACTGCCTTCGATTTATGGCAGATTTGCACATTGACATTTGCCGGTTTTCTCATCCGGTCGTTTGTCAACCTCAACACCATGCTGCAGAAGCAGAAGAACAGTTTCTGCAACAACAACAAAAACAACACAAACAACAATAGCACCAGCAATGAGAACAGCAGCGAATCGAATTTGGGTAATAAAACCCATAATGGGTCAGGTGCATCCCAAGTGGGACTCGGCGCCTCCAGCACACCCCACAAAAATGCCCAGAAGACGACGACAGAGTCATTGGTTGGGGAACCAGAACGAACAGCAACGGATGGCATACCCAAAGCTAACAATGATCTGAAGTATATGTACACCATGGTCAAGGACTCGGAGGAGGCGCAACGTTGTGTGAACGCAAATGGGACATATCTCAAGACTGGCACCTATACGCCCCTCAAGAAGGATGACACTCTAATGAAACATCAGTCAGTGATGACGCCAATCTCCATAGCAAAAATATTGCCCAATGCCACCACAAAAAGCAATAGCATTCAACTGACAACCAATCCAAAATGCGCTCCACAACCGATGGAATCGAAATTGACCACACAAGCTAGCCAGAACAATGTTATACCCTGTCTGATTCATTCCGTGAACATATCGCCCAGAGAGATGGGTCTCATGTTGTACAGACTGAGCGGGCATATTATGAAGCTGACGACTATCGACAAATTCTTCAATAAGCAATTCACATTGAACTATGTGAGTTTCGTCCTTATACAGCATTCTGTATCTAGTTATTTGTGTTTCTAATGTAATCGGCTTCGGAGTTGATTAACATTACTGAATAATTCGAAAATTGTTTAATATCATAGAATCAATCTCATATCTATAGTTAAGTTTTTTCATATATAGAAAATGAATTCCATTATCAAAATTGCAAGTCGTTATTCAGTAAATGTCATTCTAAAATGTTAAAGAATTTAAACCTTGTTTACCGTTTATAATATTTATATTTGTAATTGTTACTAATTGATTATTTTTTGACTATTTCAGTTTCGGGATTTCTACGAGCGTTGCCAGCATCAGTTTACTGAGGTGCGCATCATAATCCTGAAGTGTGAGGGTGGCGCCTATAATCATATCAATCAGGCCATACACGATTTGAGACGCATCGTTTATGTGGTTAGCAAAGATCTAAAGGTATTAGCGCTACTCGATGTAGATACAAATACACTTTACACTTCGAATGTTATCTTTTGCTGAATTATAGCTGCCGGACTTTCGTGCGTATCAATTGCCAGGTATTAGTAAGAGTTTGCCGTTGTATGGACTAATGAACACTAATCACTGGTCTCATCGGGCACTAATCTCATATACTAATCTCACTAACTAAAACCAGCACCAACTAATTAAACTCCCACAATATACATCAATTAATACTTTGTCAGTCATAGATTCGGGGTGCCGATTTAATCTTATATATATATGTTCAATTGTATTTATAAACTGTTTACGTTCTTGACAGGATCATACCAACATGGAGTTGCGTCTTTATACGGCTCTCTATGAGCGCTCCATCATCAATATGCTGGCCAAGCCGCCCTTTCGATCCCATCAGTTTGTGCACATTACTGGCAAGCCCGGCGAGCAGCTTTACATTTAGATATATTTAGACACATTCTTTTTTTTTTGATTAACTTATTGAACGTGTTAAGCAAAGCACAGCAATACTCATTACTTCCACACAAGACAAATTACAAATATCTATTAGTTTTTTTTTATTAGTTTATTAAGCAAGCTAAAAGTGACATAAATATAGCTTGCTTCTTGACAATAATTATCGTTGGATAGTTGATCAAAGTCATGTCTTAAAGCAACTCAGCTGTTTATCGTTCCACAATCCTGTTGAACTTACTCTAGTATTTTCTCAATTTCTTTTTTTTTTCAAAACTTTATAATAAATTATTTGTTATGGTTCGTAATACAATTTCCACAAATATATCCTGCTTGTTGTTCGACAATTGAGATACTGTGTAGTTTCAACAGTTTGCGACATTAAAACAATTATGTAACCCTAAAAGTTGTTAAGCCTACAAAAACAAAAAAAAAATTGAGAAAAAAAATAGTAAAATTAATATTGTGTCTGCTCGATTTGTCGCATATAAAATCGTGTATTATATTTTTTTTTTGGACATATAAACATAAAAACTAACAACTAAATATACACATTAACGATTGTAAAGCAATAAATACGCCAGATGCAAAATCCATCCTATACACAATGTTTTCTTAATCGATGCTAGCAAAGTCCTGCACACTGATGTCCTGCGCCCGCAGCATGCCATGGAATACAGAGTCCGCATCGTTGGCCAATTCCTGCGGTTTGCCTTGCTCACAAATCCGGCCATCGTCCAGCACAATTATGCGATCCATGGCCTGCAAGCCGCGCAGCCGATGTGCAATAAAGATTAGGGTGCAACTTTTGAAGGCGTTGCGCAATGCCTGCTGCATGCACAGATCGGACTCATCGTCCAGCGACGAGGTGCCCTCATCAATGCAAACGACCTTGGCATTCTTGAGCAGCGCCCGCGCCAAACACAACAACTGTCGCTGTCCGACAGACAAATTGTGACCGCCACGCTCCACGCGCCCATCGAGACCGCCCAGCTGCTGGACGAGCAGCGTCGCCGCCGCCGAATTCTTGATGGCATGCCAAATCTCCGAATCATAGTACTGATGACGTGGATCCAGATTTTCACGAACGGTGCCTGCAAAGCGTTTGGAGATTTGGTCAAGTTGGGCATATATAAAAGATACACTACGAGGCTTACCATTGAAGAGGAATGGCTCCTGAGTGATGACGCCGATACGTTCACGCAGCACGCTCAGCTGCAGCGTCTTCAGATTCATCTGATCCAGATAGATATCGCCCTGGGCCAAGGGCGTAACGCGCAACAGTGCAGCCAGCACCGAGCTCTTCCCTGCGCCAGTGCGTCCCACGATACCAACGCGCTCGAATGCCTCCGTCTCGAAACTAATGCCACGCAGTGCCGGCGACAAATGCTCGCGATAGATGAGCTGCACATTCCTAAAGCTGAGCACACCCTGGGTAGGCCAGCCAAAATGGGGCTCGGCACTGCCCTCGGCATTATGCTCGGGCTCCAGTTGCAGATACTGATTCACACGTTCTACGGCGACCAGTTCCTGCTCCGTTTCGGCAACGGCATGGAGCAGGCCACTCAACTGGCCGGTTATTGACAAAGCATACGAGATGCAGAGTCCGACCAGGCCAGGATTTGTTGTGTGCGCCGCCGTTATGGCTGCCAGAAAACCAGTGCCACCCACAAGCAAACAGCCGAGCAATTGCAGACGCAACGAGAGCCACTGTTGAGCCGCCGATGCCGACAATTGCGCCTTGGTGCTCTCCTCCAGCTTGGCCTGAAAGTCACGCTGGAAACGTGCACTCGCCCGCATGCTGCGTATCGTCGACAGGCCCAGCAGCGTCTCCTGGAAGTGCGAGTAAAGCGGCGACATTGTATTGCTCGACAAGCGTTTAATATCCCGCGAGGCATGGCGATAACGCTGCTGCAGATTCAAATAGATGGGCACCATTGGAATGATGATGACCACCAGCCAGGGCATCGCATACAGGCTGACGCACAATGCGCCCACCAAACCGACCAGCTGGGCCAGCAATATGTTCAATGTAAAGGGCAGCGAATCATCCACGGTGTCCGTGTCCGAGGAGAAACGATTCTGGATGCGACCCAGCGCGGTCACGTCGAAGAAACTGAACGTGGCCTGCAAATGGAAATGGAAATTGATTATAAGTGATTAAGTGATATTATGGCACAATTAATTGCACTCACGAACATGACCCGCTTGAGCAGTTGCTCGTGCATGGAAATGGCCGCCTTGATACCCGCATAGGCAAAGAGAAAGGCACGGGCGAGCGTCACCAGAGAATTGGTAATGGCAATTGCCGCAAAGATGCCCAAATAGTAGCCAGTGGTATGTGTGTCAGCATTCGCAGCCATACTAGGTCGGATGAGCTGATGCTGTAGCGTTGTATCGTTCGTATGACCATCGAGCGTTGTCTCGGTTACCCAGTGGGCCAGCCAGGCATCGCTCAGATTCCGTGTCAGCTGCATCAGCAGCACGGACACCAGCACAGTCACGGCGAGCGGACTACTCACAGCACGCCAATAGCAGGAGAATACGTTGCCGGCGAGATGTCCATATTCTCGCGACTCCTCTTGCAGAACACTATCAGTGTGCTGTTCCGCCTTATCCTCATCATTGGCAGGTTTATCCCCTAGCAGGTCGATGGAGCAGCGACGCTTCAGTGCCTGCACCTGATCACTCGGCATCTCCTCGTTCTCTTCATCCTCACTGAGATCAATGCTCTCGGTCATGTAGTCACTGGTGCGCATCTGGCCATCCTGCACATGCAGTATCATATTGGCATGGAAGAAGAGCTGTGTGCTTCGCGTCACCACAATCCGTGTCTTCTGCTTCAGCAAACCGAGCAGACAATGACGGATTATGTGCTTGGAAACGTGTGCATCCAAAGCAGAGAGCACATCATCCAGCAGATAAACTGGAAGTGAACAAAACGAGACCATGAAATAACAATAATATTCGACTTGCAATAAGACAACAGATGGGAAGTCTTGGTGTACATGGCTATGGCAGATAATAGTTAGGAGAATGACCACTTGATAAGGAGTCTGCATGACAGGATGCGATGCACTCCCATCAATACATATCATTAGATGGGCAGAGGCACCAGAGCTCCGACAAGCTAAGCAAAGTAATAGCCATGAGAAAGAACAGATTTGGAATACTTAACGATCTCTTGACAGGACATAGCAGACTAAGAAGTCATCTGACTAAACTAGACATAGTCAGTAGTAATATGAAAGAATCCTAAAACGGCCATAGCAGATTTCGTCGTCTTAACTAGAAGATGACATGATTTTGGCTCCAAAAGGTCCACAAAAGATCTAGCAGCTTACAGCAGTTAATACAATACCCCAATAATAATAAAAAAAAACTATTCACTCGAAACTCAGCTAATCAAGAACGTTTAAGAGGCGTCTGTTTGCTAACTCACTCTTCTTATCCTGGTAGACGGCACGAGCCAAAGCGACGCGAGCACGCTGTCCGCCGGAGAGAGTGCCGCCGTTCTCGCCGACACCAATGAGATCGCCGCCCAGCTGGCGGATGTCATCGTTGAGGGCGCAGGCATGGAGAACCGTTCTGTACCACTGCTCATCGAAGTGGCTGCCCCAAACGATGTTGTCGCGAATGGTGGCCCGTTGCAGCCACGGCGTCTGCGGCACATAGCCAAAGCCCGTGGTGAGATCCTGGACACAGACCTCACCCTCAAGACAGCGCAGCTCGGCAATGATAGCCTTGAGAAAGGTGCTCTTGCCACCACCGACGGGTCCCTCAATGCAGATCAGTTGACCCGCCCAAAAGTTCACATTGATGTCACGCAAACGGAACTGCGAGGCAGTTGTAGTTGTTGTTGTTGTGGTGGTGCTGCTGTTGTCGCTCTCCTGGTGCTTCTGTTCCTGGTCGTGCATGAAGGTGGCGCCAATCATTTGCAGCACAGTCGCCTTGTCATCGCCTGTTGTTGAGCGCATAATGGGATTATAATAGCTGGAATAATCCAGATTTGGTTCATCCATCAGCTGCTGGACGCGACGCAACGAGACCCATGCCTCAATCAGCCCATTGAGTACCCAGGGAAAAGCATTCAATGGCCCAATGAGCATATAGAGCAATGCAACGCTTGTGTATGTTGTCGAGGCCACCAAAGGTTTGCCCAGCAGCACACACATGCCAAAGGTGAGCAGGCACATGAGGACTGGAGTCGTTGCCCAGAAATAAACACACATTGCATCCAGATACTTGCGCTTCGACAGAAATTTGAGTTCCGTTTGACGCAACTGGCGGATTTTCGTGATGAATATTGGCTCCCAGGCATTCATTTTGATCTGTTTGGCGCCACGCATTGTTTCCGTGGTGGCCGACAAGCGGGCATCTTTCGCTGTCATCAAGCCCAGCGAATAGACGCCAATGCGTTTGGCTAGCCAACGATTGATGGGTATCAGCAGGGCAGCGAATGCAACGCCAGCCAAAAATGCCACACCCAACTGGACATAGAGCAGATACAGCGTGACAAACAGTTTGAAGGGTATGCTCCAAAAGGAATGAAAACTGATGCACGAGTGGACAATGCGATCGGCATCTGTGGACATTAAGTTGGCCACTTCTGGTCGGGTTTCACGAACGCCGCGTGCCTCAAGTGCCTTGCGATATATGCTATTGACGACGCCGGCGCGCATCTTCATGCTGACCATTGACATACGCCAATCGAAATGACACCCACACAGAGCCGACAATAAAGTGCTGCCAAATAAACCCAGTGCATAATAATAGGCACGATTATCCTGTGGATTATCCGCTGCATTGCTATCCTGTTGCAGCAATCCGCCCAGCAGCAGCGGACCCGCAAAGCTGCTAATATCCGCCACCAGACGCAGCAGGCCAATCAAATAGAACTCGAATCCGAAGCACTTGTGCAATGCACGGAATAAGCTCTGGGTTTGTGACAACGCCAAATGCATTCGATCACTTAACCGGGTGATATTCAATGCATCCGGCAGATCGAAGAGATCATCGATACGGCGCAATTTGCCGACGACTCCTTTGCTGATCAATGGCTGCACCCAGTGGAAGACGAAACGTGACGGCCAACTGGCCTCGTCCTGGGCGTGACCGAGCACGGCCTCGTTTAGATCAAAATCAAAGTAGGTATAACGATTTGTCAGCAGTGCCTCCTGTTCCCGTTGCTCCCTATTCACAGCCATGGCGGCGGAGGATAGTACGGCATTGCCATGCGGCACCAATGTGGCCCCATAGCTCAAATCACACAGCAATGTGATAAGGCTCCAGGGCCACCACTCAAACTGGAGGCTGGTGCGCAACCAAATCCCGTCCAGCACCACAACTGTCAGCCACAAGACGTTGATCAGCAGCCCCCCGCGATGGCTCAGCGTTCCATAATGACGTGCCGTCACCAAGTAACCTAAAACCGAGTAATTATTTATCAATTATATTTTTACTAGATAAGTAATCTTAATTTTATATATACATTTTTATATAAATACTCTTAACTATATGATTAATGAAGTAGCAGATAATGTTTATACAGCAGTTAAGAGAAGGAAATAACTGGTGGATCTAGGAGGGAACAGAAAAATTAAATTGGCTCAACAAATGCAGCGCAATCGATTTCACCATTGAGTAATTGAACTCTGTCTATGTATGCCTATCTAATTAGCACACACACATAATAAACAAACAAAAATTTAAAAAAAAAAACTCACCACAGTGGACTATCCACATTATGCACTCGGCGCAGACAACTAGAACATCGGCGGCATGTAAATCGATGCCTTGGCGATGGAACGCAAATACCTTGAATACGGGTAACAAGGCCAAAATAATACTAAATCCGGTGCGCAGTGCCAACATTTGCAGTTGGAGAGCATTGCGAGTGATTTCATGTCGATGATCGCCGAAATTGTAGGCGGATATTATTGCAAAAATTGTATAAACAGGCAGCTGGAGCACTGTTTCTTGGAAACAGGGCAACAGATCGTTTGTATCGTTGGCGAACGGCTTGAGGCCCGTTGGACAATACTGTGTCCAATTCCATGTGAAATTCCAATCAATGTCCGACATAGTTGCCTCTTAGTTAATTAACTTTATTAGCGTAGCCCGACGTATGCAACAAGGGGACTTTTTCGTTTTTTCACTCCAATTTGGTTCTTAGTCATCGTTTGCTATCTCAGCACAGTGGAAAGTGGCGGGGTGGCCGCAAGTCAATGATAAATATTTATTGTGCAAAGTCGCTTATTATTACTGATTAGCTGTCGCCGCTCTTGTTTATAACTAATAAAGAAACAGCTGATGCACAACCAGCTGCGACGTACACACTTGATTGGAAAAGCCATCGATAAAATCGAACTATATTAGAATTCTACATATCGATACTATCGATACTTAACAAATTATTAGCATGCCGCGGTGAGTGGCTTTCTGAAAAGAAGCAGCATTTGTTTACAAATATATAAATGATTAATTAAAATGACACAAACTGAGATCGCGGATAGCGAAAGTAATTCACAAGCCGCTGAATTACCAACTCAACTTGTAGACATATTCAAGGCACTTGCAGAGAATGAGAGCATTGTCTTCAAATCCCAGCAAATTGATGATCCCGAACTGAATCTGCTGGAGAAACAACAAATTGTGCAGGAAGCATTTAACAAAAATCGAGAAAATTTTCTAATACGTTTCGGCAGCCATCTGGACGATGGACAATTGAACGAGTTGCAATCTCTGGCCATAAAGGAACCCATCAAGCCGGACGAGAGTCTCGAAGACATTCGTCTGCTGCTCGATGATTTCAAGCGCAAACTGCACACACGATCCATATGCGTGAAGAATCGACGTTATCAGGCGATGGAGCAACTACTGCAGAAGGGTGAATATTTCAGTGAGCACGAAATGATGCAACGGGCACCGGAGCTCTACCAGGAACTGGTCGGACAATATTTGACGGAGGCGGAGAAGAAGCAACGGGATAGCTACGATGTACGCAATACAAGTTTCTCGGGCATCCTAATGCACACACTGGAGCAGAGGCAGCGGGATGAACTGCTCCAGCAGATCGACACCAGCCTAAGGGAGGAGCAAGAGACCACGACTCCGATGGCGGCACCATTAAACGATTGTGATGTGCCCGATGCATGTCGCCAGCAATGGGGCGGCTTCGCTGATGATGAGCCAGTGGCCTGTTCGACGAGTCGAAATATTGGCCCACCAGCCGGGAGAATAACCACAGCCGAATACTATAATCCCGCTGAACGTGAACTGTTGCGCAACGAGTTTATGGGCTTGATGAAGGAGCGATTTCTCAGCGGGCAGGACCAGGATTTTGATTATGCAAGCGTCGATGACAATGCCCAGCTGGATGATCTGAAGCAAATCGAACGTGATGAAGAGGATGCCTACTTTGAATCCAGTGACAATGATGATGATCATAATAAGGAGGAAGTCAGGCCAGTTGCGCCTGAGCGACGCTCCTCCAACGACGAGGATGAGGATGAGCTCGATGTTTATATGCGACACTTGAACAAACATCCAAGTCTGCAGCATTAGTTTTTTTTATTTTATAGCTTTAAACCTAGCATTATAAGGAGCACAATGACATACATACGTATATATATATATATATATTTAAAACTGTTGCTTAAACTTACGATTAATCAGTGCAGTACAGTGATCGCTCGATAATTAGAACTCTGAAATAAAATTGAAACATATTGGAAGCATTGCTGATATGAAAAGTTTCGAAAACACAAAGTGGTCTAGAAATTAATAAATTTCAAATAAGTAATTTGCAATTATTAAAAACAAATAAACTGAAAAAAGAAATTGAAACACGAGTCAAAAGTCGGTGCATTAAGAATCAGTCGAAAATACATAGAAACTAAATTTGAAATAGGTTGCAATTATTAAAAATATATAAATTAAGTCAGAAGTCTAAAAAAAATGGAACTTCCAATATGAGGATGAGTTCTTCTATGAAAACCTTCGAAAATACTTGGAAATTAAACTAAAAGGTAAATTTAAAATAAGTCATTTGCAATCATTAAATTCAAATAAACTTAAGAAACTACATTTAAAGTCGAAACATTCTAATTATTAAGCGACCTTTGCAACGGCATCAAGGACCAATCGAATATTTAGATGCTACAACCAGTGAACAATTGTTTGCGCTTAGAAGCTATGAAATACATGCAATTGAGAGTGGCTCCTCATCATCGCTACGACTACTACTATCTGGGACGGCCACGTCCACGTGGAAATCCGCGCCCACGGCCACGCAGCACTTTACTATTGGGAGGCGGACTCTTGGGCCGCAGCAGTTCGATGCGACTGGTGCAGCCGGTGGCTGGTGCCTCGGCGAAATAGGTCTGATAGAGTTCAGCGTTGAAGTTGGAATTGGTTAGCTCGGGTCCAACGGTCAGCCAGCCCGGCCTGATACTCGAATCGCGACCAAAGACATGTAGGCGTCGTCGACCCAAACAAAAGTGCTCAATGATATGAAAGATTTCGATGGGTTTCTCAAAGCTGCCGAATTCCTCCTCCTCGGATATGATTAGATCGATGTCGACGTTGGCATGTATGAAATCACCATCGCTGGAGCGGCGTACGGTGCCCTTGATGCCCATCAGGCAGTGTTCTTTTGTGCGCTGGAAAACAGCCTTCGGTATCGCCTGTTTGGAATGGCCCGGCTTATTGATATTCGTGCGTATCCAACAGATGTCCTCGCACCTACGAAATCCCCACTTCTTGAGACAATTGCGCCCCTGATCCAATCCCTCCGATGAGCCACACCAAAGAAACACGAACGAGCGATGAGCGGCTATCTCACCGATATCCAAATCTATATGCAGCGACATATTACTCGAGATAATATATATGTAAATATGGGAATGGACTCACTGAGTATATCATCCCAGTTCCAGAAGACGCGCGGTGCCCCACCCACCGTTGCCACAGCGGGCGCAGCTCGTGCATATTCCTCCAGCGGTGGCTCAATCAGAATTACATCGAATTTGGCACCCAACGTCTTCACATCCAACGTCTTGAGATCGGCTTTCAGATACATTGGCGCCGATGCCGTATCCTGAATGAGTTTATCCTTCAGTTTGATTAGTTCCCGCAACTTGGGATATTCCTCGAAACGATCGGCAAGTCCTACATCGCGTATAAAATTCTGCGGCCTCTGGCCGGTGTCCACAAAATGCTGGCAGTAATCGTTGTGCGGATTGGAAGACTGTGTGCCCTTTAGGAACGTTGATGAATCTCTGTAAATGATTTCATTCGGTGCTTTCTTCGATGAGGAAGCACCACCGCCATCCTCTTCATCCCGTTGACCAGGGGTATTGAGCTGCCTGCTGCCGCCAATGCCGCCGGCATCGTCTACATTGCCTAGCACCTTCTTCAGCTCATCGACGCTGGACAAACCGAGCTGCCAAATAAATTATGAATATTTAACACAAAACAAAAACAGATCATTGAAAACCCACCGTTTGGGCAAGCAGCAGCCGGCGCTTGCGGGAGCGCTCCTGCGAACTCTTCAATACATCGCTCATGGCAATTAGTGCGTTTAATATTAAATTAGTTCTTAAGTTAAAATAAAATGAAGACAAATAAAAAAACGCGTCTCGACAACGCGATAGAAATGAGCCGATTGCCATTCAATCGAAGAGCACACGTGAATAGCAAATACACTAAGAAGAAGAAGAGAGAAGTTGTGCAATCTGGCAACGCCGCACGCAAATGCCATTCACAATCAGCTGCCGCTACAAAAAATCTTTTTTTATTGTACCATCAAACACGGTTTAAATTAGTGAAATTTTTAGCGAAATCAAAACAAAAGAATCGCTGCAAAATGACGCTGCTGCGCAATACGCTGCTCTGCACGCTGATTGTGCTAGGCGGCTGTTTGTTCCTTGTCGCAGCGCAGGGTAAACTGAAGGTAAAATCTTAGTCTCTGCCCCTTTTGGCCACGTCACTGACTAATTCTGATTCTAATTCTGATGGCGCATGCCGGCAACTAAAATAATGTTAATTAACTATTTTGCAGACGGGCCTGTCGCTGGCGGAGAAAGTGGAGAACCTTGTGGAGATGAACATGAAGAAGCCGCTATTGCGTTTCAATGGTGCCAAATTTCGTGAATATGTGAAAAATGCGCCGCGCAATTACTCAATGATTGTGATGCTGACGGCTCTGGCGCCGTCCCGTCAATGCCAGATTTGTCGGCATGCCCACGATGAGTTCACCATTGTGGCGAACTCCTATCGCTTTCTACCGATCTACTCCAACAAGCTGTTCTTTGCCAGCGTCGATTTTGATGAGGGTTCCGATGTCTTTCAATTGTTGCGCTTGAATACGGCACCGGTTTTCATGCATTTCCCCGCCAAGGGTAAGCCAAAGGGTGCGGATACTATGGATATACATCGTGTGGGCTTCTCCGCCGATTCGATTGCGAAATTTGTTGCCGAACGCACGGACATAACCATACGGGTGTTTAGGCCACCAAATTATTCGGGCACTGTTGCCATGATCACGTTGGCCGCATTGGTTGGCAGCTTTTTGTATATACGCCGCAATAATTTGGAATTCTTGTACAATAAGAATTTGTGGGGTGCTGCGGCGGTATTCTTCTGTTTCGCCATGATCTCCGGACAGATGTGGAATCATATACGTGGTCCGCCGCTGGTGCATAAGACGCAAAACGGTGGCGTCGCCTATATTCATGGCTCCTCGCAGGGTCAACTTGTCGTGGAGACGTACATTGTCATGTTCTTGAGTGAGTCCGCCTCAAAAGAATTTCCCTCATTCCACAATTATAAAAACGAATACTCTATTGCAGATGCGATGATTGTGCTGGGCATGATTCTGCTCATCGAGTCGGGCACACAGAAGCCGAATAATCGTAATCGGATTATAGCCATTGCGGGCTTGGTTTTGTTAACCGTATTCTTCTCGTTTCTGCTATCCGTATTCCGTTCGAAGGCGCAGGGTTATCCTTATAGGTAAGCTTAAAACTTAACTTGAGACAGTCTAAACTTTGATCTACATATATATTTGTTCGCTTTACAGTTTCTTGTTCAAGTAGAATCCGATTGAGTCGCCCAACAACCAACATCATCAACAAAGTTCAAGTGGAATGTTATTAACGTTTTATATATAGTTCAAATTGACAACAAAATAAAAAAAAATACAAACGATGTGAAAAAACCAAACAGCAGAAAGCAATGTGTGTTTACGTGTGTGTAAAACGGATTGAATTGAATAAATGCCACTACTAAATTAATAACAACATAAGAACTTAATTATCAAAAATGCAACATCTTTTATAATTTGCACCTTTTCATTTATTGCCCTTTTTATTGGGTACACAGTAAAACCATTTGTAAGTTGATCAATTCAAAATACTTATTTAAACTATAAATGAGTGAGAATTGAAAAAAAAGATTGTGGAATTGAATTTTCATCGCATTGTTTCAGTTAGACAAGAAAACAAGATTACATTTTCCAACTAAACCACTTAAAATAATCCAACGTATTTTCTATGTAATCATTCATTTATTGTGAAAATAAGTCTTGCCAAATCTTCCGGCATGTTGTCGTCCATAGAATCCATAACTTTCACCATATAATATCTATACTTCATATATATATCTATACTTCATATATATATCTATACTTCATATATATATCTATACTTCATATATATATCTATACTTCATATATATATCTATACTTCATATATATATCTATACTTCATATATATATCTATACTTCATATATATATCTATACTTCATATATATATCTATACTTCATATATATATCTATACTTCATATATATATCTATACTTCATATATATATCTATACTTCATATATATATCTACACTTCATATATATATCTATATTTTCCCAATTACTTGGTTGCACTTCGTCGATATTCGCTGACCCTACAGTAATTATTTCATCTGGTAAAAAATTTAATTTAATTAAGTTCGCATAAAAAAAATTAAAGTTAAGCCAAGCCTAGAGCAGCCAAGGAATGATGGCATGTCTACGTTTGGGGTAATCCTTGAAGCTGTCCTTGTACCATTGATGCGTGAGCAAGGCATTAATCGTCTGATTGCTGGCGACCCATAAAAAGATCAGTTTCCATGTGATGATGGGCGTGAAGAGATCCGCAAGGCAAAAATACATGACCACCTCGAAGAACATGTGCGGTGACGAGATGTAATCAAACCAGCCGCCACTGGGCATTAAATGTGCTTCCGTTTGAACGTCGCCCGTCTTCGGATGCTGGCGCAGTCTGACCAACAACAAATTGCTGGCATATTGCTGCCAGCAGGCAAACAGAAAGATAACTGTATACAATCCCTGGATGGGCGTAACATTTTGCAATGTAAACTGTGTCGGTTCAGTGCCACGCACAAATCCCGCCGTATTGCCTAGCAGCGAGATAATGGCACCAAAATAATGCATATAACCAACGGCATAATGGGACAGATTTATTTTGCTGCGCCTGGAGAAGATCTGCACAAAGTTCGTTTCGTAGAAGCGACGCAGACATTGAACGCCGAGCAGCGCTGAGCCCAGCAACGCTGTATTCGAGTCCACCAGCACCTGGCGTTGACTCCGTCCGCCGCACATCAAATCCAGGAAACGGAGCACGTATTCCGATGCCCCATTTTGATGCCAGACGGCGCTACTGATCAAATAGAGCGCCAGCATTGACCAGGCCAAGGCAAAGATGTAGAAATGACTGAACCATGCCTTGGGCACCTCCAAATGGCTGACAATTGCATCCGTTGCGCCCTTGTGGGCATGTTTGCCATAGCGAAATGATTGACGAAGGCAGTTGGGCAGATGAGATTCGAGCAGCGTCATTAGACTGCCCAGCAAGACGATCGTTATGATGAATGTGATGAATATCAATTGAATCACATTGATTTTGTACTGATCGATGAGATCCTCGAGGGTGCCAATCACTTGTAGCAACATTTTTTCTGATTCGTAACTTAAGCAATTAATTTACAACTTTCACCAAGAGAAATGCGCTTATCAAAATCATCAGCGCAAAGGCGGCGTTTCGTTGCGAATGACAAATTTGCAGGGCTGCATCATTTCAATTTGTCGCTGCTATATAATAGCAGTCCAGTTAGTTGCGCGCTTTATTTAAATTTTCAAAAATGTTGTCAAATCTGAACAGAAAAGAACCGTCCACACTTAAAAACTTGATATTTATGGAAATGACTGAAGTACGCTTCGGGCACCTGCGAATGACAGACAATTGCTATTGCAATCATTTGAATAAGATTGAATTTGAACTGTTCGTCAGGATTTTCTAATGGAAAACGATTAGTGCACAACTTTTACCGATAGCAACAGCATCACCGGGAGCGTTTCGTTTCGAATGGTAAGTGTGCAGGGCTACAGAGATTGCGTTATAAAATGTTGTAAAATGGCGAAGCGCGCTTTATTTAAATGTTTGATAAAAGAAACGATCACATTTAAAAATGATTATTTATTTGCAACAAAGCTAAACATCAAAGTAAAATTTGCTACACATAACGCTATATAAATGATATTACTATATATGTATGTAGTTCAATGCTATTATGATATGCCAGACTAGTGTAATATGTATTTTTGTGCCTAATACTGCTGTGCCGGCCAATTGCAGTTTGACTATCTTGCGTATTGCTTACTTTTGTTTTGTTTTTTTTTCTTTCAATTAAGTGAAGCGCCTTTTGTTTAACAGTAGAGCACTCGAGGCGATGTCTGTCAAATATCCACACCATTCCGCCCGAGAGTGCCGCCCTTATACGGTGGCGGTTTGGGACGTGCATATAAACCAGAGGCGCCACCATCCATCAGATACAAACTGTTGTTAGGACTGAGTTTGGAATATGACTTGAGATGGAATACATACATAACAAAAATCTAAAAGCTACAAACCTTTGTGAACGCATGCTTATATTGTCGAGCAGAAAATTGGGATCCTTGAGGCTCTTTAGCGTTGTCACCGGTTGCATGGGATTTGTGTCGGAGCATTGAACCATTTGCACCGTCGACGACATCGGATAATCCAAGTTGATCGAACTTTAAACACAAACACGTTAGTTTGTAAACAGAAAAGAAGTCCTTTAATGTGTGTGTTTAATTGAAAACTCAAGAGTCAAACGAAAAATTCACCTGTCTTCGTCAGCTTCCGAGTCGCTTTGCGTTTTGGCGCAACACTCTTCGCATATGTGAAAAATATTGGCAAAGAAATACTCAGAATGTGGATCATAACTAAGAAGTATAATAATTGAAATAAAAACGAAATTAATAAACAAATATGAATAACTAAATCAAATAATTAGAAAAGTAGAACTAAACATTTCAATTTCTTTGGAAGAAGAACTTACAATTTCTGATGATGAAAGCAGAGCACAGCAGATAGAATGCCAACGAGGATGGCAAGGATCATGCCCGGAATGGCAAAAGCAAACGCAAACTCATCGATATAGTTGCGAACGGGTACATCCTCCCGTGGAATGCCTATCCAACGTTCCTCCTGCTCCTCGAAGTGTTGTTGCGGTTGCTGCTGCTGTTGCTGCTGCTGCTGTTGCTGCTGCTGATGATCCTTCTGTCTGCCACTGGCATGATTGTTGTGATAGTGTATCTCTGTGGGCGACTCTATGCCGACCATTTTAAAGGCACACCAATCGAGCTTGAAGCCAACATTCTCGAATATCTTTTGCACAGAGGTTCGCTTGTAGGTGCACGATGGCAACTTGTACAGTGGACGCACTTCCTCCTGCAGCTCCTTCAAGCGTGCCGAGAACTGCGCAAAACTGCCAACGTGCACAATTACACTGTACGTAAATAATTAAATGGTTAGAGTGATCTTTAAGGACTCTAGATTTTGATCTGAAAAACTTGAAAATCTTACAAATTATAATAATAAAACAGAAAATTCGAATATATCTGATTTATTTCATCTGAATTGTTTTTCTCTAAAAGAAGAGTGCTTTTAACGAGTCTAAATTTTGATGAACAAACCAAAAATCGAATAAAAATTGTTATGTATGCATTTAAGATATAGAAATAAAATAGATAATTTGTATATATGTTTTGTACTATTATTTTGTTTCACTGACTCACCCCTCGCGCTGCTGCGGACGGAGTGGCAAACGCCCGCCCATATTTACGGCGGATTCCATGAATACAATGCTGAGATCATCTTTGCTGGCCGGCCATAGATCCTTGCGAAAGATGTTGCGTAAATTCTCCACACGTCCCGGATCCATCAGGTGCACCCAATTCAGATTATCAATCTTCATTTGGATCACATTCGGTGTGATAAACTTGTGGGCGACAAACATTGTGATAATCAATTGACGCGTCTCATAATTCTGTCGATTTAGGGCAACCAGATCCAAGTTGAGGGTTTTCCCAGCCACCGAATCGGGTGGAGTGCCATACAGGAAGCCCGCATGATACTCGTGACTATACATATAGCGCATCCAACTGGGCAAATCGGGATAATTCTCCAGCGAGGGACGATAGCGAAACTGTTCGCTAATCACTTGATGCGTCCAATTGAAAAGTTGCGGTTCAATTTTATAGGTAAACAATTCGCCAACGTTGGCTTGCAGGTGTAGTTTATAGCCATTGCAGGCTATACCTAGCCAGCCAACAATTAACAGCACTATTTTCATTTTATTTGGAATTCTATGCTTTTAAAAAGCACCCAAACATTTCATGTGAAAACAAAACGCATTCTGAAAAAAATCTTTTAGTGTGTATCTGACTGAGAGTGAAAGATGTTGAGCGAAAGAGAGAGAGAGAGAGAGAGAGAGAGAGAGAGAGAGAGAGAGAGAGAGAGAAAGAGCGCAGGCGTAATAAACAGCTGAAAAGTTAAACATTAGCACACCTGTTGTGATAGGTCAGTAAGGTTACACTTAATATTTAATAATAAATACAATTTACTTGTGGTTAATAAATGCACAAAAATCGCAAACAAATTACAATTCAAAATTTAACGTAAGAACCAGTATAAGCGCATTATAAATGCACACTGGCAGCAATTCAGCCATAAACATCGATATTTATAGCGTTAATCGATAGACGCTTGTTGACATCGGACAATTTGTGATCAGCGAAAAGTTCTCACAAAATACGTGGCTTACGCATCGTATTTTCGCGCTAATTCTAAATAGTAATGTTCTTCGCCAGATAGCCGTTAATTTAACAACACACAATATGTTGGCACTGTTGTTGCAATTGTTTTGTTATCTTGTCGCATTCATATTGGCCACCGTGTTGTTGGTATGTAAATGGCACAAAAACCGATAACTCTGCTTCTTATTTATTTTACTCGCAATTCTTGTTTTTAGATGGTGTTGGTTTTGTTATACAAAACAAAACCATATCCAATTATAACACGACACAAGGATGAAAAGTTCTATTTGGATCCGAAAACGATAAAAACAATTGAATTTCCCAGTTTGGATGAACCGCCCACCTTGGAGCTGAGCGTCATTGTGCCGGCCTACAATGAGGAGCAACGACGTGGGTATTATTTTTGTTGTTATTGTTTTTTTGAGTAATGATTAATCACATGATTATGGTGTACTATGTGCAGTGCCTGCCATGCTCGATGAGTGCCTGAGCTTTCTCGATGAGAAGGCCGCCAGAGAAACGGAGTTTAGCTATGAGGTGATCATTGTCAGCGATGGCAGCAGCGATGCCACAGTTTCTGTGGCCCTCAAATATTCCAAGCTGCATGGTGCGGATAAATTTCGTGTGTTGGAGCTTGTCCAGAATCGTGGCAAGGGCGGCGCTGTACGTCTGGGCATGCTCAGTGCCCGTGGCCGGCAATTACTCTTCGCCGATGCCGATGGTGCAACGAAATTTGCCGACTATGATAAACTGGCAGAGGCATTGACCAGTTTGGCGCCCGAATGGCGTCACGATGGCATCGCCATTGGTTCACGTGCTCATCTCGAGGATGAGTCAATTGCAACGCGTAGCTTTTTTCGGTAAATAAGTAAACCGGAATTAATTTGTTTCTATTTGCTCTCCCAGTTGTATTACGATTTATTAAGTAATTTGTATCACTTTTTATTCTATTCCAAAGCACAATTTTAATGCATGGCTTTCATACGCTTGTCTGGATATTTGCGGTGAGATCGGTGCGAGATACACAATGTGGCTTCAAGCTATTTACACGTGCAACCGCACGTAAACTATTCAATAGTTTGCACGTGCAACGTTGGGCCTTTGATGTGGAGCTACTTTATCTGGCTGAACGTCTCCGTCTGCCCATGGTCGAGGTGGCTGTGCGCTGGACAGAGATAGATGGCTCCAAATTGTCGCCATTCTGGTCGTGGCTGCAAATGGGCATTGATCTCTTTATGATTTGGCTGCGTTATTTAATCGGCGCTTGGCGCATAGCTGCCAGTCAGAAGAAGGAGAATTAAAAAAAAATAAAAAAAGAACGTCAGCGACGAATGCGCATTTAATTATTGTTTCCTACAAACTGTAATTGTAAAACTTATTAAACTAAGTGCACAGTATTCTACAAAAAAAAAAATAATTATGCCTTTCTGTTCCTGTTGCTGGAACTGTTTTCTATTCTATTTAAATTTGTATATATTTTGCGCTGCGATCGATAAAATGGGAAGCAACGCTGCAATTGCGATAATTCACAGACGATCTCTCGGCTAAAGTATTAAGAGAGTGAAAGTATTAGTCAAATCGAGATAATCGATTAAAACCACATACGAATACCTCGCGAAATTTCAAAGTTTGAGTTACCAAATTTCAATGGCACATTAAAGATTATTGAAAGGTTGAGGCACGTCCACACCACTCCCACATGAATGTGCTTCGCCACCTGTTGTCAGCTGGTACACTTTACATTTCTCTATTTAAAAAGATTATTTATGAACAAGCAAACATATGTACGATTTACATGATTTTGGATGCTTTATTCCAATTTGTGATATTTTTACAAAAATACACAAAATTATATAATTAATATATATTGTGAGGAGCCATAGAAGCAAGCACTTGTGAGCATGCATATACATATGTGTATGTTTATGATTATAAACATATATACGTATGTATGTTCACGAATGGGCATACGAAATGCCCATGAGCATGTTATATGCGCCCTCACAACAACTGTCCATTCAGGCCGAAATCCGGCCGTGATGCAGTTGCGGTGAATTCGCTCTCTTTCGCCCTCTCCCTTTCTAACGCAGGTGTTCAGCCATTTGAATGTCCATCAGGACATGTGCCGTTAGTGTGTGAGGAGTATTGTGGGAGCAATACTGTGGTCTATACTCACACTGACGGCAGACAATGGCTGGCGCCAGCAAAAGGGCAGTGGAAAATTACCAGAAGATCTCGCCACCGAGGTACAGTCCCGGCAAAAGGTGGCCAGCCACGGCCTATAAAAGGAACGCCGCAGCACAAGGCAGGGGCTGTGCAATTAAACACGAGAGGCTGCGCGCATATACACGCGAGACGGTGAAAACATATACGCGAGACGGTGCGAATATATGTGCGAGTGAAAGTCAAAGTATACCAGTGAAAGTGCAAGGACACGGAGTGTCAAAGGACTCAATAAAAACACAAGGATCACAGGACATCGAGGTCCTGTAAACAGTTGTGAAGCGTATATCCTTGCCACGCCAGAATTGTGGCAACAGGCGATATCCGCAAGAAACCAGGCGAAGCAAACGAGGCTTGGTCTGTGCTGAGCCAGAGAGTGACACGCGAATCCTGACTCACAAGAGTACTAGGGGCGATCCTTGAGGAACAAGGAAACCACTAGTCCTGGTGAGCATCAGGAGTGCTGTACGAAATCTCTGGCGGGCAGACTGAGATCCGGGCTTGCGTAGCTGGCGGGCGGAGTGCCTGGGGCAGATTTTGGCGCACAGGAGCTCGCTTCCAACTGACCAAGGACACCGATGTGTGGCGAGACGACACGGAACGGACAGATTATAAACAAATAAACGCAACAGTGTAATCGCAAATAAAAGAAGTTAATAAAGCAAGTTTTAATATACGAGTATATGCATCGACTGTTTTGTTAATTATTGGAAACGCAATTAATAAATTTGTTGCGCGAACTGAGATCGAACTTAGCTTCGCTAAAACACAACCTAGCAAATAGGTTCGTTACAATATGAAATTATTATTTTTACGCTTATAGCTTTGTCGACTTCAATTCGTCCACAATCTCTTGCATGGATGGTCGCACGTTCGGTTCTTTATCCCAGCACTTCTTTATCAATGTTTGAATGTTCATGGGGCACTCGCTATTAGCCAAATCCGTTAGGGAGGGTCGTAGATCTACACGAATTATTGTCAATTATTATTATCGGACACTATGTGCGGAGATGTAACATACTTTTCATATCAATTTCCATTAAGAGCCCTGCATTTCCTGTTACATCAACATCAGAATAAGGTTCCTTACGCACAAAAACTTCCCACATTGAAATGCCCAGGCTATACACATCGCATTTATCAGAGTATTTGCAGCCATTGAAAACCTGAGCATTGTAAAAAAAAGTTCGGTAATGTGAACTAAACGATAATATAGAGATATTATATTTACCTCGGGTGCCATATATACGGCCGTTCCCCTTTTGTTTGTCATAAATGTTGCCACTTTTCGTACCATGCCAAAATCACAAATTTTCAAATTTTTTTGTTCAGCATCAAGCAACATATTCTGGGGCTTAACATCGCGATGAACTCCTATTTTTGATATTAGATAAGCCAGAGCCTAGAAATAAAGCATGATTCATTAGTGTATATACATATACATATGTATATATAAGTACCTCTGCCGCCTGAGTTAACCAGCGAACGCTATCAGTCAGTTCATATTTTTTATTTTTCTGCTGATGCAATAAATGCCACAGTGATCCACCAGCCATATATTCCATAACTAAGAAGCTTCTATCATTGTGATACGTAGTGCCATATAGTTTGATGATGTTCTTATGATTGGCCTTTGCCAGATTATGAGCCTCGTTTATAATGTCAATATCTGACATGATGTTCCCTATTATTGCTTTAATAGCTACTTTATTGCCTTTATATGTGCCCTCCCAGACTTCTCCAAAGCTAATTATTCCAATTTTCTAAAAAAAAATGGTATGTGTTTTATATAAAATTAGTCATCCCTACATTTAAACTACTCACTCTTTTAAGGATAAGATCTCCATAATTGATTGACTCCATTTCGCTTTGAAATTCAGAGGTAGACTGAGACTGTATATTGCACATATATATGTATACACCAGAACTCGTATGATAAGATAAGATAAGCACGTATACACTGAAAAAAAAATATTTTTAATTAATTTTTTATTTTATGATGCCTTCCAAAATTATATTTTGTGTTCGTCCGCCTAATTTGAAAACAAAAAATGATGAAAAAACACAAAAATCAGCTTCACATTTCTGTATACATTCTTTTGTCTGTGAAGAATCAAACCAATCACCGATTGTTTCAGTACTTGCAATCTTTTATAAACAAATAAATATGGCTATAAACAGATATATACCCTCCGCGAAATTCGATTAACGCCACTGGATTTTTTGCATTATAAAATTGAAAATAAAATTTGAAAACTTTTTTTTGCTCCACAAAAGGTAAGTGTTTTGAATATACGTCACATAAAAAATGAATTAAAAAGAACATTAACATAAAATTTGAACTAGGGAAATTCGATAAAAGGCAATGATAATAATAATAATTTAATATGTAGAAATGACATGAAAATAACATTTTAATAATGTGTTCAGCTTCCACATTGGTTTATAACTACAAAATTCGACTAAAAAATTCGAATCAACTACTTTTTACAACTCAGATAGTCGGATTTTAGACCGTTCCTTAACGACAGCCTTCGTAGCTGCTCAACTGTCGATTACCAACTTAAACTTTAATCGGAAAACAACTGTTGACATGTTGGTCAAGCACAAGCAAAATGCATCGTAGCTCACATGGTAGTATCAAATCGTCGCTATCTTTGCGCTCCAGCGGCAAATCCTTTCAGGTCAAATTGGACAAAATGTCCGAGCATCTGTATGACATAGTCAAAAGTGGCTCAATGGTGAAACAGGCCCAAAACAAGAAGCGATTCACCCCAGTCAACTATAAACATCGCTGGTTCGAGCTGACAAAGCGAACGATCTGCTATTACGATGTGGAGAACGTGGAGGTGAGTCAATATTCCAATAAAATAAATAATAATAATAAATAAACAATTCCCCAACAATTCACGTAATAAACATCTGAAAAGTTAAGCATTAGCACACCTGTTGTGATAGGTCAGTAAGGTTACACTAAATATTTAATAATAAATACAATTACTTGTGGTTAATAAATGCACAAAAATTGCAAACAAATTACAATGCAAAATTTAACGTAAGAACCGGTATAAGCGCATTATAAATGCACACTGGCAGCAATTCAGCCATAAACATCGATATTTATAGCGTTAATCGATTGGCGCTTGCTGACATCGGACAATTTGTAATGAGCGAAAAGTTTTCACAAAATACGTGGCTTACGCATCGTATTTTCGCGCTAATTCTAAATAGTAATGTACTTCGCCAAATAGCCGTTAATTTAACAACACACAATATGTTGGCACTGTTGTTGCAATTGTTTTGTTATCTTGTCGCATTCATATTGGCCACCGTGTTGTTGGTATGTAAATGGCACAAAAACCGATAACTCTGCTTCTTATTTATTTTACTCGCAATTCTTGTTTTTAGATGGTGTTGGTTTTGTTATACAAAACAAAACCATATCCAATTATAACACGACACAAGGATGAAAAGTTCTATTTGGATCCGAAAACGATAAAAACAATTGAATTTCCTAGTTTGGATGAACCGCCCACCTTGGAGCTGAGCGTCATTGTGCCGACCTAGAATGAAGAGCAACGACGTGGGTATTATTTTTGTTGTTATTGTTTTTTTGAGTAATGATTAATCACATGATTATTGTGTAATATATGGCAGCAGCGATGCCACAGTTTCTATGGCCCTCAAATATTCCAAGCTGCATGGTGCGGATAAATTTCGTGTGTTGGAGCTTGTCCAGAATCGTGGCAAGGGCGGCGCTGTACGTCTGGGCATGCTCAGTGCCCGTGGCCGGCAATTACTCTTCGCCGATGCCGATGGTGCAACGAAATTTGCCGTCTATGATAAACTGGCAGAGACATTGACCAGTGTGGCGCCCGAATGGCGTCACGATGGCATCGCCATTGGTTCACGTGCTCATCTCGAGAATGAGTCAATTGCAAGGCGTAGCTTTTTTCGGTAAGTAAGTAAACCGGAATTAATTTGTTTCTATTTGCTCTCCCAGTTGTATTACGATTTATTAAGTAATTTTTATCACTTTTTATTCTATTCCAAAGCACAATTTTAATGCATGGCTTTCATACGCTTGTCTGGATATTTGCGGTGAGATCGGTGCGAGATACACAATGTGGCTTCAAGCTATTTACACGTGCAACCGCACGTAAACTATTCAATAGTTTGCACGTGCAACGTTGGGCCTTTGATGTGGAGCTGCTTTATCTGGCTGAACGTCTCCGTCTGCCCATGGTCGAGGTGGCTGTGCGCTGGACAGAGATAGACGGCTCCAAATTGTCGCCATTCTGGTCGTGGTTGCAAATGGGCATTGATCTCTTTATGATTTGGCTGCGTTATTTAATCGGCGCTTGGCGCTTATCTGCCAGTCAGAAGAATTAAAAAAAACGTCAGCGACGAATGCGCATTTAATTATTGTTTCCTACAAACTATAATTGTAAAACTTATTAAACTAAGTGCAGAGTATTCTAAAAAAAAAAAAAAACAAATTATTCCTTTCTGTTTCTAGAACTGTTTTCTATTCGATATAAATTTGTATATATTTTGCGCTGCGATCAATAAAATGGGAATCAACGCTGCAATTCGAAAAATGAGGCGGTCGCTCGATATCAATACAGTCGACACGATAGCAAATCGATAGCCGTTTTAAAGTTAAGTCGCGTCGGCGCGTTAGCAACTCGCAACACCCAGAACACCGCATTTATATTTAATAATACATATTGAGCAGTAAGCAATTTTAAGTGCTTATAAACAAGTGGACCATTCGTGTCCAGTCAAAGAGTGCCGGCTGCACTTGCTGCTCCTGCTGCTGTTCCCGCAATTAGCAAACGTCTAGCCGCCTGTTGCGTCTCTGTGTGTGTGTGTGTGTGTTGGAAAGTTCTCATGCATATGCATGTGTGTGTGTGTTGTGTGCTTGTCACAGCTGAGCCAAGCGGAATTGTTTATTAAGTTTTTTTTTCGATTTTGAGCGCCTCTGCCTTAGCCAAGCAGTGTCCAAATGCTTTACAAGCCGGTCGCGTCGCTTATTCTTTTTCATTGTTTTCGTTGCAAACGAAAGTGATTTGTTGTTATTATTTTCGGTTCGGTGGTTTGTTGCTGCAATCCACGGCACTTGTGGTAAGTTTGGCACATTTATCGAACTCGCTATCTCTCTCTCTTGTTGGAGCTTGAATTGCGATTGGTGCTTTCAAATGGATTGCATTTGCTCTTGGCTTCGATTTGTGTTTGATCAGCACATTTGAATTTTACATATGAAAACTGTAGAAATTACAGTTCAAATCAGACACACATCTAAATTTACTCCCCACTCTTCTCCCCCTCCCTTTAACACATTTCAATAAGAACCAATCAGATCATATGTTGTCACACTACCTTCGAGCCGTTTGTTTTTTGTTCTCTTTTGTCATTTTCTTTTATGCTTCTTTGAAGCTGCAAACTCGTTTTGATTTTTGATTAAAATTCTTTCAAAGGTCGCCGTGAAACGCCAACGCATTCCACGCCCCCATCGTAAATGGGATAAAATAAAAACTTGCAACAATAAACAGAAAGCAAAATAGCATTTTTCTAAATATAACAAAAAAGAACAAGAATAAGGGTAAAAAAAAAAATATTAATAAGTAAGCAGAATGAAAACTAAATGCAGACATTTGCGTGGCCAAATTTGAAGTCGTCGCTTGAAACTAAATTTTTTCTGCTGTGTTTCTTTCTTACTATATATATATATATATATATATATATATACCGTGACCATGGACACGCCTCGCCTCTTGTCTGTTGCTCCATGTCCAGCCAGAGAGGCAGTCTCTGCCTGTCTCCTCCAGCCCCAGGCGAAAGATTTATGTATACGCCGTTGCTGCGATCCTTTTGCGGTGTTTATTTTATTATGACCTGCAGTTTTGACTGCATCAACAGCGGGTGTACACTACAGAAACTAAGGCTAAAATATGGCAAAACCAATCGAGACTTTAAATGGCAATTTATTTTCTAATGGACTGATTAAAGGAAATAGTGAATCAAATGCACTTAAATGATATAAGTCATTATTGAAATAACTATTTTTACTTTTGATCTATTGAGACGCATACAAGCTTAAAAATTAATTAATTAATTTGAATTGCACAGGGTGTTTTTGAGTCGAGCATTGCATGAATTACACAGTTCTTGCTGGCAAATGTGTGCTGGCCTCTCAACGCTCTGCTTGATTAAAGTGCGTCGCATAAACGATGCAGACGAGTGCTATCGACAGAGGAGAAGTGGAGTGGTGGGCGCTGGCTTAGCAGTTATTGTTGTTGTTGTGCATTTGTTGCTCTTATTTGTTGATTTCCATGCGCATCCGCATGCGGCTTTCTGCTGCTGTTCAAGTGCGATAATTCACAGACGATCTCTCGGCTTAAAGTATTAAGAGAGTGAAAGTATTAGTCAAATCGAGATAATCGATTAAAACCACATAAGAATACCTCGCAAAATTTCAAAGTTTGAGTTACCAAATTTCAATGGCACATTAAAGATTATTCATATTCACATGAATGTGCTTCGCCACCTGTTGTCAGCTGGTATACTTTACATTTCTCTATTTAAAAAGATTATTTATTATTATTTATTATATATTATTATTTATGAACAAGCAGACATGTGTACGATTTATATGATTTTGGATGCTTTATTCCAATTTGTGATATTTTTACAAAAATACACAAAATTATATAATGAATATATAAAATTATTATTTTTACGCTTATAGCTTTGTCGACTTCAATTCGTCCACAATCTCTTGCATGGATGGTCGCACGTTCGGTTCTTTATCCCAGCACTTCTTTATCAATGTTTGAATGTTCATGGGGCACTCGCTTTTAGCCAAATCCGTTAGGGAGGGTCGTAGATCTACACGAATTATTGTCAATTATTATTATCGGACACTATGTGCGGAGATGTAACATACTTTTCATATCAATTTCTATTAAGAGATCTGCATTTCCTGTTACATCAACACCAGAATAAGGTACTTTACGCACAAAAACTTCCCACATTGAAATGCCCAGGCTATACACATCGCATTTATCAGAGTATTTGCAGCCATTGAAAACCTGAGCATTGTAAAAAAAAGTTCGGTAATGTGAACTAAACGATAATATAGAGATATTATATTTACCTCGGGTGCCATATATACGGCCGTTCCCCTTTTGTTTGTCATAAATGTTGCCACTTTTCGTACCATGCCAAAATCACAAATTTTCAAATTTTTTTGTTCAGCATCAAGCAACATATTCTGGGGCTTAACATCGCGATGAACTCCTATTTCTGATATCAGATAAGCCAGAGCCTAGAAATAAAGCATGATTCATTAGTGTATATACATATACATATGTATATATAAGTACCTCTGCCGCCTGAGTTAACCAGCGAACGCTATCAGTCAGTTCATATTTTTTATTTTTCTGCTGATGCAATAAATGCCACAGTGATCCACCAGCCATATATTCCATAACTAAGAAGCTTCTATCATTGTGATACGTAGTGCCATATAGTTTGATGATGTTCTTATGATTGGCCTTTGCCAGATTATGAGCCTCGTTTACAATTGCAATATTTGTCTGGATGTCCCCTATTATTGCTTTAACAGCTACTTTATTGCCTTTATACGTGGCCTCCCAGACTTCTCCAAAGCTCCCTTTTCCAAGTTCCTAAAAAAAAATGGTATGTGTTTTATATAAAATTAGTGATCCCTACATTTAAACTACTCACTCTTTTAAGGATAAGATCTCCATAATTGATTGACTCCATTTCGCTTTGAAATTCAAACGCAGACTGAGACTGTTGGTGGCAAATGCCAAACATTTATTGCAAATGTACACAGAACTCATGCAAGATAAGCACGTATGCGTATGCACGTATGCAATTACACTGAAAAAAAATATTTTTAATTAATTTTTTATTTTATGATGCCTTCCAAAATTATATTTTGTGTTCGTCCGCCTAATTTGAAAACAAAAAATGATGAAAAAACACAAAAATCAGCTTCACATTTCTGTATACATTCTTTTGTCTGTGAAGAATCAAACCAATCACCGATTGTTTCAGTACTTGCAATCTTTAATAAACAAATAAATATGGCTATAAATAGATATATACCCTCCGCGAAATTCGATTAACGCCACTGGATTTTTTGCATTATACAATTTTTTTTGCTCCACAAAAGTTAGGTGTTTTGAATGTACGTCAAATAAAAAAGGAATTAAAGGAACATTAACATAAAATTTGAACTAGAGAAATTCGATTAAAGGCAATCCTAATAATAATAATTGCTCAAGCACAATCAGCCTGCAGAGCTAACTGTTAATTAGCAGCAATCATAGTGGAACTGGCTTATGCCCAAGATCCCCCGAACGTAGTCCAGTTTCCAACTCTGTTCGCCTGGTCGGCTGGCTAACTAATTGACCATTTAATCGCTTGATTTGCAATTCTTTTGTTGAGCCTCTGTCTCTCTCTCTCTCTCTCTCTCTCTCTCTTCCTCGCTCTCTCTCACTCTCTCTGCCTGTCATTCTTTACTGATTTGTGATTGATGCGTCAATGCTTGTTGTACACCCACAGCAATTAGTCGGCTATTCGATTCGGCGACGGTCAATGGCATAAGATTCGCACACCCACAACGCTCTAGACTGATTTATGGATCGAGGCGTTGTCGTATGTTGTAATCCAACAATATTTGGCCATAACATTAACATAATTTTATGGTATACTAAAAGTAAACACTCTCTCTCTCTCTCTCTCTCTCTCTCTCTCTCTCTCGCTCTCTCTCTCTGTATCTCTTTGCAGGCGATCTCTCTCTCGCAATGTTGAGCAGCAAAATGCATCGTAGCTCACATGGTAGCATCAAATCGTCGTTATCTCTGCGCTCCAGCGGCAAATCCTTTCAGGTCAAATTGGACAAAATGTCCGAGCATCTGTATGACATAGTCAAAAGTGGCTCAATGGTGAAACGGGCCCAAAACAAGAAGCGATTCACCCCAGTCAACTATAAACATCGCTGGTTCGAGCTGACAAAGCGAACGATCTGCTATTACGATGTGGAGAACGTGGAGGTGAGTCAATATTCCAGTAAAATAAATAAGTAAACATATGTACTTATAGCATTAACTAAATAAGACAATGGAATACAACAACATACATATGATTGCAACTAGCTAGAGATCGATAGGAATTGTAACTAACATGTATATATATGTATATATATATATATATATATATATATATATATATATATGTTGAGCATTTTAAAATTCATTTTTAATCAATTTTATTTACCAACTAACAACTGCAACTGATAATAATCCACTCGTTTCGCAAGATGTTGCTCTGTGTGATTAGCTTATTACAATCACATTCTGAGTTTCGTGTGATTGACAAAGCTGATTTGAACAGCTGGTCGTCTTTTTATTTCATTCTTCTTTGCAAAATGATTAGTAAAACAAATTAATTTAAATACAACACATTAAAAAGGATATAATTTCTATTTTATTTTCAGATTAAAATTGCTATAAATTATAAAAAAAATAAAATATTGAATAAGAATTGTGTCGAAGGCAACAAATAAATTTATTATTACTATTTTTAATTAGAAGCGCAGCTCTCTCAATATAAAAATCTGTAATAATTCATGACATTTAATAAGAAATACTTTTGTTTTACTTTAATTTCTACAATACTCTCTCTCAGTCCGTTTTAATTTCTTCCTTTTGCGCTGTATTTTTTGTCAGTTCAGCTTAGTTAAGACGAAGACAAAGGCTGCTGTGGGTGCTGTGGAATTGGGCTGGTATTCTGTAGTGTGGTGTGGTGGGGTATTCATCTGACTGGCCATTATTCATGTTTAAGTGGGTGTCTCGGCTTGTTGTCATGGTATCGTCATTTATTGCGTCGTTAATGCAGCACCTAACGCAACGAACTGGAGTTAGGACTAACGCTAGGCTAGGGTCAGAGGTTAGCAAGACCGGTTAGGGGGTGTGATTGTGCCTGTGAATGGGAGCACAGCTGCCCGAGAGGCTTTCGTTTCAAAACAAACGGCCAACAATCGTCATTCGGCATTCGGCATTCGGCATTCGTCGTGTGTCGACACATCCTTCCAGTCTCCCGAAGACCTCTGTGGTTGGACATAGAAAAACACACCCTGCCGCAACAGCAGCAGCTGTTTTTCGCTTTCCAGCGCCGGCAAAACACATAGAGAGATTGTGAGAGTGAGTGTGAGAGACGCACCCCCGTATTTTGTATTTTCCTTATTATTATTATTATTTTTTTTTTGTAGAGTTATGCTATCCTGCGCTCTCCCCTTTATCATTTCCAATTGGAAATCGCACGTATCCAGCTTAAACGAAGTTCACTAACCGACTCGAGTTTCGAACGTTGCCTCGTCGGGTGTGGACGTTGTTTCTGTGTGTGTTTCTTTCCGTTACCGATTCGATTTTCCCATTTTCGTCATTTAACTCGCAAAAACCAAAAAAATAACACAAATATACAAAAATGAATACATTGCCTAAAACTATTTCGGGCACTTACTTAATATGCATTGCATTTTTGCATTTCCGCGCAATTTTGGCGTTATAGTTTAACACGCGCCCGGCATTCGTGCCACCCTTGAAAATTTTGTGAACGTGTGCTTTTTCGGCAAAAGTTCCAAACAACCCTTAGTCGCACAGATAGATTATATATGTATATATATATATATATATTTATACATACATTTGTATATATTTGTAATTTCCAATAAATGCTTTAAAAATTGTGTACGTGCCCCTAACACACATATACATGGTATATATATATATATATATATATATCGTTTATCGCAACAGCATCCAAATCCAAATAGAGTGTCGACAAATATATATCTCTCGTAAAATATCACGTGAACCCCACCCAGAAAAAATTGTAGGAAAAACGGCAAAGTTTTTCAAGTGTAGCCAGTGTTTTTGTCCTGCTGTCTAGCTATCCCCCTCTACGCCCGCTCGTTCTCTCTCGCTCTCTCGGGCTGTCTCTCTCGGTTTTGATTGCCGCACCCCGTTGGGGGCGCCAGAAACTTAAAAGGATTATCTCAGCGCCTATCGGCCCTTAGAAGGTAAGCAGCATACAATCCTTAACTGTAGTTTTTTAATTGATTTAGTTGATGTTTTACTTGAGCAACAAGCACACTAATAAAATGCGTTGCTCGATCGTCTCTTATATCCCAGCAAATGGGGTATTTCTCAATCTAAAGTCCCTTTAGCTCTTACTTTATCATTCATTGACGCATTCATTCATTCAGCTGGCAACCCTTCAGTGCTGCTGCTTTTATTGTTGCTGTGTCTTTTTTCCGCTTCAACTGCTGCTTTTGCCCGGAGTTTGAGGTTCGATGAACTTGTGTGTGGCAAATGCTCAATTAATTGATTGGCACGCCTTTTGTCTAGTAGCAGTTGATGTGCCGGATGCTGCTCCTACTCCTGTTCCTACCTACTCCTGCTGCCATATTGTGTCTGGCTGTCTCTCAGCTGCATCATGTCTGTATAGGGGTCAGTTGCTGCTAATTAATGCCCTCGACTCAGTTCAGTTTTGCAGCTACTTGAGCCATTTTTGCACTAAGCTCTTGCTGGGTGTCACTAACCTTGTCATAAAGAGCGAGCAAAAAAAAGAGTCTTCACTCGACAGGATTTACCTGGCAAATGCCACGAATCGGCTAGACTAGCTGCTATGCTAATTGAGCCTGCATTTTGCTTTGTAAACACTTTGCGCCTTCCTTCTCAACCGTACCGTACCCAGAACAGTACCGAACTGAGAACCCATTGGTTCTGCCCTGCACTCTAATACATTTCGCAATTAAATAAATAACAATTTTTATATGGATACACGAGCAACACATGTTAAGACCAGCAATAACACAGCACACCGTACTTTGAATACACTTACAATTTGAAACAGGCTCTTAAAAAATAAAAGAATCGAATAAAAATATGTTTCCTAAATGAGCACTAATTTGCTACGAAGTTCAAGAAAATATTACTTATACAATTAAAGATTATGAATATGATCAAAGATCACGAATAGTCCAAATGCTTGGATTTAGTTATTTACTTTATTATCAGAAAATGTCATTCTGTGCAGTTCGATAATGTCTTTCTCTCGTAAACATTATGATTGATTTGTTTTGTGCTCTCCCGAATATTGTTATTTGCTATTTTTAACTGATAAGCTGATAAACTTTTAACAAACGGGTCAGGTGATAATAACAGTTGTCGCCGGAATCGAACAGAATTACTCACTGTCTATTTTTTAAAATTAAGGTATATTATTATAAAAGATTAATTTTCAGTTTGGTTTTTTCTTTTCATATGTAGTACAAGCAACTCTATCAATAGCTTTTCTTAATAATCGAAATATTTTGATGAAAAAAATGAAATGAATTATCTAAAAACGTCACAAATAATATACTCTGATTATTTGTGAACAAAAAATAAATAATTAAATCATAATAATAATAAAATATTTGAGGCAATAATTGTATATTAATAACTACAAATTGTTATCCTAATTAATCTCTTATCTGTTGAAACGAGACATTTCGAAATAAACGAAAAGTTGTTATTTGTTAGATTTTATCGCTATATAAAATCGGAATATTTTAATATAATTCTCTTATTTGCTAGATTTAACAGGGTATTTATTTATCGCTTGCAAATGTCAGCTGCTGCTTGGCTGACTAATTGTGGCCGCTTTTGACCAATTACACATGCATGTGTGTATGTATTTTACTTGTACACATTACATATCAATTGTTGTAGCTTTGGCTTTGACTGGTTTTCCAACAAAAGGGGCCAAGCCCTTCAATATGTAAAGGCACTTGTAACCGATTATGAATCATAATCAAAAAGGTAGCTGAGCAGTCAAAAAAAAAAAAACTTGTTGGCCACCTTGATTCTCTCTTTCTCTTTTCTATCTCTTTCTCTTTCTGTCGCAACTTTGCTCTCTACATACATGATTCGCCTATTAACGTTATAATTTTTGTATGATTCACCACAGTCACAATCCCAGCAGATGCACTCAACTCGCTTTGTGGTGGGTCCACCATCCATGACTCGAATGCTCAATGAGACTGCTACATCTAATGAACCCACCTGTCTGTCTATCCGTCTGTCTGTCTGTCTGCCTATTCACTTCATTTCCACCCGCCCACCCATCAGTCCCCCCTTTTCATGCTTCGTTATGGGCCTTCTGAAATAATCTTTACCCATCGTCAGGCTACCTGTCTGCTGCCCCACCCTTATCCCTGTTTCTTTTTTGCACCTTTGTCTGCCGGGAAACGCGTCGAAGCGTTGAGTTATTGCATATTTTGCCGTAAACTTAAGAACTACTTGTGGCAAAAAGGAAGACTTCTCCTCAATCCCGCCGAGAGTAGTTTGCAAACAGCCGCCTCCACAGCTGCAGCAAGTGTCCAACTCATAAACAAACGTTTAATTAGAGTTAAGTTAAAATAAGTAGTAATAGCTTGAAAATCACTCTTCTATTGAAATCGGATAAACTGAACATAACTTGTGAGACTTAGCCTCTTTTTATACCCTAAACTGATTGAATATTGGTAAAAACGGCATCATGAATTTATGCACGATTATGTGACAGACAATAAAAGAGAGAGAGAGAGAGGGAGAGAGAGAGAGAGAATTAATTGCAATTGCAATTAGTAATTCAATGGTAATTCACCTTATTACTCAGAAGGTATTTTTCTTATCTTCGCATTTATTAGGATTGTCAACTTAGGGCAAGCCCTTCTAATTTTTGCAAATCGATTTCTTATGTTTAGAAATTATTTCTAAAAAGATGAATTTCTACAATTCAAGTCGATTTTTTTTCTGAGTGCAATAAAAGCAACAATTTCAAATATATATCTTCATAATCGAAGATGGCTTGATATGTTCAAGATAAGTTCTGCCAGTCGAACATGCTCGACTAAAGATAAGTTTATATTTTATTGGCTTCAATCGTCTCAGCTATTTCCGCTGCTGTTTTTTGTTTCCTTCTTTTTTTTTTTTGGTCGACGTTAATTTGAGGCTCACGCGCGCGATCTGAACCGTTCCAAATAATTGGAATTCGAAGCCGGTTAGCAAACAAACAACGGCAACAGACACCGTCTCAGGCTCGGTTTCAGTCTTGGATGTTCCAAAACTTGTCTACTTTCGTATTCGTTTAATGTTATCACGGATGATGATGGTCAACACAAAAAAAAAAATAAATAAACAAATAAATAAACCGCAGAGCTGCGTGTTGGCCAAAAAGCTATGAGCTCGTTTTCAGCCCATTTACCTTTACTCTCTCTCCCTCTCTCTCTCTCTCTCTCTTTCTCTCTCTAAATGTGTGTGTGTGTGTGTGTGCTGGAGTGTGTGATGATTGATCTTATCGCGACTCGTTGCTTGTGAGTCATCTTAAAATACAACAACAACAGCAGCAGCAATAGGCATATAAAACATGACAAGAACAACATCTTCTTCAGCAGCGAAGCTGTTTTTATTATTTCTTTGTACTTTATGGTCCGGACTGGGGCTTAAGTTCATAACTCAATGTGGCTGCCTCATATTTAGTGCGGCATAAGCTGACGTGCCACAATACGATGCGATGACTGTGGGTCGCATTGGCCCACCGCAAAGGCCGTTCATTTATATTGTACCTTGGCATAAATTAATCAATTTGCGGCAGAAATATATATTCTAACTAATTATTCTATTAATATATAAATCATTTATCAATAGTTGGGAAATTGCTCCATATGCTTAAGTCATTTATGCAAAATCCAGCGAGTTTTCAAGCAACAAAACATTTTTCAAATATTTCTTAAATGGTTTAATAAATTTAAATAAGTTGCTCACAAGCTGTCATTTTTTTAAACTATGCTAAATTTGAATTCTTATATTAACAAAAAAAAACAATTGCAATCCGAAAATATTTCAATAAATGTTGCATTTTTTCACCACTGTACAATTGACATCCATTTCGTTGTGAAAAAAATTTCCTGATAAACTGCGATAACTGTAAACACGTAAAAAAAAAGGAAAAAAAAAGAAACACAGACCCAGACTCAGATGATAAATCGTCGCCAAACTTGCCTTGACTAATTTTCTGAGTGCATGGAAAATAAATACAAATTTCACCAAATCAAAATTCCAATGAAGCTGTCGCACGACAGGCTTATCGAATAAATTGCAACTTCTAGGGGGGAATGGCGGGAGGCGCTGGTCGTGGTGGGTTGGAGTGGAGTGAATGATTCAATCGCTTTGGCATCCGCCTCACATCCGGTTGGCATTACAGTTTTCAGTCTACAAGAGGCCCAACAAGTTGCAACACACACACACACTTTTTTAGGGGGCGTTGCGCACTCATCGGTCAGGAATTGCGAAGGCTACGTTTCTTCTGCATGGGACACGGACATGGACGGACATACATTAATATATCGCTGTATATGGGATATGGGCTTTTGCGCATCTTGTTTTTTTTAGGTGTATGGTGCTCTACTGGTCGGCAGCGGGTGCCGCCCTTTTCCTGTGCTAATTGCATGCAGATTCTTTTTTCTTGGATTTTATTAATGAAATTTTGCGCCGCCAGCAGTTTCCCACACGCACCAAAATTCTAAAATATACGAATAAATATTTTGAAATAAAACTGGAAGAGAAAATTTAAAAAAAAAGTTTGGCTCGCCCGAGCAGGGACTTGAACCCTGGACCCTTGGATTAAAAGTCCAATGCTCTACCGACTGAGCTACCCGGGCACTTGCATGCTGAGGCGCTGTGGCTGACTAACAAGTAAGCGAAAAGAGCGCACTTTGCTCTCGCTGAGCGTCACTGCGTGTGTGAGTGTGTGTTTGTGTGCGACTGTTTTTGTTGCTATCTTTCTCTAACGCACATCACAAATGCCATATGCAGGCCGGCCAAAAATAGACCAAGCAAAGTTTTCTGTTGTTGTTGTTGTTTTGTATTCCCCTTATTTTTATGATTGCGAGTATTTTGCTATATTTATTGCATGCAACATTTCTAATCAGAAATAAGCAATAAGAATATATTTGCTGACAGAGCAATCGCGTGCGATATATTAGTCTTTGTTGACTGCAAAATTTATCGCATGCGATATTTTTAATTAGAAATGGTCATAAAATATGCTATAATTTTTATTATTTTTTCGCATTCAATTTTTTTCTTCTGCTGACGCTGCTGTGTTCATATATATAAATATATATTTAGCTTAATATTCACACCATATTTATTACGTACAATTCCAAATAAGCAAACGAAATTTCGTAATTTTAATGAAAACAGTTTTTCGTTTATTATTTATCAAGGCGAATAACATTTAATTTTACATTTGCAATTACATTGTTGTAAATTCCACGAAATTGCTTGTTTTTAATGCCGTTGAATGGAACTCCGCTGCGTGGGGGGCATTTATCAAAACATAAAAATATACACACAAATTGTTCTTGTTCTTGCTGTTGTTGTTGTTGTTGTTGCTGCTGGTGTTCTTCTTCTTGTTTCTCGCCGATGTGCAATGAGGCAAGTATTTAAACAGCTAAGCAAGCTGAACCTATATATATATATATCTAAAAATTCCAGTGCGTAGGGGTTTTTTTCCATTTTATTCCACAGCTGTCAAGATACGTCTATTCCTCTCTCCCTTTTCCTTTTGGCCTGCGACTCACTCTCTCGCTCTCTCTCTCTCTCTCTCACTCTCTTGCCGGCTGTAATTATGTGAGGGTTTTAAGTTTTTGTTTTTTTTTTTTTGGTCATTTCTTA